GGTGAATAAGAATGTACAGACACAAACCATAACCTTAATTCCCTTCTGGACACCAGTATATAAACGGAAACACAAACTTTAACAGTCTGCTGGGTACCTCTACATAAACCCAGAATTTTAACAGTCTGCTGGGTACCTCTACATAAACCCAGAACTTTCTGCTTGGTACCTCTACATAAACCCAGAACTTTAACAGTCTGCTGGGTACCTCTACATAAACCCAGAACTTTAACAGTCTGCTGGGTACCTCTACATAAACCCAGAACTTTCTGCTTGGTACCTCTACATAAACCCAGAACTTTAACAGTCTGCTGGGTACCTCTACATAAACCCAGAACTTTAACAGTCTGCTGGGTACCTCTACATAAACCCAGAACTTTCTGCTTGGTACCTCTACATAAACCCAGAACTTTAACAGTCTGCTGGGTACCTCTACATAAACCCAGAACTTTAACAGTCTGCTGGGTACCTCTACATAAACCCAGAACTTTTTGCTTGGTACCTCTACATAAACCCAGAACTTTAACAGTCTGCTGGGTACCTCTACATAAACCCAGAACTTTAACAGTCTGCTGGGTACCTCTACATAAACCCAGAACTTTAACAGTCTGCTGGGTACCTCTACATAAACCCAGAACTTTCTGCTTGGTACAGCTACATAAACCCAGAACTTTAACTGTCTGCTAGGTACCTCTACATAAACCCAGAATTTTCTGCTAGGTACAGCTACATAAACCCAACCGCGAACTGTAAAAAATGTCTGTTTTTCACCACTACATAGATCTAAATCTCAACCCCAACCAAAATCTTAACTATGTTCTAGGAACACGTGTTGCAATCCACCTCTGGCTCCTTCATCACAACCCTCATATTTGGGAAAACCCTGACGAGTTTAACCCAGAGCGGTTTAACCCTGATAACCAGGTTAAACTTGATCCGTTTCAGTACGTTCCATTTGCTGCGGGCCAAAGGTAGGTTAAATAATTAAATATTTGATTGTGTACCAAATAGTGTATTGTACAGTAGGCTAAGGAAACTAATCTTCTGTAAGCATCAAAATATAAATAAAGTATCCCACTAAAGAAATGTGTCAATTATTATGTCAATAAAATGTGCACACATTTAAGCATATTAAATCAATTTTAAACAATTGGACTGAAAGACATTTTAAGCTTTTTAATTTAGTTCTTTTTTTAAAGAATAAGCTCTAAAGAGTTCTAAGAAATTAGCAAGTTACGTAACTGCTGTGGACAACAAGAAATTAGGGACAAACAAAAATTTGGCCATTGCTAAATTCAAGCATTGAACTATCAGAAACAAATATACGTTTATTATTTTTATAGGAACTGCATTGGTCAGAATTTTGCAATGAATGAAATGAAAACAACCATTTCTAGAATCATCCAAAAGTGAGTAAGATTATCTATATTATAAGAAAACCAATTATATTAGAGCTTTGCTTTTCAAGAACTAATTGTAGGACTTCATCCATTTATAATGGTAATGATTTTACTATATTTTTTCTCCTCAACAACCTTATATATAATTATTTAAAATTTTAAAAATATATTTCACATTACATTACCAACACTTTTTTTAATTAAATAAACTTCGATCTTCAATTATTTTATTATTAAATTAAATATTGCATATATGCAACACATTTTTTTAAATTGATCTAGGTTCAAGCTCTCAGTGGATGCCAACAAAAAAGTGCGTAGACTCCCCGTAGTCACAATGCAGGCAGAAGGTGGAATGTTTCTCAACGTTACGTTACGGAAATAAATTATATGCAAGCTCTAAGACCAACATTGTTGTATGGTAAATTATAATACATATATTGCAGCAGTCCAGTGCATATACATGGAATTTTTTTTTTCTAAAATGTAAACATTTTATTAAAAATTTACTATTTACTACGAGTCCATGAATTTAATAATTAAATGATAGTAATGTATTATGGTGTTATTGAGATTTTTACTTATTGATTTACATATTACGTATTAAAAACACACAAACACACGCACACACACACACACACACACACACACATATATATATATATATATATATATATATATATATATATATATATATATATATATATATATATATATATATATATATATATATATATATATAATTTGTACAGGTCTTCATTTTGTATTAAAAATTACAAAAAATACTACTAATAATAATATATTGAGTATACGTGTTAAGTTATTTTTAATTAACTAACTTCTCTAACAATATAACAGTAAGACCTTTTATGGCTAAATAGCAACAAAATCACCTCGCAAACAGTGTTTCTTCCAGACTTTTTTCTTCGGGGGGGGGACACTGTTAAAAGTATATATTTTCTATATAAATCATATACATTTCATTTCGTTCGGGGGGAGGGTGGGGCGAAGAAATGCCTGCAAGAAAGTCTGCTCGCAAACAATGTCTACATCTACCAATACATTATTTATTCAAACACGTTATAAGCTGGGCAAAATAAATAATTACATAACTTGATGTTTCGATGACTTGAGCATGTTACTTAGTTGATCGTCGTCAGAAATAGCCCAATTGACTATCTTAGCCAGTGTGCTCCCGCTTCTAAAGATTAAGGGAGTTTAAATCTAGAATTTAGCAGAGGAGAGAATGCAGTAACTAGTGTACATGTCTGTCCGTCTATCCATCTGCCTTTTCGTCCGTAGAATAAGTTTATTCCCTACAACTCAAACTTTCCTAGTCCTGTACGATTGCTAACCCAAATGTTTCGAGTTGGAATCCGGGTTAAAATATGTAGAATGTTACTTTAGTCCAGCCAGCTATGATGGGTACTTAACATACGTTAGGGAAAGTAAAGGCGGCTGGGCATAGTGCTGACCACAATATCCCTTCACAGTAACAGGTGAACTCTATTTCAGTTTCCCCTTATACCGTCAGGTTTGAAAGGGTACTTTTCTTACTTTTAATATATTCATGACGTTTTATCTATAATTTTAAAACACACTTCCCATTAACATTGTTTTAATATTAAAATGTTAAAGTTATCCTTGATATCGGGTTTCAAGCGTTGATGGTAAATATTTGCATAATAACAGATTAATTCAGGACAGAGACGTCTTTTAAAATTATTTCCATGGACTCTTGGACACATCGAATCCACCCCTGACTACCACTAAAATAATCCTAACCCTTACCTAATTATTATTATTCTTAACATTAACTTTAACCATAGCCTATGCTTAACCCTATCCTGGTAAATTAACCAAAAGAACAATTCAAACAATAATCCTAGTCCTGGCCCAGTCCAAAGTGTGTTGCAGTATAACTCCTGTTGCCATAAAACTTCAATCAAGTCTTATTGTTCACGTAGAGCAGTCTATGCACAAAACAACTGGCCGACCCTTTCAGCTCCTGATGCAAAATTATTTGATAATTGTGACCACATAAGCTTGCCGTGCAATACAACATTGACAGCTGCTTTATTAAATGCATTATATATGTTATAATTAATCATTCGTCTCTATCGTAGATTTATACATACATGCAACATTTTTAAAAATGGAGTCGATATTTGGTTAATTATCTTCAGCCACACATCTGTAAGGCACATATAGCCCTTACTTTGGAAAAGTAAGTCGATTAATCAGTCGGTCAGTCAGTCGGTATATCAGTCTTTATTTTTTATAATTACACTTTGCTAATCAAAATTCCCCAATATTGGCTAGCTGAATCTATGAATATCTAAATTTTTAACGTACTTGAAAAACGAACATGGTTGTAGCATCGTTGTGGTATGTCAATATATCCATCCATCCGTCCATCCGTCCATCCGTCCATCCGTCTATCCGTCCATCCGTCCATCCGTCTATCCACCTATCCGCCCATCCGCCCATCCGTCCATCCATCCGTCCATCCGTCCATCCGTCCATCCGTCCATCCGTCCATCCGTCCATCCGTCCATCCGTCCATCCGTCCATCCGTCCATCCGTCCATCCGTCCATCCGTCCATCCGTCCATCCGTCCATCCGTCCATCCGTCCATCCGTCCATCCGTCCATCCGTCCATCCGTCCATCCGTCCATCCATCCATCCATCCATCCATCCATCCATCCATCCATCCATCCATCCATCCATCCATCCATCCATCCAGCCAGCCAGCCAGCCAGCCAGCCATCCATCCATCCATCCATCCATCCATCCATCCATCCATCCATCCATCCATCCATCCATCCACCTATTCGTCCATCTCCCCATGCCTTCATGTATTAACTCTGTTTGTATATTTGTATCATTAGATCTATAAATAGCTTAGTTATAATATATTTCGTAATTGAATCCATGGATTTAAGCACAGATTACTTTTCTATAGAAAGATGTATACTTTCAAGTCCTTATTTTACAATAACACAGTTATTAAAGTACACAGGTTTTTGAGGATTATTCAACACAAAACAACATCATTGTCGTATATTTTATCAGCTAGAGTCATCATTTGATGAATAGGTTTTGCAAAGAATATGCAGAACAATAATATTTTCGAAAATTTGTCGTAATTTGGCTCCGAATAAATCAGGTGAATTACACGACTTATCTAATGCTGGTAAATTATTATTGTTTGTTAGTTTCGAATGGAATGTGCTCATATTATCGCCATATCGTTAACAGGTAGTCAGTGTTGTATTTGTGTAGCAATATCTTTGTATATAAGAAGAGATTTTTTCAGGCATCTCTTTTGGGAAATATAATATATAAATATAATTTATATAGAAAATTTATACTTTATCAGTCCCCCCCCCCCGGGTAGATTCCACCCCCCTCTTTCCCCCCGAAAATTTTAATTGACCCCCGATCAGTTATTGAAACTACTCAGGTTAGTGGTAAACACCTTACCATTCGAACACGCTATCAGTCTAGATTAAGGTTAGACGTTAAACATTCTGGTTAAATCCGGGGTAGCCCTACAATATTACAATACATCTTAACAACCTGACACACCTAGTTTTGGAAGAGTCCATATCTGGATGCTGGCTAATAGAAGGAGTAATAAAAACAGATATTGTTATATTATTTTTGTTATGCCAAGTACCGTTGTCTGGTTGGGCAAATATCCAGCCAATCAAACTTTGAAGACGACTGAGCAGTTTCATTGGTTAAACTGAAAATTGTTTTAAAACGCTGAGTTACCTAAAGCTTACAAATCACTTCTGATTTCAGACAAGGTAGGAACAAACGTGTTTTATTCCAATATTTAAAAAAAGACGAACTAGAAATTTCATGGAAGTAAGAATACAAATCTCCAATTGTTAGTAATATATATTAACGTTGTAAAGAACATTTCTATATCAAATATAGTCTATAACTTCAATTCTGCATTTGGACGGTCCAGTAATAACAAAAGAATATAGCAAAAAAAATAACTTCGTCGCCATAGTGTAATATATCTAAATTGCTCATTATCTAAATTAATTACTAAAAAAAATATTGAAGGTTTTATAAAACAAATTTCATTTTCCAAACTTATAGCGTTAATTTGATGGCATGTGCATTAAACGAAATTAAAGAAAATGTATCACCCGTCATAAAAATTCTAATTGTGTCTGAAAATTACTACCTTTAATCCTTTAGCGTTATTTACTTTCCTTGATAGATTACAAAAACACAATTTCTTCCTTTTACAAAAAAAAAATAGGAATATAGTACAGTACTCGATTTGATCGCCATAGTGTAATATGTGTTTGTGGTTTCTCTGTGTTTGTCTTTGGGTTTGCGTTTGTGGTTGGTTTTGTGATTGTGTTTGCGTTTTTGTTATGTTTGCGTTTGGTTTTGTGTTCAAGCTTTGGTTTTGGTTGGTTGTGATTAGGGTTTATTCGCGAAGCAATATATTTTCTAAACCCGGGCAATGCCGGGTATAACATGCTGATTACTAAACACACAAATCATGGTCCTTTAAATATAGGTTTTTAACAAATGCCATGGCATGACCTCGCCGGTACGGCTAGTATAATGATTAAAAATATAATTAAACCGGTTGGAATGTCAGAAACATTTTTCCGAGAATAAATTCATATCAAATAATTATAATATGTATATTCTACTACCACGTGAACTAACACATAAAGTTAAAACAGCAAGCAGTAATAAGTAATAATAGTAGATCATGAAAGTCCAATAAATACGTGTCAATTCAACGCGTAGTTTAAGGTTTGAAGATGGTGAAATTAATTAGGTCCGATGACTACGTTACAACAGTGATTCTTCCAGACTTTTTTCTCCGGGGGGGGGGGGGGGCACTTGAAATTTTCGGGGGGGGGCGGTAGACTTTCTTCGGGGGGGCGGACACTGTTAAAAGTATATATTTTCTATATAAATTGTATAAATTTCATTTCGTTCGGGGGGGGCGGTAAAAAATTTCCGGGGGGGACAAAGCCCCCCCGAAGAGATGCCTGGAAGAAACTCTGTGTTACAATGAAATGAAAGCGGCTTCCGGCCTTTTGTAAAACTGTTAACTTGTTAAAAATTATGTTAACTACAATAAACATCAATAAAAAACAAACGAAATACTAACCATAAAAATGAGCCCCAATAATACGGTTGAGGACATACGTGCTACCAAAAAAATTTAAAGGCAGAAGTGTCAATGATTTTTTGCTTTATAGTAAACGATTATATGTCTCTTGACAATATAGAATCTAATAAAGATAGTAGCCTACATTTTAAAGAAAAGGATACGTACAAGTGTGAGCTTATTAAAGTTTTACAGTAGCTGATTGGTTTGTGTTGAAGCTCAGTTCATTGTAAGGGCTACTAAAGGAGCTTAATGATGTACGTCGTGAGCTTTCTAATGGGCCGCGTGAAAATATAAATAGTGAGTACAATATCTTGATGAAGAAAATGTCTGTTCCCTTAAGAAGCATAGAAACGTTTTTCATAGATGATAATTTTCTCAGACCATGGCAATATTTCAGCATTCCTTCAACACAAAACAGAAGTTATAAAAAACAAAACTAATGAAAGATTTTTGTACTAAAACATGTTTTTTTAACATCGTAGGTGTGTACTGAATAAAGCAATCCGAGTGTTCTACAAAAGACCCTAGAAACAAGAGACAGTGGGATGAAAATGTTGAGCCTCAAAAACATAGCACTGACGAGCTTCTATTTGGCTTTAGTCTACTTCCAATCAAGCCACACAGAAGGGCGATGTATGATGTTTTAGTATAAATACATATATATATATATATATATATATATATATATATATATATATATATATATATATATATATATATATATATATATATAAATATATATATATATATATATATATATATATATATATATATATATATATATATATAAACAGAGATAGAGAGATTTATAATTATAGATATTTTGAAAAATCGTTTATATTGTACCAGATAGATATAGATTTTTACTCTAGTCTACAGAAGAGCCGATTTTGTTCTGTCCAATCTGAGACCATCAACTATATGCACTACGGGTCATGCGACGTTTGTAGAACGCCTCAACTTTACTGTCTACTTAAACTTTACTGGGGCAGATCCGCTGAATCGTTGGGAAGACTTCAACGTTGATTTGTATTTATATAATGTTTATCCTAATCGTCTGCATGTAAGTTAAGAAATGTTTATAACTGCAGTAGTTTTAGTAAAGTAAATGCTTTTGTTTTTTTAAATGTATTGCTACACAGCCTTTATTTTAATTTTTTTAATGCTCGATACATGTCCATACTTTTTTGATAAAGCTTTGTACGTTTTTACTAAATAGTAATTATAACCAGAGTACTAGCCGTAACTCTAATGGTAGTTTAACAAATTTTAAACGAGACGTACCAACGAGATCGAGAAGATAATATTACAAACAGACAGACGGGCAGCATGCAGACAGACATCAGCAGGCAGGCAGAAGGCAGAATGACAGGCTGGCAAACTGCCAGACGAATATAGATCGTGAACACTTTGTGTTATGTGGAATAAATTGTATAAATACATTGATTTCATTTAAATTTCTCTTCTGCTCAAAAGATCCTTACTACAAATACAGCCCGTTTCTGCACACTCCACCCTGACTGCATTGGAAATTGGAGGTCAAAGTTCATGAAGTTCAATGCCAGCGTGACCACCGACCGCGAATGGGTGTCATCAAATGCTACAATTATTGGCCAATGGTATCTTAGGCGAGGACACAATGCCGCCGTTAGTGAGTTTAGTAACTCCCTGTACGTTGGTGCCTTAAGTGGTAAGTAAATATATTTTGTATATAAAAGAAATTTTAGGCATTTAATTTAAATGTTTTTGGATAATTAATTTGAGTACGTTCTGTGTAAATTAATTTGAGTAAGTTCTTTGAAGAGTTGAATGGATGTGGCTATGGTGGTGATTTGATTATTGATTGTTTAAATTTTAAACGACGGTATATTTAATAGTAGGGGGGGGGGACTTGTGAATTGGAATTTACGTTTGTTTATATTTTCTATCTCTGTGTGTTTAATGTAACACTTGGTTTTTGAAATTTTTATAAAAAGTTGTAAGACAGAATGAAAAGGAAATACATTTAAAAATTAGATCATTAGATAATTAATACATTGCGTGGTCGAGTCGGCAAAGATCATGGTTGCTAAACCGAGAAGTCTCGAGTTCCAACCCTCGGGCAGATGAGGCTCGTTAGCTAGAGACAGCCACTGTGGGACAACTGCTGCCTTGTAGTTTGTTCTTGGTTGGACAAAGACTATGTAAGCAAATCCAAAAAGAAAAGCAGGCTGAAATCGGAGTCAATGGCCTCAAATGGCGCATAACTAGTTGACACGTATCCTTAATTGTGATGGAGGCGTGGTCGAGTCGGCAAAAGCTCATAGTTGATAAATTCGAAAAAAGTCTCGAGTTCAAACCCTCTGGCATATAAGGCTCGGTCCCTTCCAACACTAAAAGTTAAAAACGAAGAAGAAGAAGAAAATGCTTATCGTCGCATTAAAATTAGATAAAGTTTACGCTAACTACGTAAAACCTCAAGTTAAAAACAGAATGCTACATTGTTGTGCCCTTGCTTGTAGCAGTGTTTTAATATAACCGCAGGTTCTTATCGTTTTGCTTTTTAATAAATGAATTGAGTTTATTAAACTTAATAAATTATGTTGAAGATTTTAAAAAAAAACTTTTTTAATTACATTTTTAAAATCGTTTTTAAGTTTTTTAGAACGAGATTAAATGTGCATGCTAATGTTAAATGTTTTGCGATAATAAGTCAACTGTGGAAAATTGTATAGCAATAACAACAAGCATTGGAGTCACAGTGGAGGGGGAAGGGGGTTACCCACCCAGGTGACAGTAAATCGAAAAATCGAAAAATGTACTGTAACATAAATATTTTATCCAATGATATCAAACGGAAAATATAAAATTATTATTAGGTGCAGTGGCGTAGCGAGGTCGGGTGTGACACGGTGCGGTCCGCCCCCCCCCCGCCCCCCCCCCCCCCCCCCAGCTACGCCTCTGATTAGGTGTTGGGTGAAACTTTGATTTACCGCACCGGATGACACTCGACCTGTTGACGTCACTGGTAACGAATATTAGGGGGAAAACCCGTATTACATTGTAATAATCGTTCAAACTGTATCCATATCAGTAGCGTAGCGGGTGGGGGGGGGGGGGGGGTTGGGGGGGGGCATATGTCCCCGGGCGCCGACCTTAGGGGCGCCAAAATGGGTTGGAAAATTAAATTGAAAGGTTGAGGGGGGTGCAAATCGAAAGTGTGAGGGGGTGCAAATCGAAATCTTGAGGGGGGGTGTAAATCGAAAGTTTGAGGGTGGGGGTGCAAATCGAAAGTTTGAGGGGGGTGCAAATCGAAAAGTTTGTCCCTGGGCGCCGGGAAGGGTCGCTACGCCTCTGATCCATATCACTTTGACAATGCATGTCATGATAAAAAAAAAATTTACCTCTATGTGCTGTCAAAATTAACATGATTACACCGATACATTTTTATTTCCAGGCTACAACAGACACAAAGCCTTGGCAAAGTACGGAAATAATGAAATTACTTATCCTCTGGAGTTCGGAAAACGTTGTGTTATTTTAGGGCGGGCTCACGGCTCGAACTTGTCGAGGTTGAGATTCTGCGCTTATGACGGGCCAGGCGGCTCCGGTTTTGATCCCATGCATTTGACTGACTGCAACGGAAATACAGCAATGGAGTACTTTCACACTGGTAATCCCAAGTGTGTGAAGTTGGATTACACGTGGACTGGTCGTGCGTGTAACGTCACTTTCACCTACAGATCCCGCTCGACATGCAGGGATGGAGTAGAGTTCACCTGTAGAATCCAAGCCGCATAGGGTTTTAACGGTGTTTGAAATTTACTAGAGAATGTGAAACCCGTAGAGGAGCAGACCGCTATATCCTACTGGAACATGATTTAAAAAACAGATTTTATTTTAAATATATTAAAATACAAAAACTATTTCTTTTATTCACATGGCTATTGTAAATTTTAAAGCAGTTGTCTTGCTAGTTTATGTGTTCAAAAAACTATAAATCGTATATGTTCTTTAAATATTTCGTTTATTCATTACATAGTGTGTGAGAATTCGGATCTTAAATTAAAATCCATATTTACGGGGGAAAAAAATCACGAACAATTATAAAATCATATAAAATCATAATTTTACGTAGTATGTTCGGAGAACACACACACACACACTATAAAAAAACTATAAATCGTATATGTTCTTTAAATATTTCGTTTATTCATTACATAGTGTGTGAGAATTCGGATCTTAAATTAAAATCCATATTTACGGGGGAAAAAAATCACGAACAATTATAAAATCATAATTTTACGTAGTATGTTCGGAGAACACACACACACACACAGAGATATATATATATATATATATATATATATATATATATATATATATATATATATATATATATATATATATATATATATATATAAACGGTTAGGTTGAATTGGAAAACTACATTTTCGTTTCCTATAGCTTTACTCGACGACAGTTAAATTCCCCCTAGGAAGCGTTATCCTTTTTAAAAAGTAATGTCAGAAAAAAATAAACTTAGAAGAAGTTTGTATCAGGCGCTAATTCGTATAGGCCAGACTTTTTATGTATTATCTTTGAAACAGTCTCTGTTATGATATGGTACATAGCTGGATTATACTTTTGTTAGAATAAGGTTTTACAAGTGACATACAAGACATACAATAGCAAATTTTCAGAAACATTTATTGTACACATTGGAATACGACATGGGTATTTCATTGACTGTTTGATTGTGTAGAGGAAACAAACTGTTATTTAACGGACACAATAGGTGAAATGTTGGATTTTGCAGATGTGCGAAATTTAAATGTGGTATTTAAATACATTGTCAAAAACATTGAATCTAGATATTTAGCTAAATGTAAAGTCTCTTTTACTGTATGGCTCGGAGCTAGGTGGTTACAGACATTGGAGATTTAAATAAGAGAAACGAAAAGGTGTTGGTCAGGGCGCAATATCAGAAAGACAGAGAATAACATCACTAAGCAGGTGCTGGTGCAAAGTCCAGGGGAAAGAGGAAAAGAAGAAGACCAAAAGACATCATGAAGGAAATCGTTTGAAATAGAGGTGTGGGAGGCTGGATTATTAGGGTTCGATCTTCATAAAAATAAAGTGAGTTGACGAAATTTGCCTACGTCTATGCTACGAATCGAATAAATATAAGAAAATCAAAAGAGTTTAGAGCAGTGGTTATTAACCCGTGTTCAATCCAACCAAAGAGGTTCAGAAAGTCAGTCTCAGGGCTTCGGCGGAGGTCAAGACACACGCCCGACTCATATGATTCAGGAACGGATTTTGTCAGTGTGGACGATAAAACTATTAATAAGGGTTCCGTGTATGTGCATTTGAAACTGATAGGGTTCGGCACCTCCAACACGGTAAAGAACAACTGCGTTAGAGTGTAGTTTGTAGAAGATGCAAGCTTATTTGGTCTACTTAGGGCGTGCCTTTAGAACAGATTTGATAAAGGTATATTAAGTTATAAATTGTCAGTTAGGTGGAACAAAGTAACAAAGCAGTAGCAGTCGTCACGTTGTACCCATTTTTACTCTTATCGTAGGTAAAAAAAAAATATCTATTCGGTACAGTTTACTAATTTGCTTAGCTCTTAAAATTTAGGCAAAGAGTATCGCCTTCACCCTCGCGCTTTGATCCAGAGTTTCTTACAGGCATCTCTTCGGGGGGGGGGGGCAAAGCCCTCCGAAAACATTCTACCGCCCCCCCCCCCCCACCGAACGAAATGAAATTTATATAATTTATATAGAAAATATATACTTTACCGCCCCCCGAAAATTTCAAGTGCCCCCCCCCCCCGGAGAAAAAAGTCTGGAAGAAACACCTCTTTGATCATATGCTATTTTACTGGCTAGATAGCGATACGTGATATTTGTTTCTCTTCAATACAGTGATCCAGGCAAGATGTAATGAAATCAAGTAAAAGTATATTATCTCTCACGTTAAAGTTGAGAGAATCTTACCAAAACTGGCTTGTGTAATCGTACATTACGCGCTAATATAATTGTTTTTTATTTTAATTGTTAAACGATTCGTCTACTCACCCATTCCGGTGTAGATCCTTCCCATTCACCTTTCAGAAAAAGCGTCCCACCCACCACCTTTTTCTTATTTTGCTGTTTCACAATACGCTTTAATAATTTTGGTTTCTTTTTAACATGTTTTTTTTTTAATGTTAAAGTTATCTACTCACCAATCCAGTACAATACCTTGCTTCTTTTGGTGAAAAAGCACCCCCCCCCCCCCCCACCCACCATCTTGGACGTAACTTACTCTTTTTACAGGAATTGCGATTATTAACTCGTCATTTCTGGATGGATGGATGGATGGATGGATGGATGGATGGATGGATGGATGGATGGATGGATGGATGGATGGATGGATGGATGGATGGATGGATGGATGGATGGATGGATGGATGGATGGATGGATGGATGGATGGATGGATGGATGGATGGATGGATGGATGGATGGATGGATGGATGGATGGATGGATGGATGGATGGATGGATGGATGGATGGATGGATGGATGGATGGATGGATGGATGGATGGATGGATGGATGGATGGATGGATGGATGGATGGATGGATGGATGGATGGATGGATGGATGGATGGATGGATGGATGGATGGATGGATGGATGGATGGATGGATGGATGGATGGATGGATGGATGGATGGATGGATGGATGGATGGACGGACGGACGGACGGACGGACGGACGGACGGACGGACGGACGGACGGACGGACGGACGGACGGACGGACGGACGGACGGACGGACGGACGGACGGACGAACGGACGGACGGACGGATGGACGAATGGACGGATGGACGAATGGGTGGGTGGATGGTCATCTCGCCTACGTAAGGAATACTTAAGTCGGCTGGACATAGTGCTAGCTTCATTATCCCTTTACCTGCCGAGGTCACAGAAACAGGAGAACTACTTCATTTGTCCCATTGACCATCAGGTTCGAAATGAAATTCCATTTACTTAATTACCATTCCCCTATTCTGACACGGAGTAGCCTGTTTTATTCGTCGGTAATTGATATCAGTTTACTCTTGATTTTTGTCCAGCTTTCAACAGACACAAAGCTGTGGTTAAATACGGTCAGAGTCCAATAACGACAACTTATCCTCTGGTTTACGCAAAACGTTGCGTGATTGTAGGACGGACTCACAACTCGAACAGATTGATGAGGTTGAGTTTCTGCGCTTATGACGGACCAGGAGGGTCCGGTTTTGGTAACTTGCAAGTGACTAGCTGCACTGAACATTTTGCTACTGCGAGTTTTGGCACAGCGGACCCCAAGTGTGTCATTTTGAACCACCGATGGGCTGGTCAAGCGTGTAACATCACTTTCAGTTACATGTCTGATTCAAATTGCAGGGACAGGGTGGAATTTAAATGCAGCATCATTCCCTATGATGAATATGAGCTTCAGCGAGAAAAATAATTAGTGGAGGCACATGGCATAGCCTGTGTAGAATCAGAGAGGGATGGCGACTCCCAGTGAGAATATGTTTTTTATTTTGAAACAGTGCCTTTGTTAGGAAATTTTGTTTTAGGATGAAAATTAACTGCGAAAAAAATTAATTCTATTCCCATGGTTGCAATAGAGCAATTTTCATATTTGATCATTTGTTTGTAAGAGAATAAAATCAAAAGTAATGCATGGAGTTTTCGTTTTTTATTCAAAATCGTGTAAGAAGACAATACTTAAATTTACATTAAAGTACAGAGATTTTAAAAAGTTTTACCAGGCAAATGCAACATTAGATTTACATGCAAAGAATTTTTTTTTTTTAAAAAAAGCAATTTAAAATTATATTCATGCCGTACACTATTGTCTATAATTTTTTAAATGAAAAAAAAACTCATTTAAAAAAACTATAGCGTGACTAACACTAAACAATCAGTGTTTTACTACTGTGCATGTTACTGCTTTAAATACACTATGATTGTCTTCAATTTCTTGACGCGGCCATATGGCAGTTGACAAGGGGGTGAATGCTGTACCTGATGGCTACAACATAGGAGCTAAACGATTATTGTAGTTTTGTGTTTTTTTACTTCGCAAAAAAAGCTGCGAAAATATGTATATATTCAGTTGCAGTGTTTCTTCCAGACTTTTTTCTCCGGGGTGGGGGTGCACTTGAAATTTTCGGGGGGGGGGGGGGGCAGACTAAATTTCCGGGGAGGCGGGGGGAGGCGGACACTGTTAAAAGTATATATTTTCTATATAAATTACATTTCGTTCGGGGGGAGGGTCAGTAGACTTTCTTCGGGGGGGGGGGGAGGGCTCCGTTAAATATCTGCTGAAAGTGTACACCTACAAGTTGATACTGAGTGTAAAAATTGAAATTGTGATTTAAAGTTAAATAATGATATTTAAAACTTAATAGTTATGAAGAAAAAAAATTTCAGAAAAACATTTTGCAAATATTCCCATGACAATACTCATAGGTGAATTAAGCTGGTAAGACATGGCAGATGCCTAGGGCCCCAAATTTTGTTGTTATTGCTTTCTGCTTTTAATTTTTAGAGCTTGTGAACATAACATTTAACACTTAACCCCTACCACCATATAATGTTATTACAATATTTTACTTAGAACTCGAAATGCCATATTATATAACACTTGCCACCAAACACCCCCCCCCCCCTGCCCTCAATTTAGGTTTCATTAAATCCTTTTGTTTTAAAAAATAAATGTGTATCTTTATTAGAAACTATTTCATAGCGGTATATTGCGTGAAGACGAAAATATACAAACGCCAGTAGTTCAGATGGCTCATTTATACAACAATTCCATGTAGCAAAATTCATGGCATACAAACAAAGATCAAGTTCATAGTTGTGAATTATACGACTCTTTTCCACCCCTACCTAATAAACACAATATAAATAAATACTATTTCACTGTTACGCCTTCGTTGCACACATAATCATCAAAACAATATAGACATGAACTATTATCTCAGTGTCAGACATAGGTTCGTATTAAAGTCATTCGAAAAGGCTTCTACATCCTCTCCTATCGCGGCGTGAAGGGAACAGTTATCTGTAAAATAACAATATTTTGAAATAGTGCTTGAATCAGTTCCTACAAGTCTAAATATTCACATAGTTTCTGCGATGTTCTGCACATGCAATTCTAAACATACCTACGCTTCTTGCGTTTTTGTAAAATGAAAAATTAAGCAAGAAAAAGTAGGGAAAAATGTCATGCTAGATGTTACAGATTCGAGCAAATATTGATTGGATATTAAATTTCCTCATGTTTATACATGTATGTTGGCGACAACTAAATTGTTGGAACTAAGATTGCGCTCAATAGACTTGTAATCTTGTAAAACAAGCAGCTGTTAAAATTTAAATTCATAGAACACAAAAGATGATTTTAACAACGACAAGATTACATTGTCATAAGGAATGAATCATTTCATATGACATGAGATAAAACGGACAGACGATTCTATCTCTACTCCGATTTCTTTTGTGTACAGCCAGGTTTGTAATACAATGATCTGATAAGCGCAGTAGCGTAGCGAGGGGGGGGGGGCGGGGGGGAGGGGGACATATGTCCCCGAGCGCCGAGCTTAGGGGGCGCCAAAATGGGTTGGAAAAATAAATTGAAAGGTTGAGGGGGGTGCAAATTGAAAGTTTGAGGGGGGGTGCAAATCAAAATCTCGAGGGGGGGTGCAAATCGAAAGTTTGAGGGGGGGGGGGGTGCAAATCGAAATCTCGAGGGGGGTGGAAATCGAAAAGTTTGTCCCCGGGCGCCGGGACGGGTCGCTACGCCTCTGGATAAGCGTAAGTAATATTTACAGATAAATATTTTCTGATCTTTACTTAACATCCTAGCACGTGAGACTTGAACAGAAGGACGTGATTGATCTGATCTTGTAACAGCTGTTTAAATTTAGCACACTTTGAACTAAAAAATTCAATTCTTTTCAATACTAATACTTATACTAAACATTACATTATTGTTAATTTTTTAATGCATCCTTACTACTACTTTAATCATTTCGAATCTACAGACATGATTACGGTGGGAATTTTTTCGTAAGTTTATAATTTTCCAGGCACACATACCTTCTTAAAATCCAAAAATATTTAAGAAAATGTCAATTTACAGTTAAAACGATAACGGAATTTTGTTAATAAGATGTTTATGTATGAAAAAAATCTAAAACTTGAAACAAATTCGAATAAATAAATGGAAAAACAAACTAAGAACCGTGTTCTACCCCCTTAATTAAAAAGCATGACACCGCGTTTACATTTGCGACATGTATACTATACTGTCTAGAAAAAAAAACGCATCAAGTAAGCATACACGTCCGAGGGGGGGAAATGTTTTCATATAACATTGACTTGCGTCGAGTTCTTTTCCTTGACATGTAAACGCGGTTTAATACTTCCTTTTGGTTCAGTTCCATTGATTTTATTAACAAGATTTCATTTCTAATATTTAGAAAGCCTGTGGTACGACGTGATAAGGAGGGGTAGGGGTTGGAGAGTACGATTATTATCCCGAAATTATCCCGGACTCATGTCTGTATTATGTCTTTGAATCTATCCAGCTAAGATGGCTATCTTAACTTATCAAGGCAAAGTACTCTTCCCATATGCAACAAACGAACACTACTTCCTCCGCCCCATGCACTAAGGACCAAGAGATCCGAAACTTAATAACAATGTAAAAGCATCATGTCATGTAAACAAGTTATATTCAGCATGTAAAATTTGGACGCATACTTTTAAAACTGCTTATTTTTATTCTATGAGAAAAAATTTGGACTTCGCATGATTAATGCGTGAAACGTAAAAACAAAAGTTTAACACGTGTCAACAGAATAGCAAAGTATTGATTTTAATAAAATATTTTAATACATTTCAATATATTGATAATGATGTGAGGGGGCACTATTTTTTCGTATATCACGGTTGTTAGCTACGATGATTTTTTTAAAAATGTTTGGACTTTCGTGGTCGTATTTCACCTTTAACATTTTAATTTTGGATGAATAGTTTATTATTTCTTTCCACACAATCGATCGTTTGACCCTGTTCTAATAAATTCATGAAGACATTTTTTTCACTTGATCCTAATTCAGTTAAAAAACTATCCAACCAAGCGTATTATATAATTCACATTTCAACTATGCTTAATTTATGTTCAATATACAAACCAAATTAATGAAATGGTCTTTGAAAACCAAGACCATTACGAATTGTTATCATCCAAACTTAAGCTAAGAAAATAAATAAAACAAAAATGTATTTCTTAGCAGGAAATTGGAGTTAATGCGAATCTATGAATCATTTCTAATGGCATGTAACAGAAGTGTCCAGAAAGTTTGGTTATTTCTGTAGACCAGACACCTGTACAGCTGATTCCTTAAATAAGTTTCTACTTCAGGTGGGTATGTATTCAAGTCGACCCTCTCAACAAAGACAGGAACGATAACCTGACCTCGTACATTGAACTCTCGCATGATGGCCAGGTTCATCTCATACTCTCGGTAGTGATCCAAGAAAAGATCTTCAGACAACAAGACCAGCGTTTTTCTTGTGCCAGTTATAGCTCCACTGATGTGTGACACCATGTCCCCACCTGGAAAGTCCACTTCTCCTAAAATGTAAGAGATGTTCTTCTCTTTCAAGAATGGCAGGATAATATTTTTAAGGATCTGTCGGATTCTCGGTTCACCCTGTTGAAAATATACAATATGGAAACAACTTTTACGAACAACATTGGACAATTATTTTTTTAATGTAACAAACAATATATCGATAAATATAAAAGCAACATTTTAGTAATAATAAATTTAGTTGTTAAAAAAGACATGGTATTTTGTAAATTAATTGTAGATTACTTGTGATTTTAACAAGACTGTTTGTTTAGCCTGAAATGAAGTAAAAATCAATAACAACGTAAAAATGTTATTTATAGTTGATCCACTTATTATGTTTCTTTTAAGACAAAATGATCACAAAATGTTTCCATTAAATATTATAAAATGAATTACATTTCAGTATTAGTTTAGTACTTTTAATTTACCTCATCATAGGTGATGAAGACATCAACCTGTGGGTTGTAGTTGACCAAACGTCCACCGATGTGCAGCCGCCGTTGACCAATAAAGTAGAGGTACCTCAGCTTCCAGCGGTAATGGAAAAACACGGCCAAAACAAGCAAACATAAGAGATGGGTGAAAAATGTCGTCAACACAAAGCTGAAGTTTTCTTTTATCTGGCAGTTTTGTGTCAGTCTGGGAAGTTGTGCGACCATCTCCGTGTAGTTTAAGTCGATGTTGTTTTCTGTTTTAAACGTCATTTTATCTACCTGGTCAAACAACTGTGGGCTGTTGGCTAACAAACGTAGACTTTGAATGTATGAGCAAGTCAGTTGAAACTCGTTGTTTTGTAAATTTATTAAAAACTCAGGATTGACTAATTTTAATCTGGTCAGTTCTTTACACATTTCGTCTGATAAGCCAGGCAAACGATTATACGATAAGTCTAAATATGTCATGTTCAAATGTCTCAGTGTGGACGCCTCAAACGATGTCAAATAATTCTCACCTAAAATGAGTTTTTTAAGTGTTTTCGGAAAGTGGAATGTTTTTGGTATAAACTCTATTTTGCAATTTTTCATCTCTAATTCATTGAGATTGATTAAGTCGTTTTTAAGGCAATAGTCGGTTATATTTGTTTTACACAACGCAATACCCTGGGTATTTGAAACTTTTAGCACACTGAGATTATGCATGCCTTGAAACATTGTCCAACGACCATAGGTTAACAATTCATTATCAGAAACATCCAAATATTCCAAGTTAGTTGCTCCATTTAACTTCGACAGTGTTCGCTTTCTATATCTTGATTGGTTGTTTTGGTGTGATCTGCAAAAAACTAAAGTTATTAAATGAGTAAAATGGAATTAATGGATTGCTTGATTAATAAATTATAACAGTAATATTTTTCTTTTATTGTTAAACTATTTAGATTTCTGAATACAAAGGTAAACTCTCTCCTCGCATTTATAATTGAACAAGAATTATTTGCAATCAAATTTGAAAAAAAGACAACATTTACAATGTAAAACTTGGATCGTGTTGAGATTTCAGCTCTAAACGTTTCAGTGAGTTCTCTGGTGTATTTCGTAAAGCAATAATGAAGGGAATAACATCAATAAAATTTTCGTCTAAACAAACATTCTCTAACTTTGACGGAAATGTGGAAAGATCCGTGTCTGCAGTAAACACCATTCTGTTATCAACAATACTTAAATCGGTTGTGTTTATTTGTTCAAATTTAGCCAGTACGTCAGTTAAGTTGTAATGCTGACGTACTAGGTCCAGTTTAAGATAGTTTAACTTGAGCGATGTGATTGCGGTAAAACTTTGGATAGAGTCTAAAATTTGCTGTAACGTGAGCTCTGTGGAGCTAAAATCCAGCATTGACGAATGTGCTTGCAACTCAAATGAGTTCTTTGAAAAGTTTGTGATTGGGCAGTAACGCAGCCAAATTGAAATATCTTGGTCTGTTCGAATATTTTTAAAATAGAAATCACTTAATGCTGTAATAGAACACGAATTCTCAAAGTCTATTATTTTAAGATGCTTCAGTTTTTGAAATCCTGGTCCCAATTTGCAGTTTGTTCCTACTAGATATAATGTCTCTAGATTAGACAGCTCTGAGAAGGCCTTGTCAGGGTAACATACGGATGTCGACAAAGATCTGTGACTGAACGGCTCTGAAACACATTTTGTATTGCTTTTTTAGTTATATTTTAAAACTAGAGATTTACTATAAAAACAAAATAGAATCATATTTTAACAAAGCGTTGTTTAGTGGGTATCCCACATTATCAAAATAATAACAATGCTTAACGGAAAGTGATAATGAAAATTCTAAAAGTAAAAGCATTTACAATACATTTAGATTTCTAAAAGTGGATATAAAATAATCTGAATAACCAATAAAAATAGCTTAGAAATTCACCATCACAGATAATATTGTTCGTTCCATATTAAACACAGATAACGATTCACTGCACACTACCGATACACTTAAATAAAAGCAAAATTTAAATAAAATTATTACCGATCCACTCATTCATATATATATATATATATATATATATATATATATATATATATATATATATATATATATATATATATGCTATTTACCTCTTATGGGTATACTATATTTGTTATCAAAGTACTAAAATTTAACATATTCCATTGCAAAATATACAAAATGTAAAGATTAAACTGATTTAGTGTGTGAATTAATTGCTTCAAAACCATTTAGCAACTCTTTTCATGGCTGACAAAAAGCGTCAAAATATGTCAATATGACAGGCCAACCAGTTAAGTTTATTTGTTGCTAGCTTTTCATTGTCTATTGACATTGTAAGTTTTCATCCCAATCATCTTCGGTGGGCGTTATACTTTGTGTCACCCACCCCCATCTAACATTTTGTCAAATGGCGTCAATTTATATTAATCCACCTAGAAAAAGCATTGAGGGGCCTAATTCTAAAACTAATTGAAAAATCTTTGCATTTGTAGTAAATTATAACATTTAGCGTGTTGTCCACGTTAGCAGGTTTACGTGATGGTGTCAATCCCCTCCCATCCACCCTACACCCACACACCAATCCCCCTTGCTAAGCTTATAATATATATATATATATATATATATATATATATATATATATATATATATATATATATATATATATATACAAGAAAAATCAAAAATCATACCTGTTCGGTTGTAAGGTATAAATGCAGTATCGGGTGGTATTTTTTTCTTTTTCGTTTCATCGACAATTATGAATGAAAAATCAAGTAAGCTCTTCAGTCCTTTAAATGCTTTGTCTGAAACGTTTAGCATGTCCGTTTCTATAATGGTCAACAACACTAAGCTTTTCAAACCCGAGAAAATTCCCGCTTTCAGACTTCGTAAATTGTTATTCTCCAGTATTAGATGTTTTAAGTTTAACAGACGTTCGAACAAATTTACAGGCAATTCTGAAAAAAAGTTTGCTCTCAGTGTTAGATTATGTAAAAAAACATTTTGATCCTGAAAATAGTTCGCGCAAGAATCAATGTCCAGAAATGCCCATAAAGTTAACCTTTGAAGTTGAAAGAGGCCGTCAAACGCGCCACAAGTTATATTCGTTATGAAACATCCATCTATTTGTAAGTCTTTGGTGGTAGACGGAAATCTGGGTATTCCAAAAAGACAACTGCAAAATATTCTAAAAATGACCCCACCATTTGAGTAGCAGTCACAATTATTCGGGCACACATTTGTGTTTTCTTGCACATTCTCGTTCCATTGTCGCTGTTTACCGAATCTCCTAAATAAATCTTGATTCGATGTATTAGCCAAGTTATAATTTAATCCATAACTAGTATTTCTTTTCGATATAAAAATTAACATATGCAGTGAAAACTGAAAATAGACAAGTTTCATTTTTTTTTTGTATTTTCAATGTAACTAGCCGTATAAAAAATTCCAAATGTTCATAATTTATTTTATTTTGCTATTTAATCGAAAACGATAGAAACAAAGTCTAAAACTCAAACAAATCTGTGAAGTGTTAAGTTCAAGGACGCAAGAACAAAAATACCCTGTTTTAACAGCGTCAAACGGTTCAAGTAGGGATGAATCACGCAAGCTTTACTTTCCCCTGACCTAAAACTAGATGAACTACTTAGTTGCTCACCCAAAGTTACTATTAAGCACAAACAAAATTTAGCCTAATTCTAGTATGAACTAAATTCTATCCCACCATTCATTATGTTAACTTACCAAAATCTAAAAAAAATTAAAAGTTAAATTAAATCAACCTTAAAAATTAGCACAAAATCCAACAAAACACTCACAAACACACACACACACGCATATATATATATATATATATATATATATATATATATATATATATATATATATATATATATATAGGGGGCTGGGCGTTTCATCAAAGACATCAGCTCGATAGCTGTTTGCCTGAAAATCGTTAACCCAAGTGGACACTTACCGGAATGGACACTTACTCGAATTCGACAAACATCTAAATGAGACTCTTTTGCCTGAAGTTGCTGTCTTATGTTTAATAAAGTTCATGAGCGTTAAGAACAGGTCTATTTAATTTTCTCTCCTGTCTTTCAGCTGTTGCTATTATTAGTTTTCTTTCTGAGTCGGTGTATCGTAAATGTTGAACGTTTTTTATGTGTTAAACATACATGTTCCGCTTTATTCGATGTAGTGAACAAATATAAAAGCCCATCGTATCCATTGTGCATCGCGCTGTTTAAAACGAGCATAGGCGCCAAAATACTTATGGGGGAGCCGGGGGCACCAAATCGCAGCCTGCCTGGGCGCCGCTCCTCCAAAATTTATTTTTTTCTTCACTGAAACTTTTCCTGGAGTATTTTCATTAACTCCTCAAAGTTTCATAACCATCGGTTGAAAAGTGTAGTCATGCATGGGAACTTAATACACTAATACTATTATTTGTATAATCTAATATATAAAGTTCAATTATGTATGTAAAATGTTTGTAAAATGTTTGTCGTGGATACTTGGATGGATTTAAGTGTTAAATTATTATAGTACTCATGATCTAAATTTATGAGTTAAAAAATTACTATTGAAAGTCTTTAAAAACAAATTTCATTTTATATATTTAGAATAATAATTTTCAATTATGAACATTACCTAAACTTTAAAAAAAATATATCAACGCTTATAAAATTTCTAAAATTGTGTCTGAAATGTATTTGCATTTTGTCCTTTAGTTCTCATAACGTCCCTTGATTTGGAAAACACAGTTATTTCCCTTTAAAAACCCATTAAATCGGGGGAAGAAAGAATTTATTATTTTTATTACTTTGTTTTGGTGTTAAAAAAAATAACATAATTAGCGGGATTTGATTAAGTGCAATGTCGTTGGTATTTTTTATACTGCGTTTTATTTATTCTATACACTGAACATACTGTTTACTAATTATTTTTTTTAAAATCAATAACATTTAATAAGCCAGGTCCTACTAATCTATATGTTTATTTCTTTCCATTTACGGATAAGCTTGGAGTATTATAATTTTGTTAACTAAATTTAAACAGGCGCGTCCGCCGGCGCCCCTGCACGGTTCGATTTGGCGCCCTGGGCTATCATGTGAGCGCTATGCTGCATAATTTTGTTTTAAACAGTGCGATATACTATGGATAAGAAAGGTTGCTATAGTATTTAAGCGAATCAAATCCGGGCGTCCTCCGGCACACCGACAGGGTGCTACTTGGCGCCCCGGGCCTTCCCGTGTACGCTATGGTACCTACGTTCGCGTAAGTGAGTTCAAAAGACTATGAATAAGTTGGGTATTATAGTCGTTTACTAAGTTCAATCAGGCGGTTACGCCGCACATCGTAATGGTGCGATTTGGCGCCCCGGGCTAGACTGTGGACACTTTGAGTTTATCTTTGCGTTTGTGTTTTCTTTGTGTTTGAGTTTGGGTTTGCGTTTGTGGTTGAGTTTGCGTTTGGATTTGGGTTTGTTTTCGTTTGCTTTTTTTCTTTGCGTTTGTGTTTTCTTTGTGTTTGTGATTGTGTTTGTGTTTGCGTTTGTTTTTGTGTTTTCTTTTGTGTTTGTATTTGCGTTTGTGTTATGTTTGCGTTGTTTTTTTTTTGGTGTGTTTTGGTTTTGGTTTTGTTTGGTTGTGGTTGGGTTTGTTTTTGCGTTTTGATTTGTTTTCGTTTGCTTTTTTGTTTGCGTTAGCGTTTGTGTTTTCTTTGTGTTTGTGGTTGGGTTTGTCTTTGCGTTTGTTTTTGTGTTTTCGTTTGTGTTTGTTTTGTGTTAGTGTTATGTTTGCGTTTTTTGTGTGTTTTGGTTGGTTGTGGTTAGGGTGGGCAATGCCGAATAAATGCTGATTACTAAACACACAAGTTATGGTCCATTACAGATACGTTTTTCAGAGATGCCAGTGCAGGGCCTGGCCGGGACGGCTAGTATGTATATATAGAGTGATTATCCATTTTTTCCCTTGTAGCCAATTGGGGGTCCGATCTTTTTTTTTATTCGCCTCTTCTTTCATGTGTTGCCTTCTGTGTTTTCTACCTCTGTTAAATAACAGTCATGATCAATTATAATATTGTCAATGTCTCTAATATAATTCATTCTTCCAAACTGCAGAACCTTTTTGTGGTTTGGGATAGGGGGCAAACCTTTCTCTTTCCATTTGTTTGGAACAGGAGGTTATGCGAGTTACCTTCAATGTCAACTTTGAAGTAATGTGACCGTTCTATTACGAAGGCGTGCGGCCAGAAATCACCTGCCCAATTTTTGCCTGTGTCGACTCTTGGGAGAAGTAACTGATCCTTCCAGTTCGGATACATTCTTCATTATTCTAATCACCATGTCTGTGTTGAGGGGTGGGGAACCCATTTTAGGTCCATTTTTAGCCTTGACACTTTAAGTGTATAATTCTGGTCAGCTGGTTGTCCTTGCCCTGAGACTGATTAAGCTTGGATGGGGCCCCTTAAGAACGTTTTCAGGAGCCCTGCGACTTTTGTGAAGAGCTGTAGCATATAGTCAGTTATTAGCAGTGGTGACACAAGGTCGACTAAGAGAGTTACCACCCCACCCCCGTGTGCCCCCCCCCCCCCTCTGCCCCCCCCCCCACCTCCTCGAACAAGTTGGCACTTTTGATTGGTTTTACCCCCTCTCAACCACGACATGTATTTTATTTTTTTACTGGATAAACCGATTTTTAGAAAGTAAATGTTGAGATATTTTTATTTGGTGTCACCCCCTAATTGATGTCCCCCGGTGCATTATGCACATCTCCCCACCCGCATTGTGACAATCGATTATTCAAATGTCACTGGATATTATGTTATATATTGAATAAAATACTATTCGATTGTAAATATTACTTATGCTTAGTTCAGCTTATTACAAAGTAAGCTACAAAGTACGTGTATTAAAAGGTGCAATCTGTCTTAAGCAGATATTTGGATCTATCTGTCTCACGCGAATATTTGGTCCAATCTGTCTCACGCAGAAATGTGGACCTATCTGCCAAACGTCGCCCGAAAGTGTCGAGTCATTAGAAAGGTCTCACACTCTGTACCAGGAAATAACTAATCTAAATCATGCAAATACTTATCAGTTTATCAAGCACGTTTTTAACACTAGACTATATATACATTTTTATTTACCTAACTTGGAAGAAGTGGCGATAAGGGCTATCGATCAAGTAAACGTTTTCAAAAACAAAATTATAGTATAATAAAGAAGAATTTAGTTTCCGTTGAAGTGTCACTTGTTAGGACATTATTTACAGAATAGAAGACGTTCAACTGTAACATTACTTATACTTATCAGATCTCTTTATTAGAAACCAAGCTGTACATAAAAGAATAGGAGTTGGTCAATTCGTCTACCAAGAAGCACTTTTAGCTCAAGTCATTAGGAACTATGTATCTCTTTTGTCAAAAGAAATACATGCAATGAATGAAATCCTCCTTTGCTATCCAATCATTTTAATTATGACAACTACTTTTTTAGAGATTTATTATGCACGAGCGTATCTAGAAAAGCCGAAAAGTCCGCAGCATAGATATATAAGGTCGAATGTGTGACGTGTATCACAAAATTGTCATTTCATTAAGGGGGAGCGGTAACCTCATGGCAATGGTAAAAGGTAGTATGACACCCCAATGTCAAGGATAACAAGTGAAAGTAAACTTAATAGTAGCAATCTGAGAGTTTGATGACTACGCTACAACTCAATTTTCGCAGTTTACAGCCTTAAACATTTTAATGACCAGGTCGATGACCACTTGTCCATGGCAAGTTTACGGCCGGTTAATAAAAATTAATAATCAGGTTCGATGACTTCAGGTCAATTCAATGCCAACAGTTCACGGCCTGCTGTAAAATAAAACAATAAGTTACTTAAAACACAAAGTTTATTGCAAGAGTACAATTTAATTTATTATATTTTTGAAAGCTTATAAATTTAATCATAGACATATTTTTTTATTGTTACCAATGTAGTTATTACTAATTAGAATAATACACTAAGTAAATGATAATGATGCAAAACCAAGCACGTGGGAGTAAGGCAGACGGCCCTTAACTCTGCGTACGAAACTCATTCACACATTCAAAAGAAAAAAGATTCAGGTTTTCCTCCGCTTAAAATACACCTTTACTTTTGCATATCTCGTGACTAGTCCCTTCATCGAGACTGGACAGTGCGTTTGATGTAGATGTGTTGGTCAAACGAATGATATGATTGAACGCTAAGTCAGATGACCAATGATCTGTGCGCTGAAATAACTTACAGATAGTAAAGAGGTAGGGGATAAGAATGCTGTTAACTGGTAGGGTCGTAGACAAGGCAGGATGGCGGAATAACCATTTTACAGTCACACCTCAGTCCCCTTCAAGTTCTCAATAGTAAAAGTGTTATCTTCCCCAGCCCTACACATGTAAAGGTCATCGAAATAGATTAAATCTATTTTCTTACACATCTAATCTAAAAATAGAACCAACAATTAAACCATTTGACGCATATTTAACACTGCATTATATGCGTTAAGAAAAATAATAACTTGTGAGATATAACACAGAATATTGTGAAATAAAAACGGTATTCAAAATTTAGAATTACATGAGCATTCGAAGATCGCTAGAATAAACTAACACTTCCTTGACCAAACCAGATCAATCAAATCTAATTGTTTAAGTGTCACTTGCTATGCGAGCATAAAAACGTACAGCTGTAAATATTATATACATACAAGTATATATATATATATATATATATATATATATATATATATATATATATATATATATATATACATATTGGCTGTGGCGTCGCTAGATCGAGTGTCACCTGGTGCGGCACCATTGGTGTTACCCTCTCCTCTCATTTGCCAAATGGGGTTTACTTGTGCGAAAATTATATTAATGCTCCTATTAACGCATGTGGAAAAAAGGTACCCCCACACTCACCTCGTGACGCCTTTGTATATTGGTTTTCTTTAGGCTTTCTGTATTTTTGTTTTTGATAAGACTAATGTGAAAAACAGCAATAAAATAAATCATACTTTAACAAAATCACCAGAGTTAAATTTAATACATATTACAAAAAAATATTTATAAAGATTATAAATAATACAATTGCTTTATTTTATACACAATACGCAACGAATATTCATGGAATGGTTCGTGCAATGTGGCAATGTATTTATTTAATTTTGAAAATTAATATAAGCAAATAAAAAAATTAATGTCAATACATGAAATAGCATTTAATGTCAAACTACTTGTCATTTCTAATTGCATGTAGTAGAAGTGTCCAGAAAGTTTGGTTATTTCTGTAGACCAGACACCTGTACAGCTGATTCCTTAAATAAGTTTCTACTTCAGGTGGGTATGTATTCAAGTCGACCCTCTCAACAAAGACAGGAACGATAACCTGACCTCGTACATTGAACTCTCGCATGATGGCCAGGTTCATCTCATACTCTCGGTAGTGATCCAAGAAAAGATCTTCAGACAACAAGACCAGCGTTTTTCTTGTGCCAGTTATAGCTCCACTGATGTGTGACACCATGTCCCCACCTGGAAAGTCCACTTCTCCTAAAATGTAAGAGATGTTCTTCTCTTTCAAGAATGGCAGGATAATATTTTTAAGGATCTGTCGGATTCTCGGTTCACCCTGTTGAAAATATACAATATGGAAACAACTTTTACGAACAACATTGGACATTGACTTTTACTAGCATTATTGGGCAATTATTTTTTTAATGCTACTAACAATATGTCGATAAATATAAAAGCAACATTTTAGTAATAATACATTTAGTTGTTAAAAAAAGACATAGTATTTTGTAAATTAATTGTAGATTAATTGTCATTTTAACATGATTGTTTAGTCTGAAATGAAGTAAAAAAAATAACAACGTAAAAATGTTATTTATAGTTGATCCACTTACTATTTTTCTTTTAAGACAAAATGACCACAAAATGTTATATATATATATATATATATATATATATATATATATATATATATATATATATATATATATATATATAATGCTTGAAAAAATGTTAACCCTCCTTGAGACGATCCTGGCTACGCCACTAAATTGCATGACTAAATCTAATGTGCACCTAATGACCGTGATAACGCGCGTATAATAGTGAGGAATAATTGGATAAAACTGCCTACTAATTTGAATACAATTTTAATTTATTCATAAAAAATTAATTAGGCTTCCAATTAAGTTATATTTAATGTCAGATTGCATTGTCTTCGTGTCTTAACCCACGTGCCAACATAGAAACGAATCTGTCGGTTAGAAGTGCCCGATATTTCGCTCGAGCGTTTTGATCTATGACGGACAGACTGGCGAAAGACAGACAGAGGAAGCACGTATTTTTAGTTTCTTTAAATATAAAATAATACATTGCTATTTAAATAACTTTAAAGAAAGGCGTGGGTCACTTCCTAAATATTAGTAAAACGTATCCAATAGATAATATAGTGACCCACGCTTTTCTTTATAGTTATTTAAATAGTAGTGTATCATTATATAGTTAAAGAAACTCATTTATTTTCTACTTTTAAACTTTTAAACAAAATGTTTCCATTAAACATTATAAAATGAATTACATTTCAGTATTAGTTTAGTACTTTTAATTTACCTCATCATAAGTGATGAAGACATCAACCTGTGGGTTGTAGTTGACCAAACGTCCACCGATGTGCAGCCGCCGTTGACCAATAAAGTAGAGGTACCTCAGCTTCCAGCGGTAATGGAAAAACACGGCCAGAACAAGCAAACACAGGAGATGGATGAAGAATGTCGTCAACACAAAGCTAAAGTTATCTTTTATTTGACAGTTTTGTGTGAGTCTTGGAAGTTGTGCGACCATCTCCGTGTAGTTTAAGTCCAAGTTGTTGTCTGTTTTAAACGCCATTTTATCTACTTGGTCAAACAACTGTGGGCTGTTGGCTAACAAACGTAGACTTTGAATGTATGTACAAGTCAGATGAAACTCGTTGTTTTGTAAATTTATTAAAAACTCTGGATTGACTAATTTTAATCTGGTCAGTTCTTTACACATTTCGTCTGATAAGCCAGGCAAACGATTATACGATAAGTCTAAATATGTCATGTTCAAATGTCTCAGTGTGGACGCCTCAAACGATGTCAAATAGTTCTCACCTAAAATGAGCTTTTTAAGAGTTTTTGGAAAGTAGTAGGCTTTTGGTATGAACTCTATTTTACATTTTTTTATATCTAGTTCCTTGAGATTTACCAAATGAGTTTTTAGGCAATTGTCGTTCACAATACTTGTACACAACGTACCGATTGGGGTATTTGAAACGTTTAGTACGCGAAGATTGTTCATGCCTTTAAACATAATGCAGATACTATTGGAAAATTCAACATTATCAGAAACATCCAAATATTCCAAATTAGTTACACCACTTGATTCCGAATGAGTTTGTTTTCTATGCCTGGCTTTGTTCTTCTTGAGGGATCTGCAAAACATGTTTGCATTTGGTATCAATGGGCAGACAAAGGATTAAGGGGTATACTCCACTTTGTCTTAATTAATATTATAGGAATCATTATGTCAAATTGTATTTTACAAGGATTACAAAACAGATTGTGTTGCGTTCATTGGGTTTTTTTTTTTTATATAGTATGTATATTTTGTTTGTTTTTTGTTTTTGTTTAGAGTGAAAAATTGTTTTGTTTTGTCGGCCTACACTGTGTGTGTTTTCTTTTTCTCTCCCCCCCCCCCCCCTTCCAGTGAGGTTGCTTGTGCGACTTGGCTTGGTGTTTTGTTTGATGTAAAAAGTTTGTTTTGTTATATATAAATTGTTTTGTTTCGTTGTGTTCTGTTTTGTTATATCTCTTGAGTGTTTTTTTGGTCTAGATCTGAATCTAGATTCTAGTTTTTTATGTAAGTTTTGGTTCCATATTTTTGTGAAATAAATTTTATTAATTGTTAAAGTTTTTGTTTTATTTTAGTAGTTTTTTTATTTAGACTAAGGATAAGATATAACCACCGTGGGTTTCACCACGGTTGCACTGACCCGGACAGTTAGATAGATTTTAGGTACCCCCCCCCCCCCTAGCAGGGCTTACACATAGTTAAAGAAACTCATTTATTTTCTACTTTTAAACTTTTTAGTGCATCATTACATAAAAGCTTGTTACTAAAACGTTTCATGATTTTTTTTAATGAATTTTTTTTACAAGCTTTTATTTAACTTGCCTTCTCTGTCTGTTGTCAGTCTGTCTAAATCGAAATTTAGGGGAGATCCCATTCGCTTTATTAGCTTTGACATAGAAAGCTAAACGTTACTCTTTATCACTAAAAAATAATGATTATCGAGCAATCAAGCTATTACGGGGGGGGGGGGGGTAAGACAAAACCACTTACAGTAAAAGACTTGTATCGTATTGAGATTTCAGCTCTAATCGCTTCAGTGAGTTTTCGGGTGTATTCCGTAAAGCACGAATGAAGGAGAAAACGGAAATAAAATTATTATTTAAACGAACATTCTCTAACATTGGCGGAAATGTGGAAAGCTCAGTGGCTGATTTAAACAGAAGTCTGTTTTCTACCATATTTAAAACTGTTATATTTGTTTGTTCAAACTGAGCCAGTACGTCTGCTAAGTTGTAATACTGCCGAGCTGGGTCAAATTTGAGATAGTTCAACTTCAGCTTGGTGATTGCAGCGAAACTTTGAATAGAGTCTAAAATTTGCTGTAATGTGAGTTCAGTGGCGCTAAGATCCAGCATTGAAGAATGTGCTTGCAACTCAAATGAGCTTTTCGTGAAGTTTTTGATAGGGCAGTAATTCATCCAAATGGAAATATCTTCCTCAGTTCGAATATTTTTTAAATAGAAATCACCTAAGGCTGTAATGGAGCAGGTATATTGAAAGTCAATTAGTTTTATGCGATTAAGTTTTTGAAATCCTGGTCCCAATTTGCAGTTTGTCCCGATTAGGTTTAATGTTTTTAGATTAGTAAGCTCCGAAAAGGCCTTGTCAGGATAACACACGGAAGATGACCAAGATCTGTAACGGTTAGAATCTGTAACACAAATTTTTGTTATTCGATTATATTAAAAAAACTAGGTGTTAACGTCATAAAAGTAGACGAAATTTATCGTATAAGTATTACATTATATGCAGAGGTTTCTTTTAATATTTGAACGATTTCCGGTAACAGGAAGTGGGAATCTACTCCATTCCAGAGGGAACACTATAACATGAGTTGTGTTTCAGTTAGGTGGACGAAGTTTGATACATAAGTATAAGATCTTATTAAATGGTGTCTGTAAAATTTAGAGTGATTTCCGGTAACCGGAAGTAATGCTTAACGCTATTTTTTATTTTTTTTTAAAATAAGTATTTGATAATTATATAGCCTATCACAATTTTGTTTAAAGCACCATATTCTAAGAACTTTTCGCGTTTACGTTTTCACAAAAAACGAACGGGATTGTCACAAACTTCTATATTTTTAAAGCTAAATTACACTAAAGTACTATTCAAATCCTTGCCTGCCTGCCTGCCTGCCTACCTACCTACCTACCTACCTACTTGTCTACCTATCTATCATTCTGTCTGTCTGTCTGTCTGTCTGTCTGTCTGTCAGTCCGTCCGTCCGTCCGTCCGTCCATCCATCCATCCATCCATCCATCCATCCATCCATCCATCCATCCATCCATCCATCCATCCATCCATCCATCATTAATTTATTAATTTTATTTATTTATTGATATATAGATCTATATAATATGGGCGGAAGATTTTTTTAAGCTAAAGATAAAACCTTACCTCTTCCGATGTTGTATATAGGTTCAACTTTGTACATTATTTCTTTATTTTTTCTTTCATCTCTAATTAGGAAGGAAAAATCAACCAATTTCTTCAGGCCTTGAAAAGCTTCGTCTGAAACGTTGAACATCTCATATTCTTCAATTATTAACATATTTAAATTTGTCAAACCAGAGAAAATACCTGCCTTTAGGCTTTGTAAACCGTTTTTTTCCAGAGTAAGTTTTTTTAAGTTCAAGAGATTTCCGAAAAAATTCACAGGCAATTCTGTAAAGTAGTTTTGCGTCAGAGTGAAATCTCGTAATGAAAATTTTTGATCTCGAAAATAGTTCTCGCAAACATCAACATCCAAAATACTCCAAAGAGTTAAGCTTTGTAGATGAATCAAGTTGTCAAATGCAGAACAGTTTAGAATTGTTGTATAACATCCATCTATTTCTAACTCTTTGACAGAAGACGGGAATTGAGGTATATTATAAAGACAACTACAAGCTATCCTATTTATCACTCCGTCTTTGTAGTCACAGAGACAATTATCTGGGCAGATTAATGGCTCATCTTGTAGGTCTTTGCTACAATTCTTAAATAAACCGAGCTTACTTTTATAAACTAAGAAGTCATCGTTTAACCCGGGGCTAGAATCTGCCTTTGATATGAAAATTAACAAATCCAGAAATACGAGAAAAAATAGTGATTTCATGGTGTATTCCTTAATGAAAGTTGTTAATGGTTTTACAGCATCTTTATTTTGTTTTTTTAACAAAGTAGTAGAAGCACAGCAGAAAAAACAAGTGACTAACTTAGCAATTTTGCTACTCGTTGGTCTCGAGTGTTTGTGTCAACGTCAATATCCTGCTTCGTTTTTTATCTTGATGAACGGTAAGGGAACTTTTCTTATAAACAACTTCATAAATATAGAAGGAAAAAAACAAAAGCTTATTTTATGTATAGAAGAAGTAAAAATCTCGACGTTTTGCACCTTCCGGAGTCGGAAAAAAACAATTTTGCAATCGTGTCTGCAAACACGATTACTTTGAGTACTGTTTCACTTTCAGTTTAGCGGACGAAAACTTAATATTTAAGTATTAGTATTCGTATTTAAGTATTAGATCCTATTCATAGGGGTCCAAAATTATTACATGTGCTTTAGGTACAGCCATATTTTTGCGTAATTTTTTAAAGTATTAACGTAAATCTTTTCCTTGGTTGATATCGTTTATACAATAATGTTAGGTGAATCTTCCTTAATCCCTAATCAAGTGTAGTCTTTTATTGTATAGTGGCGTGACAGATCAGCCTGGGTCAGGGGATGATGTGAACAACAAATATATAACTTTTTAAAAAAAGCAACTTGCCAATGGTAAAACGTTTATTATGGAGGTAATAACTATGACGGTAAACAACACCAAAAATAGATGAGTAAAATACAGTTTAAGACTAAGACACGTTGATAAAATAAACTGTTGTAAATGCATTACAGTATCATGAATTTGGATTCTAAATAATAATAGTAATTTAAATTGTTTGTGCTTGGATTCAAAATATTAATAATATTTATATTTGTATGATTTATTAAAGATTTATTACAAAAAAAACCTTTTGTTTAAAAATCAAGTGTATTCAAACACATGAAAGATTTTAATTATATTTATCAAGTGTCCCAAAAATACTGGCCTATATTTTATAAATGCAGCCCCAAAAAAAAAAGCCTAAACCAGGAGATAACCTACACATCTGGCAAATCTGCCTTAAATTTGAAAAAGGAAGCAGAACTTTTCAATTTACCTGGCAACTTCTTTCCCACAAGAATCTCTATTGATATCTTAGTATAGTTATTCCCAGTCATCAACTAAAGGCTTCCACTAAAACAAGACCTCTAACATAAACAGCTATCAGAAAAGCTTAACAGTATAAAACAATGGTATTATGGTCGACATAGAAAACATATATCAGTGACTGCCTGATAGATACGAGCCCATAAACTGGCTGTGAAATCTACCCGTGTCTTCACTTCAGCAGGAGCTAAAATAAAATTTGTAGAGAGAGGGTAATGCCCAGATCCAATTACTCTTTCACCAAAAAAAAAACTGTTCCTCAAAATCTAGATACAAATTTCAAGACAGATATCACAAGATATAGAGAAATAAAAATAATCTTACACAAAATGTCTACAATGTGTACACAAAATGTCCTTTGAAGGCCATGTATTACAATATGAGGGCACAAAGCCATGGATTACAATACAAGCGTATATGCTATGTATTACAATACAAAGGTTTGTTTTGCAATAAAGCATAACAAGCCATATGGTGTATTACAAGCATACAAAATGTGTGTATTACAATACAAGTATACAAAGCCATGTACTACAATAGATTCATTTAAAACCATGTATTAAAATACAAGAGTACAAAGCCAGGTATTTTAACACAACTGTACACAGCCATGTATTAAAATACAAGCCTATAAAGCTATGTATTACAAGTGTACAAAGCCATGTATTTTAACACAAGTGTACATAGCCATGTATCTTAACACAACTGTACACAGCCAAGTATTAAAATACAAGCCTATAAAGCTATGTATTACAAGTGTACAAAGCCATGTATTTTAACACAAGTGTACATAGCCATGTATCTTAACACAACTGTACACAGCCAAGTATTAAAATACAAGCCTATAAAGCTATGTATTACAAGTGTACAAAGCCATGTATCTTAACACAAGTGTACATAGCCATGTATCTTAACACAACTGTACACAGCCAAGTATTAAAATACAAGCCTATAAAGCTATGTATTACAAGTGTACAAAGCCATGTATCTTAACACAAGTGTACATAGCCTTGTATCTTAACACAAGTGTACGTAGCCATGTATTAAAATACAAAAGCATACAAAGCGATGTATCTTAATGCAAGTGTACATAGCCAGGTATTAAAATACAAGAGCTTACAAAGCTATGTATAACAATACAAAAGTACATAGCCATGTATTACAATACAAGCGTACAAAGCTACAGCTAGTAGATTAAAAAAATTACTAAGTTAGAGAAGCAAGCAGTAAATCAGTGTATAAAATATGGCAGACATTGTAACATACAATAGACTAAACAGGGGGGGCTGCTCAAATGGGTGGGTGAGGGTGGGGGCTGATTAAAGTTGGGGAGGAGGGATGGGGTCATCTGATCAATGGAGGAGGGGGGAATGATTCATTAAAGTGGGGGAGGAGGGGTGGGGGTCATATGCTCAATGGGGGTGGGGTGTGGGGGGGGGGGGCGCTAGCTGAATAAGGAGGGGGAGGAGGGGTCAGATAATCTGCTCAATGGAGGAGGGGGGAATGATTCATTAAAGTGGGGGAGGAGGGGTGGGGGTCATCTGCTCAATAGGGGAGGGGAGGGGGGGGGGTTGAATAAAGTGGGGAAGGAGGGTGGAGGGGGGTCAGATCAAAGTGTGATGTCAGCTAATTGTAGGTATAGTGGAGATCTCAATATGATCAAAGTGGAGAAGTCTGGTTATTGAAGTGTGGGGTCATCTATTTTAAGTGGATTGTAGGGATGGGGGGGTCATCTGCTCAATGGGGGGGGGGTTGAATAAAGTGGGGAAGGAGGGTGGAGGGGGTCAGATCAAAGTGTGATGTCAGCTAATTGTGGGTATAGTGGAGATCTCAATATGATCAAAGTGGAGAAGTCTGGTTATTGAAGTGTGGGGGGTCATCTATTTTAAGTGGATTGTAGGGATGGGGGGAGGGTTATTTGATTAAACTGATGGGGTTAAGGGGTTCATCTAACCAAAGTGTGGCAGGTAATTGCATAAAGTACAAGGGGGGTCAGCTGCCTGAGTGAAGTTGTGGGGGGGGTCAAAAACTAAATAACAGGGATTATGTAAATATTTTCTCAGTTGAAAGGGGTCGTGCGTGTACACAAATTTGAGGATCCCTACAGTAAACAACACCCTGACGTGCCCTCAGAGAGAGCCAGCCGCGCCCTGAGCCCAGTAGGACGTGGTCCTAAATGACCACCAGTTGCAGAAATTGTATTGCACAACTCACCAGCAGTCTACATGTTCATATTATGCAGTTAGGAAAGTACACAATAGTTTAAGAAAACAAACTTGTTATTATCATGTTAGGCCACACACAATATAATAATAAATAACTTGATATAAACAAATATTTCTTTCTTTCTAGTTGAATATTAAATCTATATTGTAGTGAATATCTCAAGCTAACCAATACGTTATTCATAAATCATCTACTGATATAGTTGTATGAGAATACCTGATTGATAGTGGGTACATGTTGACTAACAAGGAGGACTGAAGCTTTTAAAAAGGTTATACTTTATTATACCCGTGTTTAAAAAAATAGGCTTTTGGGGACACCAATTGTCCACAATAGTTAATGGAACAATTCATGAAAAAAAAATGTAAAAAGATGTGTATTAAAATATTTTTAGTTGCAAAAAATGTCAAAAATAAAAAAAGGTTTTTATACTACAATTTTTTTTTTATAATTTTAAGTTTTTTAACTGAAGCTAAACACAGTTTAAAGTATGTGATTTTAAAATAAAACAAATTATGCTTTTTTGTTTTTTAATCTAAAAGACTACTGCATAGACTGGTTATCTATACAAGTAAAATAAAAAAATCCAACATGTAGAACAATTGATAATCCCTGAAAATTAAAGTAACCAGCGAAGAAATGAAACTGTTTTCTATAAACAACAACGTGACTTTTCTCAATGACCTTGACCATGAAAATGATATTTATGAATTCTCCCTGAGATCTAGTTCTTACAATTTTTTTAAATTTATTAAAAATAAATATTTATTTAAGATATTCTGAAATGAGAATAATTATTATAAAAATGTAGAATGATTATTGGCATTAAGAGACCTGAACCAATCTGAAATTTAACGAAGGAACAAAAAATCTGGATGTATAGATCACAATTAATAAAATAATGTAAATATAGATATATGTACAGTGGTGAGGCATGTTCTTCTCTATGACAAGTATTGTATATTATAGAAAAACAATTACGCAAAAGAAATATATTGTTAAAGTAATAATAATAAAAAATTTGAGGTATCAAAGCAGGAACAATGACAAAAACTTCTTGTCAGTTGGCCAAAGGGCTATGGTTACCCTGGCCCAATGTGTCAAAATACTGACCTAAAAATCTTTTGTAAATGAGGGGGGAAAAATATATATTTTGGCTTTAGGAGATTTCTCCTCTATATAGATTGTTGTAATTTCTTTACAGGAAATAAATTTTAAAATTTTAAAAGTGTACTTTGAACAATATTAAATTATTATTGGATTATTAGCTGGCCAATACACATGTATATTTCAAATATTATACGTCATAAAAGTTTTTTTTTTTTTTTAAATCAAGGCCTTTAAAGTCTCCACAAGGAAACAAAAGCTATATAAGAGGTAGGCTGTAACCATAAAGATACAAATTACACATTGAATAAACTATATGGTAAATACATGTAAAACACACATTTGATCAGACAAGTGTATGGGCTACAGAGTTAGTATAGAGATAAATGATGTTAGATACACACTTGTATAGAAATCAAAAATAAATTTACAATTTCATGTCAGACAAAATAAAAAGGCAAATCAAAATGGCTGTTGCACTTGGATAGAAACTCCCTGAAATGTTATTTGTGTATACCCAATATATAGCAACACCATCATGTATACTTTGGTGGACAGCAACAGTAATTTAGAGGTTATATGGGTACATTTCATACTCACACAACTTACTGGAGCAACCCATATTTTGACCCGGGTGACCCCTACAGATCTCTTACAACCCAGGTTACATCAGAAACAACACTAACAACCCAAGTAACCAACCCATAAGCAGACCCGGGTGACCCATACAGATTTACAACCAGTAACGTTAAAAACAACACAAACAACCCAGGTGACTAACTCATAAGTAGACCCGGGTGACCCCTACAGACTCAACAGATCTCATATACGCAGGTAAATCAACATACCTGAAATACACACCAGCCAGATAACTGTTACATATAATGTTCACCCAGGTGCCCAAATACATCCAGGTAACCCTTACATATAGCTTACATCTAGATAACCTTTGCACATAGCTTACAATTACATCCAGGTGACTCTTACTTATAGCTTACATCCAGATGACCTTTGCACATAGCTTACAATTACATCCAGATAACCTTTGCACATAGCTTACAATTACATCCAGGTGACTCTTACATATAGCTTACATCCAGATAACCTTTACACATGGCTTACAATTACATCCAGGTGACCCTTACATAAGTGCACTCATGTCGTCCTTACATAATATGCACATCAAAATGACCTTGACATACCCTAAGTAACATCAGCTGCCCTAACATCAAGAATGCTTACACAAGAATTACAGGTAATAAACCAGCAAACATAAACACAATCCCAAAACACCAATGTATACATGTAACTTTAAAGGACAATGTTAGTATAAAAATTTCATTAGTATTTGCTCAAAATCCTCTTTATGTACGTGAAAAATAGAATCACATTTTTATTGAAGATTAAACATTAAAAAGTTAAAGCACAAACAACTTTTCATTATCTCAAACGTTTTTCCCACCTTTGTAGAATACACTTTTTGTAACATCGCAACCTAAAAGGCATCCAAAAAAAAATAAAAAAACTGTACCCAGTTCATAAAGCATGTTCACATGTACAAAATTCAGATCTTTAAAAAGTCCAAAATTCATTTGTTTCTTAGAAATGTATAAAGCTTATACATATATCTAAAAACATGGTATTTTATTGCAAGGTATTTATTAACATTCTAAACATACAAGTCAAATATTAATTAAACATTTAACACAATTCATTAGGAGGTATAAATTTGTATTGTTGTAATTAAGAATTAGGAATAGATTTCTGTCAGTGTAAAATAAATACTTGCATTTCATGCTAATAGAGGTAGTAAATCAGTTTTAACTATGATATCAAAAATATGACGAACAATAAATACACCTATAGGTGTTCATCAAGTGAAGTAGATATTACCTGCTTTGGTGGCCTTTCGCCATTCAATGAAATGCATACCTTATAATAACTGTGTGAACTGTTGTCCAGGGGGGGGGGGGGGAATCTAGGTCGTAACTATGGCATTTATCCCTGGGTTTCAATGCTTTGTAAACAATCAACTACTCGGTCCAGCAGCTCTTCAATAATAAGTTCAATAATCAACCTGACCAAATAACAGCTAATCCAAAATTTGTATAATTTAACATTGCTTCAAAGGTGATTTTAGTTCATTTTTTAAAATTCTCTAAAAAAAAGGTTAATCTTAGTTAAAAGTATACATTATAAAATAAACTAGTACCCAAGTGCTAGGTAAGGTACCCACACAAAAATTGACAGCACTAAGCTGTCCACCAGAAGCAAATCTACCAGCGCCCTTTATAACTAACTTTCATAGTGAACACATCAAAACAACTATCAAAATTAAGATGCATTGTGAACATTTTTTTTTTTTAATTTGTCAGTTTTTGAAAAATTTCAAAGAAAAATATTCTGCCTTAATTAAAATCTACAAATTGATTTAATGAAAACAACATACATCTAAAAAAAGTAGTTAGTAAAAAAAATAATCTGTTAATGCATTTTCTTAGGCAATGACTATCTTATGTTAATTATAATTTACCAGCTTTTTTGGTACTTGTACAACTGCTGACAGTAAACAAAGTATCAACTGATTTTTTTTTTTTACCCTTATTGCTATTAGGTTTATGAAAAGTGTTAAGAGGTAGCATTATGGTTAGGGTTATGGCAAGGTATATAGTAGCTGAGAGTAGGACATTACCCCCACCCCTCCCAAGGTCGATCACCCGTCTCTTATATATTGCTCCACACAGAGCAAATCAAAAGTGGTAAATGAGGTGAAAAGTCTAATTCCCAAAATGTGATGGCACCACTTGGTAAATTGTATATTTGTACTCATGTTTGTAAATTTAGTTTTTGTTGTAAATAACAAGCATTCTCCAGGGTTGGTAAAAGACCAAGAGGGGGGGTGTAAATGACCTAGAGGTAATGGCCTGGAGGAGGGGTGAAAATACCACAGGTAACTGACACTACTGACAGGGGGTAATGTCCTAGATGTGATTAGGGTCAGAGCTAGAAAAATGCTGGTGATTACAGCAATCATTTTGATACACCTTTCCAGGTGTCATGAAAGTACCATGAGTTCCTGGAGTCTGCACACAAACATTACCCTATCTGATCCCTGATGAACAAGCTGGACCTAATGCATCATCTGGTCAAGCTGGACCTAGTGCATCATCTGGTCAGGCTGGACCTAGTGCATCATCTGGTCAGGCCGGTGCTGCTGGTTGACAAAATGCAGGTGGAAGTCGTTCCTGTCAGCGCAGATCTTGTGGCAGATGCTGCACTGCCAGGGGCTCATCTCACCGTGCAGGGACTTGTGCAGGAAGTACAGGCCCCGCTCCTCAAAGCTGATGCGGCAGTGCTGGCAGCGGTACAGCCTCCCTTGGGACTCGTAGTAGATGAGCAGGTCCTCGAGGGAGGGCAGCTCTCCTGGTAGGCTGGTGTTGTTGTACTGTGTCCCTATTTCTCTTGTCAGCTGAAAGGGATTAATGGACAATACAAGATCATTTAACAGTCATTAATGATGATATAAACATAGCTGGAAATCAACTTTGATTAAGAGTGATGAAGAATCAAATTTAATTTTTATTGCTATTGACAATAGTATAAAAATAGCAGGAAATGAACATTAGGCACAGTTATTCAGCGTATAATTCAATAATGAACTTTCAAACTGGTGTTATAGGTTGATAGGTAATAAAATATAGCAGAAACACCTTAAAAGTTAAAAGTATTTGAAAAATCTTCAAGCAATAAATACTGAGAACCAAAAACGAATTTTTATACTAAAGTTTAACAACACTAAACTATGTATATTGTATTTTCTCTTTTTCATCAGTAGCAAACATCAAAATTATATTATAGTTTTTCTAATTATCATTCTCTAATGTCTTATTATTGTGGTAATTATGATTATATAATCATCTGTATTGTCTTATTATTGTGGAAATTTAGATCATCTAATAGTCTGTACTAATGTTTGAAGATATGTATACTATATAAATAAGACTTACTTTTGGTTTGCTAATATTGACATGAAGTTCTGGTATTTCTTGCGATCTCTGCACCAATCCTTGTAGGGATGAGAAGAACTCAGACAAGTTGCTGGTCGAGTCAGCGATGGATCTAACGTGTTCTGGGGTTGGCCCGCCATGCCGCATTGAACCTAGAGGGTTCATAGAGTTCATGGAATTGGCTCTACGATTTGGAGGTAGAAATCGAGGGTTGGATGCAACATGATATTTATTCCCAATCATATCCATTCCGAGAATCGGGGACGTATCTTTACGGCCGGTGGTCATTGAGAGTGGGCTCCCTTGTTCTGGATCGGAAGGGTTTGAATATGACCGAGCAAGAGCTGATGAAAACGGAGGTAGACGATTCTGACCACGAGACAGGCCAATGGATGAGTTGCTGATTGTTGACGTCGGGGAGCCATGATTGAAATGATGGTGATCTCTTGAAGACGGGGAGGCAGGGGGGAAATGGTGGTGGTCTGGGGGGAATCGCACCCCTCCAGGGGAGAGGGGCTCCTGCTTGACTTGCTGCGAGCCTTCACTGGTGTGGTGGCTCTGGCCGCGGCTGGCCAGCTGGGAGCAGATGGTGTCGATACGCCTCATGGCATCCGAGTCCATGTTCAGGGACATGTGTCCGGGAGATTTGTCGGGTGAGGTCAGGGTTGGACTTGGTAAAGACATAACCACCTGCAGAACAATATAAAAATAAGCAACTAACATTAAGTATTTGATTGGGGTAATCACAATATTTATGATTACTAATAAATTTAGCATACCAATCACATTAGACAAAGTGACTTCTTTGGCTACTAAACTATCATTCAAATCTGAACTTTCCTTTATTTACTCTTAAGCATTAAACATAACTCTCAATCTAAACTTCAAGTTAAAAATGTGTACTATCTGATATTGCTATTTGTATCAGAATAAACTGTAATTCAAGACTTAAAACTATTTTTCAAGAACAGAATTTTAAAAATGGTCTAATAAATACCTAAGCTCAAAACAACTACAAAAGAAATTCAAAGTATTTTAAGTCCCATTAACACATTTTTAATAGTTGTATGTGATATGCAAATAAATGCTGAGATATAGATGACATAGTTAAGTGAAATACACAGATTAAATAATGCAAGAGAGATAACATGAAATACAGATGACATGTCATACACAGATAAAATGATGTAAAACATGACATGGGTAACACAAATGTAATAGTGTGATACACAGATGACATAATGTCAAGCAGATGCCGCAAAATGACAGATAATGCTACCTGAGACGGTGGGTCCCCACTGTCACTGTCAAAGCTGGACGAGTGTCTCCTGGTGTCGTAGGTGAGTAGCTTGTGATTCTCCTGCAGGTGTTGGTTCAGTGCTTCAACATTTGTCGCAGTGAAAGGACACTGACTGCAAGCAGAAAACGCAAAGCATGAAAACATGTCTATAATTTTGTCACAATAAAATGACATACAAGTAGAAAACACAAAGCATGAAAGCATGTGAATAACTTTTGTCACAATAAAGGGACATTGACTACAAGCAGAAAACACGCATAAAGCATGTCTATAACACTTGGAAAACCACACTGCTTCCAATTAAGCAACGTTTTTTTTTGTAAATGTAATACTCTTCGTTGTAACCAAGAAACTACCCATAAATTAGTAACTCATGCCATGTATTAAAAGAGAGGTTATGCCACTTGGGCATGAGCCGTGTATTTACCTGCAGGAGAGAACATTAGCAGTGGGGTGAAGCTTCAGATGGCGCTGTAACTGTTCATCTCTGTCAAAGCGCTTGTTGCAGATGTAGCAGCAGAAGGGCTTCATGTGAAGGAGGCGATGTTGGAACAGATTGGAGCGAGCAGCAAACCTTTTGTCACACAGGGTACACGCGTAGGGTTTGATACCAAAATGGATGTTCTGAGGGAATAAACGCAGTCATTTTTTTCTGTTATTTAAGTATTACATAGAGTGAGTTGGAAAATTTGTTCTTTATAAGAAATCTGTTTTTTTTATTTTATTTTTAAATTAAAAGCAAACAAAGCTGATACTCAAAATTTAGTTTCCACTATTTGTCATATTATGTAAAAATAATTAGTTACATTATTACATAAGAACTTGTTTTTAATTAAGTTGATACATTACCTGGTGTTCCATAAGAATGTTTTTATATCCAAAACGTCGGTGACAAATGTTACACTCAAATGGTTTTTTCTTCTCATGAGTCAGTTGGATATGTCTTGTAATAGCAGCTTTGGATACAACCACCTAGAATGTGTAGAGAAAGTAAAGAAATAAAAGTGGACTTGATCAAGAGAAATAACTGGATTGATGAAACAAATATCACAAAGGGAAATAAATTGAGGCAGATCAAATAAATAAGAATGTGCTAATGGGGAATAGCTTTGGGCAAATCAAGTGAATGTAACAAGGGGAATAAGATCAACTAGCTGTAAGGAAGTCTAGAAAATGAAGCTGTACTTACTTTCCCACAAAGTGAACAGACATAACTATCTCCCTGTCTTGTGTAGGCAATGGATGATATGCTGGGTTCCCCACGATCTGCAGCCTGTGCATGAAAAGTTGAAGCTTAAAGGTTAATTAACTCTGAATAAATAAAATAAAAACTCATCAAATCAAATTTTTTACTATTTTAAGGGGAGAAAATATGATCCGCGCAAGTGGTTTCAAAATATTTTTTTGGCTTAGGTAAATATAATAATATTGTATGAATGGCTGAGAAAATTCATGTAATTAATTTGACTGCTGTACAAATGTGATGAATAACGAATATGATGAGGAACCTTACTTCTGATGGGCTTTGATGTGATGAATGTGACGATCCTTGCCCAGAGGTAGATAAAGAGTGTCTAGAATACATGGAAGTTGGTAACGAAAGATGACTGCTTGACCTGTAATCTGTTGTGAAAGAAAAAAATTTGAAATGTATTGAAATTTTTTTTTTAAAATAATGTTTTTTTTGTGAAAAATAAATAGGAAAACACATGTATATTATTATATATACACCAAATACACATGCGCATGCTAATGTTTTATAAATGAACCTGCTATGTTGATATGTTGAGATGACATACTCAAGGGTGTGTCAGAGCCTGGAGATGACATGGGGCCGCTATTGCTTAGATTTGCAGTCTGCGGCAGCATGCCGATCAGGTCACTTATGCTGCTGCTCCCTGAGGTCAGCTGCTGATGCAGCTGCTGCTGTTGCTGCTGTATTGACTGGTGTAGCTGCTGAAGGTGTTGGTCGTGCATGAGGTCTGGGCTCTGGCTTGGACCTTGACCTTGCGACCCAGACATTCCATGATCAGGATAAGGGTCCATACTTTAAGGGTTTTCTTCAACTTTTAAACAATTACCTGATGAATAATTATGTTAAACAAAAAAAAAAATTTATTCTTTGAAACATGTGATCATTTTAAAAACAAATAAATATTGCGGAAGTTAACATTTTAAATATATTTTTAGAATTACTATTATTCTATAGAAATGAATTTTTATTTATTTAACATAATAAAATTACTTACATAAAAAACGTTTACTTAGTAATGTTGTGACACATTCCATCATTGCTAAAAAAAAATGTAAGTTGAAGTTAAAGATCTTACTAGGAAGACTATTGGCTATCTATAAGTTAGTAAATTACTGATAAAGTAGTGAGGCCTAATAAATCCTAGACAATTTAAAACTACAGTATTTAGGCCTACATAATTCCCATAATAAAATTCACAAATCCTGTTCGATGGAACAATTTATTTTTTATTTTCTCACTAAATTTTTGTAAACTAAAATAATCAGTCAATCACAGATATATAGGTACACCTTTGTAAAAAATTAGGTACGTAAAATTGGCAGCGACTAGTAATGTGAAAAACAGGTGACTCCTTAAATTTTAAACATTTTGAGGAGGATTTATGTTTTGAAAAATACAAAAATGTTTCCTTATTTCATTTATGCACCTGTTTTTAAACAATTTTATTAAAACTTTTCAGTAATAAATGAAGACTAGCAATGTTTCCAACAGATGCAACCATGCTCATTTACTATAGCAGCCATCTTAAGTTTGTTTTTATGTAAACTTATAGTGCAAGATTCAGTGGAAGCCACTTTATTTTACAAATGGCTGCTGTTTATATAGCAAATCTTGCTCGCAAACAATGCTGTTTAATGTTAATTTCTGTCCTGTAGGCCTATTTGTTTTTATATATTTAGCCATTAGGCCTAATTTAGGTTTATTATTAATTTATAATATTTGACACAAATATAGCATAGTATACTTCTATTAAAGCCTTGACAATTAGCTAACTTTTTCGTACAATACTAGCCACTGGCGATTTTACGTACCTAAAACCTAAAACGATAGATTACCAAAAAAAACTTAGGTAAGGTAGGTTCTATATTTCTTGACTAATTAAGTGAAAATAGATCTAGACTAGTAAGAGTAAATGTTTTGAATTCCATTCCCAGTGCAGTTGAGTCTAATTAAATTAAGGCTTACTAAACTAAGTCAGGTAGATTTTATATTTATTAATTTGTAGAATTTTAAAATCTCCTCTGAATCTCTTATTGAGTGGTCTACATTTAGCCTATTTATCTTGATTAATATGACCTATGCCCAATTCACAGCAATGTTTGTAGCTGAATCTGAACATTTGTACGTATTAAGTTAAGTAATGGGAGCTTTTTAAAAAGAAAAGTAAGTTTGTTTATTTTACATAGCATTCCTAAATCTTTTGTTTCTAGATTTGATGTCAGCCATTTTGAAACCGGATGCAGTATCAAAGGTGCACTCTACAACAAATGCGGTCATATAGCAGAAAAGCAATCCCTTTTTTTTCACCACCTTAGTAGTGCAACTTCGGGGACAACTCCTTACTAAGTTTATTGAATCTACAAAATGTAGCCATTCAACAACCATTTAACCATACAGGACACTCTTGTGTGGGCATTAGTTGAGCAGCTTATCAGTAATAGTAATATTGAATTCACGTAGACAAGGCCTGTGTACTATGTAGTATGTGATGTATAACATCTGTGGCTGTATGCAGTGTTTTTTCCAGACTTTTTTCTCGGGGGGGGGGGGGGGGGGCGGACATTGTTAAAAGTATATATTTTCTATAAAAATTTCACCCCCCCCCCTCGAAGAGATACCTGGAAGAAACTCTGGCTGTATGTCATAAGTGATAGATGCAGTGGCGTAGCCAGGATCGTCTCAAGGGGGGGTTCCAATTTTTACCCTGGGACAAACTTTCGATTTGCACCCCCCTCAAACTTTCGATTTGCACCCCCTCTAATACTTTTTATATATACCGAGGGGTGTATGGGGGGGGGGGGTTATGACCCCCCCTGCCTACGCCACTGGATAGATGTACAAAATATTTAAATCCTGAAAAATCAAGTCTGCAAGACTTCACAGTTCACAGTTTTTACTTTTTATGTATCTATGTGCTAATAAAAAGAGTAGCAAAGTTTGTTGGGAGAAAAGGTACTCAGCATCTGAATTTTAAAACTTAAGTTAGAATATCATAATGGACACTCTTTAAATTTAAAAAAAAATGAAAAAAAAAGTTAAACGAAAATTTTTAATATCATTATCTTCGTTCGCGAATGTAATGTTGGATCCCGGTTAACAAACAAAACACCCAGTGTATTGTTCTGAGATGTGTCACCATTCTCAACTTTATCAGAAATTAGTTAAATAAAAATTCAAAATGTGCAAAGTCCAGCGAAACGAAATTTGGAATCTTAAAAATATAACAAAACATTGATTTTTTTATGGGCACTAGAGAGTAGATAAAGATCTAGAATTTAATTCTAGAATCTAGATCTATGTCTATTTGTCTACGCATACACAAGGCCTAATTAATTAATTAGACACTGATTTAAAAAAATCTAGGGGATCCAAATCTAGTAAATGTCGCTTTCAATTAATTAAGAAGTTTTGTTGATTAGGCCTATTTATTTTAATATTTTAAAATTATTATTTTAATATTTTTCATATGTGAAAAAAAAACTAAAAATGTATTAAAAATAAATAATGTAATTTTGTAATCACTTCTTACTCATTACTCCATAGTCATAGTCATTACTCATTACTTATTACTTACTTATTATTAATAAATTAATTTTAATAATAGAATAATCTGTCATATTCAATCTGAATAACTAAACTCTAACTAGATCTAAACTAAGTGTAAAAAAACAAAAAAAAAACGTTTTTCTTTTTATTAAAACCCTAATGAATTATTTAATTAATTATTTAATTAATTTCTAACCATAAAACAATTAATTAAAACTAGGCAAGATTGCTTCATCGAGTAAAATAGAAACTCAAACCAATAGGCCTAGGCCTTATATTTATAATAATATATATAATAAAAGTAAATAGCCTAAATACTAAATAGGCCTATAAACAATCTCATTTAATTTCAATTTATTAATTGATTAATATCAGAATCTTAATCTATAGGCCCTATTAACTTCAGTATTAAGTATATTTCATAGTAATACTAGAAAATCTACAGGCTTTTCTAATAAATGGGTTGTATTGCTGGTTTTTGTAGTACCATTATGTATGTTTAATCAGTTAAAGTCAAGTTCCCTTTTTTTAACCTGACGGTCCATGGGGCAAGTGAAGTAGAGTTCACCTGTTTCTGTGACCTCAGCATATGAAGGGATAGTGTAGACAGCACTATGCCCTGCCGTCTTTATTTTTCCCTAACATGACATAGGTAGCTATCAGAGCTGGGTGGACTCCTGGATGTTCTGCTGATTTGAACCCGGACATTGAACTCAAGACTTTCCTTATTAGCAGTCTATTTAACTCATATAACTTTTTCTGTTCTAATAGTTACTAATATTTCAGACTTCCCAACAGAAAGAGAAAAGAAGTCTTCATGATGGCATCCCTGATTGTAAAAAAAAGAATGATGTATACTGTTTTTGTTTTCATTTTTATTTGTGGTGGCATCGAATATGGTTAGTGTATTTTTCTTCTTGATGCAATTAAAAAATTGTGGTGACATTTCAACCCTTATAAGTTATTCATTAGCCCTCTAACTGGATGTCTACTCCTAGAAGAGTTACAGTTAGAAGAGTTGCATCCCTTGACTGTTTTTCTAAGAAATACCTTATTTGTGTTATGTCTTTGTTTATACAAGTAGCACATCTTCACTAAAGTTATTGATAACTTTTTAAAACCCGAACTCTCACTAAACAAATATTGGGGCTTGATTCAGGTTATGCTCCATTTCTGGTAATACTTATTTAAATTAAAAATACAGATCTATTAGTATTAATCTTCTCTACTTACATACATAGATATAGATCTTTGCTAATATATATTTGCATGATTTATGAATAAACCTGTTAATATAATATGTATGTATTTAATTCATATTGTTTTCAGCTGTCATCCTCCCAACACTGTGGCTGTACCTCAGGAACAATTACAACTCACCTGAGTACATGCTAGGGTTGGTCCTATCTGCCTACAGTGTAGCTGCTTTCTTATCATCTCCGGTTTTGGGGCGGTAAGTCGCTGGTGTTCTCTAAACCATAGCAATATAAAAATGTGCTGTACCAGCAGTGGTTTGTTTTTTCTGGCATTACTACATTAGCCTTGGCCCTAAATTTAGAAGGGTTATCAGCAGAAAAAAGTTGTTACTTAGCCATATTGATTGATAGCAAATATAGTAGTACCAACAAAAGTAACAATTTTACACCCGTTTAGCTAAAAAGACATGTTCTTTCCTCTTAGGTTGACGGATCGGTTTCATTGTACCAAGAAGATTTTTCTGATTTGTTCAACGTTTGAACTAGCTGGAAGTTTTTTGTATTTTATTGGCATATCACAGTGGTTATGTGTTAGCAGTAGGTTCATATCAGGTGAATGTTAATAATGTTGTGTTTGATTCTGTTAAATTATTTCGACTTTAGGACAAGAAATAGTACAACAAACTGTTTGATACAATCAGCATATATATAAAATTAATATACTGAGTAAAAACATAATGTTACATAATGTAATAAAAGCATTCCAACTCCTTACCTTTGTTTAGATTATTCAATTTTTATTTTCTATTTTATGTAGATTTAACGATTTAAATTATTATTCAGTTAAATAAAGTAATACCATTTTTAAAGTACTTTTTAAAACATCATTTCAGGATTAGGGGCAGCAAGTGAAGCAATAGCTATAGCTGAGGTGTCCAGGTACACTAGTGAGAAAGAAAGAACGGGAATTATATCCAATTTGGTGGCTTCACGCCAGATAGCTTTATTGATTGGTAAAAGGATTTTAACTAATCTTTTCCTCATTATCATTTTTCATTTCAGTTGTGTATTTTAACTTCCATATTAAATTTTTTTCACTTACTCTTGGTTGGAAAATTACAAACATATTTATGAACTGCTGTATATTTTAGGCCTATTGATTTCTGAAAAAAAAATAGATATTTAATATCTTTAAAAAGTGAATGAGAAATGTTCAACCTTCAAACACTACACTTATCCATAATCATAAAGATATTGTGCAGGGCAAATGAATCAGATTTCCTTTGTTCCCTGACCTGCTCATTATGCTAATACTAGAAAGATTTTTTTTCTTCTTGTTAACAGGTCCTGGTTTGAATTTGTTCCTTCGTAAAGCTGATTTTAAATTAGGGCCATTTGATGTTACCAAGTACTCAGCTCCAGGGGTAAGATTTTGTCTCCGTGTTGATGTTTTTAAAGTTTATCACTAAGCAAAGATGAGTGAGGTCCAAATTCAAATACACAAGTACTAAAACAAACCCTAACAGGTACCTAAGGTAAGAGTCTAGCATACTTCTGGCCACACAATAAGTCCAAGTACAAGAAACAAATGCAGCTTTATCTGCCCTAGGGACCATCTGGTTTAAATGGGTACTTACTCTTATATATTTTTTTTACTTTATTTTTTTAACTGTTTTATTAAGTCGGAATGTCTTTTTAAAAAATAGAAAGAAATAGATTTATGCTAATTTGTAATTGATATAATAAATGAACAAAAATATTACAGGCTTTTATGGTCCTAATGTGGGTGTGTGTTATGGTCATCATATTAACTATGTACACTGAGCCCAGAGTGTTGTATGCTCTGGAAGCAACATCAGCTGTGATAGAAGCACCACAAGCAGGGGAGATCACTCAATCTAATGAACAATTGGCTGGTAATACTTTCTTGCATAAATTGTTTTAATTATTGTGTCCGCTATACATACATAACTTTGCTCAAATTAATAATTTGTGAAATTTAGGAACTCAACTAGAATATGTTCTTCTAGTGACATTTTAAAAAATTATATGACTTCCAAAAAATTAACCTGCACTGTTTTGACATTTGTTTTTAACAAAGTCAACATGCAATAGCACTGTGATCATCTAATTTTTTAATAACATTTTGAATCCAGGGGTAATGTCTTCAGTTTAGTAACTATAAGAATAAACAGTACATTTTCTTGGTAAATACAACATTATTAATTTTGATAAGTTTGGTTTCAATTGATTTCATTGATTAACTTTTTTTTTTTAATTTAAATTTGCACAGGTAGCAATGCAGACAACAGAAGGGGTTACCATGATGATGTCGCCTCCACACAGGGCAAGTTGAATATTAATGAAAGGCTCCAAAAACTTACAAATGAAATCCCATCTGACCGTGTGGAAAATGACAGAGAATTCCTCGACTCAGGTGAAGTTTTTGTGTACCCTCCACTAACGCAAGCAGACACCGGTCTTGAAAGACAGCAGGACGATGAATTCAAAGATGTTTGGGAACCTAAGGAAAAACTTAAGGAAAACCTTGGTGATGAATTATCAGCATCATCAGTTGAGTTTCACGACACACGTCCGCCTACCAGAAGCTCAAACAACAGCGATGGTAGAACAGATTCTTTTCTGCAGCTGAGCTGCTCGATAGATTTGATGGTTTCAGCTGAGAGGTTCATCAACAACACTGAATGGGAGAAAACGCGGGCTCAGAATGGGGGCAGCGTGAACCCAGACTTCGTGTTTCATGAGGAACATTTTGGACAGAGTTTTGATAATGCAAGCTTGGAGGAGGATGAAAGAATGCCGCTCATGTCTGATAGAAGAGCGGCAAGGATCAGAGGTAGATCGGCAGCTATGAATACTGTGAGTTTGTTTACTTCATTTTTGTAACATGTGTTGTTTTTTTCACCTTTATTTAAAGAGTTCATTCAGGTTGAGTGAGACTTCAAAGTTTTAATTGTTGAAAAGTTAGAATAGTAATCATCAGTGGTTTTATTATTGCTGTCTGTGTCCTAAAAAAAAATGTTAAACTTTGACCTAGAGAAATATTCTTCCTGGTTTCATCTTGTCTAGCCTGCAATCTATGTCTAAATGACAATTTGACCTTCACCTTATGTAAAGCATTTGATCTCATCTTCAAATTGCTGTGTTTTTATTGATAACTGATCATAGATCAACAATCTGTTTATGAAGTCTTTGTGTTGTCTTGCAGCACGTGATCAATGACCCTTACATAGAGAGGAGTACTTCAGTTCTTGATGACCCCATTGCAAGGGAGGGGAAGATGGGATTTTTTTGTAATGGTGAGTCAGATTTGTACACAACTTGTACATGTTATATCACTAAGTATAACATGTCTTGAGGAGTTTCTGTTTTGTTGTTGCATTCCTAAAATAGTAAACTTTCAAAGGGAGATAATCATAATTTGGAATACAGAGTTATTGCTACTTTCTCTTTTATTAATTTAAAGGTATGAATACTCATGTAAACTACTGGAAGGGTTTATGAGAAAACATTTGTGTCTTTAGTTGAACATAACCTACTCATATTCCTAAAAAAATTATGGGAAAAACAATTCAGTTATAAATAAGTAATTAAAGTTTTAAATAAGTAATTTGAAGCAATTTTGTATTATTTCTTGCTGTAGAGTACATCAGAGATGAAATAATGGCCATTGTGTTTCTTCTCTTCTGTGCGATGTTTTCACAAGTTTGTGTTGAAGTGAGTATCCTAGACCATTGCTTGTAATAAGGTTTAGCATACATTATTTATCAGCTGCTTTTCTCATTTTCAATGTCAAGTTTTAAATTGCTGTTTCTGTTAACCCAAAGAACATGTAATATAAAATTGTTACTTTTAGAATACTAGTTATCTTGTTATGTTTCCTCTTGAAAAAATGTTAAGTGCTTCTTTGTTCTTGGTGGCTGATGAAGTAGGGATGATTTGAATTATGTCAGGATAACCTTAAAGCTTTGTGGACGTGGTAGGAGTAGGTTAAGCTAGATCAGGTCCCTTGGCTGAAAATTATTTGGGGTCCTGATACCAATACTTAAGTGTCACAAAAACTATACACATGTAGCTATATCTAAAAGATGTTATGGCTGCAGCTTTTCAGCCTTCACTGTAACCCACCACAGGATCATCCTACAGATTTATACTGCTAAAACAAACTAAACCCTATGGTTAACTAATGCAAGTTTGTCTGTACATTCACAGTGACTTGATATAATTTTTGTTTTACAGACAATGGTTTTACCTCTAACCTTAAAGTATCTGGATTTTGGTGAATTAGAAAATAGCCTGTTGTATGCTGCATGTGGTGTGGAGGTAAGTAAACCGAATAATGGAAATGTTGACAACTTTTCTAAGTACTTATCTAACTAACAATGGGACAGAGTGGTCTAGCGGTAGAGAGCTGGACTGCTAACCCGTAAGTCTCTAGTTCGAATCCGGGTTCAAGTCAGTAGACCGTCCATGAGTCCACCCAACTCTGATGGGTACCCAACTCACATTAGGGAAAGTAAAAGCGGCTGGGCATAGTGCTGACCACACTATCTCTTCATATGCCGAGGTCACAGAAACAAGTGAACTCTACTTCACTTGCCCCATAGACCGTCAGTTTGAAAGGGAAACTTTACTTTACTTTTATCTAATTAACATGCTAGTGTCCTTGTTTTAGTAACATTTAAGACCCGGTGATCTGCACAGATGCACTCATCATCTCTCTTTAGGGGTTGCTTTGCAGCTCTTTCTGAGCTCACCACTCTCCAGCACAGCAGGTGAAGTAGAGTTCATTTGTTTGTGACGCATCAATAAGTGAAGGAATTGTAGGGTCACCACTTTGCTGGCTACTTTCACTTTCCCTCACAATGCTCTGTATTTGTGGGTAGTTTTACTACAGTCTTGTACATGGGCATTGAACTTTGGGATTAACCATTGTGTTTATTACTACACCCTGGGAACTGAACTTTAGGATTAACCATTGTGTTTATTACTACACCCTGAGAACTGAACTTTGGGATTAACCATTGTGTTTATTACTACACCCTGAGAACTGAACTTTGGGATTAACCATTGTGTTTATTACTACACCCTGGGAACTGAACTTTGGAACCAACTGTTGTGTCCATTACCACACCCTACATAACTTAAGTAATTGCAAATTATAAAATCAAAATGATGCATTTGATTTCCAGTGATTTCCATGATATATTTTTTGTTGTTTTATTCTCCAGATTCTGATAGTGTTTTTTATAATGTCACGTTTGAGTCGCTGTGTATCAGACAGAGTTCTGATGCTGTTTGGTGCTGTAATGATTCTTGCTTCTAATATTTGGCTACTGTGGTACTTGCCCAGTGCTCCACCTCGTAAGTATTTCTGTAATTTAGTTGAGTTTTCTTTTTTAGTTTCATTTAGCCAATTTGACTAGGATTGTTTTGCTTTTGAAGTGAAGATGCCCCTTCACCTCAACTCACACCAAATCTTCTTTTTTAATTGTGGTTTTATTTTTGTTTGTATCCTATACTTATATTAATTGCTGTACCAAAGACAAAGGTATATTTTAATATTGAGCATTCTTTCCAGTCAGTTTCATGGTATGCTTTAATTGTTTCTTGTGTTCCCATTTGACACTTAAGCAACAAATACTATACTTTGAACTTACAGACAACCGTATGAAAAACATTCCATATTTTGCTGTTGCTGTGTTCTTTGATATTTTGAGCTTGCCATTTTTATTGGTATGTGCCACATCTCTTTATTCAAAACTTACAAGAAAGCAAACACAAGGTAAGTAATCCACTGACTTTATTAAACACAAAAAATATTCATTAATATATATACCCAATACATATAGGACTATATACTATATATTTCTGTTGATTATATACATTTTGTTAAAATGTATAGTTCCAAGTATTTATTATTCCTATTTTATTTAACAGTGCATAAAATACATTTTAAATAACAAAGTTTATAAAAAAAAATGTTCACTATTTCTTGTAACAATGTAAAAAAAATGTCCAATTTCTTCTCTATATTAATGTCTTGTTCTCAGGTTTAAGCCAGGGATTGCGCAGAGGTGTTGTTGGACTAGGGACAATTATAGCACCATTGTGGGGATCCTCAGCGTCTAACCAACCCTTTGTATTGCTGGGGGTTTTAGTAGGGTTGCAGTCACTTTCATTGGTGAGAATTCAGTTGTCACTGTTACAACATAAGGGTTTACTACTATTTTAATATAAATACAAATACATATGTATTTTTATTTAATTCATGTAGGCCTTCGTTGATAATTTAAAAAATAATTCAGTCTGCATATATGTAAAGTTAGTCATTGAAATGATAAAGTATACTCACAGTTGGGCTTGTATATTCACTGATGTTTTCAACTCAGAGCACAATAAGACTTACTTTAATAAGGGGCAGATAATTGTTGTTTATGGTTATTGATCGTGTTTTAATAATTAAGGGAAAACATTATTAATTTTGATTCTCAGTTTAAATAGAATAAACCAAATTAAATTTTTTTTAAATTGTACTAATCTTTTTAAATCTTAAATAGTAACTTACTCTTATATCTTTACAATATCTTAATTCTAAAATGTAGAAAATGAAATAAGTATAAAATCCTTAATAATAATAACCTGATAACCTAAAATTAAGAAAATACAAATTGTCTTTGGATGTAATAGTAAAAAAAAGCATTGGTTGCAATATAGTAACTTCTGGAGTGTTTTTATATTGTATATTAAAAGATACCTTAAAAAGAAGACTTAATTAGCATTCATATTTAAATGTTATATTAATTTATACAGAAGAAGAAACTAAGGTATTAGGTTTTTTATCACAAAAATGTTACTAGTTCCAGTAGCCTTGAGTAGGCGAGTTTGTTGCTGGGTAGTTACTTATTTCTACAAGAAGAAAACTTAGTATTGGTCTCAACGCTTGCCCCCTTTTGTAAATAACAGATCATAATAAATGTACCACATTCAAAAAGTATTTTATGTGACATTGGGTTAGTATTGTAAATAGGACACAATATTCAAATAATATTACAGCATAGTTGAATTATTATTTATTGAGATACATTTTTGAATTCATGATTAAATAGAATGATTAAAGAACTGTAGGAAATCCAAAAAAAAATTTTTGGCATAAATTATTATAAAATTTTCCAGGTACTCTGTGTATTGTCGTACAAGAGATTAAAAGTCATTCGGCCAACGACAACTGTGATCTCATCACCGCCCCCCAAACAAACAGCCAGCCATTCACAAACTCCAGTCTCCACTCAAAATACAAATAACAACCTGGCTATACCCATCAGATCAAATCAATCAACGCCTTATGGATCAATACAAAGAAGTTATGCTGGATCAAGCTATCATTCCGTTGGTAGTCTGTATGATCATCATGCATAATGGTGGAGTTGTATTCACTCTGTAGGCAACCTATCTAAACATTCATTACCCAGTAAGCATCCAAACAAATCATTCAGCAACTGTTTTGAAATCCCAATAGATCACTCATTATAAATATAATATCACTACTTTAAAACATATGCGTTTGATGCCTTTCAGTTATATCAAAGTTTACTCTGATACACTGTGACTTCATTATTTACAGTTTAAATTTGTTTTTATTATAAATTTTAAAATTTTATTTAGTGACATTTGCTGTTAATAAAGCTGACAACCCCAATACAGACAATCACACTTGACATAAAAAATGTAGTAAATACATTATACCAGTCAACATTGCATCCCAATTATGTATGAATGAAATATAATACAAGTCCAAGTGAAATTTTTACTTTCCTAAACTAAATTTGTTTTTTAAACATTCCATAGAGCCAATCTTTTTGTGCAACCTTGATAGTTATGTATGACACAATGATGTAGGGTTGATATTAACAATTGTATAAATATTATTACAACATAGATAAGCTATTAATTAATGAGACACATTATTGAATACTCTTACTTATAGGTTGTAAATTGAATTGGTTTGAACAAACTTGTTTAATATTTTAATATACCAGTGTTGATATATTGACACCAAGCTATTTGTATACTACTGTAAAAACACAGTATGCTACCCTCAGAGACAGTATTAATTTTAACTGTAAAATAAAACTTATTACATTTTTTCTTCTTTTTTTGAGGTTTGTTATATTATACAAATACTTTAAAATGTATCAAATGTATAATGAAAGTTTTACTAATGGGTAAAATAGAATAATGAAAATGATAAGCTCATTAATAGGTGATGAGATTTAATATTTTCTTGTATGTGCATTTAACTTTTGTAAGAACTTTGTTTGAAGCTTTGACAACTCTACACGATGACTTCCCCTATTCTCTAGCTGTGTTTACTGTGATATTTGACAATCTTAAAATTTACTTTACATTATTTCATTAACTATTGTTTTGGAAGGGTGAGTTTTTTGTTCATTGATAAATTTTTTAACAAAAATAAAAACAATTATTTCTCAGGTGAACAGTACTTTCATATTTCTTTTCTACTATTGATTACTAATTTTGGGGCAATAGCTTTTGTTTACTGTTTTTCTACGATGTAATTTGTTTTGAAACATTTTGTTGTATACCTGTTTATCAATAAATTTCTAAATTTTTTTTGTCTTTCTTCAAGTAATCTTTTTAAAATTTCTTTCAATTTTTGTTCTGTTATGTAAATACAGCTACTGGCGTAGCGAGGTCGGGTGTCACCAGGTGCGGCACTTAATGGTGTCACACCCCCCCCCCCCCCCAAAAGGCGTTGCGACCCTTCCCGGGGACAAACTTTCAAGTTTTCGATTTGCACACCCCCCCCCCCCTCAAACTTTTGATTTGCACCTTCTCAAGTTTTTCTCTATATATTTTGCTATTTTTTGCCTTGGTGTCACCCCCCTAAATGGTGTCACCCGGTGCGGTCCGCACCCCCCTCGCTACGCCCCTGTGCAATTCACTTACAGGTAGATATCAAAACTTATAAAAATTAGTAGATTTAAAAACAAGATAAACTTTTGGCTAAAATCAACAAATATATTCAATATTGTGTATAGTTGGAATCCGCAAAGATATCTACAAGTAATTCAATGAAATTAAGATTATGAAACAGATTTACTTCTAAGATACACTGTTAGATCTTGGCAGGAGGCGGGTACCATGACTCTGACGTGCAGCATCTAAATTATTCTGCACCCGTACGTTAACAACCTCTGATGCTTCATCAACTGCTGATAGAGATGGCTGCCGACTCCCAACTTTTGATTTTCCAGATCCAGCTGGTTCTGAAAATTTAAATTGTAAATTTATCTTCATGAATTAATTTAAAGTGCATTTTATTTTTTATAATATTGAATGGCGTTTACTTAAATAATAAAATGGTATATAGCAACATTTATACTAAAAGACAACATCTACAAAATAAGCAGAAAAACAAAAACATACTTCTGTATTTTTTGCTGTTCCAAGAAAGTAACTTTTTAAGTCGTTTTTTCAGCATAGATCTGCTAAACCCAGCAAATGAACAAACAAGGAGCAATGCTGCCAGTACAACTATCACTATTAAAACTGTTCCAGCACTTTTCCAGGAGTTATCTGAATCTAGAAAACAGATTACAAACAAGATGCAACATGCCAACTGGCACATATTGTAGGGGCTGTTATTTGTCATAGAACATAATACATTCCACCACCTTTTTTTTATTCCAAAACATCATAACACTTGGACAATGCAATTTAACATTCAAGCTCATTAACATATTAAATGCTGAGTTTTTCTAAGCCACTTTTTTTAAAAAATTAATGGTGATTTTATTTTGCAATGTGATGTTTTTGTCAAATCAATAATGCAAAGATGTAATGAATCAGCAGACTAATAATAAATGTTTATTATTTTATTAATGAAGTCTTTGAGAATATTTTTTTGTTTATTTCTTTTTGAAAATATTAATATATTCTTTTTTATGATATATTTTCATAGTCATGTTTAGTTTTAACATTCTTTCCCCACTTGTTGTGTTAACTATAATACAAATAAAAAACAATTTCTGGCACACCAGAAGAGAGATAAGCTTTAAAAGAAAATGTGTGATTGGACATTCTGGTTCTCTTTCTTACAATCTTTCTTCTCTTGCAAGGTAAATTTTCTGGCATGCCAGAGGACAGATGATCAATGAAAGAAGAAAACTTTATTAGCCATATTCGTAACTTTTTTTTCCTTCTGAATTCTTACATGGAAATTTTTTTCTGGCAGCCCAAAGGACAGAATATATGCCATTAAAAAAGTTTTACTAAGTCATTCTGGTTCTTTTTCTTACCATCTGTTAACTGTTGTAAAGTAAACTTTTTCTGGCAGGCCAAAGCACAGGACGGGTGTGCCATTAAAGAAATATTTTTCATAGCTGTATGCTTGCACCAGTCCAAGAGTTCTGTTTCTGGAATGGCAGATGGGAAACATGATGTCACCTTTCCATGATCACAGAACTCATCATATCCAAAGCATTGACCATCTGGTATACACTTGAGAGGCTGGTCATGAGGACATTGTAAATTAATCAATTTGTGAAGCGCTGAGGACAGGAAATAATTACATTATTGGTAATTAATGATGATTATGATAATACACTTAGTTAATAAATTTAAAGCTAGTTAGAAAAATGGGATGGTTTTATTCTAAACTAATATATTAAATATAAATTTGAAGCTCATCAACTTATGAAGTGTTTAACATATAAAACTATCGTATAGATAAATAGCATGTAAACTGAGTTGCAACAGGCAAAGATAAAGAATTATGAAATTATAATTATTAAGCTGCATCTCAAAGTGTTCCAAAATATTTCACTTGCACTCTTAGATTTATTAGGATGAGATGTGAATTTATTAAAAAATATATCTTATGATGATAGAAAACGGTTGAAATTATAATTACCTAAAATTATAAGTATACTATCAGGCCTACATTTTGGTATTATAGTGTGAATATTTTGGCAGGGTGTAGGCCTGATTCAATACTAATGTCATTTATATGTAAACATATAGTAAGTCCATGTAAACAATTGCTTGTAGAAAATTTGGTCTTGGTTTTGTCAAATGGTAAAATGTTGCATTGATTTTAAGAATGGCATTACATTGACTAATTAACACTTACTTTGAAAGTAAAGAGTTAAAAAATATAAAAACTTAATGTTTTAATTCAGAAATATTTTTTAGAAATAGATACAAACTTTTTTTAAGATGTACATTATTCACCTTTTGATAAATCTAAATTTGGAAATCTGGCTTGGCAGGCCAAACTACAAGAGTAATCCCTCATCAGGGAAACATCGTGTTGACCATGGTCACGGCACCAGGTGAAAGCTGTATCCTCTGTTACTGTTTTTGGGAAACATGATTCTAGTGCCCCAGCATAGCAAAACATGTCCGCGTTATAGCACATCCCATAGGGAAGACACTTGAAAGGCCGTAAAGGTGGACAGATGACATTTGTTATATCGTCCAGTGTTGGAAAAGCTTAAGGAATAAAATACAACTTTCTTTGTTATAATGGTAGAAATAATTATGCTTAAAATTGTTGATGGTAATAAAGGAAATTTTAAAATGCACTTTTAAAGAACACAACATTTAAATTACACATAATATCATAATATGTGTTGATATTATCTACATATTATCTACATTTCGATTTATATATAATGCCTAGATACTCAAGCTTTATAACTTTAATGCTTAAGCACTATATTACTTTAATGTATAATTGATATTTTTGCTATATGGTAGTCTTTGACATCATATGATATTATACTGGCTTAGAAATTAATAATTATATTAATAAATTCTTCAGATTATAATTTTAATTACACTCTCATTTTCAAAATTCTTTTAGATCTATGATCAACATTGGTTCCATGATTTTAAGTTTTTCAAATAATACTTATAGATCTATCAATTTTGTAATTTAGTAAGTTAATAATAATTTTAATTTATAAACTTATTAGGCCTTATCTAATGTAGATTTTTTTTTAGGCCTAAGCCCAATAATATTTTGCCAAGTTGACTGTTTTATAATATTTTCACGTTTATTTTAAAGCGCGTTTAAACTGGAATAAAACGTATAATTTTTAAATCAACGTGAATTATTAAATAAATAGATGTAAAGTACAATAGTCAATACCTGCCAGACACTGATATTCTGTTAATAGTAAGAAAGTTGTTAATAACCATAGCAACATTTTCTTGTTAATATAAATTATATGAACCAGCCTGAACGTAGGCATTTTGTATTGGTAACAACGGATATTCCCGATGGTTAATTTGATCTAAATCTAGATTCTAAATCTACAATCGAGCCTAGTCTAGAGCCTAGATCATTCATCTTTCAGGGCTCACGAGTATTGTATTTTGCAACAGCTTTTTAAAGATAACATCTCGATCTCGTAGTTGCGGAGATCGTGACTTAGAGACGACGACTTTTCCTAAATGATTAAAAAAATAGATTAAAGATGCTATTTAATTTAAAAACAATACTTAGAGTGGTAGGTGTGTGTATAGAGGGGGGGGGGGGGGAGTGCTGGCTTTAGTGTGATTATTGAGGTGTGTGGGGGGGGGGGGATAGCAATGTAGACAATCCATTGAACCTACCGTAATACTTTACTGTTCCATAGAGGCTACCACGTTTGTTTCATTCTGCCTTTGCAACAAATAAGGATGACATAGTTATAAGCCTAAGTTTTTTATTTAAACGGAGACACTTCAAAGGTGTCATTGTGATCCCTGGTTCTATGTAGTGTTATGATGACCCTAGGTTCAGATCTGTGGGGTTTGTGACCAGTGTTTCTTCCAGACTTTTTTCTCCGGGGGGGGGGGGGGGCACTTGAAATTTTCGGGGGGGGGGGGGGCGGTAAACTTTCTTCGGGGGGGGGGGGGGCGGACACTGTTAAAAGTATATATTTTCTATATAAATTATACAAATTTCATTTCGTTCGGGGGGGGGGGGCGAAGAGATGCCTGGAAGAAACTCTGTTTGTGACGACCCTTGTTCGGGTCTAAGTCGTGATGACCTCAGGTGGTGTTGTTGACCACTGGTTCCAATCAATACTATATATGTGGTGTTGTGATGGTCCCAGGTTCTTGTCTTGTTGTCATGTGACAAAAATTGTTCAACAGAAAGCAAATAACCTTGATAAAGCTATATACAGGTGTTTCTTTCAGACATTTTCTACAGGGGACACGAGATCCTCGGGGGGGGGGGAATATTTGAAGGATATATTTTGTATATAAATTATATTTTGTTGGTGCCGATGCACCCCCCCCCCCAAGAGATGGCTGAAAGAAACTGCTGTCAACACCCCGAGTAGTAGGCCTATACTTTAGACCAGGGGTCTCCAAACTACGGCCCGGCAAGTCTTCTCATCCGGCCCGCTGAGATCTTTTTGTCCAAGGAAAAATCGTTTGTTGGTAATGGCTGAGGAACTTTGCCCAGAAAAATCAAAGACATGCCTGGAAGAAACTGGCCCCCGAACTGAAATTTCATAGTTAATGCGGCCCTCGGACTGAAAAGTTTGGAGACCCCTGCCTTAGACGAACTACTTGTCAAATCCCGAATGAAGAAAACATAATGAGATGACGTGGAGGCTTATATCATTTTTTTAAATCACTAGACTAGCACTAAAATGGAACACCTGCCTCGCCTTTTCTCCCCATCCCTGATGTAAAGGAGTAAGAAGCCACATCAAATAGGCCATATTTGAGACAGACGCTTGTAGACAGAACGACTTGGGAGCGGATTATCACAGAATGATTTAGAGCAAACATTTTCTATTTTGTCCAGGGTGGTGGTCATGTACCACCCCCCACAGATGCCTAAATTACGATGAGATTTAGGCTTATGTTTTATCCAGCACACAATGAATTATTTAAATTGAGCCAATAATAATGTATTATATATGCCATTGGAAAATATAGGCATCTTACATGATCCATTCATATTCAAATCTGCATTGTAAAAAATAAAACACAGCTTTATGATAACCTGTATATAATGTAAAACAGGGTGTCGTTTGGGGCCACTGCAGTAGCTCTATTAGTGGCTTCAACAAAAGCCCAGAGACACTCTTACACATGGGTAGCCAACAAGGAGTGTTCAACCTCATCCTTTGCAGAGGGTGATTATTGTAATCTTGTTGTTAGGGTTTTTACCTGATGCTTCATGCATGTTATTACAGCAATGACAGCGAATGGTGTAGAAAGAAAATATAATCCTTTCATCTATTTCTAACATGGCAAAATGCAACCATGATTTCTTTTTAAAAACCAAGCTGTGATAGGCATCAACACACATACATAGTCCTAGACCAAATGGCATTACTCACAAATAAATTCGCATGACGGACAAAATGACACACTGGTACATAAAAAAGGATACAGATAAAACAACCAGACAAAAAGTTGAAATAATTGTATTGGTATCACAAATTAACAATCATTTTGCAGAGATAGACAGACAGAAATTACAAAGAAAAAAAAATATATGATGGGAAGAGAACAGAAAATTGACAGGCAACAAATTTCATATTTTACAAAATCTTAAAATATATAAAACAAAATTGTTCTAACACAATTCTTTCTCTAGATATTGCATAGAATTGTCACTTAAAAAATAAGTGGGGCTTAATATTTTTTTATCATCCTCCAGTCTTTGGGTATTCGCTACACTAAGTTTATTCAAAATGGTATGATGGTAGTGAGGATCAGAAAATACCATCAGAAGCTTGAGAGTAACACGTTCTACAGTGAAAACACCTTGTGTAGAATGCCCATGATACACACAACTCAAATAAATACTCAACATTAGCCTGAGTAAGCAGAGGGGATTAAATAATTTGAAACAAGATCTCCATGGATACCATTTAAAACTTTCACCCTCTTCATTACAGAGCCTGAAGTTATCCATAACTAATAACACTTTTTCATAAAGGTATTTTTAATTACATTAACTTGACATAAACACAGTTAATACATGTATATTGCCCTTATCATATAAATTACATTTTTTAATAAAGGGAGATAATCAGATTTATTTTTGCCCTATAATTTCATCTATTCATTTTAACAATAAATTTTAAATGCAGTTTAAAATGAATATCTTAAAGAAATATCCTTAGCTTCACATACACAAAGAGTTTATTTTGTATCTGACTGATGTTCACAAGACAGGGAAAATCAACACTGTCAGTAGTTATAAAAATAAGCCTGTATAAAGCAATATAGCCTAGAGATTTTAATAAAAAAAAAAAAAGAAAACACCTAATAATGAAGTTTAAACTTCTATTTTGCCCAATTTTATAAAAAAAAAAGTGTTGATTGAAAGAAATGCTGAAAGACAGCTCTTGAAGAAAATAAAAGAACAGAATACATAAGTAATTTCACATAGATGATACCATACCTACATATTAAAATAATTCATAATCGCATAAAACACAATGGCACCTTAAACAAACAAAAATATGAATGCATGAAATAAGAATGTGCATCAAGGAGATAAGTGAAAGATTCATTGGGTGCATTCAAACATTGTAACATGAATGTACACATTATTAAAAAAATATTGTCCACTGTTTATAATATATGGCATGGAGATTCACAAACAGAACATTTACAAACCGGCACCAGATGCGCCATCACCTCCCCACACCTGCCTCACGGGAACATCAATATTAGCATCCTGGTTATCCATGTCCCAGTGCTGCACAACGCTAGTGTTGCCATTGACTTCAGGGTGGCCTTCACCTTCTTCAACAGATGCTACCTCGCTGCTACCATCCTCCAAAGCCCATGCATTGTCTTCTGAAGCAGCAAGACCAACAGGTGAAGTGTCTGGGACAACAGGTGAAGCTTCAGGAACAGGTGAAGTTTCTGTGACAACAGGTGAAGCTTCAGGGACAACAGGTGTAGCTTCAGGAACAGGGGAAATCTCTGGGACAACAGGTGAAGCTTCAGGAACAGGTGAAGTTTCTGGGACAACAGGTGAAGCTTCAGGAACAGGTGAAGTTTCTGGGACAACAGGTGAAGCTTCAGGAACAGGTGAAGTTTCTGGGACAACAGGTGAAGCTTCAGGAACAGGTGAAGTTTCTGGGACAACAGGTGAAGCTTCAGGAACAGGTGAAGTTTCTGGGACAACAGGTGAAGCTTCAGGAACAGGTGAAGTTTCTGGGACAACAGGTGAAGCTTCAGGAACAGGGGAAATCTCTGGGACAACAGGTGAAGCTTCAGGAACAGGTGAAGTTTCTGTGACAACAGGTGAAGCTTCAGGGACAACAGGTGAAGCACCAGGATCAAGTGTGTGCTCAGAGCTGTTTAACCCGGCCTCATCTTGTTCTGTGACTGGTCCAATAAGATTACTACAGCTATCCACATTAGATTCATTAGAACAATTACTACCATCCACACTATGTTGGACAAGATTAGAAGCCACAATAGGTTCATTGAGATTAGAACAAATACTTTCCACACTTGGTTCAGTATTAGAACTACTGTCAATACTAGGTCCAATAACAATTGAAGCACTATCCATACTAGGTTCAATAAGATTAGAATTACCATCCATACTAGGTTCAACAGAATCAGAACCATCTACAATTGGATCAATAATATTAAAATTATCATTAACATTTTGTCCAATCAGAATAGCACTTCCAGAATCAATTTGTACAATTAAAGTAGGGCTACCATCAACTTCTTGTTCAATCAGACTAGGACTACCACCCACAATTGGGCTACTGTTATCATTTTGCCCAATCAAAATAGGACTAACATCATCACTAGGTTCAATCATTAAAGGACTACTGTTATCATTCTGTCCAATCAGAATAGGACTATCATCAATGGGTTCTATCATAATTGGACTACTATTATTCTGCCCAATCAGAATTGGACTACCATCAACAATTGGTTCAATCATTATAGGACTACTGTTAACATCCTCTCCAATCATTATAGGACTACAATCAACATTTGATTCAATCAGACTAGGACTACCATCAATGGGTTCAATCATAATAGGGCTACTATTATCATTCTGTCCAATCAGAACAGGGCTGCTATCAAAATTCTGTCCAATCAGATTAGGGCTACTCTCAACACTTGGCTCAATGAGACTGGGACTACTATCAACAACTTGTCCATTCACACTTGGGCTATACTCTGAACCACTGACAATGTCACCATTCAACCCAGCAGGGCTGGGGGTATAGTAGGAACTGCTAGACACTGTTGAGCTAGAGCCACTTGTCCCTGAACTGCTCAAACTGAACCCACTTCTGCTCATGCTACTGCTGCTGCTCCGCGACCCGCTCCTGCTTGCCTCTCTAACACTCCCTCGCCAGCTCTCACTCACAAAATTTGTGACACCGTTCTCCGAAGCAGCATCGACTCGCTCACTCCTGTCCATTGCACTGGAACCAATGTCATCCCCTGGGGGCATGGTGAAAGACAAACTAGAACTGAGGCCGTTCCTCTGTGCTGAACGATACGGAGAATCAGAAGAAGGTGGGTAGTTAATGTGGTCATACAACTGACTAGCGTAAGGTCCACGGCGCATCCCCGTAAACTGGGGGTGTTCACACTCTGATTTGTTTTTGTTGCCACATTCCTGGCAGACTTCACTGTAGTCCATTGCTTCACTCTCAGGAACAGCAGCTGCCTGCTTGTTGTCTGCTTTCGTAAACAAAATCAAGGGACGTCTGAAGCCTGTGTGAAAATGGAGGAAAAGTTGTAAAATTCATTTTGTTACGGGAAAAAAAAGTTGATAGGCTACTACTTAAATTATTTTTGTGGGTACTTCTATGCCAACTCTAATAACATAAAATTACCTATTGCTTAATATTTCAGAATAAAGATTTACCCCACAGAAAAAAAAATCTGAACATTAGTAGCGATAAAGTAAGAATAACAAGAAAATCAATTAATGAATTATAAAAGCTGAATTCAAAATTACAGTCAGACACAAATCAAAAAAGAAATAATGAGAATTATGCTTAAAATCTTTGCATTTGTTTTATCTTTAAATATTGGACATTGGTGAAAAGTAAACATATTTTAGAATATTAACTATAAATAAATGCAACTTCCTAAAACTAACCTTTGGCTTTAGTAACAGGTACACCAATAACTTCACACTTGACAAAGCCAATGGACAGGAGATAATGCTTAAACCCTTCTGGCTTTAACTTTATAGACTGGTATTTTGCAAAAAGTTCCGCCTGCAAAATACAAAGTGTAATAAATTAAAGTAAATCATTATATGTAATTGAATAAATCATATGAATATGAATAGAAAAGAATGTTATGTGTAGGTGACTCAAGTAGAAAGAAAAAACTATTGCTGAAACACAAAAAAGGTTGTTCTCAAGACTAATAAATATGTAAAAAAAACTTTTGCTAGGAAAACGTAAAGTCTACATAATGCCAATTTAACTTCAAGTAAATATTATTAAGCACTAAAACACATACTTCCAAGCACTTAGCAGAAAAAGGATGCAGTAAAATATTCATTAGATTCAGAATAAGTTTTTAGCAAATAGTCAAAAAACCTTTGATCACAACTTACAGAAAGCTTAGCCCGTTTTCGATATGTTGACCAAGGTTGGGGTTCTAAAATTAGCCTGCCTCCAGGTCGCAGTTGACGGAAGATTTTTTGGAAAAATAGCTTAAGACCATCATCACCATTATTAAGGTGGATCCACTTTGTTATTGATAATGCAAGAATGATATCATACTCTTCTTTTTGTAACTTTAGAATTTCTTCACTCCCTGGAACATAATTACCCTGAAAAAAAAAAGTAACAAATGATTACTAATTCGCTGGCAAATATACACATTTCATAAAACAATTTGCACTGAACAGAAAATACTAGTAATAAAAAGAAATCATGAGTTCGATAGACAAAAGCTCTATAAATATACATAAGCCAAGCAAATGCAAATTATGTTTGACCTTAAATTTATTAATTGATTTAAACATGCTTAAGTGTTAAATTTAAGTAACTGAAATAAGTACTTACAATACTTTTAAGCTAACTTAGAAAATAGCTTATAAACACGATTACATTAAATTAGCTAAAACTACAAAATAAAATAGTTACGGCTTAGGCCTATATTATAAGTAATGTATATTACCTGCAAAAACAGAACATTATTGGGGAACTGATCAGATGACCCCATCAGAGGGTGAGCCTCTAATGGACCTTTTGTCATCTCAAAAACACATGGATATTTTGATGAGTCTTTTCTCCTTTGGCTGAGCATATGTCTGATATTCTGTCTGGCAGCTTGGATCAGTTTACCATCAATGTCCATTCCTAAAATCTTATGAGGATAAAACTGCTCTGCTAAAGCCAGTGTAATATGTCCTGTGTTGCATCCAATGTCCAAAACATCTTTTCCCTTAAACCATGAGGGATCAAAATACTGAAGACGTGGGTCAGGTTCATGGTCCCTATTCCGATATCCATAATACCGGTTATAGTTACCCAAAGTAAACATTGGCTTTGCTGGAAACTTTGTAGGTTCGTTAGGACCTGATTTCCCCCTACTACCACTAGTCTGTCTTTTGAACTTTCTTTCTGGACTCATACTCAAGGATCTTGATCTAGACCGATTGTTACTAGTATTAGATATTGATGGCTTTGGTGGTGTGGGTGGTTCACTTGTTTTGTTCTTCAGGGGACTAATATCATTTTGAGTTGCACTTGCATTCTGTGAAACAGATTCTTCCTCAGATGGAATATTAGGATCCATAACCGCACATGTTTGCATGACTGGTGTGGTGGCTGTGGGTCCCGAAGAAGAGTTTGCTACTTGCATTTCATCATGCTTTTTCTTTCTAGACCTATGACGTTTTTTAATTGTGGAATTTAAAAGCATGTCTATAACTTTCTGATCATGTTTACCTTCCAAATTAAGTGGATCCTCAATATTTGGGGGAACTTTAACATATACTATTTTCCTGAAATCAGGAGTTGGAAGAGGTGAACTTTCAGGTGTTTTAAGGTTTAAAAGTCTGCCCTCCTCACTATGTGCCAATCCATTTAGATTGAGTGGATCATGAGCATCTCCACCCATTAATTCCCACTTTGGCATATGATCTCGTCTGGGTCTAGAGTCTACAGAGGCTAATCTTTTTCTCTTGTACATCAAATCTTTATCATGTGGTCTTCCCATGTTAGAGCTTAAGGATAATCTCCTTTTTCTAAATTTTGGTGGATCTGGCAATCCTTCAATTTTCAAATTTTTCTCCAGCATGGCATGTTTTCTTGACAACTCGCGCATTTCTTTAGAAACTGCCCGTGTTCTAGGGTAAACAGTTTTACTTTGTTTTCCACGAAATATTCGATTTCTGAGTTTTTTTCGCATAGCGAGCTTTTCAAGACAAGCTGGTTCAGATTCATATGCCTTTTCTTCATCTGTACCTGCTGACAATACTTCAGCCTTGGCTTCTTTAATCTCTGAATGTAAGTCATCAATGCCACAGTTACTAGCTGATGGTTGCCTATTTAATGTGTCTCCTGAATTTTTCCCCTTAATCAGAAAAGGTTTTGCAAACGTGTTATTCACATTGGATGACACTGCTTCCACAAGTGGATTCCCTGACTCAACTTTCATTTTATTCACTTCATTTTGATTTTCGTTGTTGAATGAATCATTTTTTAAGCACACATGTTTTTCACAATCAGTTAGGCCTACTAAATTTGAAACTAGTACAGGTGGTACTTGTTTATTAGGAGATACAGACGAACTAGCTACAATTGGCTCCATTTTTTTAAAATCACTTTTTTTTTACAATGCTAACAGTCAGTAACTGTAGAGAACATCAACATTGATAACGCAAGTAGAGAACGTGAAATGAACGACAGAAAGTCTAGGAAGTAAACAGCTAACGACGCCACCTGACGGATTTTTTACTCACAAACTAGTATAATGTAAACAAAAGACACATTTCCATATTTTAAGGTGCTGTAGAAAAATCTACTGCAATTATGTTCAGCTTGAATAATTAAAAGAAACGTTTCTGCATTCACTGTGAGCAAAATTATACCCAAATAGCTTTGAAAAATGCCATAAAAAACATTTTAAATCAGAGATGTCAGAAAGTCGTACACCGATAGGATCCATGAAATCCAGATGCGTGATAACGCATGCGTACATATTAGGGATTCTGGGAAGGTGTTCTTCAGACAAATTTCATCGTCTGCTAGCGTTCATAGCAACTGCTTTGTAGTTATAAAAGAATTGTTTTGTTTGAACTGAATTATAATCTTAATACTTAATAGTGTCATTGATTGAGAGAAAATATAAGTCAGGTAAAACAGTCGCAACACTTTAAAATAAATTATCTAGGCCTATCGATGATAGATCTAGAATAGCAATATTAGATCTATTAGGGCCTATATGACATGTCACTATATGAATATTTAATTTAAAAAATAGACTGCCGCTTGACCGCGATCTTTCAATTCAATACACAATAATCAATAGATTCTAAATGTTAAATAATCTACTAGCTAGATCTACTCTACATCTAGATCTAGATAAATAGAAGAGTCATGTATAGTGTATAGATCTACTAACTATAGAATAGATACTAGATCTAGATCTAGTTAGTAGTTAGCATTTCTTCCAGACTTTTTTCTCCATGGGGGCACTTAAAATTGCGGGGGACACACACACACACACACACACACACACTGTTAAAAGTATATATTAGTAAATTAATTACATTCATAGGCTTATTTATTATTTATTAAATTTAAGTCTATAATAATAATTACACTGCTGTATTTTGTTGTGGAGGGGAAGGGGTGACGTCATTTATGGATAACCCCCTAGATTTATTTTAACACTAAATTAATAATAATTTAATACAAAATTTAATAATTTAATACTTATAAAAATACAGTTGTTATCAAATCTTCATTTAGATGTTAGAGGCTGATAATTCTGATTAGTAATTATAAAATGGAGAGTCAAGACAGAAAGATGAAAAAGCCTACCAGCTTCAAAAAGGTGTTTGCAGGTAAGCCTGTTTTAGGTTTGGCTTATGTTATTTTATAATTTTATTTTATGATTATTCTTTAATTTTTAAATTTAAAGATATTTTTAAAATTTCCAATAAACCACATGCAAAAGTGCACGATTTTGATTTGAACATTTATTGAACATTATATATATATATATATATATGGGACGGAGTGGTCTAGCAGTAGAGAGCTGGACTGCATACCCGTAAGTCGCTAGTTCGAATCCGGGTTCAAGTCAGTAGACCGTCCCTGAGTCCACCCAACTCTGATGGGTACCTAACTCACGTTAGGGAAAGTAAAGGCGGCTGGGCATAGTGCTGACCACACTATCTCTTCATATGCCGAGGTCACAGAAACAAGTGAACTCTACTTCACTTGCCCCATAGACCGTCAGGTTTGAAAAGGGAACTTTACTACTTACTTTACTATATATATATATATATATATATATATATATATATATATGTGTGTGTGTGTGTGTGTGTGTGTGTGCCGTAATTAGGCTAATGTTTTCTATTTCAGCCCCACTGAAAATGGTTGGTACAGATCAAGCAGAGCCCCAAATTAATAAAAAGATAACTAGTAAAAAAAGTAAAACGGAAGTAGGTTCATTTTAATTATACTTGTAAGGCCTAAATGAAATTTTTGACAAATATAAAGTAGTCATAAGCCTGTTTTTTTTTAAAATATCCTTAACCCTTAAAGTTTATTCTGGGCAGTAGTTTCTTATAATATTAGTTTTAGTGTGTGCATGTTTATGATTTTCTCATGTTTTACAATAATTAATGCTCTTTTAATTTTACCTCGTTATAAACACCTGTCTATAGAGTTACATTTTCCCTAATATCCATATTAAAAAAATACCTTTGAGTTGAATGGATGTAGGGATAACTGGCCTAATTTTTTTCTAAAATGTTTGTACACTTAGTTATAAATAGAACATTCTTGTTTAATATTGGAACTTCAAAATGCATAGTGGAAAACTAACATAATACATTAAGAAAGTATTGATAAGTATTTGTTAGACATAGTCACAAACTTTACTGTAAACCCAATTACTTTTCAGATTGACAGTGCTGGGAAATCAGATTCCAATGCTGCCTCTGAAAGTTCAAAACAAACTAAAAAAAGAAAGGTTGAGTAATCAATACAATTTTTGTTTTAGAAATAAATCGTTACTTATTTATTACCAAGCTGTAGGACTACTACATAATATTCTATTTAGATGTTTACCTTTTGCTTTATTTAAAGTTTTTAGACAAGAAATTTAAAATTATTACAACAAAATAATAAGAACTTTTTACTCCAAGGATTGCAATATGGCATTTGTAATACTTTACATCTAATCCTCTAAGAAAAACTATAAATTAGCTTAAAGGGTCTTACAATTGTTATGTTAAATTATAAATGTATTTAAAAAAATAACATTAGCAATATCAAGTTATATTCATGATAAAGCTTGACAATTATGTTTGATCATGTAAAAAAAATATCCTTGATATTGGGTTATTTGTACAGTATTAAAAAGCCTTGTTTTAAACTTCACACTGTTGTTTGATTAACCAGAAATTTAAGTTTAAATACATTCTCTAAATGTAACACTGCATTCAAATTTATCAAGTTGATTTATTGTTATACTATTTTGCTTAGCTGTTAAATAAAGAATCATCTGAATCAATTCCTCCATTGAAAGAGAAGAAACAAAAACAATCTGAAAAAAATAAATCCAATGAAAGTATAGAAAATGATCATGATCTCAAATCTACCTTACCAAGTATGTATGTAGTTGTTTTGGTTGTGAACAATTCTTTCTAAGAACAAACAATTATTTTTCTTAAAATCATTAAAGATATTTAGAAATATTAACTGAGTAATGTAAAACAATATATGCCAAATAAATGTCCTCTATTAAATGGGATGTAACTCTACAATGTAGTTTAAACAATTCCAAGTTTTGATGTGACCGGATTGCATTTATATAAACTTCAATGGAATTACTTTGACTTTTTAAAACTAACTACCTACAGTTTCTATCAGACTTTTGTAAGAAGTTTGTAAGTAGATATAGTATGTTTATACTGTCAAGATGATATTATGTGTCTATAGTCTTTGCTATTAACTTTTGTTCTGCATATAAAACAAATTGGGGAAACAGCAAAATCATTAGGACAATGTTTAATGGCACAGATATAAAATGTATTTCAGAAACTACAACTGGGAAAAAAAAGAAAGTTGTGAACCCACCTAGGTCTCTCACTGAACATGAATATGATGAACTCTTCAAGAGTGTTTTAAACACTATTGTGGACAAAGATGAATGTAAGAAATTTTTAACACTTAACATATTTATTCTAAATTAGCCAAAATAAATAACATGATACTTTTTTTTATTTTGCACTTTCAACCATGATCATGAAAGGACAGTTTAATTTTTCATTCATTATGACCAGGATGTCTGTTGATACAACAAGTTCAACTAGGTATTTCTTTTTCATCATATAACGGATTCATTTATTTGTTATTGTTAACATTTTTTTAGCAGGTGACCATTTTACAACTAAAAGTGAAGACAAAGATAATTCTACTAAAATTGACAAACTGTTGAATGTTGGTAACAAAGATCCAGCCGATGACTTTTCTGATGCTGAGTCCTTGTCTAGTAACGGTATTGATTGTTGGGATGATGAAATGTAAGTTGTAATGTCTAAATGTATTTATTCAAACTTATCTCACTACATGCAAAGTATTAATAATAATTATTCACTACAATTATTTTTTTAAATTTCTAGACCAAAAAGAACCAAGAAAACTGAAAGTCCAGATTCTGAGGAAGAAAAAGATAATGTTATTCCCTGCAAACCCAAATTTGAAATACCAAAAAAGTGTGTTAAGAGAGGTACTTCTGTGTGACTAAAGAATAAATGGATCATTTTCAGTTGTTTTCTACAACTTATACAAAGTGAACAGTTTAAAAGCTTAAGTTGTTATGTTTATTTTTTTCAATTTCATAATTTAAACAAAAGATTGGCCAATTATTTGAGTATTAGTATTATGTGGATGCTGATCATCAATTGATGCTTAAACAAGAATAAAAACAAATGTATTCCACATTAATGCATTATCTTAAGAAATATCGTTTTTTACTATTGCTAGACAAAGATGAGGTACACCCAAGAGAAAAATTGAAGAAAAAGCAACATGTTACAGTCCAAAATACAACACAAGTATTGAATGAAAATAAAGAAGGTAAAATGTGTATAGCATATTCTTATAATAAGAATTTTTTTGACATATAACATAACATAATCTGCATGTTCTTAACATATTTTGATTACTTTTCAATATATAATAATCCCAGTTTTATTTGGAAAATTGTTAAGTTTTTTTTTAAATTTAATTGATAGCTTGTAAATTGAAGGATAAAATGAAGGTTATTTAGTTAATAATTTGAAAAAATATATTGATCTGCAACCGTATAATCATATTTAAAAAATTTTTTTTTAGATAAAACCACAACAAAAATGGAAAGAAAATCGAAGAAAAAGAAATTAAACATTACAATGAAAGAAGCAACACAAGCAATAATTGAAAATGATGAAGATGAAGAAAAAGGTATTATAGCACAGTCTTAAATTGAGCCCTTTTTAAAAAATCAACTTAAAAATGTTTTTCAGTTAATATAATATTAAAAATGTATCCATGGGCTATTAAATTAGTTGATAAGTGTGATAGTTTTTGATGATGAAAAAAGTCAACTTAGCAAGCACGAAAAGCAAGTATGAACTTTTTTTTTAGATTGTCAATAAAATTAAGGTTTGCTGCAGTTTTATTTCTCTTTTATTATCATGATTAATGAACCTTTAAAAAAAACATGCATGAAAGGTCCTCCATTTTTCATTCTTTATACAATATAAATATATAATTGTGTAACATTGCACATCTGGAAAAAATATCCATTGTTTAAATAGACACATTTTAAATAGCACTTGCCAGTGAATGATAAGTTGAACATGTATGGATCATTCTGTCATCTGTAACTGACTAGTGTCTACCTCTTTGGAAAATTTGTAGTTAGCATTGACATCTTTCACCAGTTAATAAACCTTGATTTCATAAATAAAGTTTGTTCATTTAGGTACATGGGTTCAATGTTGCAATGCTAGTTGTAGCAAGTGGAGATATCTTGACTATATTGAAGACCCACTACTTGTACCAGAGAATTGGGAATGTCACATGAATTCAGGTGATCTATACATACATTACTAATATTAGGTCTTAAAAAATAAAACAGTTTATAAAGAAAAACAATTTATACTTTAGAAATATTTTTGTAATGCACCAGGATATACATTTGTAATTAGATGTTACAAATAATTGCATTTTATCTAGATGAAAAATACAACTCATGTGAGAAGCCAGAAGTTAACTATGATGAAAGTGAACACATCTTAACAAAATATACTCTTGGATCCATTGTTTGGGCAAAGATGGACGGCTATCCATGGTATGTAGTTGAAGAGATAAATTGTTATACAAATAAGGTTAATAAGCTTTACTTTTCATTAATACTGATGATAAAGTTAATAACCTACATCTTTTTATGATCTGCAGGTGGCCAGCAATAGTTGAAAATGATCCAGATTATGACATATACTTTGAAGTAGTTAATGAAACCAGTTTGATTCCAGTAGGTAACTGGTTATTTATAAAACCTGTTTAGAAAAGAGAAGCTACTCTTTCAGTTCTAATGGTCAGAAGGGCAGATGAAGTAGAGTTCACTTGTTTCTCTGATATTGGCATATGAAGGATTAGTTTGTCACTTCTTTGACCAGCTGTCTTTGTATTAAGAGAGCAGTAAACAATCCTTTTTAATCCATTTCAATAATGTGGATTTGAATAAAATACACGTGTTTGATTTTAATTTTAATAACAAAATTTTATAAATTATTTCTTTTTATTGCAATAACCAGGTAATTATAATAATTTATTCCGCTTTAACAAATAGACACAATATCATGTGACCTTCTTTGGTGAGCGTGTTACTCGGGCATGGGTTAAAGTGCGATGGATTATTCCTTATATTAAAAACGTGTTGCCCAAAGCACAAGTAAGTGATTAAGCATTTCAATTTTAAAATGAAAGTTCTAAATTTAACTTGCATATGTGTATCTTACTCTTACTGTAACCCACAACCTAATACACATATAGTTGACTTTTGGTTTTACATGTTAGGCAACTAATTTTAATGCATTAAAAAGACAATGGCTAATTTTTCTGTTAATATTTAAAAATTGGCAAAATATATCATACAAATAGAAATAACACTAATTATTACCAACTATTTTTATTAACTAGCTATCATCTAGTCATCATGCTTATAAAAAAGATTTTCAACTTGCTATAAACTCTGCTGACACAGCAATAGAGTTAAGTTTACAGGTAAATTTATGTTATAATATTGACATAGGATTGAAAGTATTAATTTTTAACTTGATATATTTTTTTAAAACTAAAATGTAATTGCTACTAATTATTACTTTTATAATCTGTGCTCTACTATACGCTCTACTTTTTCAGGAACGTTTGAAAAAGTTTAGCTTCACAAAAAACTTCAAGAAGAAATTTAGGAACAAATATTGTGGTAAAATACTTTTTAAAATTTATAGTACAGTGATCGAAATCTATTAATTTAATTTTCTTAATTGAAATCTAGACTACCGTTTTTTTATATATAAATTTATTGCTTCTTTTTAGGTTATAGCTTTTTTATATATGTTCCTACTTAAAACATTTGACATTCAATTTCTGCTCTATCAATGCATCTAGAAGAGTGTACAATATTTTATAATATTTAAAAATTGTTATAATTTTATCATAGAATCACACACAGAAGAAAAACCTAGAGTTTTTCAAAGTCGCAAGAAAAAACTAGAATCCAACTGTGTAAAACCTAAAGAAAGCTGTGAACCTAATGATGAAACTGAAAATAACAGAAATAGTGATCTTGAAGAAACTTTTAGCGATGACTCATTAGAAAGTAAGGCTGGTAATGTGAAGAGTATTTTAAACAACACATTAGTGAACTTCCTTTATTTCATGAAGTGATAAGTTGTGATAAAATGCCTTTATTTAGAATTATATACTTTCTTAAATATTTTCAGTGACATCATCTAAAGATGAGGATGCAGATGTTGTGAAAAACATTGTAGAACATATTGTGGACCAGGTATGCCAAGACAAAACTGAAGAAGTTGAGGCACAAACTTCAAACAAGGTAGAAAATGATGGAAAGAAAACAGAAGGTAAAATAGTAAAAGGTACAAAGAGAAGTATTACAAAAGAAAAGGTTAAAAAAATTAAAGAAAAGGTCTTCAGTAAAGGGAGTAATGAAGATACAAAAGACATTTTAAAAGAGGACTCTAAGCAAGTATCAGGGAATGTAGAGCCCTCAGAAGTTGATAAGGTCACATCTGAAACTAAGTCACTAATCTTAAATCAAGAAAATAAAGAAGTCAAAAAGAGAATGAAAAAATCAACTTTTAAATCTGTCATAGCCAAACCTAATAGTACTAGTAGTGTAGAAAATAAGAGTGAAAAAATAAGACGTAAACTTGATAGTAGTGACATTGTAACTTTAAAAGTTAAAAGTGATGAAAAAAGTGAGGTTACAGACAGTTTAGAGGCTGAATGTGTATCAAAGATGAAGACAGGCAACATTACAATGAGTAAAACTTCAGCTTTAAAGAAGGTAAGCAAAAAAGAAAGCAAAACAATTCAGAAAGGTACAGATGAACAGAGCACAAGTAAGCCAAAAAAGATAACACCAATAAAGATAAAAAACAAAAAAGACAACATAGAAACTCAGAAAGCTACAGATTATGAAAGCACAGATAAGCCTGAAAAGAAAGAACCAATAGAAATTGCAAATAACTTAGACACAAAAAATTGTTCTGATGATAGTGAATTACTGAAAGCTGAACTGCCTTTAACCAAGAAAAAGAAAATTAAAAATGTGTTACCAGTAAAAAATGTTAGTAAATCACTTAAAAGTGTTGAATCACATTTGAAAGATAAAGATTCTAATTTAAATATAAAAACCTCCATTTTAAAAGAAATGGAAATCAATAAAGTTGAAAACAGTGACCTTACAGAAGTGACCAATTCAGATACCTCAAATGTGGAATGTACGAAAGCCAAAGTTAAAAAGCTTAAAACCAAAAAGGAAATATTTAAACCAAGTAACAAACCCACAAATGAAATAAAGGAAAAGGAATGTAAATACATTAAAATAAAACCCAATGTTGAAATGAAAGAAAGTAAGCCTACTTCAGATGATCAAATATCAGAGAGCAATAAGAAACAAAATAAGCTAAAATGCAAGAAGAAGAAATTAGTAGTACCGCTATTACAAAATGTAAAAAAGAATGATGATAGCATTAAACAGGGTAAAGACAGAGAAGTTCCTGTTTATATTACTGACAATGAAATAGAAGACCATGATTCAAATAAAGAAAACATTGAAAATGACCAGCATATTGTCCCTGATATTAGCAGCACACCAATTGAAGAATGTGACACTGAATTAGAAGAGAGACGCTTTGAGGATTTAGAACTGAAATTAAAAAACAAAGAAGATGAAGAAGAGCTTGAGTTGAATCTAAATGCCTTGAATACTCAGCCAACCAACAGTCAGAAAACTGTTGACAAAATTGCAAGTGATGAAGAGGATAGTGATTACTTCTTTAACCTGGACATTGACAACAAAGAAACTGTGACAGCTGATGATGGTTATGACATGAGTGTCCATGGTAAATTTGGCGGTCGGTGTAATGATCATGGATGGGACTCAGATCCTTTAGAAATAATTGAAGATTAAACATGATGTGACATTGACATCTAGCCTTGTGATAAATATGAATAAAAACTTCAGATAGAGTAAAAATTATTTGGAATTTATGTCAGTTACTATGTAATTTCTGTTACTATTTGTTATAACTTATATTTATATTGAAGCTTTTTTCAATTAAAGCATTAAACACTTGAAAATATTTGTTTTGATTTTGTCTTGTTTTTTGTAGATGTATATTTCATACCAAATAAAACACATTATCTCTTCACTTCTTACACTGATGTCAACATTTAGAGCAGCATTCTTTACTAAACCAAGCAAACCACACCATGCCCAATTTGTTTATATTATAATTTTCTTGTGAATGCACCACCTGGTTGGATGCTGTCTTTCAAATTTATGACTTTCAGGTTAGCAAACATGCATTCTGTCACACCACAATCTCTACTTACTATTTGGCACAATTCAACTGTTAAATGTATTTTTGATGAGTGGTTTTAAAAATGATATGTTCATTTAGCAAAAAATAACTACAAGTTCAAGTTAAGGTAATAAAAACTTCAAGCATCTCTAGATGATGCTTGACTGTTTATTTGTTACCAACAAAAACTTAAAATTAAGTAACTTGTATTGTGCATAATTAATTTCACTTTGTCAACAAAGAAGAATTAAAATAATAAACATCTTGTTAGATGTATTTGTAATTATCTGAGTAAAATATAGTAACATTAGTGACTTGTCTATGTAAAAAGCTTAATAATATTGAAGTTGAATTGTAAAATATCTTTATAAAAAACACCAAATTGAACTACAACCTCAATAAAATAAATATAGACAAGGAAGTAGTTTTAACATGATGATTTGATTAATCTTATAATATCATTATTTGCCTTAAATGCAGATTATTGTTTCTTACAATTATACATTTTTCATAATTAATATTGACAACTTACATCTACAAGAGGCTATAAGTATAAGCAAACTTAAGCTGCTATTAAAGTAATTTTAACATCTGTGTTTTTCACATAAAGGTTTAGCAGTTTCAAAATGTGAATTAATGACATATATTGTGGGAAATTACTGGTTGCCATTTCAATATTGTAAAATTGTACAACTGTTGCAAGATTTAAATTAGTTAATGACTGTACAATTGTATAACTATTGTATTATTTAATTCAGTTAAGTGTTAAGTCACTTAAGTTAATGACTTATCTGCCTTTCTTAACCATTCTTTTGTTTATCATTACAACAGTAGTTTTACCACAAAGCATAGGGAATGATACAGAATTCATGAAAAAAAGCCTATTGTTTAAATTGTTACTTGGTTTAGTAGAGTTAATTATGTTTCATTTTAAAACAAAAACTGGTTAGACGGGTAACTGAAATTTTAAATAAATACTGACCAGGGCAGACAATTTTAATTAGGCTCCTGATTCCTCTGTGCATGCACATGCTGTCCCTAAGACAAGCCAAATATTCTAAAATCATAGTATCAATATGTATGTATGTATGTATGACAACCACATTCACTTGTGATATATTTATTATTTTATACTTGGTAATCTACTATGGTAAGCTAACTGATAATAGACCCAAGATAAACAACACTGAGCACCTGTAGAAATATTTTTAGAAAGAACAACTCAAAATCTTGTTGATATTAAATAATTTTTAAACCAATGAAACCAATACAACATTTTGCAGTGTTAGTCTTATTATTTGTTTACACAGGTAGTTTTAACACAATTTACAACATTATAATTTATAACAAATAATGTTGGGGAAAAAATAGATACACTCAAACAAAGCAACTGGCGCACAACATAAACAGAATCCAAAATATTAATCAATGTGATTCAAAACATGAGAGTCGTCCACTGAGTCCATCACTTCAGCTTTGTCCATTGCAACAGTGGTTAAATTTGAAGTATCTGCCTGAAAGTTAATACAATAACAATACTGTATTTTAGTAACTTTTACAGGTTGGGTGTGGATGTGGAAATAAAATTTCAAACTCAAGCAATAGCTATAAACTATAAGCATGAAATTTTATAGTTATGTAAAATTAAAGACTGAATTTTAAAATAATGTTTTGTATGTTCATCAAAACACATAGTATAATAATAACAATCACAACCAAAATTTTGTGATATATATAAAAGTATGCAAAGATGCTCTGATCTAGACTAGTGAAGTAAATGTGATGCTCATGCGCAGTAAAGGTAACATTATGAGGCAGATTCTGATTTAACGCTTAACAAGACGTACAGCAAGAAAAAACAAAAATCAATCAACTTTAGTACCTTTTTAGTTAGTCATTTAAAAATGTTTTGAAAAAATCTAAAATGATACGACAACAAAAGTATACCAGTTGTGTATTTAAAACTTTTTAAGAACAATATCATTAGTTTTAATATTGGTTTGTTCTAATAAGCTGAGATGTGCTAAATCGAAGTTTAAGTTTGAAAACTTTTCAAAACTCATATGGTTGCTTCATTTTAAAAAAAAAATCATTCTTGATCAAGTCATTAAAATTCAACAATGAAATTTAAACCAGTCCAAAAAATAAAAATTATAAGTTTTAAAAGGAAAGCTACCACCACTATCACCATGTGGCCATTTGTTTTTATTGTTAAGTTATCTGATCATTTCAATTACTAAGACTAAAACCTACCAAAAAGAACACTTTTTATTTGTAATGAATATCAAGAAATTAATTAACTAATGGGAGGTAACTCTTTTTCACCATTTTTTTTTTTTTTTTTTCAAAAACACCTACATCATTTTGTTGCAAATCACTGTCGCGAGTATTGTCTGTTTTTGAGTTTACAACTGTCTCTGAACTATTTTGCTCCGCTGAAGTAGACGACATTTTGACAGTTTCAGAATATGACTTGGGCAAGCTGTTCTCTGTTGCATTTGGTGCTCTTTGCCATGATGGGAGAATAGGTGTAGTTGTAGGAGCTGGTGGAAATTGGCTTCTGTTAAAAAAACAAACAACTAACAAAGTATTTATATAGTAGATTTAAAGAAGATGTTTTGTTTTTTAATCCAAGAAATACAGTCTTGATAGTTATTTCAAAGCAAAAACCAATCTCGCCAATTCATAATAATAATTATATCAACCTGTTCAACAATAATCCTTTCAGTGAAGCAATATCTGATTTTAGTTCGCTAATCCCTCTTGATTCAGTGTATCCAACTTGTTGCTGTAATTATTTCAAATTATGAATACAAACAAATGAAGGAACATCTAATAAAACAATCTTATCTACCAAAAACATAAACCAAAAACTTATTTTGTTTTATTCTAATATATTTTTTGTAATATACCACTATCATAGAGAATAGGACTTTCTATAAAATATTATAAAGCTAAATTTTCTAAAATAGTAATTTTTACGCAATAAATAAATAAGGTGAAAAAATATAATTAGAAACATAGTAGTGTTGAGTCCACAACATTTATTTGGATTAAAGATATAAAAAATAATTTCATCAGTTTAAAAAAATTATTTCTGTACTACAACTGGTTTCTTAAATAGCAGTGTGGTTCTGGGTTAATAAGACAAAAGAGCCATTTCTATAGATGTTGAGTTAACAAAGATTTGCCTTCATTAAACAGACTGTAGTGTAGTTTAAATAACAACATCAGCCTAATATATTGTTTGTTATTATTATTATTAGTGTTATTATTAATTAATATCCCTACCAACTTTTTAACAGTTTTAAAACTAATTGTTTGCGTCATAATTTTTTCTTGCTATAATAGTGTTTTTAAATGTGGAAGATTTTTAAAAAAATATTTATAACTAAAACATATTTTACCTGTGACTGCTGAGTTTGAATAGTGATTTGGATATTTGATAATGTTTTATTTAATTCAGCTAGAGAATCGTTCACAGATTTTTGTACATCTAGCAACTGACTTTCCAGTCTCTCCATTCTTTTTTCTTGGATGGACTTACCAGCCTGCCATGGCTTGAAGTATTTCTAAAAAAAAGAAACAAGTTTTTTTTTTACAGCGGCAATTCAAATTCATAACAACAAAAGTGAATTTAAAAAATGCAGTTTTAGTATTTCATGCAGATTTATGAAATATTTTTATTATATTATGCCAATAACTTATCCAAGAGTTATTTCTTGCATACATTAACAGCACTGATGCTTTTAGCTGATGTTTTAAGTTATTTTTGAATGACTAAAAACATATTAAAATATTTGAACTTAATAAGCAAAACAAATTTGGGGTTAAAAATATTTAACTTTAAAAAATAGTTTATTAAAATTTCATATTTAAAAAATCAAATCATCTTACTTTAAAGAGTTGATAAACCACATATGAAACACTTGCAACAATCACTGTGGTGAAAGTTACATCTCTGGCCTTGGCCCAAGCAGATCGTGGAGGGACTGAAACATTTGTAAACATAATCAAGAACTCTTATATTGTTTTATAAAATTACTTGAATATTTAAACTGTAAAAACTAATTTTTAAAGTCATTATTCATTGGTAAACATTATTTAAACTCTGAGCTATCAGATAACTATATTAAAAACGAGCCGACCCGCAGCGTATCATACGCCGCTATTTAGTTGTTTTAATTTCTACTTTTCAGTAATTCATAATTTGTGAATTCGACACTACCAATGCTGCCACTGAAAATATTTGCTTTAAAACACTAACCCCCCCCCCCTTTCCCCTAACCCCGACCCTACACACCCTCCCCCCCTCGTGAAAGCAGCCTCCTCTTAGTTATTTCTTAGTTACCTCCTGTAAGTTTAAAATCGAACTAAATTATCTGCCCTAATAGAAACCCGGCTCTACGGCTCTACGATTTGTAAACATTTAGCTTTGTAAACATTTAGCGTGACCACAGCTCACCGGACAATGTGGGGGTGGGGTGGGGGTGGTAGTGATAGTGATAGAGAGAAAGAGAAAGAGAGGGGACTGCAAGGAGGCGCTTGCAGCTTATTTTTTAACGGCTCCCAGAAGAGAATTATATATATAGATTGTACAGATAAAAATGAGAAGGGGGGATAATCATCTTACTTGGAGTTAAAGCATTTGGACTGATGATGCCATTGTGAAATTCCTGTTGTGGCTCGTGAGGTCTTACTTCTGCTGATTCTTTCACACCTGATCTCTGGACTGCCAGATTGATTTCTTCTTGGGTAAGCCCTATCAAATTTGAAACCATTTTTTTTTAATTTACAAGTAAATTAATAAAAGAATTTAAAACTGACTTTTTTACTTTTAGTAAATAATATACTTTATAACTAATCTAAAATTGTTTGTTACCCTTTTTTTCCAAAAAAGCTTTTTTCTGGTACAACGGACTTGACATGACTTTAGGATTTTGAAGAAATTTCACAGCAGTACTTATCTAAAAAAGAAATGAAAAATTTGTCAAAATCATGGTAACATAATCCAAAGCATATCCTATACCTTAGAACCAACACTTTAGTGTGTAACAAGAACATTGAACACTTTTTTTTTTTGAGGAGCCATCTTGTCAAATATAAAACCTACGTCTTGATGATTAAAACTATAATGAATCCATGTTCATGTAGTTGTAGTTTTATATCATGTACAGCTATACTAAACTTACTGCGGAATTTGTCTGTTTCTACAATAATCTTGTCTGTAGCTTTGTTTTGTTAAGGTGATTATTAATACAAGATTTTCTTAAAAGAGAGATTTTTTTGCACCATTAGATATAGACAGACAAGCTTTTATTAGAAATATGAATTAATGACTAATGTAATATGTCAAAAAACAAAGTATGTGTTACTTCAAAGTTGAACCACTAAAAACAGTATTTTTTAAAACCTGATTTTAACTCATATATACAACAATAATATTGTATTAATTTTAGAGCTATTTTATATAGGCATAGTAGTTCAAAAATTAACTTGTCTGAGTAATCAAGCATTTCTCACACCTGAGCATCCTAATAATGTATCACACAATCTGTGTGGAGGGAAGCTAGTTTAAATGAAAATGACATAGTCACAAGCCCAGCAAACTACTCATGACTTCTACTGAGATTCCTTTATTAATTTCATAGGTAACCACATTTAAGAGATCAATGTAAATGTAGATAAAAATGTAAGATGACATACTAGGTTTTCTCTAGGGCCTTCTCCTGGGGCTAAAATTTGCTTATCCCCATCTCCATTAAGTCTGTTGTCTGGAGATTCCGGATCCATTTTTTAAAGCTGAAATACACTTTTGATATTAAACACAAAATGTTTAAAATGTAAAAAATACCCTATTTAACAAGAGTAAACAGCAGGTTTGAAGTATACTATTAAAAAAATTACTATAGACTTGATCTAAAGTATTTTTACACTGAGCTAGGCTTCATAAATCCTTCATTGCCTCGGAGGTGTAGTTAGGGGAGAGTAGGTGGGGCATCTGCCCCATGACAACTGGTAAAAATATGTTTGCAATATAAAATCCATTTCGTTCAGGGGAGGGGGGAGAATGATGCCTGGAAGAAACTCTTCAGATAATAGAATCTTCTTAAAAAAGGGAAGTAAGAAAGAGTAAGGTTACTCGTAGTTAACTAAAATAGACACATGGTTAGTTATGTAGCTAACTGATAATATCAATGCTCACCCTAACCCCAACCCTAGTCCTACCAATACCATACACCTAATTTCTAACAATAAAACTAGTCAAGATTACAATACTTCTAACAACTGTAACAACTCAACACCAACACTCCTTCACCTATTTTTTGGAAAATCTATTAAGTCTATTACCAGTAAAAAAAAAAAAAAAAAATCATCCCTAAACTTTCCGTTTTGCAGTAAACTTTTTACTTTAATGACTTTAATGAGTACTTCAGTAACTGACTAACTGTGGTGAGTGCAGTGAGTAGTGTTAAGTTTAAGTGTGTGTAGTGTAGTGCACTACTTAGTATTAATTTAAGCCTAATTTATATTTAAAAATGTATTACTAGATTCTAGATCTGCACTACTATTTAAAAATGTATTACTAGATCTAGATCTAGACTAGACTAGAGTGACTAGAGTTAACTAAACTACTATAAACTAGAGTCACTCTGTCTAGAGTAGTCTCTAGACTCTAGACTGTCTAGAGTCTAGACTCTAGACTCTCTAAAACTAGATTCTAGAATCTAGCTTAGAGGCGTAGTCCAGTCCTCCAGCCAGGATTCAGTCAGATTAATAAATTATTTAATTTATTGGGCACACAACATACTAATCTAATAATATAATAACTAATAATAAATAATAGATTTTTTACAACGTACTGATCTACAACCACATAAATCGAGCCTGTTTGACCAATTTTTCAGTCGGAAGAAATGTTGTTAAATAACCTAACCTTTGATCTGTTATCGCGAGTGGCCTACCTTAGGTAAATGGTTCTCAAATCTTTTTTTAACAGATTAAAAATAAAATTATAGTCGTTCTCTGGAATACAATACATTACACGATACTTATATGACATTATAATTATATGTGCGGTTATAATTTAAAAAAAAACCAATGCCTGTATTGATTATTATCTAATGTGAAGTAATCGGGGCGGGAGATACAAACTTTTGTGAAAACGGGAATGGGGAGACAGAAAATACGACATAACACTTTTGAATTTTTAAATTTAAAGTTAGGTGGTTTAGTGAGGGCCTATTTTGTCCTCTTTTAAATAAAAAATATGTTTTTAGATGGTAATGGAAAGTGATTAATGTTTAATTTTGATCCGTATTTGCTAAAACTTTAAATTCAATATTAAATATGGATTAGAGTTAACGGTAATATCAGCATTATAGTTTGAAAGTTATTTGTTTTTTTACAAGTTACTTCACACGGGTTGGGGGGTCGTCCATAAATGACATCACACTAGAGGCGTAGCGTTGGGGGGCAGGGGGGTACATATGTCCCCGGGCGCCGACCTTAGGGGGCGCCAAAATAGGTTGTAAAAACAAATTAAAATGTCATTTTAGCTGCATTTTTGCATTATAAATAGATTGAAGGGGGGGGGGGGGGGGGGTGCAAATCGAAAGTTTGAGAGCGGGGTGGCGGGGGGGGGGGTGCAAATCGAAAGTATGAGGGGGGGTGCAAATTGAAAATTTGCTCCCGAGGGGGGCGCCAAATTGAAAGTTTGTTCCCGGGCGCCGGGAAGGGTCGCTACGCCTCTGCATCACACTCCCCCTCCCCTCTGTCACACAAAGCTAGACCCCCCCCCTAAAATGACGTCACACCTCAGCCTACAAACCCCCTCAAAATTGCTGTTGAATTTTTCTTAAAACATCGATATTTTTTTCCAAAATCTTGTCAGAACTCTGTCAACATATAGTATTTTGATAAATTCCTATCACAATTTATTAAAACCGTTTTCTAAAACGCGAAATAACGGCTAAAACTCGTTTTCTAACATTGCTTTTTATATAAATGCAAAAAAGTGACGTCACACCATCTGAACCCCCCCCCTCCCCCTCATCACACACCCAGTAGCGTACGCAGGGGGGGAGCAGGGGGAGCGGCCGCTCCCCCTCTGGCCATTTTCAGCAAAGTGGCGCCTTTTTGGAAACTTTTTAAACTCAAAGTTTTAAACAATAATATCTGTTAAAAAATATTTTCGGTCGGCACATCTATGTAAATTGCAAGATTTCTTTTCATGCAGCAACTAAGCATTATTGTACTAGTCTAGTGGTGTCTACGTTTACAACACGTATCAACAGCTGCATCAGTTAGCCATTCTAAAAATAACCATTACTATGTATTGCAGTGTTTAAAAAACCTCTACGGGTAGATATCTAGTACCACTTGGCAAGAGGGGTGTTAAGTTTAAGGCAACTGTATAATGTATTTGCTTACGAATGATTGAATTAGAAAATGTTATACATAAAACTTCACACATAATTACTTTATATATACAGTTTGAATAGTGTGATTAATTTTTTAAAAATTACAATACAGAAACAAATACAACTGATGTGGCACCTCTATTTAAATTTACTTAACTGCGTAGTGGTGGGGAAATTTTGACAAGGCCATGAAGTACTACGATGAAGTAGTAGTATTCTTACAGTTTGGCCGATAGCAGTGTTTCTTCCAGACTTTTTTCTCCGGGGGGGCACTTGAAATCTTCGGGGGGGCGGTAAACTTTCTTCGGGGGGGCGGACACTGTTAAAAGTATATATTTTCTATATAAATTATATAAATTTCATTTCGTTCGGGGGGGCGGTAAAAAATTTTCGGGGGGGCTTCGCCCCCCCGAAGAGATGCCTGGAAGAAACTCTGGCCGATAGTGATTACGATTACAAATTATATGAAACAGTTACAACCCCCCTCCACCATTGACCCCTCTGTAAAAAAAAATATTGTCATAATACCACTGCTACTTATTTAAATCTATTTCTGTAATATATATTTGTGTAATATATATTTGTGTAATATATATTTGTGTAATATATATATATGTATGTTTAGAATAGTCATCTAAAAACTGACGCTATGTTCACTCTGAGTTGGTTATCTCCCCCCCCCCCCCCCCACACACACACACACCTCACCACCACAATTGTGTAGAGCGACATTAATGTCACACCTAGGTATACACTGGGTTGGATAATTGACCTAAAGTGACCGGACAGTGGTGAATGAAGTTGAACCCACTCCCCCCCTCCCCAACCCACCCCGAACTGATCTGTTTAGTACATGTAGAAAAACGCGTAATGATGTACCAAAGTACCATGCCGCCAGAAAATTAGCTTTTTAAACGTAAAACTCTGTGAATATTGTTTTTGCAATTACCAGTAAAAAGGTGTGTGATCAATAAAGTGATCTAACCCATATCTATCACTATGTTAAAAATGATCTTTAAAGAACACAAAGAAGCAGTAGTTAAAAAAACATATATGATCTGAACTGTAAGACCAACATTTAAGTAAATGTAGGCTGTTATTCCGAGTGTTTTCTATGCAATCGAAAAGTGTGCTTTTATACCAACTCTGATTTTAAAAACTTTCATTATGCTGTATTACTTTAGCATTTATGATGCCGATATATTAAATAATGATTATAGACAAAAACATTTTATAAACACGAATAGGGCTAAACAACTTCATTATATTCTAAAGTAATTATTTATTTGTTTTACATATATAATTAAATATGTAGATATATACATATTTATACTAACAGAGTGATTATTTCCCCTATTTCACTTGTCTTAAATAATTTCCCAGGAATTATTATGTAAGAATTTTTTTTTACAAGAACTACAAAACAGATTGTGTTACGTTCATTGTTTTTGGTTGAAGTGTGTGTATATATTTTTTTTGTTTAGATTGATACAATTTTTGTTTTGTCGGCCTACATTGTGTGTTTTTTCTTATTTCTTCAGGGCGCTACTTTCAATTTATTTTACATTATAGCGAAGTAATGACATACAGCTAGTAATTATATATATATATATATATATATATATATATATATATATATATATATATATATAATTACTAGCTGTATGTCATTACTTCGCTATAATGTATATATATATATATATATATATATATATATATATATATATATATATATATATATATATATATATATATATATATATATATATATATATATATATATATATATATATAATACACGTATATAGAATATGTTAAAAATTCGGCGCCTTTTTTTGCTCTTTTCGCTCCCCCTACAATGAAAACCTGGATACGCCTCTGCACACACCGTCACAAAATTACGGACTCCCCCTTCCCCCCTACGAGTTTATGGACGACCCCTTTCTGTCACATGTCGTGTAACTACATGTTTATTCAATCATGAGCCGACCCGCTATTAACTAATTAGTTGTTCTATTTTCTACTTTTCAGTAATTCATAATTTGTAAATTCGACTGTACCAATGCTGCCACTGAATACATTTGCTTTAAAACACTGTGTTATGGACGATAACCCCCACCCTCCTTTCCCCAACCACTACCCCCCCCCACCCCACCCCCACCCCCCACCGTGAAAGCAGCCTCCTCTTAGTTACCTCCCCTAACTTTAAAATCGTTTCAAACTAAATTATCTGCTCCTTATAGCCGTCACTAAACCCGGCTCTACGATTGTAAACTTAGCGTGAACCACAGCTCACTGGGGGTGGTAGGGAGCGCGCTTACAGCTTGGTGTTTTCTAGGGTCTCCAAGAAGAGAATTTTTGACGTCCAAAAAACTGTTTAGACTATTTTCGGTGACTCCCCCCCCCCACATATTTAATAAATCTCTCAAACCATGCTGCCAAATTACTTATTCAATAACATGTAATGTGTATACCTTGTTATGTTATTAACATACGAGCCGACCCGCAGCGTATCATACGCCGCTATTTAGTTGTTTTATTTTCTACTTTTCAGTAATTCATAATTTGTGAATTCGACAGTACCAATGCTGCCACTGAAAATAGTTGCTTTAAAACACTAAACCCCCCCTTTCCCCCAACCCCTAACCTACACCCCCCCCCCCCCCCCCCGTGAAAGCAGCCTCCTCTTAGTTACCTCTTGTAAGTTTAACTTTAAAATCGTTTCAAACTAAATTATCTGCCCCTAATAGCCGTCAACAAACACGTCTCTACGATTTGTAAACATTTAGAGTTTAGAGTGAACTACAACTCACCAGATCATGTGGGGGTGGGGTGGGGGTGGTAGTGATAATGATAGAGAGGAAGAGAGGGGACTGCAAAGGCGCGCTTGCAGCTTGTTTTCTAACGGCTCCCAGAAGAGAATTATATATATAGATAGATAGGGACTTGGTATTTTTGGTAATATCTTTACTAGACTTAAATAACACAATTAGAGCCCAGAAAGTGTTTAAAAAAAAGATATTTTACATAGTATAAATTAGGCCCTATATGATATTAGAGCTTGCTTTATTTAATTTTTTTAAAAAATTAATTAATTTATTTATTTATTTGCCATTTTAAACCGAAACTTCAAAATATTAAACATTTATATTTTTATGTAATTGGATTTTTCTCTGCACTCGTATATGCCTTATAACCAGAGGCGCAACGACCCATTCCGGGGCGAACTATCATTTTGCGCCCCCACACCCTCCTATTCTATACATTAATGATATTTATTCAAGTTGGTGAAAAAGCGCGGCCTCCTCCCCACCAGAGTCAGTGTTTCTTCCAGACTTTTTTCTCCGGGGGGGGCACTTGAAATTTTCGGGGGGGGCGGTAGACTTTCTTCGGGGGGGCGGACACTGTTAAAAGTATATATTTTCTATATAAATTATATAAATTTCATTTCGTTCGGGGGGGCGGTAAAAAATTTTCGGGGGGGCTTCGCCCCCCCGAAGAGTTGCCTGGAAGAAACTCTGACCAGAGTTTCTTCCAGGCATCTTCCGAAAAATTTTTACCGCTCCCCCGAACGAAATGAAATTTATATAATTTATATAGAAAATATATACTTTTAACAGTGTCCGCCCCCCCGAAGAAAGTTTACCGCCCCCCCCCCCCCCGAAGATTTCCAGTGCCCCACCGGAGAAAAAAGTCTGGAAGAAACACTGCTCCCCACCCTCCAGTTGGACTGGTTGGTGGTACTTTTTACCACTCACTATCCCGTAAAGGATTTCATTGTGGTGGTGCAACCCAATTGATGTAGAAAACCGTTTAATTCAATACCCCAGCTTAAAAAAAATTTTCTACTTCTTTTGGCGACCCATCAGGGTCGGCGCCCGTGGCGGCCTCCTCACCCGCCCTCCCGTAGCTACGCTACAGCTTATAATATGAACAAGCATAATATTTGTAAATAGTAGACTCATCGGGTTCACGACCTCAATCTCTGTTTACTTTATCTCCGCGTTTTATACCAAAAATTACTCATTGCAAAATTGCATAAGGCGCGTCAGCATCCGTGCAAAATCTGGAAAATGTCTAGAAAAGTAAAAGTTAGACTTTTATGTCTCTAAATACTCTAGTTTTTGGACTGACTTTTTAAAAAAAGTCTGGAAAATGTTAATTTTAGAAAGAAAGTTAAATGCCCTAAAGTTAATTTTCAAAATTAAAAATGCATTTCTTCTCACTCGTACGTTTCTATCTCTACCGAGAGTTTACGGAGGCAATCGAGTAGACAATTTCCGTTTTCCCCAACAACGGGGGTAAACAAATTTAAAACTATAGATTACTAACTATAGAAAATAGTAAAAGACAACCATTTATTAATTTAGTGTACAAACTCCAGTGAAATTGCGATTATTATCTAGACAAGTAGACAAGCGTCAAAAATTAAGTAAAAAAACTAAATCTAGAATCTGCTTAATGGTAATCTATCGTTTTAGGTCATTTAGGTGCGTAAAATCTGCGGAGGGTAATACTAATTTAATTAATTACTAATTATCGCAATTAAATAGTAAAAAAGTAAATAGTTATAAGTAATAAAATAATAATTTAATTTTACTAAAACTAATAAATAATGTATATTATATATTATAAATTATATATAAAGCGACTATCTGTAAGTTTGAGTGGTTTCCCCTAAATCTCTAACTATAATAAATAGTTTATTAATTTTACCAAAAAAGCACTAAACATGAACTCAACTGAAGTTCCCCATAAGAGCTGTGCAAAAGGATGAAGTAGAGTTCATATGTTTCTTGACCCGGCATATAGAGGGATATGTGGCCAGGATGCTGCCAAGCTGCCTTTACTTTCCCTAACAAGTGTTACCTACCAACAGAGCTTGGTGGCCTAAGGGACATTCCACAAACGAACCGCAGATTCAAACCATGAGACTTTAAGTTTAAGGTTAGCTGGCTAGCATTCTACCGCTAGGCAGAGGCGTAGAGAGGGCGGGGGGTGCGGACCGCAAAAATCCTTTTTTGCCAGTTCCATTAATGATAAATTAAAGTTAAATAGTCTTTTTAAGTAAAAATTGACAATTATTACAAGAGGATGGGGGGGGGGGGGGCTGACACCATGATGTAACATGCTAACTATAGAGAAAACAATGCTACATCCAACTATGTTATTAACAGACCATAGATAAACATCATTACTATTATGTCTGCAGTGATTAAAGCTTATACACACATATGAACGCATATGTGTGGCATATATTTAAATCAGGGGTCTCCAAACTACGGCCTGCGGGCCGGATGCGGCCCGCGATGTCCTCTCATCCGGCCCCCGGAGATCTTTTTGTCAGCGGAAAAACCATTTGTTGGTGATGGCTGAGGAACTTTGCCCAGAAAAAATCAAAGACATGCCTGGAAGAAACTGGCCCTCGAACTGAAATTTGATAGTTAATGCGGCCCTCAGATTGAAAAGTTTGGAGACCCCTGATTTAAATTATAGGCTTATGTAGACAGACAAACATACACACACACACACACACATATATATATATATATATATATATATATATATATATATATATATATATATATATATATATATATATATATATATATATACTTTATTTCTTTTTTTCTTGGGGGGGTGACACCATGAAGTGCCGCACCGGATGACACCCAACCTACCGACGCCACTGCCGCTAGGCCATGCTGCCTCACATTAAGACCATTTGAAATGACTAAATATGGAGGCGGAGGGGGGGGGGGTACATAAGTGATAGTTTTTTCCCGGGAGCGAGGAGGTACGAAACTGATAGTATGTCCAGGGCGCAAGTATTGGTCGCTACACCTCTCCTCCACTTCTGCAACACCTCTGTGACTGTTTAATGAGGTTAACCCAAATAAGTTTTATTATCTTATTTTCAGTGTATTTAAAACATGTCAACATTCATGAACCACTGCTCAGCAGGCTCATAGGGTGATCACATCTAGGTAGTTATCTTCCCTTCTGTTATGGAGTCTAATAATCTATAGAGTGATCAATAGCTTTTAAGTTTGTTATCTCTCTTCCAAAACAGTTTAATTAGTTTTTTTATGACTAATTAAACTTCTAATTAAATTAAAAAATAGATAGACTTGTATTGTCATTGAAGTGGAACATAAATAGATAGACTTGTATTGTCATTGAAGTGGAACGTATCTGGAAAGTTCGAATGAAATTGCTGCTTTAGAAATGGGTCAAAATACTTACACGCTATATATTTGTACAGACAGATATATCTATAGATGTATTATATGAATGCATCTATCATCTTTACTGCTTTTTATATAGTATTTATGTTCATGTTTAATAGCTTTATTTTTTTTATTGAAAGGAAATTCAAAGCAAAGGCAGAGGCCCAACACCCCCATTGTTTAAATCTATACAGCAGAAAATGGAAAGTAAACCAACTGGTTCTTCTACTCCACAGCAGGTTTTTATTTTCCTTTGCTTAGAAAAAGTTTTTAATTTTATAATTTGAATGCAAATATGTATTCATGTTTTAGGTTTCTTGCATTCAGAATTAAAGTATTTTAAAATGGATTACTCAGAAGTGAGCATGATAATCAATTAAGAAAATAGTTATTTTTAGAGACCCTCAACACAAACCAATAATTGACAAAACCTACCCTACCCCTATTAAAACCTCTTCACTCCTAATCATTCAAGTTTGAACCCTCGGGCAGATGAGGCTCGTTAGCTGGGGACAGCCACTCTTCTAGGAGAGACAACTCCAAAATCAAACAAGTGCTGCCTTGTAGTTTGTTCTTGGTTGGACAAAGGCCATGGAAGCAAATCCAAAAAGAAAAGGAGGCTGAAATCAGAGTCAATTGTGATGGAGGCGTGGTTGAGTCCGCAAAATCTCATGGTTGATAAATTTGAAAAAGTCTCGAGTTCAAACACTCTGGCAGATAAGGCTTGATCCCTTAGAACCCTACAAATTAAGAACGAAGAAGAAGAATAAAGATAATATAGTCGGAACTTAATAGAAATGACAAATAAATGTACCATTAAAGGTTTAGCCGAAAGGGAATAATGCATTATAATCTATCATGTCTACACATTGGCGGCTGGGCAAAGTGCTGACCACACTATCTCCTCATATGCTGAGGTCACAGAAACAAGTGTACTCTACTTCATTTGCCCTATAGACCGTCAGGTTTGAAAAGGGAACTTTTTACTACACATTGGACAGCCATCTTTGATTTTAAGAGAAGGACTTCCAGCATGAGGCAAAATTTTGAGTTTTTTGCTTCCATAATTCAATTTTATTTTTCCTCTTAAAAACTCTTTCAAATATGTTAATGTCTTTAAATATAATTATGTTTATGCATGCTATAAAATTAAATAAAAACCTTTGAAGTATTTGTTTAAACAGTTTATAGCAAATGTAGGTAAATTTGTGTTATATTATATAGCAATGGTGTAGGCCTAAAATGTATTTCTTTTTGCTTAAAATTCAGGAAACTTCACCTGAGGCTTCATCAAAGACTAATATCAACATTAAACCAAAACCTATGCCTAAACCTGTACCACAAAGTAACGGGTAAGTTTGTATATGAAAATATTTTTAAAAACCTATATTACCACTTTATTATTACAATTTATTATTATTACCATTTATATTATTATAAAAACTTCAACTATGATGTCATCCATAATTGACTGCACTTTTAAATACAATTTAACCCATTGCCCTCACCATTTCCTCCAATCACCATATCAGTTTCCCTTCCCTTGGATAACCAAAACTATATTTTCATTTAAAAATAAATGCTTTCTCAGTTCCTCTTCTCCCCCCCCCCCGCACTTTGTCATCCCAACATTACAAACATCCTCCCCGGTAGTATGATGTCATTTTCACACAATCCCAATGCACATTATTTCCCGCAATGCAAAAAAATGTATTTTCATTTAGGTGGTCGGATAAATCTGTACTCATGTTATTGTTTAGAATTTTAATAGAAAATTTTTAAAAAAATAATCTATGTTGTTTTGCTTAGAAAACGATTTGCTTAAAAACAATTATGCTGTAATTTAAATTTTATACAAATGGCTGAAATTTGAAAAATTGCTTTAATATTTTATTTCGGTGTGTTTGAAATCTTTTAAGTTTATTTTAAAAAGATTTGCCACAACAAGCTATCTATGTTACACAAATGATTAATTAAAGTGCACAACATAAATAATTGACTGAATTATTCTATAAAATTTAAAACTTTATTCTTTTTTTTTAAATATTTGAACAGAAGATCTTTATTAAATGAAATTGCAAACTTTAATAAGTCCAAACTTTGTAGAATTGAAACAGAGGGGCACTTTGCTGATGATCTACTTGGGGATGATGAGGATGTAAAAGTTGATATCAAACCAGTGACATTAAATCAAAATGTTCTTTGTTTCAACTTCTGGGATGGGAATAGCTATCCCATACATAAAATTAAGGTTTGTTTTTGTACAGAGCCTATCTGTTATGGTATTTTTTTCTAATCAAAGCTATTCTACAATAAATATCAAGTTTTCAACTTTTCATGCTATAAATAAAAATAATGACAGATTTGCTTGTTCAGTTTCTGTTGTTTTAACCTCTCTTCTGTGTTGTAGTATTATTATATTAGAAACTCAGAAATTATAAGCAAATTTAATTATATCCATAGTTGTCTAAACATTAAACATATTTTACAAAATAGCTTTTGGATTATAGCTAGAATATTAAAAATTAAAATGTGGTTGCTTGTTATAACTTTTTACATATTTTTATTATAGTTTATTATTGGGCTTCAAGTTCCTGCAAGAGGAGAAGTGACCCTGAACTTCTCAGGCATTGCCCAATTAACAGATATAACCTTTGCAATTATGAGAAATGCAGAAGAGGCGAGACTGAAGGCAGTCAAACAGATTATTTTGGATGGCTGTTATAATATAACAGATGCTGGAATAGCCTGGATGGCAGAAACTTTCCCTGATTTGACTTGGGTATGTGATTTTTCTTACTACTTGTTTTAAATGATAGATAAAGGTTGAGAGATGATATGTCAATGCTGGTTCAACTCTTGATAAAAATGCAGGCTTCAATTTTGAAAATAAATAACTTTAACATTTAAATAATTTCAGAAACCTAAGCTGTTATATTTAATTCATTTGTGATGCACTAATGACATCATACTAATGAAAATTAAGTAGCCTTCATTTAGCTTATAAAACAATAATTTACCCTTAACTATTTTGCCCCCAACCTAGAATCTAATGTATATATCAATAAACTAAAACCAATGGGGCTAATCTCAAACCATTCCATGTAACCCCTTCTACAGTTCTATATATTCTATGTTCAAGTTCTTTCATGAACTACCTTTTTTTTATTAAACGTTAAACATATTTTTTCAGCTCAGCATTTCAGGCTGCAAGAAAGTCACTAATGCTGGCCTGTTGGCCCTTAGTGAAAAGTGCAGCAAATTAACTTCAATAAACCTAACAGGCACTGGAGTGACTCTCCTACCTAAGCGTTGGATTAGTGCAGAGAGCATTAAAATGGTTGGCTGTTCTATCCTTTTCCCTACAGCTCCAACAGATCTAACAGAAAAAGGTAAATGTATTGGCCTTCTTTTAAACTGTATTATAATTATGAAATATAATTATTATATGTGTTCCAGTTTCTGTTTTAAGCTTAATAAAAATAGACATTTCAGTCTATTATTTTTATTTTTATTTTACTTTTAGAAATGCAAATTTTTCAATATATATTTTGTTTCAGAAATATTAAAACCAGAAACAAGTCATTTGTTTAAAGCTTGCTTTGTTAAACAAAACATGGCAGACATAAATTTTTCTGCTATATTACTGGGAGAATCTCAGTCGTCTGTGATGGCAAGGATTTTACCTGATATTAAAGATGGTGAATCCAGTGCTACTGTCTTAGAGGTAGATCAGGTATGTTACAGGTGTAAACAAAATTTTTTTTTTATAATTGAGACTACTAAATTAAAATTAAACATGTAAAAAATGTTTTTGTTTTCGTTATAGAAAAAAATTACACATGCCAAAAAAAAACTGTTATGTTTTACTAAGTAATTTGAAATTAATTAGATTTTCAGGTCAGTTTTACTAAGACAAACGTGCAGGTAAAAAGTGTATACATCTCTCAACTTTTTTTTTCTCCAGACCTTGTCAAGTTTTATGATCACAGATGGTTGTGTTGTCATTCTGCCATTTGTGCTAAAGGAAAAAACAAAAGTCACTGAGGAAGTTTCTGCCATCTCTGCAACAATACTACAAATTTTAGGACAGGTTTGTGTTCTCAGGATCTGTTTAACTTTACATTGAATCCTTTTTATTCTTATAAAAAAGATATTGTTTTACCACTTTTTATATAGATTTATTGTTTTTAACCCATTAAAGCTATTTAAATCTTATAAGATATCATTGGTAGAATATAGTTATGTTTTTTGTTTGTATACTTCACACTCACTTTGTTCATTCAAATATAGTCTATATATTTAAAAGAGCATAAGATATTCAAAATATTATCATATAAAGAAAAAAAAATAACTTTCCTGTTACAAATTTTTAACAGTTATTTTTTTTTAAACATTTCCAGCGTTCCAATATAAATTTTTTACTGGTTGGTTGTAATACCAATACTGTCAGTACTGTTTCAACTGAACTTATGAAAGAAAAGGTAAAAAAATACCTCAAGGAAATAGCTGATCATACTAAAGATGCAAATTATTCTTTTGAGTGAGTTTTTAGTTATAAATTTTTCTTATATACTCAGGGCCTTCCTGTAATTTGTTGAAAATATTTTATTATTAGGTATCTGAAATGCTTTTTTTATAAATGATTACAGACAGTTAAAGGCTAAGCTTTATTTGAATAAAAGCAGTGATCGGGGTATGGGCATTTTTAATTTGCTAGTTAAACACTTATTTCATTAATTTTTTGCCAAGGTATTTGGAGCCGATACCACTAGCAAAACAATTTGAGTATTCTTCTGCCAGGAGGCTCCAAGATAATATAAACAAAACAGTCATCAGCTGCCTTGAAATAAATGTGGATCAGAAGGGAAAAGTATGGTGTTAAACTGTTGTCTAATTCTTTTATAATATTGAGTCTAAATGCTTTTTATTTTAGCATTTTAAATAATATTTTAAAAAAATATTTGAAAAAACTTTTTAAAAAAAAGATGCAAGAAGAAAAAAAGGAATCAGGGCCATTTCATTTAATGAATAACACATACTACTTTTAATAAAATCTTTTTTAAAAACAAAACATTTAAAAACATTCTTATCTTCATCCTTAAATTAAAAAAATTAATTTAAAAATTACATTATTTCTTACCTTAGCCAAATATGTCAAATGTACATCTATGAGAAATTTTATTTTAATATAATGGGTCTCACTAACTTGATAGTGAGTTGTTGCTTAGGTTAAGTTTTGGAGAAATAAGTGAGAGTGAGGTTTTTTTTTTATTGATAACGGTAATGAGTATATTTGTTTTTCATGGCTTACAATTACATTTTTCAAATTTGTTTACTAGCAGGGGGAGATAATCAAGGCAATATTTAACCTAGCAGAGGAACTGCCAGAAAACAAGGAGATAAATTACAGCTTAGAAATTTACAAATGGGCTCAAGACTTTCACTTAAACTTCCCCAAGGAATTAAAAACAGGAGTTCATTCCCTTTATCGGGCTGCAAATGTTATAAAATCAACCACAAATTTTGTAAAAAGACTTCGTTCATTTGGTGCTGTGCAGTTCTTAACAAGCATTGTAAGAGTTAAAATCTCTTTGTATACATTTTTTAGCTAATTTAGTTTTATATCTTATGCTTTTTTAGTTTCTTTCAGACATAGTTTTATATAGCATGCATGTTCTGAAAAGAAACGTAATAAAATATCACAGAAGTTTATAAAAAATTTTTAAATTGATACAAATTCTATTTCAATAAAAGAAAATCCAATGCATTTTACTTTTGTATGTCTTAGTTCTACATTGCATATCCCAATGTTTTAATACAATAAGAACTTTTTGGATTTTAATTCTAGGGAAAACTCAGCTCATGGACTAAAACAAATGGAGAAACAATGATTGCTAACAGTGCTTGGTTGTGTGAAATTTTAGACCTACTGCTATCTCCATGCCCTGCTGGCAAAACAAACAATGGATTAGATCATACCATAGCTGATAACACACCCATTTGGCCAGTTGACATGTTGCAGGAAGAAGCCAAAAAAAGAAACATTCAATGGAGTGAGGTATTATTTTTAGGTTGAAACTTTTATAAACAATAGATTTAATTATTCCAATTTTATTGTATACATTTGAATTTTAAAAGGTTTTCTTCCGATAGTTAAAAAGTTTAAGATCTCTTGAAAACAAATAATTAAACTATATATGTATTAAATACCTCTCACATAAAAGGTTGAGGAAGTGATGAGAGAATTCCCATACCCTTGGTTGACTACCACCAAAAGTATTACCTCCCTTGCAAATCTACCAGAAACATCTGTGATGCCAATTGTATGCAATTTTAATTTTGTTTATTTATTTTAACTGTTGAAATTTTGGAAAGTTCAATAAATTAATTAAATTGTACAAGCAACCATTTCACAAAATAATTCTTTAAGTGTTTTCTTTTTATTCCATAAAAGTACTTTTAAATTTTTTTATAAAAATTAACTAAATATTTAGGCCTAAATATTTATATTTTCAACCAATTTATTTTTCTCTAATCACAACACAAATATAAAATTCTTTTTAACTTTGTTACAGAAAATGTTCACAGAATTTGATAAAAAAGCAACTGGAGAGTTCCACCTAGTGTACAGTTTTGTCCTGAATCAAATTGTCACACCTAGCATAATCCAGACTATTCTCATGCACCTTAGAACACTGCATCCATTAATACATATATGGAGGACAGGGGCTGTACTCTATGACAGTATTGTGGCAGTTATGGTTGGGCAAACAGGTTAGATTTTTAAATTAAGCTTACGATTACTAAAACTGTCTCTAACTTGATCACAAAACAGATTTTATTATTTATATCAGGACTATAAGATAATTTGATGAGGATAGTATTAGGATTAATTTGTTTAATTAAGAATATATGCCTAATATAAGATTTTTGTGTGTTCTATTTGTGTAGATTACAGCAAAGTATTAAATGTTTGTGGTTTTATGACGGCATCTGGAGAAATAAAAAAATCAGCAAGGTTGATTTACAGCACCATGGAAAAGTATAAAACTGTGGTGGAATATGTTTTCAAAACATTTGGCTACACATGGGAGCTCCTGCGCTCTGTGTCAGAGAGCATCTCCGCACCTCCAGGTTCATTCATAAACTTTTAAATAAATTCTTTTCTTGCTTTAAGAATAATAATGAAAAAAATGGTTCTGATGTTGTCACACAAAATGACAAGATGCCAGAAAAAAACAAGCTAAAACATCAAAATTGTTCATGCAGTTCAGGCTCATATTATTTAATGTATTAGTAGAACAAGACAGCGGTGCCTACATAAAATCTTAAAAGGAAATTGAAAAATAGAAAAAATAAAAATTTCGCTGATGCTTTTGATTTAAAAAGGGAACTCAATATAATAAAATGGAAACTACTGCTTCATAACAATCTAAACTAACACATGTACTTCTGACCAAATAATATTCTAATTTTTGTGTTTATTTAATATATATATTACTAGCATAAAGCTATTTTTTATCTAATAGGCCTTTATCTAGATGTAATCCATTAATGGAAATTAATCTACATCAGCATGTCCAAATGCACTCAAGAATTGGGTTGGAGATTACTGACACATCACTTAGTATAATAATTGATTGTTTATTCACATTAGTAGGAGTAGTCATTAATTTATTTTATAACTATACACAGTGAAGCTTCTTTCTTATGCTGATCATGTATTACTACTAAAAAATGTGAATCTTTAAATGTAGAACTACCAAAGAATTTTGATGCACTTTTTTTTTACTAGAACTCTGTAAACTGGAAATTCTAATTGTTTTACACTGTTTATTTTAACGTTAAATTTGAATCAAAGTTTTCTGAAAATTTCGTAAGCTAAAACAAGTTTGTCTAAAAAATGTTAAGTGTAAACTAATTCAAAGTTTTTTCCTGTTTGGACAGAGAATGTTGTTGGAATAGTACACAACCACATCCTAAAGCTGGGGGAACATGGACCCTGTGGCTACTGTGGCATCAGCCCTAAGCAATCATCACTTCTTGCTGTAAGAGATTTTCTCACATTTTAAAACTTGAATTAATATTAGCGAACAAAAAATATTTTAACTTAGCAAAATTAAAAGTCTGATCCACAAACTGTAATAAGCTCTACTTTTTTGGCATCCAGATCTGAATTGGTAATTTACTTTTTAACCAATAGTTAAAAGTGTATTCATTTAAAATGAATTTTTTCAATTAATTTTTCTCAAATATTGAATAATTTGTGGGGTCAGCGTGGTCGAGTTGGTAAAGCTCATGTTTGCTAAACCGAAAAGTCTCTATTTCGAACCCTCGGGCAGATGAGGCTTGTTAGCTGGGGACAGCCACTCTTTTAGGAGAGACAACTCTAAAATCAAACAACTGCAGCCTTGTAGTTTGTTATTGCTTGGACAAAGGCTATGGAAGCAAATCCAAAATGAAAAGCAGGATGAAATCGGAGCCAATGACCTCAATGGAGCATAACCAGTTGACATATATACTTAATTGTGTTGGAGTCATGTCGGCAAAGCTCATGGTTGTTAAATTCTAAAAAATAAAGTCTCGAGTTCAAACCCCCTGGCATATAAGGCTCAATCCCTTCTAACACTAAAAATTAAGAAGGAAGGAGAAGAGGGAGATGAGAATCATTTGTAATGTGCATTTACTGAGTTGCCCAGTTCTTGTTATGAGTTGGTTTCTTCCACCTACACCCCACGCTTCTCTTTTAATTGTGCACTTTTGTACTGGGTTAAAAACATTAATTAACAAAATATTTTTAAAATATACATGTATAACATATTCTTAATAAAATTTCAGTAAAAAAAAAACAAGTTAAATTGTGACTACAAAATTTATATTTGTAGAATAGATTTAGAAATTCTTTACTAAATAAAAAGCAGATAATTCCTGTAGGCTGTAATTATGTAGCCACATTTTTCCATTAATTATATTTCCATAAAGATTAATTTATATTTCCATCAAGATTTATTAATTTATTATAAGCTACAATCTACCTAACAAAACTCAATCAATTTTATATTTTAGATGATGGACATGACCATCAGGCCAAGATTCTTCAACAACAATCTTGTGAAAAGCTTGAACTCTAAAGGCACAGTCAATGCATCCTTGCTCGAACTCTCAAAGCCCTGTGATGTCAGAATTGCTGCTTTACTTGATCCATTTGGTTGTCAACACTGCTCTGTGCTGTTATTGCAGGGGAGTGTTAAGCTCCTTAAGCTCTATTTTAGGTTCAGTATACATTTGTTTTTTACATTTCATTTAACTTTATAAGTTAATGGATAGATCTAAATTCTAAAGTTTTAAAGCCTATAAAATCTTTTTTCAATTTTTCATTCATAAACAATTTTTTTTGTAGTGGATGCAAAAGTCTTTAAAATTACTAAATAACTGCTCAAATTCAGCTTTAAAATGATTTTTTTGAACTTCATTTATGGACAACTCTTTACCGATAGGTAACCATACGTAAAAAATATTTGTATTGCTTACTTGATTTACAGTTCGCCAAACGACAGCATCTGTATAGATTTACACTCTGGCTTGATTGTAAGCTCAGTGGCTGAGAGTCAGACTATGTTTGACATCACAGAAAAACTGGGCACCCTGACAGAAGGAGAAACAATCACAGCCAGGATAAAAAGTCATGTACCTTTTGAAATAGACATTTACATGGGGCCTGTATTACTTCACACTATACAGCTACCTTTTAACAGGTGAGTTTGTTTTGGTTAGTCTGTTTAAGGTCTTGAGTTTCAAATCTGGTTCCAAGTCAGTAGAACAGCCTTGAGTCCACCCAGCTCTGATGGGTACCTAACTCATGTAAGATAAGTAGAGGTAGCTGGGCAAAGTGCGGACCACACCTTACCTTCGTATGCCGAGGTCAAGAAATATATAAAATCTACTTCATCTGCCCAATGGATTGCTAGGTCCAAAGAGGATTTTTAAAATTTTTCTTTTTATCTTTGCATTTTGCCTATCCTGGATTTCAGCTGTTTTGTTTATTGTCTAGGTATGAACTGAAGATTTCATCCATGGGGCACGAGGACACTTTTGTTTCAGCAACAGTTGTGGTCACTGACAGTGACTTTAAGGTGAGATAAATGAAGTTTTGTCATCATTTTAAAATTGTGTTGGTTAAATTCATGTTTAGAATTGTGGTGTATCAGGCATATATGAAGTTGTATCAATATCTTTTTAATTTCACTCATTTATCTAATGACCAAATGTATTGGCTATGGGGTATCATGTAGTTGATTGCAATGTAATCCTGAGTATGATCCCTAGCTCAAGACTACTATATTTTATCAAGGCCACTCAAATGGATCCTTCACAAAAATCAGGGTGTAGATCATAGAAGCAAATGAACCCTATGGGAAATGTCCTAAAATGCATCAGACCATGAAGTATATCTTCTCATGTGGTTTGCAGTTTGTCCCTGTTTAAAATATCTAATTTATTTGTCAAATTTATTGTTTCACTCACAACTTCTTGCACAAAATAAGATTGTTTTCTTGATCCTTACATAAAAATATAATATTTATCATATTGGCCTAATGTTTTCTTTAAAAAAATAAAATTTTGTAAAAACAGTAGAAACTAGTGTGTGGAGCCTTGATTTTGAAATTTTTCTAACATTCTTCATTATTGAAGTTTAATAAATTTCGTACTATCTTTTAGTCAGCTGATACCACTGTTGAGATAGGGATGAGACTAGAAGCAGTGGGTAGACGAAAACCTCATCACATTTGTGTGGCCACTATCAGTAAGTCAAAGCTGGATTAAATACATTCGACTGTATAGAAAATAAAAGCAGTATGTACGTTTTCTGTGCAATCAGTGTACAATTATGCTTAAATTGGAAAGAGTAAAAGCTATCAGAGCGCATGTTAAATGTCACAAAACTATAACGCAGATATTTCTTAACATTTTATATTATTTTGTACTATTTTAATATGAGAATGAGATTTATAAATTCATTGTTCTCAAGATAATATGTTTTGGACATACTGCATTTGTCTAATATACAATCAGTCATCAGAGGAGGCTTGGGGACCATAATCCATCTAAGAGAAATAACTCCAAAATCAAACAACCGCTGCCTTGCAGCTTGTTCTTGGTTGGGCAAAGGCTATGAAAGCAAATGCAAAAGAAAAGCAAGATATAGTCGGAGTCAACTGGCCATATAGCGCACTTTGACACTTAATACTTAATAGTGATGGAATAAATCCTCTCCAATTAAGAACGAACAAAAAATTAGAAAAATATATTTTTAATTTACTGGATAGTTAATTTGTAGACCTAAAGCAAACTTAATTTAAAATTGAAGCTGATATAGATAGAAAGCAGGACCAAGTTTTAATCCATTATGATGGCTATTTACACCAAGACGACTGCTGGTTTGAAGATGACGCTGACAACTCCGACTTCTGGTCAGAACTTGATAACGAGGATTTGCACCCAATAGGTAATATAATACTTTAAAAAAATATATAACCAAAATTTAAAAACATCACCATTATTGTTACCAACATGTGACACAAATGGAGTGTTTCCTTTTTTTAAACTGTAACTTTAATGTGAACTTCTACTATTTTACAGTTTGCTTGCCAATTCAGTTTTTCCATAAAAACTCTTGTTTTTTTCTTTTTCAATTATCATACCCCCTAATCCCTTACCTGATATCTTCACAAAACCTCAGAAACCCTAATCTAAAATCACACTTCATTATCACCACCTTGGCACCCTATATTCTGTTTCCATTTTTTTATTTACAATATACACAGTTAAAAAGGTAATACTAAAGTTCAGTTTAAACAAAAAACGTTTAAAATGCAAATAATATATAACATCAAACTTTTTAACACCCTTTCTCCTCCATCATCACTTTTTGGAAGTCTCTTTAGGAGCATGTTATTTATGTATGACCCCACTCTTTTTTTTACAAATGATTAGAAAAGTTTATGTAAATATGTAGGTTTCATGGCAGCAAGAGGATATGAGCTCGCACAAACAAAACACCTCAATCCAGAGCTCCAGCCCCCAAGGTGTAAGTAATCAAACTTAAAACAAGTTTCATTTTTTTTAAATTTATATTTTAAGTAAAACAAATTTTAAAAAAAACAACTATTGACTTCAATTATTTATATCTCAAAGTGAATATGAATTTTTTTCCTTCTCTTTTTTGATTATTTAATACGAGCTGACCCGCAGCGTATCATACGCCGCTATTTAGTTGTTTTATTTTCTACTTTTCAGTAATTCATAATTTGTGAATTCGACAGTACCAATGCTGCCACTGAAAATATTTGCTTTAAAACACTAACCCCCCCCTCCCCCCCCCCCCCCCCCCGCGAAAGCAGCCTCCTCTTAGTTATTTCTTAGTTACCTCCTGTAAGTTTAAAATCGAACTAAATTATCTGCCCCTAATAGAAACCCGGCTCTACAATTTGTAAACATTTAGCTTTGTAAACATTTAGCGTGACCACAGCTCACCAGACAATGTGGGGGTGGGGTGGGGGTGGTAATGATAGTGATAGAGAGAGAGGGGACTGCAAGGAGGCGCTTGCAGCTTGTTTTCTAACGGCTCCCAGAAGAGAATTATATATATAGATTTAGTTTATTGGTATTTTAAACATGATTTACATTTTTTAAAACAGATTACACAAAGCCATTTGATTGGCTGACTTACTTAAAAGAAGAACATGCACAACCAGTTCCATTTGAATGCTTTAATGAGGTAATATTCCTTTTTAAATTGTAAAACTTTTTAAAAATATAACAAATTTTATTATAGTACTATTTTTTGGAAAAGTATTTTCAGCTCTCTGATATTCACAAAATAAGTCCTTAAATCTGATTTAAAAAAAAAAACTTTTAGTGTAGCTTGCCTTTACTTTTTTTTTTTAATGTAACTAATACATTGAAATGTAATTGTTAGCAGATACAAAATTAGCTATGTTTGCTATTATTAATCACTTAATATAATTCATGTTATCTACTTACTACTTGCTTAAATTTAAATTGTTTGTTCATAATTTTTCTGTCATTCCATGCTTTTTGTTTATTCAGAAACAAAGTGATGGGATGAAACCAGATTTGATACTACAGGCTCAATTTGAGCATGCCTTGAGTAGTTACTCTCAAAATCCTAACACTGTTTCTGAGACTTGTTATAAAAACCCCACCACAGCCCAAGGTATAATATTACTACAGACACTATTTATACATCTCTGCACATAAGAAACATACACTATTTTCAAAGGATACATGCATTTTGATAAGGCATTTTGTGGGTTTTTTTAAAATAACTTTTAAAAACAATTCAGGACTGAGATTAGTATTAAGGAAAATTAGCATGTACAATTATTTATTAATTTTAAAAAAAATTAATTTCTAATACTTTTAATGTATAAATAACTGTTATAATGAAATACTAATTACATGGCACGCACTTCAGATTATAAAGTGTTAACGTATTTATAGTACTGACGTAACCTAATGATCTTTTTAATTATCTAAATAAATAGTTTTTATACTTCATGTTGGAGAAAATAAATGAAAAAAACAAAAAATTTAGAATAATCATATTTGTATATTTTTAGTTTTGGAATACCAAACAAAAACTTACCTCCACAAAACTGAAGACAAAATGCAGTCCAATGACCTTGAACAGTTAATGGAGAAACAAAAAGAAGCTTTTATTTTTTTACCAGCCAACTTGACTCTAGATAACTTGAGGTAAGAAATCTGTTTAATGTTTCTTGAGATTTGTTTTGTCTCTAGAAAACTGCAGGTGAAAAGTTTGATGTGTATTTGTCAGACTAAGGGACATTGATGATGGTGGGAAGCTGTGATATTTTGAAGTTGTCAAAGGCACTTTTGAACATTTAAGAAAAAAAGGAAATCTTTCGGTATTGACAGAAAAAAATTTGGCAATGAAGGAAATGATGAAAAAATGAAATTTTTAAAAATCTTTGTGTTAAAGTTAATGAATATTTTATTAGATTTATGAACTAGAATTTATAAACAAGTAAAAAAAAATGTTAAAACTAAAGATTTTTTTTAAAAATCCAGATACCCTATGCTCTCAGATGTTTACAGTGATAAGCAACAAAGGATTCATTTCTTATGTCCAGGCCATGGTTTGTAATGAACAACTTTTAAAAAATTAGCTTTAGAACTCATACTATTTTTTTTTTAATTTAGTTTTTTAAATGAACTGAAATTTTTATTAAAAGGGCAATTTAATTTTTTTAACTTTAGATTTCCACATGGTGAACCACCCAGGACTTCTGCTCAAGGGAGATCAGCTTGTAGATCTGAAGTCTTGGGCTGGGGTTTTACAAATGCCGTATGCAGTTTTGTTAAATTTGAAGGTACAAATGAAATGTGGGCTATGTTGTGTGTTTTTAATTAACATCTATAATATTATTTTTTAAACCAGATGTAATAAATCCTATGAAAGAAATAGCACATTTTCTTGTTTCCATTGAATTTCTGTTTTTTCTATGCATTTAATTTCCTTCTTAAATTTTGAAATATTGTAAAAAACTTTTTTAGAGTTATCTGCCACGAAACATATCTGCTATCTGTGCAGGAGCAGATAAACTATCCACTGACAAGGTAAAATTGATGCTAACAAATCTATCTGATTAATAGGCCTACTTCGTTTGTTTTCTCATGTTAACATTGAATGTCCTGATGTTCAAAATAGGTTGAAAGAATATCAAAATCAATTTGTTTTTTTATTTACTGAAATTCCTATACAGATAGTTAAAAAGTCTTTAAAAAACTTATTCAGGTTGCAAAAACTAGTGTTAAAACACTGAAGGCAGTTATAAACCAGAAATAAATCCCAGAGAAACATTGACTTTGTTTATAGCTTAATTCTTTCCTCTTCTTTAAAAAAAATACTCTGAAAAATATTGTATTTAATAAATTTGCTAGATGAGGTTTGAACAACTTAATTATGTAAAATCATATGTTCAAATTTCCTTTCGCTTTCAAACAGCTACCTCTGATAGAGCTGGCAATGAAACGTCTACAGAGGCTCTATCTCATGCATTGTATCTTCTACAGAAACACAAAGGTAAATCTTAGCCTTGTTATTCACAATTTTAGTAAATTAAACATAACTGTTTTATTATTTGAACAATTCGATACCAATCGGTTCTTATAAAAATGCAGACAGGATAATACAGTATTTGACATTTTTTACTGAGTATTTTTTATATCTTTAAGGTGCTAGGATCAAGGTGATGTTTGTTGTATTTGGTTTGGTCTAGTGCTGGGGGTAAACTTGTAGTGTAGCAAGATTAGCACATTAGAAATAGCCTGCTGATATACCTAACTACTATCGGTTGTGCTTTTAGAAGTTAAAATTTCGTTTAGATATAGATTACTTTACTAAAAAAAAAAAATTCTTTTGATAGGAAATGAGCCAAATACAAAGAGAGACAACTCAAGCAATATTAGAAAATGCTATTAGATCAGATGCCAGTGGATTTGCTCAGATATTTCACCAACCACAAGCACATTCTGGCCTGTTGTGTATCGCCCACAAAATGGCTAACTCTCCTTCTGCAGGGATACAAGAGTTTTCAATTTCTAAATTTCAGGTAGTTGCGTTTTAAAAACACTAGTAGATTTTAAAACATTTTAGTGCTACAGAAAATAACAAAGTTTTCTGAAAATAAATCTTTCTAAAAACATGTTACTGATATTTAATTCATATTTGAGTTTTTCAAAAATAGTTTTTAATTCTTCCTTTTAAAAATTTTTCCATTTGATTTGACATCAAAATTTTAAGGAACTGTTTGGTGAAATAAAATAACAAATAAAATTTTATCAAAACACTTAACAATTAAAGATTCCTGGTTGAATTTCAAAATTTCTATTTTGATTAAAACTCTCATTAAAGCTATTTTTTAATTTCAAATTTTTTTAGTAGTATCTTTTTATTTCACCCTTATTTTTAATTTGAATAATGTATAGGCTCCAAACAAATGGTTTTAGTTTTTAACAGGAGATTGATTGTACAATACCATGCTACATGCGTATTCATTATCAAATTGATTTTGTATGCTTATTGATAAAAAATGTTTTAAAGTAAACTATTTCATAGTTTACTAGTTTACTACACATTTCAAATCAATTGAATTTAAAATTACACTCAGAAAAATATTGGTTATTTAATAAACTAGTTTCCACAACAACAAAAATGTAAACATAATTTTTAATATTCCAGAACTTGGCCTCTAATATTTTTGTGATGCATCTAGAAAACAATCCTTTATATTCTTTGCCTGAAGATTTTTTCTCAAATTTTTTCAATCTGACTCACCTTTGGCTGGATGGTTGTACCGTTGGAGGTATTTATATTATTATCTCCCTTTACATTTTGAAAGATAACAACTTCATGAAAGTTACAACAGCTGGCACTTTTAGTTGTTGGCAGTGTAGCCTTTTTCATACTTGATGAGAAAAATTTTTTTGACGAATATATATTTTTAAAAAAATAGTTTATCTAAAAAATGTGCACTTGATGAGAACATTGTTTTGACGAATATATATTTTTAAAAAAATAGTTTATCTGAAAAAATTGCGAAAAACGTCAAATATAATTACTAGTCCATACAAATGAGAATATAAAATAAAATCTGGTCTTATATATAGTTTACATAAAACAAGCAGGTTTTTCTACTAATTGACTTTATTTATTATAATGTCTATAAGTGTGCTTGCATAGGTTCCTTCCTGTTAAAAAGATTTTTTTGTGGGAACAATTTTGAATCAAGTCAATCTAGGTCTATTGAATTTTAAAATAAGTTCAAGATAGTGTAATCTGTATTTCTGTAATCTGATTTTACAAAACACAAACAAAAAAAAAAACCCAGATATTTCTGCAATCATTATTTTATTAATTTTTTTTTTTGGTGTTTTTGTTAGTTCTGTTTAACCATTAATTCTAGACTAGAAAGTGTAGTTATTTTTTCGGTTTTAAATTATGAGGTAGCAAATACTGCAAGACCAACCAGAAAAATGGGATTGATGGTTGATCCACTGATAGACATTGATACATATTCAAATTAAAGTCTATTTGAAAAAAAAATTTAGTTTTTTTGTCTCAAGAGGTGAATTGATTTGAATGATTAAGTCTTCTTCTTTTTTTTTTTTAGAATTACCACCCTTGAAAGAAAACACTTGCCTTGAGGAAATACATGTGAAAGGAAACATGCTACAAACCCTACCAGATGATATTGGCCAGTTAACTTTACTTAAGGTGAACTTTTTACAATTTATATTTTGCACTTTACTAAAAGTAGTTTTTTTAAATTTATAATCAAATTTTGAAAACTTTGTTAATGTCTTCTGCTGAGTTATGAGATTTTTTTCATTTACTTTTTAAAAAGTTTGTTTGAAATAAAGCAACCTCATTCATCCTATTAAAAAAACAAATTTTCCATGGTTGTATAAAATTATTAAAATAGCTTACAAGCTTATTAAAAAATAAGAAATATAAAAATTGACTTATCTTTTGTATATATAACGTACGCCTATTGGATAAAGTATTTAATACACTGCTTTTATACTTTAATATTCCCCCCCCCCACACACAGATTTTAGATATATCCTCCAACCCCATGGAAGTATTACCACAGGTGATATCATCGCTGACCTCACTTGTTGAGCTGTATGCTGACAACATTGGCACTGTTGACATGACACTAATCTGTCCTCTGACAAACCTCACCAAGCTGTCCCTGGCCCACAACTACATTGATTCCATCCCAGACAAGTTCTCATCTTTGGCGCTGACCTACTTGGACATGTCCGGCTTGCCTTTGATGCCCACTGGAACATCTTTTTCAAGCCCTGCCCTCAATACTTTCTTGGACAAGTATATAGTCTATCGCAGGATAAATGCAAAGGTGAAAAAAAAAGTTCAAATTTTATTCATTTACTTTCATCAACTTTTCCCCTGTCAGTACCCAAGACACATGAGGCAGGTGAAGTAGAGTTTATCTGTTGCAATGACCCTAGTGTATATAAAGTGAGTTAGGTACCCATCAGAGTTGGATAGACTCAGAGACTTCCGATGGACTTGTCTGGCATCCAAACTGAACAACTTCATGTTTGCAGTCTTGTGCTCTACCATCTGACAACGATTTATTAATTATAATTAAACTTATTTAGCTTTTATAAAATTGTGATCTATAGAAAAAAAGAGAAATGTACCACTGCAAGTAAGACAAAAAAAAGTTCTAAAAAAAGTCAATTTTTCAAAATGATATTACTAGTTGATAATGTAAAATTTTTTTGCAAACACATTTTTAAATTTGCAAAAAAAGAATAACTGATGAATTATTTTTTTTCCAAGGAAAGACAGGAAATGGTTGAAAAGGTTGAAAACAATGGTGAAAAAATGAACAACGCAGTCAAGCTTTCTGAAGTTAACAAACTTCTTTACAGCAAATTCCCACGTTTGGGAAAATTGGGCAATCAGGATGATGAAGGTTAGCAACCTTGTTGTTGAAAAAAAGTAGTTGTAATATGTTCTACTTAAACAACTATCTGCACAACCTAAGTGTTAGCAATCAGTGATGAGGTATAGAAATCTTTTGTACCTTATGCATTGAAAGCTACTCAGCATTTGTGAGTTGTTTCCCTTGCATGAAACAAACTCAGTTTATTAATATAGTGTTTAATAGTTTAAATATGTTTTGAATGATACGTTTAAATAGTTTAATTTTTTAATGTATTTTTTTTCAACAAAATGTAATTATTTATGTGTTACAATATTTATTTATTTTTAAATTGTAACATTTATTGGGTTTATTTATAGTAGAAGTGTTGAATCAGGCTTGTTTTTGTGTTTAGAAAATGCCTTCCCTGAGACCATCATGAAAATGACAACATTGAACACATTGATACTGCCATACCATGCCTTCACTACAGTACCTGATAGTGTTAAAGACTTGACCTCCCTGGAAGTTCTAATTGTCGAGTACAACCCTTCACTGCTGACTGTCAGTGCTGAACTGGCTAAACTACCACTCAAAAGTAGGTCCATGCTGTCTGTATGATGTGAGGTCCATGCTGTCTTGTATGATGTGAGGTCCATGCTGTCTTTTATGGTTAATAATGTGGTCCATTCTGTCTTGTATGATTAACATTGTGGTCCATGTTGTCTTGTATGATTAACATTGAGGTCTATGTTGTCTTGTATGATTAACATTGAGGTCTATGTTGTCTTGTATGATTAACATTGAGGTCTATGTTGTCTTGTATGATTAACATTGAGGTCTATGTTGTCTTGTATGATTAACATTGAGGTCCATGTTGTCTTGTTTAATTAAAATTAAGGTCCATGCTATTTTGTTTCATTAACTTTATGGTTCATAGTGTCTTGTTTAATTAACATTGAAGTTCTAGGTGTCTACTTTAATGAAAATTAATGTCCATTAATGTCCATTTTATTCTAACAACTTTTTTTTTCATTTGTTAAACATTTTTTTCCCCTGTTGTTGTTCTACAACAGGTCCCATTTAACCCATTAAAGAAAGTATTTCCACAAGTATTTCTAACAGAAAACTCTTTCATTCCTTATGCTTAACCATTTTCTTCTGTCAGAGCTCCATCTGAGAGAATGTGTTAATCTAAAGACACCTCCACAAGAAGTTGTACGCCGTGGGTTTTTAGCCATTATGGGATATTTGAAACGATTATTACAAGGTTCTGTGTCGTGTAAGAGAACAAAGCTGATGATGGTTGGCCTAGGTGGGGCTGGGAAAACTAGGTAGGTGTTAATTAGGTAATGACTAATTAGTTGTAGGTTTTTACCCAGCTGTTTATTATAAATATCTGGCCACATGTTTCTAATAGCCAGTTTCAACAGAATACATGAAAACATGGCCAGAATACATGATAGATGCTTGATGCCAGATATGAAATCTGAATTTAATTCTGGGTAAAAATTATATGTGGCTAAATAATTTCTAAGGCAGTTTAATTTGAGTTATGGAAATCACACAGACCTAAGCCCAAGAACCAAACTTGAGACATTTAGGTTAGCAAGCAAGCGACCTTTTATAAAGCATAAAAAATAGAATGTTACATCTCTTGATTTAGCAACAAATCAATGCTTGATATGTATTTATTTATGTTAAATAAAATTAATATGTATTAGTTAAGTTCCCTTTTAAATGTGAAGGGACAAGTGAATTGGAATACACCTATTTCTGTAACGTAATATTAAAGAATATTGAGATCAGTGCTAAGCCCAGCCACCCTAGTTTCCCAAGAGTTGGGTGGACTTAGGGATATTTTACGCACTTGAACCCTGATTGCAACTTGAGACTTTTGGGTTAGTAGTTATAAGGCCTACCCTTCTACCTTGCTGTCCCATATTATGTATTAGGTTAGCTTAGGTTAGGATTGCCTATCACTACTCCTGGGACATAGGCCACTGACAAGAGCTTTACAGGCATCTCTGCCCTGGGCTAGTCTCCTACTGTCCCTTGGTGTCTTCTTCTAGGTCATGTTTCTAGGTCTTTCTTGGTCTGCCTCTCCTCCTGCCCTGTGGATTCCAGGTGAGGGCCTGTCTTTTTATGCTGGATACAGGCTTCCTGAGTGTATGGCCATTCCATTTTCTCTGAAGGATCTCTTCTTCTGGCTGTTGATTTGTCCATTGCCACAGTACCTAAGTTCTAACAGTTTTAGGCCTGCATATTCAAAGGATCTTTATGAGGCCTGAGTTAATAAATGATTGTATTTTCTTCTTATTTGTGTCAGTTATTATGTCCTAAGACCACTTTGATGATGGTGTGTCCAATGTTACAGTCTGGTTCGGGCTTTGACCGATAAGCAGCACAATTTTTACGAGAACTACGCTGAGAGAATCACTGATGGCATTGACATCACAGAGTGGCAGGTCAACGTCAAACACCTGATATCAGAAACTGAGGCCATTGACAGGGACGAGCCTCTGCATTTCAGTGTTTGGGACTTTGCTGGCCAGACAGTGTACTACAACACTCATCAGGTGAGTTGTCAAATACAAATTAAACTCATTTTTGTTTTTATTGTTAAGAAAATTACATACTCATAGCACTATAATCATTGTTAAAGATTCTTAAACACTTGGCACATATTACTGAGTGGAGCTTACCAAAAAGTAGTTCTATTATACCTTTTGATGTTGAATTGAACATTTATTCTTAGATTTTAAAGAATTCTCGTGTATGAGTAAAAATTATTTTTTTCAGTTTTTCCTGTCCAACCGTGCTGTCTATTTGCTGTTGTGGAATATCAGGCTTGGATACGAGCATGCTGGACTTGACTTTTGGCTGAGTTCTATTGCTTGCCACGCCCCCAAAGCTCCCATTTTGATTGTTGGTACACACAGTGACAAGGTTTGTTCCCTTTCTAAAATTTATTAAAAAAAGGTCATTGATTGTATTCTCAGGAGAAGCAATACATAATATTTTAAATCTACTCAAAGAACTTGTTAGTGTGATAGAAAAATCTATTAATATTTATATTTTTTTGGTTTATTTATCCTTTTAGTTTGACATGCAGTCTACTGCATTATTTTTTACAAAATACATTTTAAAAATTTAAAAAAATATGTATTTATTTGCAAGTAAAGTAAATTAAGATTTTTTTTTTAAATGTAGGTTCAGAAAGGCAAGCTACCAAAGGAAGAATTAAAAAGAAGATTCCCTCAGATAGTTGGATTTTATTTTGTCAGTTCCTTCTCTGGAGAGGTATGTAGCTCTAGTGTTTAGTACCTTTTTACATTAGAGAGTTCAGTGAAATTAACTTAGGCTAATGTGCAGCTTGTTTTTTGAAATAGTTTTTTTTTCAAAGTATCCAATGATCAGTATCATTGTATCTAGGTTCTATATAAATTTAAAGAACTTACATTTTTTAATTCAATTATTTTCTCTTGTTTTTACCCAGAATAAAATGATTTCTGTTCAATTATGGGAATTTCAAATAGTTAAACTTTTTTTTCACTTTCTAGCAACTAAATGACATTTAATACCATAGATTTATAGTAAATTTTGAATGGTTAAAGTATAATGTAGTCATTATCTTTGTTGTAGCATCAGTGATAATTTTAAATTGATGAACAGTTGCATGGATTTTTTTTTATTTGCTCCATTCAAAGGGTATTCAAGAATTGAAAACAAGTCTGATAATGTCAGCACTCTCTCAGAAGTACATGGGGGAGAAGATCCCAGAAGCCTGGTTAAGCTTGGAGATACAGCTAGACAAGTTTGTTATACATGTTATCTCTCACTTAATTTTTACAAAACAAATAAAATGTGTATGGGTGAATTAATGTTGATCTGTTAGTGTTAGAAAGTGTTTCTCAACAACTAGTTTTATTTGTAGTGAATATTTCATTATACCAAATTTAATAATAAGTCAGTCCATTTTCAGACTAAGAAAAGAAGGGAAATCACTCTTACAGTTTCATGAAGTTGAAGAAGCAGCAGATACTGCTGGAATTATGGATAAGCCAGAGGTAGGTATTAGCTTGATAATGCTAGCAGATAGGGGAAGAGACTGGCTAGATACAATATATCTGATCTAAAATATTTAAATTAATGTATTAATAATTAAGTGTCTTTCAGAAAGTTCTTTAAGAAGTCATTTAAATATCAAAATCAGTTTACCTATAATCATGGAAAAATATTATTAACAACTTAAAAGCAATGAATTGTTAAAAAAAAAATTTTTTTAAAATTCTGACATCCTAGATAATTTTTTCAGCTGATCCAGGCAGTGCAGTTCCTGCATGATTTGGGTTCAGTTCAATTTTTCAACACCAATTTTCTGCGCTCACACATTGTGATAGTACCTCAGTGGATAGTTGATGTCATGGCTTGCATTGTTACAGTTCACGAAGGACCCATTCAGGTCAGTCAAATCATCAGTTTTTTTGGGGTTTTTTTTGCTGTCTGACATTAACTTTAGAAAATTGGCAGTATATTTTTTTTCGTTTTAGGTATTTTTTTGTAACTGAGCTATCCATAAAAAAAAATCTTTAAAAATAAATTTGTGGAAATAATCTTGATTTAAATGAACTTATTTCTAGGATGGTAAACTCTACTATAATGACATGCCCCGCATTTGGGCCTCCTACCCAGAAGAGCTCCACCCATGGTTGTTGCGCCTGACTGAAGAGTTTGACTTGACTTTTCCACTGGCCAATGAGGAGGCTAATATTGTGCCCTGCCTGTTGCCCAACACTGAGCCAACAGTATGTTTTCTTTTTTCTCTTACAAATTCTCCTGAAGGGTTTTAGAATGTAACAATAAAATAGATTTGGTTCTTAACATTGTATCAATTTTTCCCTTGAAACCTCTGTTAGGGTTTAGGCTAGAGCCACAGAAACAAGGTCAGAGTTAAGGCTAGGGTAGTGATAGTCTTGATATGTCTCACTATTTGTTAAATTAGTAAGCCTACTATAGTTATAAATTGAAGAGCCTAGTACTAAAAAAAGTACTTAAGTCACATAGTCATTATTCCTCTAGTATGACTTTATCTTATGTAAAAATATTAACAAAAAAAAAATGTTACGTTTTATAGCCAATTAAAATTTTAAAACTCACTTATCTCAAAATGTTGTTTTTTGTGACTTAAGTACTTTTAGCACCAAGGTCTCCAATTTCAAAACAAAAAAGTATCTAATAGGCCTACAATTGCAAATTGAAAAAAAAATATTCCAGTCCCTTTTTGTTTTTCCCCTTTTAACTATATAGCTTTGAAAATTGTTTTAAATAGTTATTACGTTTGTTTCATTGTGCCTGTCGAACCTTTTTATCTAACTATTTTTACCTCTTTTAACCGTGTCTTGTCCAGTATGACTTTCCTGCTGTGAATCAAGACATTTGTGAAAGAGAATCAAAAATCAAATATAAATTTCAATATCTACCTGCAGGCTTGTTTAACAGAGTGCAGGTAATTTTTACCTCCCATATGCTTTTACTTTTATGTTTTGTTAAGTTACTTCATTCCCAAGCTTTATTATTTTAATTTATCATAGCACAGATTAATTTAACCTTTGGCCATGTTTCACTCCCCAGGTACGTCTGCACGAGTTCAGTGATAGCTCAGTCATGTGGAAGAAAGGATTTCTGCTGAACAAAAACAACCACAGAGCCCTATTGCTGCAGATCAGGCAAGTACCCAGACCTAAGGAAAATTACTTCTACACTGTTTATAACAATGGCATCTCTTTGGATCACGAGTTAAGATCTTGTTCCAGGCTCAAGACTGCAGGCTGCCCCTGAGTCCACCCAGCTCTGATGGGTACTTGACTTACATTGGGGAAAGTAAAGGCAGCTGGGCATAGCACTGAGCACACCATTACTTCAAATGCCAGTTCAGGAAACATGAACTCTACTTCATCTGCCTTATAGATCATTAGGTCTGAAAGGGAAACTCTACTTACTTTACTTCTATAGATATTTATTGTGTCAATGTTTCTGTGGCTGAGGATATGTTGAGAGTCTGGGTATGACGCAGGTGGCAATTTTTTCTGTTGTAATATTTGTGGGGGGAAGACAAGAGAGTTTACCCTATTAATTTTAAAAAGGTGAAGGAAAATTGAGAATTCTCTCCAAGCATGTTTATGAAAGTGTACGTGTGTGAAGTTTCAATCTTTGAAATATCTTAAGGTCTTATACTTTTCTTACTATTGATTATTTTAATGTTTAGTGCTACAAAGGTTCAATTTTAATAAAGAAAAAACATTTGACATATTGCCAAACCATATATTCAATATTGGCAATAATTTATGTTACTCCTTTACATAATATTAGATAAATCATTCTACCATGTAGCTTTTCAAATTCGTAATTGACATTCCACAAATCAAAATTTTATTGTATTTGTTATGTCAGAAGTAAAATCGTTTTTTTTTTAAAAAATGTATTAAGGGTGTGGGCGAGTGATGAAAACCAAAATAACCAAATGTTTATTTCTAAACCTAATGCTATAATATTTAGCATATATTTATGACTCAAAGAGTTAAGTAAAAAAAATTTTAAAAGCTGAAAATTTCATACGGTTGCCTTAAGAGAATTTTGATAAAATATTGTTAATGAAACTTGAAATTAGGTTCTGCAAAAATAACAAACTTTTTTGTCACCAGTAACTCTGAGGTTTTAACACTAAGATTGTTACTGCAACAATAATTTAAACCTTTTTGTAATACTTAGGTTGTAGTTACTGTAAAAGTAAATTAAACTTTTTTGTCACCAGTAACTCTGAGGTTTTAACACTAAGATTGTTACTGTAACAATAATTTAAACCTTTTTGTCACCAGTAACACAGAGGTTGTGGTTACAGCCCGTGGTTACAAGCCAGAGAACACTATATTTTTGGTGCATGAAGTCTTTGAGTGTCTGATTGCTGACTCCTACAGTGGTGTGTCCTATGACTATTCTATACCTTGTGCTGAATGTGTTTTTGAGGTTTGGAATTTGTCATAAAAAAAACACTCAAATTGTAAAAAATTTAGAAGCACTTTTTAAAAAAGACTAGTTTTATTTATAAGTTTAGACCTTTGTGCTACTAAAACAACAAAATTATTTTCAAACACTGTAAACTCTTTTTTTCTCAGTCATCAGATCTTTTAATTTCTGTTCTTACCTATACCTTTTTTAAATATCTTTATCATACAAAGTTTTATGTTATTTTACTGTTAGCATTTAATATCTTCATCTTTAATAGCTTTATATTTACTATTTTATTTCCCAAATACGAGATCTATTACACTACTTTTTGAGTCTGTTATTTGTTTCATTTGTATCATTCAATTTTTCAGTTAACTCTTGATCCATGTATGTTTGCTGCCTCCAAAATCAAAAGAGCTTTTGAGTTAAAGGCCCCATTTCTGCAGTGTGTTAAAAATTTTCACATTATCTCAATTAATGAGATACAAGGTATTTGTTTAAGGCTGGTAGTTTATCACTTTGTAATTTGATGTTACTACTTCAAGCTAAAAAAAATTGCAATAGTTTCATATTTTCAATTTTAAGTAGCTGTATTTAAATATTATTTTACCTTTCTAAAGAATTCATTATACTTAAAGCACTTTAATGTTTCTCTTATAAATCTTTCTATAACAAATCTACTTGATCATGTCTCATTAATAATATACTATAGTGTCACTCCAAAAAATACCTAAACTCTTTCTTTATCCTTATTAGAGAATTTGCATCTTAATCGAAACTTTAATTCTTAGCCATTCCAAATAGGATCATTTAACAATTTTGTGAACAATTTACTGAATCTGAAATAAATAACCTATGTGTTTCTGTAAACAGATTTTAAATTTATTTAAACTGATTTTAAATTTATTTAAAAAGTTAAATGTTTACAGCATAAAAGGTACCAAGAATCTGAAATACAGAGCCTTTTAAAAATGTTATTTAAAATTTTTGCAGCATTCCTGCCACCAGATGCTTCATCTAACTTTGACGAGCACCTGAGTAGAAGTGTCAGAGAGCTGCAGGACTTGGAAGAAAATGTAGCTGTAAGAGTGTTCTTTGTTTTCACAAGTCGTAACATCCCTGCCGCTGGCTCAGTGCAGAATGTTGTTGATCCAAACACCATTTTAGATGACTTGAGGTCTGAAGGATTCAATGTGTGAGTTCCTGTGTACTGAGCTTATCAGCAGTTAGGTTTTTAAAACTTTATTTTACATTTAATTGCTTAAATGTCAGTGCAACATTAAGTAAAAGTAAAGTTCCCTTTTGAATCTGAAAGTCCATGGGGCAAGTGAAGTAGAGTTTTTGTGACCTCTGCATATGAAGGAATATTGTGTCAGCACTATGCCCAGCCACCTTTACTTTCCCTAATATGAGTCAAGTACCTATCAGAGCTGGATAGACTCAGGGCGTTCGACCGACTAGAACCCTGAACTTAAAACTTTCAGATTAGTAGTTGTATGTGCTACCATTCGATTACTCCCTCCCATAAACACATAGACTTACTTATTTTTACAAAGTATTTATTTATACAAAAAATATTTTTATAAAAAATTGAAATAGTTTATCAATTTTTTGTCCAACATAGAGAGACAAAGATGTCATAATGGGATTTAAAATATTGATTCACTCAGTAGGACATTTAAATAGAATTATAGATGTGAATATTAACTTTATATTTGAATGCATCATTAATTATTTATTATAAAATATTGTTTATTTTTTCATGATAAAAATCATTACAAATCTGCATGTGTATTTAGTTTTGAAAGTTCACCACTTTTTAATTTTTTTTTTTTTTTTCTCTTGATCAGGTCCTATTGTGATGACCCAGAGTCTGCCAACATTGAGGATCTAACATTGGCAATTAAATCTGCTCAGGTAGGAATACTTTTTTAAAATCTTTTAGTTTTTTATTTAATCTTTTTTGTTGTTTTCTTAACAGAGTTGTCATATCTAGTTTAATTTTAGATCATCAATTATATTTAAACTGTAGTTTAATTGGTAGAAAAAATAATTACAAGGAGACTATAAATAAATGTAATTTATTTTATATTTGAAGTTTAATTTAAAAATGACAACTTAATGTTTTTATTTCTCATTGATGAATTGGATTAGATACTCATCACTTCAGTGAAGTTTTTTTTGTCTTTCTAACAGTTGTTTTTATTTCTGCAGATTGTCATTGTTGGTATTTCAGATGAATTTGTTGCAATACCAAAATGTCGGGACCTTATTATTTACATGAAGCAAACATTACACACAAATTTGATTCTCGTAGCCATTGGAGCAAAACTTACTTGGCAGGATACGGATATTAATTTAGTTTTAGCTGACGAGGTAATTATTTTTATTACTGTTTAGGTTCTACTTTTTAATAGATTTAAAAAAAAACTTCAATTATTGATTTCCTCAATAACAATTAAGTATATTCTATGTTCTGTGTGCCCTTTTGTCTCCTATTTCAGCCTTACTTATTTTTCTTGATTCCCTTCCATAGTATTTGTCTATCCAAGAACAAACTACAAGGCAGCAGTTGTTTTATTTTTGTCTTTCCTAGATAATTGCTGTCCTCATCTATCAAGCCTCATCTGCCCACTGGTTAAAACTTGGGATTTTTGGGTTTAGGCACTATGTGCTTTAACTGCCTGATCAAACCGACCCTTATAGTAAACAACTTGAGAAGAATAATGAAATTTAATTTTTAATTTAATCTAAAAATAAATAATTTTTGTACAGTAAATTTTAAAATTTCTCACCTCTTTAGATTTTTGTAAAGATGACCCAGAAAGACAGATACAACAGTAAAATTCAGGAGCTGTTTGATGCCATCATGTCCAGAAAGCAAAAGAAAAAAGCAAGTGTTTAGATGTTATTTCAATTCCATTTTTCAACTTACGCTTTGATACTTCAGTGCCTTGCACAAGTGTAACATTTATCATGTTATGATAATTTTTCCCCCATTCATTATAATCTGCACAGTTAACTGCTAGTTATTTAGTAATTAAATCTCGGAACTTGAGAACATGCTTGGAGATAGTTCCATTATCTACGGACATTACAGAATAACTGAAAACCAAAAAATAAAAGTCCTGTAAAGTAGATATAGTGTATAATTTGTTTTCTATAAAAAATTTAATTTTTTTTTATTTTACTCATGATTTAGGACAGTTACCCTGACTGCTTTATAAGTTACTGCTGGGCCAACTCAAAGATGGCTGTAGATCTGGGATCTGCAACTAAAGAAGGTGCTCTGGGCTGGGGAGATCCAAGAAAAATTAAAGAGTTCCTGGAGTCAAAGGGAATTAAATGTTGGCTGGATATAGAGCAAATGGGGCAGGTTAGTTTGGCTTAGTTTTAGTAAATAACAGTTAATTTTGGAACTTCAATGTAATTTTTCACTAAAATGAAATATTTTTTAGAAAGGAGTTTTCGAAGACATAGCTTTACTTAGTTTTAGTAGTGTACAACTTATTTTTAGAAGTTTCTTTAATTTTTTACAAAAATTAAATTAAGGTAAATTTTTTCAGGAAGGATTTTTTGAAGACATAGCAGATGGACTAAGGAAGGCCAAAGTTATGGTCGCTTTTGTTTCAGATGAGGTTATTATAATTTTTTTGTTTTCATTAGCTTTTTTTTAAAATATTTTTTTTATTCATGATCAAAGTATTGTAAATATTTTTCAGAAAAAAAAACTATATTATCCAAGTATTTGTTTGTTTATTATAAACATTTTTCAGTATAAAAATAATATCCATACATTTTTTTTTGGAATGCTAATTTTCTAAAAGTAATTATTAAAATACCAAAAAAGTTAGATAGGCTTCAGGCATGTTTAGTATATTCCCACCACCACCTTTTTTTATACACACACACACACACACACACCAGCTTTAGTTAAGAGTCAGTGAAACACTGGAAGTATATTTCATAAATGTTTTGTATTCTTCAGTATGCAAACTCAAAAAATTGTAAAATGGAATTTCGATTTGCATTGACAACTCTTAAAATACCCACAATTCTGGCTGTTGTTGGCACTGGATTTTCATGGGTGAGAAGCGAGGTAATGTAATATTTCTCTCGGAAGTTAGTAAAAAGGCAAGATAATTAAATAAAAGAAGAAAATTTTCTTAAATTTGTTTTCATAGAAGTTCCTCATCTTTTAACCCTTTCCCCGGCGACTGGGTGTAATCGACCCGAAGTCGCTATATTTTTGCTCATATCTCGAGTCTCGTTTTATAAATTTTTCTGGGCCTCATTCCCATCTATAAGGTGGTTAGGATGAACACATTGGAGGTTGTACATTTTAAAAATATGCATAAAAAATTTTTTTATGAGGGTTTGAAATTTTTTTATACGGTCCCTGGCAACTGGGTGCTACACACCCGTACACAATTTTGAATGGAAAAAATATTTATAACTTAAAAACTGGCTTCTAACAATTTGTTTTTACTCATTGTGGGTTAAGTCATTGTGATACATTTTCAAAGTTTAACTATAAATTAACAATCTGAAGGTATTTGAGTAACAAAAATATCAAACCAGATTGAAGTAATCAACTTTAGTAATAAAATAATAGAACATTAACACGTTTTAAAAATTTGCACCTCAGAAAGCACAGTTGTTAGTTAAAATTAAAATAACTGGACATTTCCTTTTGCTGGCAGGGAACTTTCGTTTTTTTTTTAAATAAAATGTGGGCACCCTTTTAGTGGTGTTAATTGAGTCACATGCCCAAAATATTATAATTCCATACTTATCGGAATTGCGTTGTATGTATTGGATAAATCTACTCCCCCCTCTAAAATCAACCAGTTGCTAATTAGTAATGATCTCTCCAGAAACATAACACCTTTCTAAATTTGAATGGAATATCTACCATAATGGAAGCAAATATACCATGAGCCTGATGGACTGTTAGTGTTATTGTTGTGAAGTGAATATGACCCAGAAGGTTGCTGAATTTTTTCATAGAAAATTCTGCCTTCAAAAACTTCCATAAGCAGAACTGAATTGACATACAACTAAATTGTTATTCTGCAGAGTGCCAGTGTCTCCTCTTGCTTTCTCTCCATCCCTGCTAATGCAGTCAAATATTGGTTGTATTATTTTTTGTATTCATGAACAGAAGAAATATTTTGGGTCAGGCTGTTTATAAATTTCCTGGGATTAGCACTTCAGGCAGTGGTCTAGTGTACTGTTACTTTGTCTTTCCTGAAAATATTTCTTTTTCTTCACTTTGCACCAGCCGTTTCATTTCATTATGAGTGCCAACTGTTGACACATTTTTGATAGTTGAAATGCAGTATATTGGGTAGACCTCGTCATCAGAGCTGCTTGATACTGATGGCTAACATTCTTCATCTTCTACCTCTGATACTGATGGCTGCCATTCTTCATCTTCTAACTGATACTGATGGCTGCCATTCTTCATCTTCTACCTCTGATACAAATAGTTCAGGCTCAAAACTTGCTCATTTTCACCTGCTATACTTAAACTGGCAAATATATTCCTTTATCATTAGCACTTGAATTTAGACAAAAGCGTTCAAGACTTGTTTCTGTTGTGTTCTCAATAACGTTTATGACTATTTATAAACCTTACTCTCAGGGTCACAACCTGTAGAACACCCACCCCACTCCCAGTTTGATCAATTCATTGCCCAGTATCAACTTTCAAGCAGCATTACAAAGTTGTTTTGCCTTTTTGTCCTCATTCGTACTCCTAATGAGGTTAATTTCAAGTTACTCTAAAAGGCTCGAATGTCTCTATCTACATTCCAGAGCTCCCTACAAGAGTACAAATCACTATATAAGCCCTCCCACAGGCAATCTTACCCCTGCATTTCATTAACCTATTGTAACTCTAAACTACAGTTCTGCCTGTAACTGCAAGTCAGAGCTCCAGCAAAGAGTATAAATCACTACATGTGTCCACCCACAGGTTAACTCTTGCTTGAGAATCCCATCAACCACTAGTATCATATTACAGCTCTCCCGTTGACAACATGTCTTGTGTTCCCCATGGCCTCTGTGCCCTGAATACCTCAACTGTGTCAGTATTGTTACCCACCCCACAATGAACAAAGAAAAGAATTTACTATAAGAAAGTCTTTGGGTGTGATCCACCCAGTTGCCGGGGACAGGGTACCAAATATGTTGCCGGGGAAAGGGTTAAAGTTTTTCATCCAAGTAAAAATGTTTGTCACTTCTCCTATAGATTGGTCTACTCACAGTTGGCCACAGCCAGAACTGTCCCAAGATTAACCTCCAGTACGAAAATGAAGCTGCTCTTTTGGAACTGTTAGTGGAGGTTGAGAAATTCCTGCCTAAGGAATCACAGGCTGCATCGACTTCTGAAACTGTTCAGCATTCTGTGGCTTTTCAGGTAAAATAAAAATTTTTTTTTAAACTATCTAGTTTTAAAATGCACTTTATCAGTATACATACTATTTTGGGGCCGTGTGGCCTAGCTGTAGAGTGCTAGACTGCTAACCCAATAGTCTTGAGTTCGAATCACAGTTTTGTGTCAGTTGAACATCACTGAGTCAACCCAGCTCTGATGGGTACCTAACTTACATTAGGGAAAGTAAAGGTGGCTGTGCATAGTGCTAACCACACTATCCCTTCATATGCAGAGGTCACAGAAACAGTTGAACTCTACTTCACTTGCACCATGGACCAACAGCTTCAAAAAGGAAACTTTACTTTTTATATCTGCTATTAGACTGTTGCTTGGAATTTTAAACTTCCTCAGTGTTTATGAAAACTTCAACCATTGAAAACTACATTTTTGTTACAATCTGATGTAAAGATCAAACTAATTAAGCGTTATTAATAAAAGACCATGAGACTTGGTCTTTTTTCTGAAGACATCATTCTCAAAGTGAAAATTTTAAATGTATGTCTAGCAACATCCTTATACTACACTGTTTCAATATGTTTGATTGTCCATTTGAATGGAAAAGGGTGAGATAAACAAATGTTTAGTTAAGCCAGCAATGGTGAACCCAAAAGTCTTGAGCTGGGTTTCTTGCTCTAGTATGTTAGACATCCCAACATTAAACCCACCCAACTCCAATGGGTGCTAGACTTGCGCTATTGAAAATAAAGAAACTGATTATGTTGTCTGAATATATGCCATAATCCATTCATAAGTCACTGACAATTTATATTATGAACTCTCCTAAATTTGCAATTAAGGAACATGATCTAAAATTATTTGATCAAACTAGAATCTTTTTACAAAAATATTGTTTTATTTTTTATATCTGTTTAGGAAGCTTTGGAACTTTCACAGCGAAAACTGCTGCGGCATATTGCGTTGTATGCCAGCACGATGGACATGGAGGTCTATCCTAGGCTGATACTTATTGACCTTAAGGTCAAGGATGATGTTAAAAAAATTGGAAAGGGGCATCACTCTGAACTGAGACACCCAGATAAGACAGGGGAGAAAAGTGATAAGTTATGTTTGAAGGTTTTGTGTGAGCATGAGATGGGCTGGCACGAGATGCAGGAGGAGATAAACTTCCCACCACTAGAGGGAGCTGAGCTGGATGACTATTTAAAAAGAATAGCACCCTATGTGGCCCGTGTGCTGGCTCTTCTCAAGCACTCCAAGATTAATATGCCGATACTGACAACACCAGAAGGAGAAAGGTTAAGTCGTAAACTTCAAGATGTAAGGAATTAATTTCATTAAACTTTTTAAAAATATTTTAATCAACTCAGAAAACACATAAAATACATGGAAGTCAAGATAATTTTAAAACAACAAAATCTGAAATTTATTTTAGACGCCTTCTATGCACTCATATTAATAGAATTTATGGGCCAAGGCTAAACTTTAACTTATGTGGGTACCGACTTTAGCTGGGTTTGTTGGTTGGATGGTAGAGCTCACAACTGCTAACCCAAAAGTCTTGAGTTTGGAACCAAGGCTTGAGTCTAGAGTATGTCGCTGTGTCCACCCAGCTCAAATGGATACCTGACTCGTGTTAGGGAAACTAAGATAGTTGGGCATAGTGCTGAAAATACTTACCCCATGTATGCTTAAGGTCATTGAAACAGATAAACTCTACCTTATCTGCCCCATGTGTTTTGGGCACAAACAGAAAAAGATGAAGGCTGAGCTTCACAACATCCACATTTTTGTATTAATGTTGATCTAAGATATTTAAAAAAATTATTTTATAAGATAAAAATATTGTTGATGATTTTTTAGCGCTATTTCCATGCTGACAATTGCGATTATTAATTCGTTATTTCTGGATGGATGGATGGATTAATGTGTGTCCGCAGCTTTAAGTCGTATCTCCTCCTCAATGAAGCAATATCGAGGACTAGTTCCAAAGCAAATATGTTAAGTAAGTTCCGAGGATGATTGTGGGCCAAAAAAATTCCCGGAATTCCTTCCTGAATTTCCCGGAAAAGCCAAAAAACCTCGAAAAAATGCAGTTTTTGACCCAAATCTCTGCAACCAGAACACTTAGCGACTTGAAACATTTACCAATCCTGCCATAATTTAGAACAATATTGCCGAAGAAAGTTTTCAAAAATATCCTTTCGTTCGGTCACAAAAAATTAATTAAGGAAATTGCGCTTAAATTGTCACTAGACTTTTTATTAACTTGTTTGTTTATTTCTGCCCAGTTGTGTTCAAAAACCAGTTCAGACTTCCAAAACGAGTATGCTGTTGTACTGCAGACAGTGCTGGAGGAAGATTCTGAGAGAACTTGTGGTGGCTTGAAGAGGTAAATAATTGAGTTTTCTCCCTTGGTGTTAGAACCTTTTTCTCATTTTTAAATGCTGTGATCAAAGCACAATAACACAATGTGATAACATAGACAGATGGTATAGATTATGACTGCTATCCCGAAAGCCTTGAGTACGAATGTTAATTGAACATCCTTGAGCCCACCTAGCTCTGATGGGTACAAGACTAACATAACGGAAGGTAAAGGCATCTGGGCATAGTGCTACCCACTGTATCCCTTTATATGCAGAGGTCACAGAAACAGGTGAACTCCATTGTCAGGTTCAGAAGGGTGCTTGTCTTACTTAACAGTAAGACATAGAATAGAATAACTTGAGCAAAGGATAAAGCACAGCTATTATTGTTGAGAAAATTTTGCATTTTAAATTTATTTAACATAAAACAATTTCTCTACAATAACAATTATTTGAAAAATTATAATTTTATATAAGGTTAAGTCACCCAAAGATGTCCTCAGCTCTTCTGTCTGGAAAGATTAGAGATTAACATTCAATTGAGTGACTTTCTGGTGATAATACTTGTACATTTAGCCTGCTCTGTATTATAAAAACATTTGTAATTTCTCAATTCAAACAGATGTCAGATGCCCAATGGAAAAATTCTTTGGTTGTGTGACAAACATGAGAAATCCTCTTTCACACAGACAGAGAAAAAATATAAAACACAGCGGGAGCAAGCTATGAATTGCAAGGAAGACATAGCAGGTATGATGCAAACATTACATTACACCATATTACATGGACACATTTTAAATTTAGTTTCAATTTTATTGGGAGTCAGCAATTTTCAAACCAATTAAGATTAATTATTATTTAGTAATGATAAACTTGTTTATTGTAATATAAATATTACTTTGTAGTTTTAAAGTCAGGTTAAGTTAAACAAAGACGTTTGATTCTATTATATACGAACGATTATTCTTTAGATTTATACCTCTGTAAATTTATCATATACATTTTCTAGATGAAAATTTTTGTTTTCATTTTCTCTCATTTGGTATTTTCCAGACTCTGGAAATACTCGTCCACCCACTGCAATTGATTCAAGTTTGTCTGAAGATTCACAAGTGCATGAAAAACCTAAAGGTGGGATATTAAATTTGCTATAATGTTTAAATATTTTAGAAAATTTGAATCTTTGATAAAGCTTTTCATCATAGCAGTTCTCTTAGGCAGAGAGTTGACAGTACCCAATATATGTTGTTAATATTCTTTTATTAAAAAGCTAGAATAACTTTAGAACCCCTGGAGTACAGTTTAATTGTTGAGCTTTTTGTCATTGTTATTATTAATGGTCTTTTTTAAAAGTATGAATCAACATTGCAAATGATAATTGTATGTAGTTGATTCATCAACTGTGTGGAGAGGGGGGGGCAACATCTAGCTCAACTTGCTGACCAGACCTTACACACTAATTTCCAAGACACTCTATCTTAAGTCAGACTAAAGAGACATTTATTTAGGCCTATAATATTATTTTATTGATTATCAGGCAACCAATGCTTAAAAATAGAAATCGATGCAACTTAAGTTGATAAATAAGAATGTATGACTACATATTTTGTCTCTGCAATGACTTAGAATTTTAAAAAGTATGCTTTTATGCAATGTTAACAATTTTTCAGGAAACAAATCACAGTGTTTTATTATTTAATTCATCTTGTGCTTAAAATTATTTAAACAATTATTTATAGATGTGTCAGATGTACCAGCCACAAGCCCACAAATTCCTGTGAAGCTAGAACAACAAGCTGGTGCTCAAATGCTGCCTCGAAGACCCAAGTTAAACAGGAGAGGAACCAGCAGTAAAAAAACAACAAGCCAGGCATGCCTACTCATGTAATGAGTTTTTTATTTAGGCCAAATATTTTCTAGACCACTGAATCAAGTCAGTTGATTGAATCACAGTTAATTTAGTGCACAGTTTTGTGGAACACTGAATCAAGTAAGAACAGCTATGTTGTTCATTTTAATCCAGTAATTTTGGACCACTGAATCACGCCCGAGGATTTGATCTCAATTCATGTTAATTGTTGCTATGAATATTGTTGTTTATGTGTGGAACTACCGCAATATCTACACTTTATTTTTTTGAAGCATGAATAACTTTGTTTATAGATGTTATTTAAATGTTTTAAATACAAAATATAATTCTTCCTGGATAGTTCTTTTTAAAATCTGTGGCAGAAATTTACATTGCCTTTTTATACAAATTTTATATTATGATTGGGACAGCTGTTTGAAGCGTACAGTTATAAACTAAACGTCTTGAGTTTTGTTCATTGGCTTGAGTCAATAAGTCCACACAGCCCGGATGGGCAACCACCTGTCAAGTTGGGGAAAGTAAGTGTGGTTGGATGTTATGCTGACCATACTATCCCTTCATATGCTGAGGCCCAATGAGCATGTGAACTACTTTAGTGAAAGGGTAATACTTAATGAGTTTTTAATGTTATTTTCACTTGTTTATTGATTTTATTGACCATTATCTTGTTTTCTTGTTAGTTTATGCACATCTCAAATAATTTGCCCTAGACAAGTGATATTCTACTTAACATAATCTGTTAAATGGTAATAATGAGTTTTTTAAAAATGTTATTCACAGTTGTTTATTTTCTGCTGCAACTATGTTGTTTTCCTGTTAATTTTATGCATCTCAAATATTTTCCCTGACACCAGTGATATAATTTATTTTATTTAAATGTAATCTGTGATATTTACTTTATTGCAAAATTATGACCTTACATTTTTTCTTAGTATTTTTGTATCTCAGATTATTTACCTGTATTATACTGTGATATTATTGTGCTTACTGCCTTTCCTTAACTGTGATGCTTACCTATATGCAAAAAGTATTCTTTTTTAAAATAGCTGGTTTATTGCCTTACCAACTTACATTTTTATTGCTCACAAAATGTTTGCTCAATTTATTTTTGACATGAATATTTAAATTCTGTATTAGCATATTTGTTTACATTTCATATATTTATATTAAAATCACAGCAAATTGTCATTAACATTTTCATATAAAAAACAAAACAGTGATTTAATATTTGTAAGAAAAAATGAGGGCATTGAAATATATTAGTCTAAATTTGAGCTCACCTATATTAATCATTAGATATTATCCAATCTTCGCTTGTCAAATTAAAATTTATAATGCCTAGGATGTGTTGTTAACACTTATAACAATCATCTTGTTATAAATGGCAGTTCTCTAAACAACCTGTACAGGTTCACAGTAGAATTACTTTCATCACTTGTTAGGCACTTAATATATTTTTAGTATTTATATTTTTGTACACCCGATAAAGTATTATAGTGTTTAATATTTAGGTGTGGTTTTAATGCATTGATCATTTTAAGATGCTTATATTGTTTACCTTACAATACAGATCACTTTTATTATACAGTGGGTTGGTATATTAATATGTTGTGTTTTTATTTTATAACTATTGTTTATATATTAAAATGTGAATGTCATATGAAAAATGAGTTGTTTTTTTTTCCTTTATGCTCCTAATTATATAAAACGAGATAAATGGCCCATTGAGGATGGATACAATGGCGCTAGGTTGATAGTGTTGTCTCTTTTCTCTAAACCAAAATCACTCACTCAGTGGCGTAGCAAGGTCGGGTGTCACCTGGTGCGGCACTTAATGGTGTCACCCCCCCCCCCCCCCCAGAGGTGTAGCGACTCTTCCCGGGGACAAACTTTAAAGTTTTCGATTTGCACCCCCCCCCTCAAGTTTTCGATTTGCACCCCCCTTTCAAGTTTTCGATTTCCACCCCCCCCCCCAAGTTTTTCTCTATATATTTTGCTATTTTTTGCCTTGGTGTCACCCCCCTAAATGGTGTCACCCCCCGCCCCCCCCCCTCGCAACGCCCCTGCACTCACTTAACTTCAAATTGAACCGGAAATGAAAAATGACATTGAAAACAGATTTTTATCCAGAATCGGATTTAAGCTTGTTCTACCCTTAGTTACTGCCCATTGATACTAAATCATGACAAACACCCCAAAGCACAATGGTGTCACCCCCCCCCCCCCCAGAGGTGTAGCGACCCTTCCCGGGGACAAACTTTAAAGTTTTCGATTTGCACCCCCCCCCCTCAAGTTTTCGATTTGCACCCCCCTTTCAAGTTTTCGATTTCCACCCCCCCCCCCCAAGTTTTTCTCTATATATTTTGCTATTTTTTGCCTTGGTGTCACCCCCCTAAATGGTGTCACCCCCCGCCGCCCCCCCCCCCTCGCTACGCCCCTGCACTCACTTAACTTCAAATTGAACCGGAAACGAAAAATGACATTGAAAACAGATTTTTATCCAGAATCGGCATTTTAATCGGATTTAAGCTTGTTCTACCCTTAGTTACTGCCCATTGATACTAAATCATGACAAACACCCCAAAGCACGTCTACCATCCCATTCAACAAATATAATTATATACTATTTCCTGTGTCCGCCCCCTCCCAGAAAATTTAGTCCAACCCCACTCTTGAAAATTTCAAGTACCCACCCCCCCCCCTCTCCCAGGAGGAAAAAATTTGAAAGAAACACTGTCGCATTTGCAGATCATACAAAGTAAAGGTAGAGCCTGGGTATAAATTCATATGCGTTTTTTTTTTTTTTGAGAAATCGGAAATAGCGTAAATTACTACTTCCGGTCAACTGAAATTACTGAAAATTTGAGAGAAGGCAGAGAATTAGATATTGTACTTATTTGGGAAATTTCGTCTATCTATCTGAAACATTACTCAAGTTATGGGCTTTTGAAAAATTAAAAGTAGAAAAAGTTTCACTTCCGGTTATCGGAAATCGCTGAAAAGTTGATACAGAACTACAAATTTGATGTAATACATACAGATTTAAATGAAATTTCATCACCCTAGCTGTAACGGTACTCAAGTTACCGTGTTTACAGACACACATACACTTAAATACAGTATACTTGAGTATACACAGATACGGACAGAATTGCAAAGTTCAGATTTTCCGACTCGATTACGCATAATATCTGTATTTATAATTTTTGCCCGATTAAAATAAGAGCTCTATACTCCGAAAAATGACTGAGGTGTAAAACGGTGAAAACTGTAAAAACTTCATGTAATTTTTGTACACGATTACAATACTTTTTCTAGACTCTGTATACGAGAAAGTCAAAATTACTCATTACATAAGGCGCGGTAAGCGTTCGTGCTAAGTCTGGAAAATGTCTAGAAAAGTTAGACTTTTACAAGTCTGGAAATCCACTAGATCTAGTTTTCGGGCTGACTTTTTAAAAAGTCTGGAAAATGTTAATTTTAAAAACTAAACTAAATAGGCCTACCCTAAAGTTAATTTAAATGCATTTCTTCTCGCTGGTAAGTTTCTGGCTCTCTACCGGGTGTTTACGGAGACAGTCGAGTAGACAATTTCCGTTTTCCCCAACAACGGCGGTAAACAAATATTAACAGTAGGTTAATAAATGTAATAAACTAAAGAAAAGAATTCAACCCAACCGTTCTTAAATTACTAAATTTTGTGTACGAACTGAAATTGAGATTCTAGACAAGTAGACTTCTAATTAAAAAAATCTAATTTAATACAAGCGTCAAGAATCAAGTAAACAAACTAGAATCTGCTTATTTTAATATTTTTTTATTAACATTTCAATTTGTATTTTGTATTTTCAAGCATTTTGTAGTAGTATTTAAGTATTTATTAATTATTTTAAGGTTTAGGACCTAATGCCTAGTAATATTACTAAATATTAGATCTAGTAAATTAGGCCTAATAAATTAATAATATTTTTTTAAATTATTAATAATTAGGCCTAATTAATAAAATAATTATTAATTAAATTTAAATTCTAATTTAAAATGAAATTTAAAAAATCATAAATGCCTAACCAGCTAGACCTAAATGTAATTAATAATTAATACTAATTATTCTAATCAATTACTAATTGGCTAAATTAAAATTAAATTGTTTTTATTATTTAGGCCTATTTAAATTAAGTAATGGAACAGCATGGCCTAGCAGTAGAGAACTAGACTGTTAACGCCAAAGTCTCTACTTCGAAACTGGGTTCAAGTCTGTAGAATGTTCCTGAGTCCACCTAGCTCTGATGTGTACATAACTCAACTTAGGGAAAACAAATGTGGCGGGGCATAGTACTGACCAAACTATCCCTTTATACTTTATATATAATATTACTTCATCTGCCCCATGTGTCTTGGGCACGAACAGGACAAAAATGAATTAAATTAAGTTACCAATTATTAAATTATTACTAATTAAATTAAATTATTAAATTAACTCATAATCTTTTCTCATTTTCTCAAATCTATTCTATTGGCCTAGATTACAATCACTTTTTTTCAAGTAAATTGTAATTTCGCTAGACTAATTTTAAATTATTGTTTTCAAGTCTAGTTTAGATTTATATTTATTGTTACTAGGACTAGGCCTATATATATATATATGTATTATACAATATATATATATATATATATATATATATATATATATATATATATATATATATATATATATATATTGTATAATAATTAAGCCCCATATTTGAACTAAGGTGACCATGATAGGGTATCGAACAATGAGCTAACTAATTGGGTCTGACATGTTAAGTATTAGTAATTAGGGAGGACATTGGCGATGTTGAAATTAGATTAGGCTGGTGAGATAAAGTCATACAACTGGGGTGACTGGTTAGGCATCCAACTTAACTAATATTTGTTAAGAAGTAGGCTATAGAGGCATAGACTTAAAAATAATAAAATACAAATCCATCTTAAATAAATATTTTAAATCCTCAGCCATGCCACCAAAAAAGAAAGCTTTTGATCCTGATAAGTTCAAGTAAGTCACATCTAATCAAAGCAATTGTGGAGATATTTTAGTCATATGTTAGTGCATTATTAGACAATCGTTAATTATTATATTTTATACTCTGCTGCTGAATTATCAAGAGTCTTTTAAAAGATACTGCTGGTAACAAATTAATACACAAACAGTAGAATTAAATTGGTTGTCCAATATATATATATATATATATATATATATATATATATATATATATATATATATATATATATGAATACATCTTTCATCTTTACTGCTTTTGATATATTATGTATGTTCATGTTTTATTTATTTTTTAATAGAAAGGAAATTCAAAGCAAGGGCAAAGGTCCAACACCCCCATTGTTTAAATCTATGCAGCAGAAAATGGAAAGTAAACCAACTGGTTCTCCTACTCCAGAGCAGGTTTTTATTTTCCTTTGCTTAAAAAATGTTTTTAATTTTATAATTTGAATGTGAATATGTATTAATGTTTTAGGTTTTCTGCATTCAGAATTTAGGTATTTTAAAAATGGATTACTCAGCGGTGAGCAATAAGCATGATAATAAAAATAGTTATTTCTAGATGACCCTCAACACAAACCAATGATGACAACACCCACCCTACCCCTATTAAACCTCTTCTCTCTAAATCAGGGGTCTCCAAACTACGGCCCGCGGGCCGGATGCGGCCCGCGAAGTCCTCTCATCCGGCCCGCGGAGATTTTTTTGTCCACGGAAAAAACGTTTGTTGCTGATGGCTCAGGAACTTTGAACAGAAAAATCAATGACATGCATGGAATAAACTGGCCCCCGAACTGAAATTTGATAGTTAATGCGGCCCTCGGACTAAAAAGTTTGGAGACCCCTGCTCTAAATCATTCATTCATCTCAGCCCTGAACTTATGCCCATCCCACTGTCATATTTTTCTGACATTAATGAGGGAGCTGGGAGTCCCAAAAAAAGTCAGTTTTTGTCTACATTTGTTCTGGATGAGGTTGGCTTAGAATTATGTTTCACACATCAAAAATAACATTTACTTACCACTATTGAAAATAAAATTAAAAATGTGTACATTTTCTTTTAATAAAACACTATATTAAATACCCAAACTGATTGACTGGCTTAAATAATTCAGTTAAAAACCTGGTTGTTCATCTATAATTGTGTTTTTTTTTTCCTTTTTATGACCCACAAATAATATTCCCTTGTTTGTTCACTCCCTTAATGAATAAATTAATTCCTTCACATTATTGAATTGGAAAATTTTTCTGTCATATCTGATTACAATTGATTTTCCAACTGCCAATCAGCTATGTGGGAAAATAAAATAAAATTTCTTTGACTGCATGGATTCCATGCGCTATCTAATTGGTTAGACAGCATACTAGTATCAACTTAGCCACAATGTCACTCATCAATTACACACATTTAAGCTTCTTGTATTACTATTATTAAACATAATATGAAAAAAATATTTAATCAATTAAATTATATCCTATTCAGTGTTTCCTTCAAATTAATTGAAGAACCAATCATTTGATGTTGTTGTTTTTTTTTTTATGCATTTTTAAAAATTGTTTTTAAGTAATCAATATTTATTATTTCTTTACCCAACAAAATATTAACAAAATATTCTTTTGATCAAAAGAGTGAGCAAATATAATTAATTTTTTTATATTCTTAATTGGAAAATCTGTCAAAAGTATCCAATTGGATAATGATAATATAGTTGGAACTTAATAGAAATAAACAAATAAATGTACCATTAAAGCTTTACCCGAAAGGGGTCATCCATATATGACGTCCACACGCGGGGGGGGGGGGGGGGGGCCGAAAAAACTGACTTGTGGACGCATATGGACTTTTATAAGGAAAAAAGTGGATTTTTGTGGACACGGGGGGGGGGGTCCAAAATCCAAAATAATTGTGGACGTCATAAATGGATGACCCCAAAGGAAATAATGCATTATAATGCATTAAACTTTTCAAACGGCATCTATTATGTCTACACATTGGACAGCCATCTTTGATTTCAAGAGAAGTAATTCCTGCGTGTGGCAAAATTTATTCATTTCTTTGCTTCCATACGTAAATTTTATTTTTCCTCTAGAAAAAGTCTCTCATGTATATAAATGTCTTTAAATATATTTATGTTTATGCATGCTATAAAATAAATTGAAAACATTTGAAGTTGATATATTCATTTCAACAGTTTATAGCAAATGTAGGTAAATTTATGTTATATTTTATAGCAAGTGTGTAGGCCTAAAATGTATTCCTTTTTACTTAAAATTCAGGAAACTCCACCTGAGGCTTCACCAAAAACTAATATCAACATCAATCCAAAACCTATGCCTAAACCTGTACCACAAGGTAAAGGGTAAGTTTGTATATGAAAATATTTTTAAAAGCAAATTACTCCTGAAATGTTTTGTAGTTGGGAATAGAACTTTTTTGTTATATTTGGTTTCATGATGCTGTAATGATACCCACTAGCGCATTACATTATCTTATCAAATTTTTTTTTCACATTGGTATTACTATATAGAATCTAGGATAAATTTTAAGGTTAGAGTTAGCTTAATGAGACCAGCAAAAAAATAAGCTGTGGTGGGGCCAGATGAAATCAGACAAAACGGGAATTTATTGCTTATTTAGCTGCTGTGATCAATCAATTAAATGAATAATAAATGTAAAGAATTCATGCAGAGATGTAAATTATCTGGTTTTGTTTAAAATATATCAGCTGGAAAGAAATTTTTTGCTTAAAAAATATATTTCTGCTCCATCGTTCCTTTTCTTAACATTTAAATTTTTTTAATTTGATTGTAGCAGAGTTTCCACAAACATATAAAGTATATACCAATGATAAGGCAGCCTATAAATAATTTTTCTTCTGTTCAGCCTTCTGGGACACTCTTGCAACACTTACCTCCATAATCTCTAAACACCAATCACCAGTTCTTGGTTAGCTGTGATTGTGAAATCCTTGAAATATCTAAATTCAACTTGAAAATTTATTGAAATACTTTTTAATATTCTAAAAACTTTGAGTATGATGTCGCCCATAATTGACTGCATTTCCTTCTCCAATCACCATATCAGTTTCCCTACACTTGGATAACCAAAACTGTATTTTCATTTAAAAATAAATGCTGTCTTAATCCCCCCCCCCCCCCCCCACACACACTTTGTCATCACAACAGTATAAACATCCTCCCCGGTAGTGTGATGTCATCCTAATGCACAGTGTTTCCAGCATTGATAAAAATGTATTTTCATTTAGGTGGTCGGATAAATCTGTACTCATGTTATTCTTTAGAATTCTAATACAATTTTTTAAAAATAATCTATGTAGGGGTGCAAAAAAAATATCAAAAAATGGGCCTAGTATGATGATGAGTCAATTTGAATTGGCCCAGCAATCAACTGAAGATGTTATCAGTGAGTACGAGAAACAAGAAACAGAGGCTGAAAATTCAGAGGATAGGTTAGTGATCAAGTGATATAAGTTTAGAAAAGATTTATAACAAAAAGTAATTAACTATTTGAAATATTTTTATTTTAACTAGTTTTGCTTAAAACAATTATGCTGTAATAGGGATTTCAAACAAAAAAAAAATTTGAAAAATTGCTTTAATATTTTGTTTTGGTGTGTTTGAAATTTTTTTGAGCTTACTTTAAAAAGAATTGCCACGACAAGCTATCTATGTTACACAAATGATTAATTAAAGTGCACAACATAAATAATTAACTGAATTATTCTATACAATTTAAAAATTTATTCTTTTTTTTTAATATTTGAACAGAGGATCTTTATTAAATGAAATTGCAAACTTTAATAAGTCAAAACTTCGTAGAATTGAAACAAAAGGGCTCTTTGATGATGATCTTTTTGCTGAAGATGAGGATGTAAAAGTTGATATCAAACCAGTGACATTAAATCAAAATGTTCTTTGTTTCAACTTCTGGGATGGGAATAGCTATCCCATACATAAAATTAAGGTTTGTTTTTTGCACAGAGCCTATCTGTTATGGCATTTATTTTAATCAAAGCTATTCTACAATAAATATAAAGTTTTCAACCTTTCATGCTTTAAACTAAAATAATGACAGATTGGCTTGATCAGTTTTGTTGTTTTAATTACTCTTCTTTATTGTAGGATTATTATTTAAATTAAAAACTCATAAATTATAAATCAAATTTAATTATATCCATTGTATTCTAAAGATTAAACAGATTTTACAAAATAGCTTTCAGATTATAACAAGAATATTAAAAATCAAATTTGGTTACTCGTTATAACCTTTTACATATTTTTATAGTTTATTTTGCTTCAAATTCCTGCAAGAGCAGAAGTGACCTTAAACTTCTCAGGCATTGCCCAATTAACAGATATAACCTTTGCAATTATGAGCAATTTAAGAAATACAGAAGAGGCGAGACTGAAGGCAGTCAAACAGATTATTTTGGATGGCTGTTATAATATAACAGATGCTGGAATAGCCTGGATGGCAGAAACTTTCCCTGATTTGACTTGGGTATGTGATTTTCATACAATTGGATTCTTAACATTTTATTTGTGATGCATCACTGACATCATATTAATGAAAATTAAGTATTCTACATTTAGCTTGTGACACAATGATTTAACCTTAATTTTATTTCCCCCAACCTAGAATCTAATATTTATAATTTATCACACTACAGAAAATAAACTAAAACCAATGTGGCTAATCTCAAACCATTCCACGTTACCCCTTCTACAGATCTATATATTCTATGTTCAAGTTCTTTCATGAACTACCTTTTTTTTAATTAAATGTTAAACATATTTTTTCAGCTCAGCATTTCAGGCTGCAAGAAAGTCACTAATGCTGGTTTGTTAGCCCTTAGTGAAAAGTGCACCAAATTAACTTCAATAGACCTGACAGGCACTGGAGTGACTCTCCTACCTAAGCGCTGGATTAGTGCAGAGAGCATTAAAATGGTTGGCTGTTCTATCCTTTTCCCTATAGCTCCAGCAGATCTAAAAGAAGAGGGTAAATATATTTGTCTTTTAAACTCTATTATAATCAGTGTTACATTTAGAATTTTTTCTCTGGAATGGGCAGACTAAAATTTCCGGGGCGGTGACACTGTTAAAAGTATATATTTTCTAAAAAAAATTCTATTTTGTTCCAGTGTGCTGTAGAAGAGATGCCTGAAAGAAGCTCTGATAATAATAATTTTGTTTTTATCTGTTCCAGTTTCTAGTTTAAACTGATTGAAAACACGCATGACACCCAATTTTTTATTTTCAGAAATACATATTTGTCAATAAATATTTTGTTCATTGTGTTGCAGAAATATTAAAACCAGAAACAAGTCACTTGTTTAAAGCTTGCTTTGTCAAACAAAACATGGCAAATGTAAATTTTTCTGCTATGTTGCTGGGAGAGTCTGGGTCGTCTGTGATGGCTAGGATTTTACCCGATCTTAAAGATGGTGAATCCAGTGCCACTGTTTTAGAGGTAGATCAGGTATGTTGCAGGTGTTAAAACTACAAGTTTTATTTTTACATAATTTTGATTAATATACAAAAAATGTTTGTTATATTTCGTTAAAAGAAAGTACACATGCCAAAAATATCTGTTTAGTTTTGCTAAGCATTTGAAAAATATTCTAATTAGTTTTATCAAACCTAAATTGCATATAAAAATGTATTAATTTTAAACACTTTTTTCTCCAGACCTTGTCAAGTTTTATGATCACAGATGGTTGTGTTGTCATTCTGCCATTTGTGCTAAAGGACAAAACAAAAGTCACTGAGGAAGTTTCTGCCATCTCTGCAACAATACTACAAATTTTGGGACAGGTGTGTTTTCTCAGGAACTGTTTAACTATAACATTTAATCATTTTATTCTTATAAACAATATTGCCTTACCACTTTTTATATAGATTTATTGTAATTTTTAACTCAGGTCATTTAAATTTTAAAAAATAGCAACTATGGTAGAATTTAGTTATGTTTTTTTGTGTTTGTACTCTCTTTTTTATATGCACATAAGAAGTTAAAAATGTTTTCATTTAAAGAAAAGTAGTTTCTTATTACAAATTTTCAACAGTTTTTTAAATTGTATTTCTTTGAACAATTCCAGCACTCCAATATAAATTTTTTACTGGTTGGTTGTAATACCAATACTGTCAGTGCTGTTTCAACTGATCTTATGAAAGAAGAGGTAAAAAAATACCTCAAGAAAATAGCTGATCTTATAAAAGATGCAAATTATTCTTTTGGGTGAGTTTTTATTATAAATTTTTCTTATATACTCAGGGCCTTCTTGTAATTTGTTGAAAATATTATCATTAGATGTCTGAAAAGCATTTTTATAAATGATTACAGACAGTTAAAGGCTAAGCTTTATTTGAATAAAAGCAGTGATCGAGGGATGGGATTTTTTAATTTTGCTAGTTAAACACTTATTTCATTCATTTTTCGCTAAGGAATTTGGAGCAGATGCCAGTAGCAAAACAACTTGAGTATTCTTCTGCCAGGAGGCTCCAAGATAATATAAACAAAACAGTCATCAGCTGCCTTGAAATAAATGTGGATCAGAAGGGAAAAGTATGGTCTAAAACTGTTGTCTAATTCCATTTATAATATTGTCTTAATGCTTTTTATATAAGCATCTTAAATCGTATTTTTTTTTTTAAAATTGAAAAAACTTTAAAAAAGAAAATCTAAGTAGAAAAAAGAAACCAGGGCCATTCCATTTTATGAAAATCTTTTTAAAAAAAAAAAAACTTTGAAAAACGTTCTTATCTTCACCAATATATTAAAAAATTATTGTCACAAAAATTTAATCTATGAAAATTTTTATTTTTAATATAATGGGTCTAACTAACCTGATAGTGAGATGTTGCTTAGGTTAAGTATTGAAAGATAAGTGAGAGTGATGTATTATTGATAACAGTAATGAATATATTTTTCTTCATTGTTTACATTTTTCAAATTTGTTTACTAGCAGGGGGAGATAATCAAAGCAATATTTAACCTAGCAGAGGAACTGCCTGAAAACAAGGAGATAAATTACAGCTTAGAAATTTACAAATGGGCTCAAGACTTTCACTTAAACTGCCCCAAGGAATTAAAAACAGGAGTTCATTCCCTTTATCAGGCTGCAAATGTTATAAAATTAACCACAAATTTTGTAAAAAGACTTCGCTCATTTGGTGCTGTGCAGTTCTTAACAAGCATTGTAAGAATTTAAATCTCTTTGTATTAATTTTTAGTAAATTAAGTTTTATGTCTTGTGCATTTTTAGTTTCTTTTAGACATATTTATAAATAATTTATTCTGAATGGAAACATGTAATAAAATATCACAGAAATTTTTAGAAAATTTTAAAATTGATATAAATTCTATTTTAATAAAAGAAAATCCAACACATTTTACTTTTGTATGTCTTAGTTCTACAATGCATATCCAAAAGTTTTAATACAATAAGAACTTTTTGGATTTTAATTCTAGGGAAAACTCAGCTCATGGACTAAAACAAATGGAGAAACAATGATTGCTAACAGTGCTTGGTTGTGTGAAATTTTAGACCTACTGCTGTCTCCATGCCCTGCTGGCAAAACAAACAATGGATTAGATCATACCATAGCTGATAACACACCTGTTTGGCCAGTTGATATGTTGCAGGAAGAAGCCAAAAAAAGAAACATTCAGTGGAGTGAGGTATTTTTGTTAGGTTGAAACTTTTGTCGATACATCCAGTGAATCTATTTTTAAACAATAGCATTGTAATTAATTTAAATTTCATTATAGAAGTTTGAATTTAAATCTGATTTATTCTGTTTGTAAAAAATTCAAGATCTCTTGAAAACAACTAATTCAATAATACATGTATTAACAACCTCTCACATAAAAGGTTGAGGAGGTGATGAGAGAATTCCCATACCCATGGCTGATTACCACCAAAAGTATTACCTCCCTTGCAAATCTACCAGAAACATCTGTGATGCCAACTGTATGTCATTTTTTAATTTTAATTTTTTTTTATTTTAATAGCATTTTTTAAAAAAAAGTTAATTAAATTTAATAAATAGTTATTATATTGTGTAAATAAACCATTTAACAAAATGTTCTCCTTTTGTTCCATAAAAATGTTTTTTTAAAAATGCTTTATAAATAAAAAAAAAAAAAAAGAATTTATACTTTTTATTTTTTTCAACTAAATTAGTTTTTCATATTTATATTTTCAACCAATTTAATTTTGGTCTAACGGTAACAGAAAAATAAATTTCTTCTTCTAAACAATTTTTTTCCAGAAAATGTTCACAGAATTTGATAAAAAAGCAACTGGAGAGCTCCACCTAGTGTACAGTTTTGTCCTGAATCAAGTTGTGACACCTAGCATAGTCCAGACTATTCTCATGCACCTTAGAACACTGCATCCATTAATACATATATGGAGGACAGGTGTTGTCATCTATGACAGTATTGTGGCAGTTATGGTTGGTCAAACAGGTTAGATTTTAAGATTAAATTTACAATGATTTTGCTTTCTTCTTCTTTGTTCTTAATCTTATTGTTGAAAGGGATTTCCTCAAACATACTTAAGTATTACTCAACAACTTGTTATGCGCCATATAAGCAGTTAACTCCAATTTCAGCCTGCTTTTCTTTCTGAATTTGCTTCCATAGCCTTTGTCCAACCAAGAACAATCTACAAGGCAGCATTTGTTTGATTTTGATAGGTTGCTGCCCCATATACCTGGGGGTTTGAATTCTGGACTTTTCGATTCAGCACCCATGAGCTTTCCTGACCACACTGACCCCTAATTTACATTGATCTCTAAATTGATTATAAAACACATGTATTATTTATATCAGATATTCTATAGATTTTTTGCTGAGGATTTTATTGTTTGATAATTCAGTTAGTTAAATGATATAAGATAATATTTTTTTCTATTTGTGTAGATTACAGCAAAGTCTTAAATGTTTGTGGTTTTATGACGGCATCGGGAGATATGAACGACTCAGCAAGGTTGATTTACAGCACCATGGAAAAGTATAAAAACGTGGTGGAATATGTTTTCAAAACATTTGGTTACACATGGGAGCTCTTGCGCTCTGTGTCAGAAAGCATCTTAGCACCTCCAGGTTTATAAACTTTTTTATTTATTTTTATTACTTAAAGATGAATAATGAACTAATTTGTTGTGATGTGAAGTCACACAAAATGACAAGATGTAACAAAAGACACAAGTTAAAATGACAAAATTGTTAACAGAGTTTAGGCTTGAATTGTTTAATGTATTAGAAAATAAGATACATGTAAAAAAAAAGGACAGAGATGCCAACAAAACATCTTACAAGAAAAAAATATAAATTTAGATGATGCTTTTAATTAAAAAAGGGATCCCATATTGTAAAAGGTAAACTACTGCCGCATAACAATCATTAAAGTAGCATTTGTACGTCCTACCAAATACTATTCTAATATTTGTCTTTTATGCAATTTATAAATCCTTGGCATAAAGCTCTTTTTTTTTACATCTAATATACATGTAATATATCTAGAGGTAATCTTTGAATGTAAATTAAAATACATCAGCATGTCCAAATGCACTCAAAAAATAAATTTAAACATTTTTTATAATTAATATAATAATTGATTGTTTATTTACATATTTAGAAGTAGCTATTAATGAACTTTGTAACTAGGCACAGTAAATGATACTTTCTTATATAACTAATTCTGAATTTTGTAGTGTAGAACTACTTACCATTACAGCTAATTATTTTATTAGAACTCATTGACCTGGATAATTTGATTGTCTCTACACTGTTTAATTCAACAATCAATTAGTTAAATTTGAATCAAAGTTGTCTGAAAATGTTGAAGTGTAAACTATTTCAAATCTTTTTCCGTGTGTGAACAGAGAATGTTGTTGGTATTGTACACAATCACAGCCTAAAGCCAGGGGAACATGGACCCTGTGGCTACTGTGGCATAAGCCCTGAGCAAGCATCACTTCTTGCTGTAAGAGATTTTCTCACATTTTAACAAATCTAAAAGCATACTCATTTAGACTCTAAAAGTCTAAAAGCATACTCATTTAGACTAAAAATCTTAAAGCATATTTTTTAGACTAAAAATCTAAAAGCATACTCATATAAAACAATTTTTGGTCGGTCCAAAATTCTCAAATATTGAATTATTTTAATGAACATTTTGGTTTAGCTTGTTTTCTGCCACTCTCACTCTATGCAGCTCTTTTAACTCTGCATTGAAATCTTTTATTGACAAAATAGTTTTAAAATGTACATGTTTTTATTGAAACTTCAACATGCTAAATTGTGGCAACAAAATTCTTTGTAGAATTGATTTAGAAACTGTACAAAATGTATTAGATCATTCTTATAGGCTGTAATAAATATAGCCACATTTTTTTCTATTAATTATATTTTCATGTATTTTAGCTTGTTGTATGTTTCAATCTGCCTAACAACACACACCCACCTACCCACTTTACCATTGTTAGATGGTGGATATGAACATCAGGCCAAGATTCTTCAACATCAACCTTGTGAAAAGTTTGAACTTTATAGGCAAAGTCAACGCATCCTTGCTTGAACTCACAGGACCTTGTGATGTCAGAATTGCTGCTTTACTTGATCCCTTTGGTTGCCAACACTGCTCTGTGTTGTTACTGCAGGGGAATGTCAAGCTCCTCAAGCTGTATTTTAGGTTCAGTATACGTTTGTTCTTTACATTTTATTCAGTTTAATAAGCTGAGTATAGATCTAGTATTGGTCGATAAAGCTCATGGTTGCTAAACTGGACAGTTCAGAGTTTGAACCCCCTGGCAGATGAGACTCGATAGCTGGGAACAGCAACCCATCTAGGAGAGGTAACTCCAAAATTAACTCTTTCTATACCTGACCTCATTTTTTTCCGTGACCCAATTTTTTTACACAGCCCTCGCCTACTTAAACAATTATAGCTCCTATGTTTTTCTAACCAGTTTTATGTATTATACATCAAAATGAACAGAAATGAAATTTCTATAGTAGTAAATAAAGATAATTGTGAGTTATGTTAAAGAATGTAGGTTTTTTACATGTTAAATGACTTGTTGAAAAAACGAACACAAGCCGTGTCAAGCCGTACCTTGCGGCTCGCGGGCCTACGGTGAAGCTGGCCCAAGCCACATCTCGCGGCTCATGGGACGGATTGAGTTAAACAACTGATGCTAACACAGCATCACTGTACGTATGGCCTTCCAGTAATGGTCCCACGCCAGGGCCCAAGAGTTTCTAGACAAACTTCAACGTTCACATGTTTGTGACCAATGAGAGCCACCTAGATGGAGGCATTCGGCTGTGGTCAGACATGGAGAGGGGTGGGTGCTGCCATGTGACACCACGTCCTTGACACACGACTCAGGTCTAAAATCTTTGTCAATGTTTTGTTTTTAAAATATAATTTGTCGTAAACAAAAAGAATACCTAACAGTTTGTTTGAAATGAAAATATATTTTTAAATTATAAAACAATACTATTATGGTAATAAAAGTTGGGGAAATAGTGTTGCCTAATGAAGACAACAGGGTGTTTTGGTGAGATGTTAAAAATTATTGAATAATAAAAACTGCAATTGCAACCATGGGATGGTGTGGTCGCTTTGGCTGCTAACCTGAAGGACTCAATTTTGAATCCAGGTTCAAGTCCATAGAACATTCCTGAGCCACCCAGCTCTGACTCACGCTAGGTGGCTGAGTATAGTGTTGACCACACTATCCTTTCATATGCAGAGCTCACAGAAACAGGGGAATTTTACTTCACTTGCCCCATGGACCGTCCTGTTTGAAAGGGGTCATCCATTTATGGGGGGGGGTCCAAAATCCCAAACAATTGTGGACGTCATAAATGGATGACCCCAATGGGAACATTTTTAGCAATTGCAACTACCAAAATTTAACAAGTATATGACAAAGTGATGCAGACAACATGTCAACTAAGAAACACTGGCACTGATTGGCCATTGTATTCTCAAAAAAAAAAACCTTACCTATTAGCAAGCAACTATTTATAAACTTGTCATGATTGTTCCTGTTACAGTTCACCTAAAGACTACATCTTGATTGATTTATATGATGGGGTGATTGTAAGCTCAGTGGCTGAGAGCAATACCGTGTTTGACATCAAACAAAAACTGGGCGCTCTAACTCTACAGGGAGAAACCATCACAGCCAGGATAAAAAGTCATGTACCTTTTGAAATTGAAATTTTCATGGGACCTGTGTTGCTTCAAACCTTACAGTTACCTTTCAACAGGTGAATATGTTTTGATTGGCCTGTTTCATGTTTATTTTATCTGGTAGATTTTTTTGGATTCATGCCAGCAGACAAGCTTGTTTAGACTAATTTCAGCTGTAACAATACTACCATAGGTAAGTTCATACTGACCCCAGACAACTTAACCCTTTGACTGACAAGTTTTTATGCTTGTTGAGGCTTATTGCATACGAGCCGACCCGCAGCGTATCATACGCCGCTATTTAATTGTTTTTTTTTCTACTTTTCAGTAATTCATAATTTGTGAATTTGACAGTACCAATGCTGCCACTGAAAATATTTGCGTTAAAACACTAACCCCCCCCTTTCCCCCAACATCCTTCCCGTGAAAGCAGCCTCCTCTTAGCTACCTCCTCTAAATTTAAAATCGTTTCAAACTAAATTATCTGCCCCTAATAGCCGTCACTAAACCCGGCTCCACGAATGTAAACATAGCGTGAACCACAGCTCACCAGACCATGTAGGGGTGGGGTGGTAGGGAGCGCGCTTACAGCTTGTTTTCTAGCGTCTCCCAGAAGAGAATTATATATAAGGATTTAAGTAACCACACCAGGTAAGTTAATGTGGAGCCTAAATGATTTCAGAGTTTTACCTTGAAATGTCTAGTCTGTATTTCAGTTTTTTTTTTTGTGTGTCCAGATATGAGCTGAAGATTTCATCCTTGGGGCATGAGGACACTTTTGTTTCAGCAACTGTCGTAGTCTCTGACAGTGACTTTAAGGTTAGATAAACAAACTTTTATGTTAATTTTTTTTTCTGAGATGGATTAATTTCTGTTTTGACTTTTGTGTATCTGGCACATTACAAAGGCCAATTTCATAAATTTTTTTATGGAGGGTTAAACTTATTTTTTGACTTATGTGTATCTGGCATGTATCAAACACCAAAAAGACTATTTAATTTCATAAAACAAATATCAAAATGACCTTTTAATTTTGCTAACTAATCAACTAATCGAATGTTTTTGTTATGGAGGTGCCATGTAGTTGAATGCCTGACTGATTTTATAAGAACTACAAATGGCTACCCTTGTGAATGGGTACCTGTTTAAATTATCCTATTTATTTTCTTAATATATTGTTTTTCTTTCAATAGGTACCTGATTAAAATATAAAATCTACTTATTTAATTTCTCTGACAAATGGGTACCTGTTTAAAACACCCAAGTTATTTTTTATTTATTGTTTCACCCATTCTTGCATTAAAAAATATTATTTTCTTGATCATCACATTGAAATGTAACTTATAATTTCATCCAAATGCTTTATTTAAATTTGCTTAGTATTTTTAATTACAATAAAAAGTAGTGTTTGCTTAGCATTGATTTTTGTATACATGTTTATGGCTTAATATTCTTCACTGTTGGAGTTTGATTTATTTACTTTTAGTCTGCTGTTAGTACTGTAGAAAAAGGGATGAGATTAGAAGCGGTGGATAGAGCTAATCCTCATCTAGTCTGTGTGGCCAGCATAGGTATGTCATAGCTAATTCAGATTGAAATTAAATACATATCTAAATTACTGGGTAAGGGTTTAGAAGAACTGAAAATTAAATACATTTTTTTAAATTACTGGGTTAGGATTTAGTTAAAACTAGCTTATTTTATAAAATTGAAATTTAATTTTTTTTAACTTTGAATTTTAGCTGATATAGATACAGACAAGAATCAAGTTCAAATCCATTTTGATGGCTGGTCAGACAATTATAACTACTGGTCAAACCTTGATCATGAGGATTTACATCCAATAGGTAATATAATAATTCAATGTTTAACCCAATTAGAAAACAACACCATTAGTGTCACCAATGTAGGACACTAATGGTGTTTTTCATTTTTTGATTCATTAAAAACTAACGTAATGTAAACCATTTCAATTTTTCAATGGGTTCATCCATAAATAACTTTACACTTTAATTGACAATTTTGTTACCCCCTTCTTCATCACACATCTTCACTAAATCTCTCAAATCTATAATAAAATCACACTTCAACATCCCCCCCCCCCACACACACACCTTTTTGCTTTAATTTTCAAAAGTAAGCCTTTAAAAATGCAATTTAAAAGTGCTAAAATTCAGTATAAACAAACGTTTTAAAATGCAAAATATGACAACACTTTTTACCCCTCCATCTCCCTGTCATCACACATCATTTACAAAAGTACTACCCCCCCCCCCCCCACTCCTTGAAGTGTGATGGCATTTATGTATGACATTCTTCTTTACAAATGTTTAAATATGTTTAGGTTTCATGGCTGCCAGAGGGGAGGCACTCTCACAAATTAAACACCTCCGGCCAAATCTGCAACCACCAAGTAGTAAGTATTTTAATTTTTTAAATTATTTCAATTTTAAATGTGGTAATATAATTTGAATATAATTATATGTATCTCTTGGTGAATAAGATTTGCTTTTTTCCTATTGATTATTAGAGTTTTTTAAATCAGTTTATTTAATTTTAGTTTAGATATGTGAAACATCATTTATATTTTTTTAAACAGGATACACGAAGCCATTTGATTGGCTGACTTACTTAAAAGAAGAAAATGCACAACCGGTTCCATTTGAATGTTTTAATGAGGTATTTTTTTAAAATGTAAAACTGTTTTAAAATATAAAAAAAAATCTGATTTAAAATAAGATTTTGTGATATTTTTACAAGTTATTACAACAGTATTTTAATTTCATCCCTGACTTTCACAAAATAAGTGCAAAAAAACACCATTACTGTACTATAAAAAAAACAGCATATTTCAGTCTCTTCCCTGCTTGTGGTGAATACAGTTAAATAAAATATTGCACCCAGTTGCTAAATTAACAACACATACTTAACTTAATCACTTCCAACAAATTATGCATCTTATCTACTTTAGGCTTCTTTAAGTTTAAATTGTTTTTTCATAATTTTACTTGCATGTCATTTTTTGTGTATAGAACCAAACTGATGGGACTAAACCAGATTTGATACTGCAGGCTCAACATGAGCTTGGCTTGAACAGTTTCTCTCAAAATCCTGACACAGTTTCTGAGACTTGTTTTAAAAACCGCATCACAACCCAAGGTATATTATAACTACACACACCATAAGTGATATACACTACTTTTTGTGGATAAATGCATTTTTATCAGGCAATGTCTGAAGGATTTAGTGTTTTTTTTATATTTGTATTAAGGAAATTTTGCATGAAATTTTTAATAAATTAATTTCTTATACTTTTTAACTTTTATTAACAACTCTAATAACCAGAAAACTCTAAGAGTTGCATAAGTTTACTAAACAAAATACTAATTAGATGGAATTCAGTTCAGATTATGAAGTGTTAACAGATGTATTGTATTATTATCAAAATCTTATTAACTATCTAAATAATGGCTTTTTAATAATTCATTTGGAGAGAAAGAAAAAACACTATCAAATAAAAAAAAATTCAAATAATCATAATTGTGTATTTTAAGTTTTGGAATATCAAACAAAAACCTACCTTCAAAAAACTGAAGAAAAAATTCAATCCAGTGACCTTGAACAGTTAATGGAGAAACAAAAAGAAGCTTTTATTTTTTTACCAGCCAACTTATCTCTAGACAACTTGAGGTAAAAAAATGTGTTTGATGTGCAGTTTTTGTGCTACAGTAGCAGTAATTAATGCTTGTCAGGATATAGTTTTTTATTAACTGAAAATCTTATGTTTTATACTTTGTAGTTTGTCAAAGTTGTAAATTTTCAAAAAGATAAATGTTTGGCTATTCTCAGAAAATAATTGGATGACGAAGCTTAGAAAACTTAGAAAAATACAAATTTTATTGGGTTTGATAGCCGGAATATATTAATAAGAACAAAGAAGTTGTTAAAACTTAAAAACATGTAAGTTTATATTTTAAATGTGCTTGTTTTTTTTAAACCAGATATCCTATGCTCTCCGAAATCTACAGTGATAAACAGCAAAGGATTCATTTTTTATGTCCAGGCCAAGGTTTGCGCTCTTTTTTTTTTCTTTAAAAAAGGCTTTAGAATTCATATTTAAAAAATTGGCTATTTTAAAATGAAATTTTTAAAAACATTGAATTAATTTTTTAGCACTAGATTTCCACATGGTGAACCATCCAGGACTTCTGCTGGAGGGAGATAAGCTTGTGGATCTGAAGTCTTGGGCTGGGGTTTTACAAATGCCCTATGCAATTTTATTGACTTTGAAGGTAAAATTCAAATGTGGGCTGTGTTGTGTTTTTAATGGGATTACATGCAAGGAGGGGATGGGCGGCTTGGACACACAAAAGCAAACCCAAAAGTCCCCAGTTTGGGATGGAATCCAATATGGATGGGTTCATAATTGAAGTTGGGGAAAGTGAAAGCTGATGGGCATGGAACTGAGCATTACTTGTATTTAAAAATGTGTTTTAGTTTACGTGAAATACTTTTTTAATTTAGAAAATATTAGATACTATGTTAAAGTATCAATTTATTTATTGTAAATATAATACATTTTAAACCTTATATAATGGATAAAATGAAGTAAATTAAAAATATGAAAAAATTAACCTGAAATTAAAATGAAATTTCTTTTCATTTTATAAGTATTTTTATCATTTTCTTTCTTTGTAATTGTTTAACACTACCAATTACAATTTATAGAGTAATCAGCCTAGAAATATGTCTGCCATCTGTGCCGGAGCAGATAAACTACCCACTGAGAAGGTAAAAAAAATTCTGACAAATTTAGAATAAAAGTAAAATATTTTTTTAAGTTTAAAGAGTATACCTAATTAAATCAATTTTTTTGGTTAGAAATGTGTTTAAAAACTGTTAAAAAGAATGTATTCAGATAAAGAAATCTTATGTTAGGCAGTTTAAACTAGAAGGAAAAAATCTTTGACAGATGTCAATTTTGTTTACTTGTTTTTTAAACAAGTACATTTGTAATAAGTATTCTGTTAATTATTGTATTGAATCGTTTTTTCTTAGATGTGCTCTCAAATGAACTGAGTAAAATAATACATAAACCATGTTATATTGTAATGTTTTTTATAAATACTTATAAAATTTAATGAAGACAAAATTAATTATTACAATTACACAGTTCAAATCAAACACTGAGATATATTTTGATGTTAAAATTTCCTTTCCCTTTCAATCAGCTACCTCTGATGGAGCTGGCAATGAAACGTCTACAGAGGCTTTATCTCATGCATTGTATCTTCTACAGAAACACAGAGGTAAATCTAAGCTTTGTTATTGACGTTCTTTGAAAAATAAATTGTAATGTTTAAACTATTTGGTACATTCTTTGAAATATAAATTGTAATGTTTAAACTATTTGGTACATTCTTTGAAATATAAATTGTAATGTTTAAACTATTTGGTACATTCTTTGAAAAATAAATTGTAATGTTTAAACTATTTGGTACATTCTTTGAAAAATAAATTGTAATGTTTAAACTATTTGGTTCTTATAATATAAAAATGCAGATAGGCAAAAAGAGTTGTGTAAAGTATTTCTTTTATGTCTGTATGGGTGTTAAAACTTGGGTTGGGCTTTGTTTATTCTTAGGGTTGGGCCAGCACTGGGAATAAGGTCAGGTCCTTGGCCTTAGTGCTGTTAAAATTGTCTATAGATCTAAATCTGGATAATATAAGCAAATCTTAACTTTAAAAAATACTAAAATGTTTCTTTGATAGGAAATGAGCCAAAAACAAAGAGAGACAACTCAAGTAATATTTGAAAATGCTATTAGCTCAGATGCTAATGGGTTTGCTCAGGTATTTCACCAACCACAAGCACATTCTGGCCTGTTGTGCAACGCTCACAAAATGGCAAACTCTCCTTCTGCAGGGATACAAGAGATTTCAATTTCTAAATTTCAGGTTCTTACTTTTTTAAAACAACAGTACACTTTTTAAACATTTTTACAATTATAGAAAATAACAAACATTGTCTAAAATTTATCTTCATAAAAAATATTTATATTAACATATTATATTTTAGAGGTTTTGTAAAAGTAGTTTTCAATGCATTCTTTTAAAAATCTGACCATTAGATTTGCCATCATGATTTTAAGGATCATTTTTGGTGAAATATCAAAATATATTAAATTTAATCTAAACTCTTAACAATTAAAAACATGTTAAAACTTCTGTTCCTCTTAAGTTGATTAAAATTACCTTTGAAGCCATATTTGACTTTCAAGATATTTTATCAGTATAATATAGTTCTATATCATCTTACCTTTCATTAAAATCAAGTTCAATCTACAAACAAATTTGTTTAGTTTTTTAAAAGAAAATTATTCAATGCCATACAACATACATGAAAATGTTTATTATTAATTTGTAAACATTTATTTTAAAAAATGGTGTTAGTCAATATACATTTTTTTTTAAGTTAAATAAAAAAGTAAATTTTGAAATAGCTTTCAGAAAAGTTTATTTTATTTTATAAACTAGTTTATTTTTTTAAAATCAATTTTTTTTATAAATTTCAGAATTTGGCTTCTAATATTTTTGTGATGCACCTGGAAAACAATCCCTTATTTTCTCTACCTGAAGATTTTTTCTCCCATTTTTTAAATTTGTCTCACCTTTGGCTGGATGGGTGCACCATTGGAGGTAATCAGATTTATCACCCTTTAAATTGTGTGAATGGTCTGGAAGATAATTATTTCACGACATCCACAACAGCAGACACTAGAAGATGATGATTTCTGTTGCAACACTTGCTGAGAGAATTATATTTGAAGGATATAATTACATATAATATACATGTATTTTTAAAGACTGGCAAATAAAATTACCAGCCTATAAAATTATGTTTAATAGAATAATTAGTTTTTCTATGGAATTTATATAAAACAAAAAAATTTCTTTTTTGTGTGGGTTATACAAAAAATGTCTACAAATGTGCTTAAAAAGTATCCTCTTAAAGTTTTAAAGGGAAAATTTAACAAATGCATTATAGTTTCTACTGAATGTGTGATCCAGGTTAAAAAAATATTTATGTAATTTTTTAATTTATATTTTATTTTGTGCCATTACAATTAATATGGGATGGTGTGGCCTAGTGGTAGAGAGCAAGACTGCTAAACCGAAAGTCGCGAGTTCGAATCCAGGTTCAAGTCAGTAGACCGGCCCTGAGTCCACCCATCCCTGATGGGTAACTAACTAATATTAAGAAACAATGGTGGCTGGGCGTAGTACTAACTACACTATCCCTTCATATGTCAAGGTCTTCTTCACTTGCCTCATAGAGTGTCATGTTTGAAGGGGAACTTTACAAGAATACAACCTATCCAAATTTTTCTTGACTGGAAAATTGAAATATTTCTTTTCTTTTTTAATGTATGTTTGAAGAAGCAGAATCTGCTAGATCACCCTAGATGCTGAGATGGGTAGTTAACCCACTAATTGGTACATACTTAATTAATTAGTTTTGAAAGAAGTTTTATTTTTGACACAGAATTACCACCTTTGAAAGAAAACACTTGCCTAGAGGAAATTCATTTGAAAGGGAATATGCTACAAACTCTGCCCGATGATATGAGCCAGTTAACCTCACTAAAGGTAAAGTATTTTCAAATTCAACAGAGCAATTTACTAAAGATTGTTTTTTTTATTTATTTTTTTTAACTTAGGAATCAGTTTTGACCTTTGCTGGTTTATTAGATTATCTTCATTTGAAATAACGTTTCTTTGAACAACAAAACTACTCTTAAAAAAAAACCACTTATTAAAATTCTTATAAGCCTTGTAAGAAAGAAATTTAATTAAAGATTTCTGCTTTGTATATTGATTGCATTAAGCTAAAATATTTTATACAATATTTGTTCCTCACGCAGATTCTAGATATATCCTCCAACCCTCTGGAAGTATTACCACAGGTGATATCATCGCTGACCTCACTTGTTGAGCTGTATGCTGACAACATTGGCACTGTTGACATGACACTAATCTGTCCTCTGACAAACCTCACCAAGCTGTCCCTGGCCCACAATTACATTGATTCCATCCCAGACAAGTTCTCATCTTTGGCACTGACCTACTTGGACATGTCCGGCTTACCTCTGATGCCCACTGGAACATCTTTTTCAAGCCCTGCCCTCAATACTTTCTTGGACAAGTATATAGTTTACCGCAGGATGAATGCAAAGGTGATAATTTGTTCAAGTGTTTTTAGTTTACTTTCATCAACTGTTCCCCTGACTGTACCCAAGACACACGAGGCAGGTGAAATAGAGTTTCTCAGTTGCAATGACCCCGGCGTACAAAATGATAGTGCAGTCAGCATCATGCCCACTGCCTTAGTTTTCTCTAACATGAGTCAGGTACTCATCAGAGTTGGCTGGACTTAGAGACATGATACGGATTTAAGCCTTTGTGCCTACAATTGTAACCGTTTTTTTTTAATAAATTTGAATTTTTGAATTTTGAAGTCTGGCATCCAAACTCAAGAACTTCATGCTCGCAGTTGTGTGCTCTTCTTTCTGACAATGCCAACCAATAGCTTACTCTAAATAAAATTTATTGATTTTAATTAAACTTAGTTAGCTTTTATAAAAAATTTCCTGACCATAATTTTAATTAAATAACTTAAAATGTTATGGTATATAGAAATAAGATAAAAATACCATTGCAACTAAGAATTTTTTTACTATATTGTTCTTTTAAAAAAGTCAATTTTTAAACAATATTATTATTAAATAATGTATTTTTTTTTACATATACATTTTTAAATTTGCAAAAAAGGATAACTGATGAATTATTTTTTTCCAAGGAAAGACAGGAAATGGTTGAAAAGGTTGAAAACAATGGTGAAAAAATGAGCAATGCTGTCAAGCTTACTGAAGTTAACAAACTTCTTTACAGCAAATTCCCACGTTTGGGAAAATTGGGCAATCAGGATGATGAAGGTTAGCAACCTTGTTGAAAAAAAATAGTTGTAATATGTTCTACTTAAACAACTATCTGCACAACCTAAGTGTTAGCAATCAGTAATGAGTTATAAAAATCTTATATACCTGACGCATTGTGGTGAAAACCTACTCCACATTTGTGAGTAGTTTCCCCTACAGTTTATTAATAACCTGTTTAGTAGTTTTAAATTTTTTTTAATGATATATTTAAAATAGTTTAAATTTTTATTGTTTTTTTTAAACAAATAAAATGAATTAACCATTACAATATATTTTTTTTTAAATTGTTCATGCATTGGAGTTATTTGTTGGAGTTATTTGTTATCAAAGTGTTAAGCAAGGCCTGTTTGTTTTTGTTCAGAAAATGCCTTCCCAGAGACCATCATGAAAATGACAACATTGAACACATTGATACTGCCATACCATGCCTTCACTACAGTACCTGACAGTGTCAAAGACTTGACCTCCCTGGAAGTTCTAATTGTCGAGTACAACCCTTCACTGCTGACTGTCAGTGCTGAACTGGCTAAACTACCACTGAAAAGTAGGTCCATGTTGTCTTGTATGATTAACATTGAGGTCTTTGCTGTCTTGTTTAATTAAAATTAAGGTCCTTGCAGTTTTGTTTCATTAACATTAAGGTTTTTTGTGTCTTTTTTAATTAACATTGAATTTCTGTTGTTGTTTTTTTTAAATAATCATATTTTAATAATTCTATGATTAAATGTAACTTCACACAAAGAATTGGTTAAAGTGTTATGTGTAACAGAATTTGCATAAGCAGACACTGTCATTCTAACAATTTGTTATTTTTTTTATATATTTAGACATTTTTTTGTTTGTCCCTTTCGCCACAACAAGTCCCACGTTACAAATTAAAGGAATTATTTCTAAGACAAACCTCTTTTATTCCTTATGTTTGACCATCTTCTTCTGTCAGAGCTTCACCTGAGAGAATGTGTTAATCTAAAGACACCTCCAAAAGAAGTCGTACGCCGTGGGTTTCTAGCCATCATGGGATATTTGAAAAGATTATTACAAGGTTCTGTGTCGTGTAAGAGAACAAAGCTGATGATGGTTGGCCTAGGTGGGGCTGGGAAAACTAGGTAGGTGTTAATTAGCTAATTGCTAGTTAGTTTTAGCTTTTAATTAGGTAATGCAGTCGTATGCCCTACTATTCAACCATGCTGTCCCATATTATGTATTAGGTTAGCTTAGGTTAGGATTGCCTGTCACCCCTCCTGGGACATAGGCTGCTGACAAGAACTTTTCAGGCATCTCTGTCCTTGGCTAGTCTCTCCAATGGTCCCCAGGTGTATCCAATCTGCTTGGTTGTCTTCTTCCATGTCACGTCTCCAGGTCTTTCTTTTCCTTGTACCCTGTGTATTCCAGGCGAGGGTATGTCTTGTTATGCTGGATACAGGCTTCCTGAGTGTATGGTCAATCCATTTCCATTTTCTCTTAATGATTTCTTCTTCTGCTGGCTGTTGATTTTTCTGTTGCCATAGCAACTTATTTCTGATGTTTTTAGGCCAGTGGATTCTACGGACCTTTCTGAGGCATAAATGATTGTATTTTCTTTATTTGTCTCAGTTATTATGTATTAACACGCCATGTGTCCAATGTTACAGTCTGGTTCGGGCTTTGACCGACAAGCAGCACAGTTTTTATGAGAATTACACTGAGAGAATCACTGACGGCATTGACATCACAGAGTGGCAGGTCAACGTCAGACACCTGATACCAGAAACTGAGGCCATTGACAGGGATGAGCCTCTGCATTTCAGTGTTTGGGACTTTGCTGGCCAGACAGTGTACTACAACACTCATCAGGTGAGTTGCCAAATACATCACACATCAGGTGAGTTGTCAAATACATCACACATCAGGTGAGTTGTCAAATACATCACACATCAGGTGAGTTGTTAAGTAAATCACACATCAGTGAGTTGTCAAAAACATCACACATTAGGTGAGTTGTCAAATACATCACACATCAGGTGAGTTGTCAAGTACATCACACATCAGGTGAGTTGTCAAGTACATCATACATCAGGTGAGTTGTTAAGTACATCACACATCAGGTGAGTTGTCAAGTACATCACACATCAGGTGAGTGTCAAATACAACACACATCAGGTGAGTTGTCAAATACATCACACATCAGGTGAGTTGTCAAATACATCACACATCAGGTGAGTTGTCAAATACATCACACATCAGGTGAGTTGTCAAGTACATCACACATCAGGTGAGTTGTCAAAAACATCACACATCAGGTGAGTTGTCAAGTACATCATACATCAGGTGAGTTGTTAAGTACAACACACATCAGGTGAGTTGTCAAATACATCACACATCAGGTGAGTTGTCAAATACATCACACATCAGGTGAGTTGTCAAATACATCACACATCAGGTGAGTTGTCAAGTACATCACACATCAGGTGAGTTGTCAAATACATCACACATCAGGTGAGTCGTCAAATACATCACACATCAGGTGAGTTGTCAAATACATCATACATCAGTTGAGTTGTCAAATACATCACACATCAGGTGAGTTGCCAAAAACAACATACATACAAGACATGGGAGGGGTGTGTGTAGAACATGAAATACATCACATTAAGTTGGATGTGACTTACAAAACACATCAGATTAGATGTTATTACGATCACCACTCTAACAGTCGCAGAGCTGGCGAACGCACCGGGTTCGTTTAGAGGGTTACACACAGATGTCTCAAAGTCTCAAAAAGGTAGCAGGTACAAAAATTCACAGAGGACTCGTACTTAACGTCTAGGGGATAAACTCGAAGAACTCTTGATACCAACAACACTTTTAATCTATATATAACCTTTAAAATGTGTACAAGTTCAAAATAAGACTCTAGCTTTATACAAAATATAATGAATGAGCAGAATAACCAAAACTCAACTTACAAGTTGAAGAAAAACACTATGTTACACTATCACAGGATATTTCACTTAGGAAAATCACCACAGCTTATACGAAACTACTTAAAGCACAGAATATTATTCAAACCACAAGTAATAAGGGAAAATGCTGCTTTAAACTACAGAATACAATATGGCGACTCACACGGCATTCTCTCTCAGGATGTCTGGTCTGGACTGCCTCGAGAGACGTGTGCGCTAAGTCTTTAACTACTTAGGAAACATGGGAGGTCACCTTCAAGTCATAAGACTATTGGTTAGGCCATCGCCGATGTCCGAATCAACCAATCGTAATTATAGAAGGATTGCACCACATATCGTGATGGAAAAGTACCGGGTGATTACACCACAGGCCACTCATGGTTGATTAATAAATGTAAAACTAAAAAAACAGGACCTAAGTAGGTCACAATGTCAAATACAAATCAGGGACATAGTGAAATAGAACACATATCAGTCATAATGTGAATCACCACACATCAGTTAATATGTTAAATACATTACATTGTGGGATGACATATTAGACTGTTTTAGTAATTTAACTAACACTTTACGAGAATTAGATAAATACAAATAAAACTCATTTTTGTTTCTATTGTTTAGAAAATAACATACTTTTATCACTATGATCATTGTTAATGATTCTTAAACACTTGGCACATATTACTGAGTGGAGCTTACTAAACAGTAGTTCTATTATACCTTTTAATTGAACATTTATTCTTAGATTTTAAAGAATTCTACTATATGAGTAAAAAAAAAAATTTTCAGTTTTTCCTTTCAAACCGTGCTGTCTATTTGCTGTTGTGGAACATCAGGCTTGGATATGAGCATGCTGGACTAGACTTTTGGCTGAGTTCTATTGCTTGCCACGCCCCCAAAGCTCCCATTTTGATTGTTGGTACACACAGTGACAAGGTTTGTTCCCTTGCTTAAATTTATTAAAAAATGGTCATTGATTGTATTTTCAGGAGAAGCTATACATAATATTTTAAATCTAGTCAAAGAACTTGTTAGTGAAATAGAAAAATATATGAATATGTATCCAGCTTGTGAGACTATTTCTTTTTGGTTTGACATTACTGAACAGTATACTGCATTATTTTTACAAAATACATTTTTAAAATTTAAATTTTAAAAAAATTATTTACAAGAAAAGTAAATTAATTTTTTTTTTTTATATGTAGGTTCAGAGAGGCAAGCTACCGAAAGAAGAATTAAAAAGAAGATTTCCTCAGATAGTTGGATTTTATTTTGTCAGTTCCTTCTCTGGAGAGGTATGTTGTTCAATTGTTTGTTACCTTTTTCATTAGAGAGTTCAGTGATATTTAGCAGAATGTGCAACTTTGTTTCTTTTAATAGTTTTCTTTCAAAGTAGGCAATACGATCAGTATCATTGCATCTATATAAATTTAAAGTGATTACATTTTTTAGCGCAATTTCCATACTGGACAATTGCGATTATTATTTACAATTTTTGTTTTTGTTTTACGCAGAATAAAATAATTTCTTTCAATTATGTGAATTTCAAATATTTAAACTTTTATTTTATTTTCTAACAAGCTGATAATAAGAATTAAATAACAATAGACACTTTGCAGAGTTACACAAATTAATACATATCATTTACCTATTAATTTTAACTAACTGATTTATAGTAACCACAGATTTATATTTTGAATGGTTAAAGTCTAAAGTACTAACTATCATTGTCGTAGCCTCATCGAGAATTTTAAATTGTCAAATAGCTGCATGCATTTATTTTTTTTTGCTCCTTTTAAAGGGTATTCAAGAAATGAAAACAAGTCTGATAATGTCAGCACTCTCTCAGAAGTACATGGGGGAGAAGATCCCAGAAGCCTGGCTAAGCTTGGAGACACAGCTAGACAAGTTTGTTATTCATATTTTCTCGTGCTTAATTTTTACAGAACAAAATAATGGGTGAATTTAATTTTAATCTGTTAATGTTAGAAAAATATTTCTCAACAACTACTTTCATTTGCAGTGAATATTTCATCATACCAGATTTAAAAATAAGTAAGTCTATTTTCAGACTAAGAAAAGAAGGGAAATCACTCTTACAGTTTCATGAAGTTGAAGAAGCAGCAGATACTGCTGGTATTTTTGATAAGCCAGAGGTAGGTGTCAGCTTTATGTTGCTAGCCCAGAAATTTAAATTTTAAAATCAGTTTACCTATAAGCATGGAGAGAAACTTATTAACAACTTAAAAGCAATGAATTGTTAAAAAAAAATTTTTTTGAAAAAATTCTGACATCCTAGTTAATTTTTTCAGCTGATCCAGGCAGTGCAGTTCCTGCATGATTTGGGTTCAGTTCAGTTTTTCAACACCAATTTTCTGCGCTCACACATTGTGATAGTACCTCAGTGGATAGTTGATGTTATGGCTTGCATTGTTACAGTTCACGAAGGACCCATTCAGGTCAGTCAAATCATTTTTTAATTTCGCTGTTTGTTTTCAATTTTAGAAAATTGGCCATATATTTTTATTTTAATTTTTGGTATTTTTTAAAATATATAAACTGAGATTATCCATTTAAAAAATCTTACACTATAATTTTGTGGAAAATTTTTGATTTAAATGAACTTATTTCTAGGATGGTAAACTCTACTATAATGACATGCCCCGTCTTTGGGCCTCCTACCCTGAAGAGCTCCACCCGTGGTTGTTGCGCCTGACTGAAGAGTTTGACTTGACTTTTCCACTGGCCAATGAGGAGGCTAATATTGTGCCCTGCCTGTTGCCCAACACTGAGCCAACAGTAAGTTTTCTCTAAGAAATTCTCCTAAAGGGTTTTGGAATGTAACAATAAAATAGATTTGGTTCTAAATATTGTATCATTTTTTTTCCCTTTGACCCTAGATTCAAAGCTAAGTCTTGTTATGTCTTGATATGTCTCACTATTTGTTAAATTAGTAAGCTTATTTATAGTTTTAAAGTGGAGAGCCTAGTGCTAAAAGTAGTTGTCCCATTTTTGTGAAAATCAAACCAAGCAATGGTCGTCATCCTCTAGTATGACTTTATCTTATGTACACATTAACAAATAAAATCATTATGTTTTATAGCCAGTTTAAAATTTAAAACTCATTAATCTTAAGAAGTTGTTACTGCAACTTAAGTACTTAAATTGCAATAACAACTTTTTCTAAAGAAAAAAGTATTTAATAGGCCTGCAATTGCAAATAGTTCCAAATATTCCAATCCCATTTTATTTTTCCCTTTCCAACAATAAAAAAATAAAAATGTTTTAAATCGTTATTATGTTTGTTTTATTATGCCTGTTGAGCCGTGTTATCAAACAATTAATTTATTTTTACCACTTTTAACACCGTGTCTTGTCCAGTACGACTTCCCTGCTGTGAATCAAGACATTTATGAAAGAGAATCAAAAATCAAATACAAATTTGAATATCTACCTGCAGGCTTGTTTAACAGAGTGCAGGTAATTTTTATCTTTCACATGCTTTTATGCTTTGTTAAGTTACTTCATTTGTTATTTTTATCCTACACTTTACACAGATGGATATAGCCTTTGGCCATGTTTCACTCTCCAGGTACGTCTGCACCAGTTCAGTGATAGCTCAGTCATGTGGAAGAAAGGATTTCTGCTGAACAAAAACAACCACAGAGCCCTATTACTGCAGATCAGGCAAGTATCTAGACTTAGGGGGAATAACCTCTATGCTATTTAGAGCAAAATAACTTCTACACTAATTATAGCTACTGCATCACATTGGGTCTTGAGTTTGGATCTTGGTCCAGACTTGGGACTGCAGGTTGCCCCTGAGTCAACCCAGCACTGATGGGTACCTGACTCACATTGGGAAAGTATAGTGCTGACCACACCATTCCTTCATATGCTGAGTTCAAGAAACATGAACTCTACTTCATCTGCCCTATAGATCAATAGGTCTGAAAGGGAAACTCTACTTACTTTACTTCTGTAGACATTTATTGTGTCAATGTTTCTGTGGCTGAGGATATGTTGAGGGTCTGGGTTTGACCCAGGTGGTAAATTTTTTGTTGTAATATTTGTTTGGGGAAGACAAGAGAGTCTACCCTATCTATTAATTTTAAAAAGGATGAAGGAAAAATTGAGACTTCTCGACTAGCATATGTAGGTGTTTGAAGTTTCAATCTTTGAAATATCATAAGGTCTTATACTTTTGTTTAAAAATAAGGATTATTGATTATTTTAAGGCTTAGTTCTACAATGGTACAGATCGCATAAAGACAGAATAGTTAGCATAATGACAAACCACACATTCAATATTGACAATAGTTTAGCTTACTCCCATCAAGAAAAACCATAACAAATTTTTATTATTTTTGTCAGAAGTGAAACAAAGTTTTTTTTTAAAAATGTTTTAAGTTGTGTTATGATTTAAGCATTTTATCATAATATCAAAAGTGTGAATTATGCACATCAAAAACAAACTTAAAACCCCAAAACATTAATGTGGAAGAATTGTGATAAAATATTGTTCAATCAAACTTGAAATTAGGTTCAGTAATAATAACTTAAATCTTCTGGTCACCAGTAAGACTAAGGTTGTGGCTTCTGTAACAATAACTTAAACTTTCTTGTCATCAGAGATACTGAGGTTGTGGGGTTACTGTAACAATATTATAACTTAAACCTTTTTGTCACCAGTAACACTGTGGTTTTAGCTACTGTAACAATAACTTAAACCTTTTTGTCACCAGTAACATTAAGGTTGTGGTTACTGTACCAATAATTTTAACTTTCTTATCACCAAAAAAATAACTTAAACCTTTTTGTCACCAGTAACACAGAGGTTGTTGTTACAGCCCGTGGTTACAAGCCAGAGAACACCATATTTTTGGTGCATGAAGTCTTTGAGTGTCTGATTGCTGACTCCTACAGTGGTGTGTCCTATGACTATTCTATACCTTGTGCTGAATGTGTTTTTGAGGTTTGTAATTTGTCATAAAAAACGCTCAATTTGTATGAATATTTAAAAGCACTTTTTTTTTTAAAAACTAGTTTTACTTTTTATATGTTTAGACCTTTGTGCAACTAAACCAACAAAATTATTTTAAAACATTGGAAACTCTTTTTTCTTAGTCATCATATCTTTTAACTACTGTTCTTACCAATACCTTTTTTTAAAATATCTTTCTTGTACAAAGTTATATGCTATTTTACTACTAGCATTTAATATTTTGTTTCATATGTCTGTCAAAAATTCTAAAGCTAACATTACTGCAATTAATTTTTTTACCATAATTACTATTCCATTCTCTTGATAATTTTAGCTGTATCTTTACTTACTGTTTTCATAAACAAGATGTATTACACTATTTTGTGTGCTATTTGTTTCATTTGTATCATTCAATTTTTCAGTTAACCCTTGATCCATGTATGTTTGCTGCCTCCAAAATTAAAAGAGCTTTTGAGCTAAAGGCCCCATTTCTCCAGTGTGATAAAAACTTTCATATTATCTCAATTCATGAGATACAAGGTATTTGTTTAAGGCTAGTAGTTTATCACTTTGCTAATACAATTTCAAGCTAAAAATTGCTATAGTTTCATATTTCTAACTTTATGTAGGCCCTAGCTGTATTTAAATCTTATTTTACTTTTCAAAAGAATTCATAAGTACTTAAATTTTTGTCATATATCTGCATCTCAGAAATTTACTTGAAATCTCAACTTAAACATAATTCTTATCCTTATCTTGACTAGTTAATATTAATCTTACTGCAAAACTTTAATTCTTAGCTGTACTCAATTGCTTTTATGATGACTTAGTGAATGATTACAAGAATCTAAATTAAGTAACCTACTTTTACTGTAAACTTTTTTTAAATAAAAAAAATTAAACACTTACAGTACAGCACAATTTGTACGAGGAATCTTACATTGAGTGTAATAATGACCTATGCTACTATAAATTGGTTATATTTATTTTTGAAAAATGAAATATTTACAGCATCCCTGCCACCAGATGCTTCCTCTGACTTTGACGAGCACCTGAGTAGGAGTGTTAGAGAGCTCCAGGACTTGGAAGAAAATGTAGCTGTGAGAGTGTTCTTTGTTTTCACCAGTCGTAACATCCCTGCAGCTGGCTCAGTGCAGAATGTTGTTGATCCAAACACCATTTTAGATGACTTGAGGTCTGAAGGATTCAATGTGTAAGTTCATGTGTACTGTACTTAATAGTAGCCAGGTTTTTAAACTTTATTTTACATTTAAACTCAAATGAAAAAAAAAAAACATTACAAATCTGCATGTTTATTTATTTTTAAAGTTCACCACTTTTTACTTCCTCGTATATGAAGAAAGTAAAAGTATTGTAATCATGCAAAAAAAAAAATCAAGATTTTTGCAAATCTCGACGTTTAACACCCCCCTGAGTCAGAAAAACATTGTTTTGCAATCTTTTCCGTATGTCTGTGTGTGTGTATGTGTGTGTGTGTCTGTAAACATGATAACTTGAGTACCGTTACAACTAGGTTGATGAAATTTCATATATAAGTATTATATCAAATTTGTAGATCTGTATCAACTTTTGAGCGATTTCCGATAACCAGAAGTGAACCTTTTTCTACTTTCAATTTTTCAAAAGCCTATAACTTGAGTACTATTTCAGATAGATAAATGAAATTTCACATATAAGTAAGAGATCTAATTCTCTGCCTTCTTCCAAATTTTGAGTAACTTTCGTTGATCGGAAGAATTAATTTTGGCTATTTCCAATTTCTCAAAAAACGCATGTGAATTTATAAAGTACTAATAATATTCCGCACTATTATACACATTTTATTAGGCGTTCACTTGGTGTGCAATTCTTTTTTCTATGAGATTCTGTTTCATTTTAAAAAGTTTAAGCAATTAAAAATGGATTAAAAATATTGTCTATATCCCGAGTTGCCCTCCACCGTAATGTTATATAAGAATATTTGAGAAAGTTTAGGGGATATCATTTCCGGTTTATTTTAAGTATTTTGTTTCTGTTAATCAGGTCCTATTGTGATGACCCAGAGTCCGCTAACATGGAAGATCTAACATTGGCAATTAAATCTGCTCAGGTAGGAATACTTTTTAAAATGTTTTGGTTTTTTATTTCAAAGGATCTAACATTGGCAATTAAATCTGCTCAGGTAGGAATACTTTTGTAAATCTTTTAGTTTTTTATCTCATCTTTTTTGTTGTTTTCTTAACACAGTTGCAATATCTAGTTTATTTTTAGATCATCAATTTTATTTAAACTCTTGAGTTTAATTGGTATAAATTGATTACAAGGAAACTATAAATAAATGTAAAAAATGAATATTTTTTACATTTTTAAGTTTCTGTTAAAAATGACAACTTGATGTGTTTATTTCCTATTGATGGATTGGATTAAAATACTCATCATTTTGTGAACTTTTATTGTATTTCTTACCATTTTTTTTATTTCTGCAGGTTGTCATTGTTGGTATTTCGGATGAATTTGTTGCAATACCAAAATGTCGGGACCTTATTATTTACATGAAGCAAACATTACACACAAATTTGATTCTCGTGGCCATTGGAGCAAAACTTACTTGGCAGGATACGGATATTAATTTAGTTTTAGCTGACGAGGTAATTAGTGAAGCAGTTTTATTACAGTTGATGTTTTACTTTTCAATAGATTTTTAAAAAACTGCAATTATGTTCAATGTTATCTTGGACACAACTTTCTACATGCATAATTATTTAGTAAAATAAAAGTAATTCTATTTCGTAATTAATCATAGCAGACTTAGTTTTCTTCATTCTTAATTGTAATGTTAGAAAGGATTTCCTCGAGCACATTTAAGTATGTGCCCCAATGACTTAGTTTTCTTTCTGGATTTGCTTACATAGTCTTAGTCTGTCCAAGAATTAACTACAAGGCAGTTGTTTGAATTCAGATGGTTGCTGTCCTCAGCTATCAAGCCTCATCTGCCTGTGGGTTCAAACTTGGGACTCTTCTGTTTAGCAACTATGTTCCAGATTAAGCCAACCCTAATAGCAAAAAACTTAAGAAGAATAATGAAATATAATTTTGAATTTAATCTAAAAAAAAAAATTTGTTGTTACAATATATTTTAAAATTTCTTTAGGTTTTTGTAAAGATGATCCAGAAAGACAGATACATCAGTAAAATTCAAGAACTGTTTGATGCCATCAGGTCCAGAAAGCAAAAGAAAAAAGCAAGTGTTTAGTTGTTATTTTTTTTTACTCTATTCTTCATCTTAGGCTTTGATACTTTGTTGCCTTGCATTGTAACAATTATCATGTTAAAATTGTTTTCTTTTTGTTCATTATAATGTGTACAGTCAAGTACAAGTTATTAAGTAGTTAAACTTTGGAACTTGAGAACAGCTTGGAAATAGTCCCATTATGTATCAACATTAAAGAATAACTGAAAACAAACAAAAATGTAGCTGTAAACTATATTGTGTATTATTATTATTTTTTTTTTAAATTGAATTTTTTTTATTTTGCTCATGATTTAGGACAGTTATCCTGATTGTTTTATAAGTTACTGCTGGGCCAACTCAAAGATGGCTGTAGATCTGGGATCTGCAACTAAAGAAGGTGCTCTGGGCTGGGGAGATCCAAGAAAAATTAAAGAGTTCCTGGAGTCAAAGGGAATTAAATGTTGGCTGGATATAGAGCAAATGGGGCAGGTTAGTTCAACTTAGTTTTTGTAATCAACAAATCTTTTATGAATATGTCTGTAATTTTTGATTAAAATTAAATAATATTTATCAGAAAGATCTTTATGTGGCCATAGCATTTAGTAGTGTACACATTTTTTTTAGAGTTTCTTTGATTTCTCACAAATATTAAATTAATGAAAATTATTTTCAGGAAGGATTTTTTGAGGACATAGCAGATGGACTAAGGAAGGCCAAAGTTATGGTTGCTTGTGTTTCAGATGAGGTTATTATTAAATTTTTTTAAAAGAATTTTTAAGTTCATGTTCACAGTACTATAAATATTTTTCAGTTAAAAAAAAATTGATGTAACTGGTTTTTAGCGCAATTTCCATACGGACAATTGCGATTATTAACTCGTCATTTCTGGATGGATGAATGAATGAATGGATGGATGGATGGATGTGTGTCCACAGCTTTAAGTCGTATCACCTCCTCAATGAAACAATATCGAGGACTAGTTCCAAAAGCAAATATGTTAAGCAAGTTCCGAGGATGATTGTGGGCCAAAAAAATTCCCAAAATTCCTTCCTGGATTTCCCGGAAAAGCCAAAAAACCTTTTAAAAAATGCAGTTTTTGGCCCATATCTTGGCAGCCAGACCACTTAGCGACTTGAAACATTTACCAATCGATTCCTGCCATAATTTAGAACAATATTGCTGAAGAAAGTTTTCAAAAATATCCTTTCGTTCGGTCACAAAAAATTAATTAAGAATTTTTAAACTAAGCATCGTGTAGGCCTAGGATGATATTTTTAATTTAAACTGAGCATCGTGTAGGTTTTTAGCGCAAAAAAATATCCTTTCGTTCAGTCACAAAAAGTTAAAAATTGTTATGGATAACATAAGGAAATTGCGCTTACATTGTCACTAGACTTTTTATTAACTTTTTTTTTATAAATATTTTTCAGTAAAAAATATATAATAAAATCCATGTCTTTTTTTATCTAATAGCATTATTTAAACATTTAAAAAAGCTAGATATGCTTCAGGTATGTTTAGCATACCTCTCCCTGCCCCCCTCCCCCTCCCTACCTCCCAATCTTTTTTTTTTATTTTTTAAGCACACACCAGTAAGAGTCAGTGAAATACTAGAAGTATATTTCATAAATGTTTTGTATTCTTCAGTATGCAAACTCAAAAAATTGTAAAATGGAGTTTCGATTTGCATTGACAACTCTTAAAATACCCACAATTCTGGCAGTTGTTGGCACAGGATATTCATGGGAGAGAAGCGAGGTAATGTAATGCTACAAGCAGACTTGGGTAGAAAAAGGGAGGTAATTAAGTAAAGTAGAAAATTGTTTTTTGCATTTTTTCATAGAAATTCCTCTTTTTTTTTTTTAGTTTTTTCATCCAAGTAAAAATGTATGTCACTTCTCCTACAGATTGGTCTACTCACAGTTGGCCACAGCCAGAACTGCCCCAAGATTAACCTTCAGTATGAAAATGAAGCTGGTCTTTTGGAACTGTTTGTGGAGGTTGAGAAGTTTCTCCCTAAGGAAACACAGGCTGCAGCAACTTCTGAAACTGTTCAGCATTCTGTCGCTTTTCAGGTTCAATAATCCTTTTTTGACTATCTAGTTTAAATGCACTTTGTCATAAATTATCAGTATACATACTATTATGGGACGGCATGGCCTAGTGGTAGAGCTAGACTGATAACTCAAAAGTTTCAAGTTAAGTCCAGGTTCAAGTCAATAGATACTGCATTGACAGTTGCTAGAGCATAAGACTGGAAACTCAAAAGTCTCTAGTTTGAATCCCGGGTTCCTGTCAGTTCATTGTTGCCTGGAATTTTAAACTTAATCAGTGTTTATGAAAACTTCAACCATTGAAAACTATATTTGTTACAATCTGATGTAATATTTGCACGATCAGACTAATTAAACCTTATTTTATTAAAATGACCACGCAACTATAAATGAAAGATCATAAGACTTGGTCTTTTTTTTGGCAGACATTATTATCAAAGCAATAATTTTTAAAACAATGTCTGACGACATCCTAATACTGCACTGTTTTTAACCTGTTTGCTTGTCCTTCTTAATGGAAATAAGTTAGATAAACTAAAGCTCTGCTGAGCCAGTTATGGTGAACCCAGAAATCTTGAGTTGGGTTTCTTGCTGTAATATGATAGACATCCTTAAATTAAACCCACCCAGCTCTTATTGGCACTAGACTTACGTTTTGGAAAGTAAAGACACTGATTATGTCGTCTGAATATATAATGACATAATCCATTCATATGCCATGGACAACTAATTTTATGAACTCTCCTAAATTTCCAATTGAGGAACATCTAAAATTATTTTATCAACTAGAATATTTTTTGTTTATAAAATCTGTTTTATTTTTATCAAATTTTATTATTTATATCTATTTCTTATCTATTTAGGAAGCTTTGGAACTTTCACAGCGAAAACTGCTGCGGCATATTGCATTGTATGCCAGCACAATGGACATGGAGGTCTATCCTAGGCTGATACTTATTGACCTTAAGGTCAAGGATGATGTTAAAGATATTGGAAAGGGGCATCACTCTGAACAGAAATGTGCAGATGAATTTAAAGATGACCAAAAGTGTAAAGAGGAAACAAGTTCTGAGCTAAGACACCTAGATAAGGCAGGGGAGAAAAGTGATAAGTTATGTTTGAAGGTTTTGTGTGAGCATGAGATGGGCTGGCACGAGATGCAGGAGGAGATAACCTTCCCACCACTAGAGGGAGCTGAGCTGGATGACTATTTAAAAAGAATAGCACCCTATGTGGCCCGTGTGCTGGCTCTTCTCAAACACTCCAAGATTAATATGCCGATACTGACAACACCAGATGGAGAAAGATTAAGTCGTAAACTTCAAGATGTAAGCAATTAAATTAATTTTATTTTTAACAGCTAATTTTTTTAATCAACCCAGAAAACAAATAAAATACATGCAAGTCAAGATAATTTTAAAACAACAAAATCTGAAATTTATTTTAGACGCCATCTCTGCAATCATCTTATATAAGTAGAATTGGATAGGCCAAGGCTAAATTTTAACTAACCCAGGCTTTAGTCTAGAGGACGTCACTGTTTCTCCTGGTACCTGACTCATGTTAGGAAAACTGTGGTTGTGCATAGTACCGAACATATTAATTACCTTATATCAAAAGTGTCTTGGGCACTAACAGAAAAGATAAAGACTGAACTTCACAACATCCACATCATTGTATTCAGTAATGTTGGTCTAAGATATTTTATATATTTTATAAAATAAAAAACATTGTTGATGTTTTTTTTGTTTATTTCTGCGCAGTTGTGTTCAAAAACCAGTTCAGACTTCCAAAACGAGTATGCTGTTGTACTACAGACAGTGCTGGAGGAAGATTCTGAGAGAACTTTTGGTGGCTTGAAGAGGTAAATAATGGAGTTTTCTCCCTTGGTGTTAGAACCTTTTTCTCATTTTGAAGTGCTCTGATCAAAGCACAATAACACAAAGGGATAGTATAGACAGATATTAGAGCATATGACTGCTGAGACAAAAGTCTTTAGTTTGAATCCTGGGTTCCTGTCAGTTGAACATATTTGAGCCCACCCAACAACAAAAAGTAAAGGCAGCTGGGCATAGTGCCTCCCACACTATCCCTTCAAATGCAGCAGTCGCTGAAGCAGGTGCATTCCACTGCCAGGTTCAGAAGGGTGCTTGACTTACTTAACAGTAACACATGGAATAGAATAACTTGAGCAACGGATAAAGCACAGTAATTATTGTTGAGAAAATTTTGCAGTTTAAAATTTTTAGAAGTAAAACAATTTCTCTATTATATCAATTATTTAAAAAGTTATAATTTTCTCAGGTTAAGTCATAGTTTACAAATACGTGTTGATACTGGCCCAAGCAGTGTAAAACAAACACCTACAGCTCTACCCACTTCTTCTGTCTGGAAAGATTAGAAAATAACGTTCAATTGACTGACTTTCTAGTGATAATACCACCATGTTGGCTACATTTAGATGTCTAATTTCTCAATTCTAACAGATGTCAGATGCCCAATGGAAAAATTCTTTGGTTGTGTGACAAACATGAGAAATCCTCTTTCACACAGACAGAGAAAAAATATAAAACACAGCTTGAGCAAGCTATGAATTGCAAGGAAGACATAGCAGGTATGATGCAGACATTACATTACATCATATTACATGGACACATTTTTAATTTTGTGTCAATATTGTTGGAAATTTAAAAAATTCAAAGCAATTAAAATTAGTTTTTGTTTAATAACGATAAACTTTTAAATTGAAATTTAAATATTATTTTATATTTTTGAAGCAGTTTACGATACTTTAAACAAACACTTTTTATTCTGTTATGGTTGTTATAAAATATACTAAGAATTATTCTTTAGATTTATACTTGCTCCCATTTGGTATTTTCCAGACTCTCCAAGTACTCGTCCACCCACTGCAATGGATTCAAGTTTGTCTGAAGATTCACAAGTGCATGAAAAACCAAAAGGTGAGTTTTTACGTTTGTTATAATGTTTAAATATTTTGGATAGAGGGGGGTCTGATACATGGGCTCTTCTCAAATTAGGTCCCTGGCTTTGTGCTTGGATTTCCTGTGTGCAATCACCCAGTGGTGTATTAGACTCCAGGGCCACAACCCCTGTAATATAGTTTAGTTGAGCTTACTGTCATTGTTATTATTAATGGTCCTTCTTTAAAAGTATGCTATGAAGCAATCTAATGATAATTTTGTATAGTGGGTCATTAACTGTGTGGAGAGTGGGGGCTGATACATGGGCAACATCTGGCTCAACTTGCTGACGACCTTATGTCTTAATTTCCAAGACACTGATCTTCAATCAGATTAAGGAGCCATTTATTTAGGCCTATAATATTTTATTTCATATCAGATTATCAATACTTTAAAATAAAAATCAATACAATAATATAGGTCTATAAATATTAAATATTAATAAATAAGAAATCTCATTTTTAATCTCTGCAATGACTTGGAATTTTAAAACGTATCCTTTTTTGCAATGTTAACAATTTGTCTGGAAAAAAGTCACGTTTTATTATTTAATTCACCTTGTGCTAAATGTTTATAGATGTGTCAGATGTACCAGCCACAAGCCCACAAATTCCTGTGAAACTAGAACAACAAGCTGGTGCTCAAATGCTGCCTCGAAGACCCAAGTTAAACAGAAGAGGAACCAGCAGTAAAAAAACAACAAGCCAGGCATGCCTACTCATGTGATGAGTTTTTATTTTAGGCCAAATATTTTCTAGACCACTGAATCAAGTCAGTTGATTGAATCTCAGTTAATTTAGTGCACAGTTTTATAGAACACTGAATCATGTAAGAATTTAGTGCACAATTTTGTAGTACACTGTATCATGTAAGATGAGTTGTTTTTTGATCGTTTTAGTACAGAAAATTTTGGACCATGGAATTTCATCTGAGGATTTGATCTCAATTCATGTTAAATGTTAATTGTAGCTATGAATATTGTTGCTTATGTGTGGAACTACCTCAATATCTACACTTTTTAAACATGAAGAACTTTGTTTATGAATGTTAAATCTGCGGCAAAACTTTACATTGCCTTTTTATACAAATTTTATATTATGAATGGGACAGCTGTTTAATTAGGTTCATTGGCTGGTGTTAGTCACTGAGTCCAATTCATATGCTGAGGCCCAATAAACATTTTAACTATTTTAGTGAAAGGGTAATACTTAATGAGTTTTTAATGTTATTACACTTGTTTATTTATTTTATTGACCATTGTCTTGTTTTCTTGTTAGTTTATGCATCTCAAATAATTTGCCCAAGACCAGTGATAATCTACTTATGTAATCTGTTAAGCGGTAATAATTAATGAGTTTTTACTTTCTCGTATATACGAAGTATAGAGAAAGTATTGTAATCGTGCACAAAAATCACTTGAAATTTTAACAATTTTCACCGTATTACACCTCAGTCCTACATGACATCCGAAGTGTAGAGGACTTATTTTAATCGGGCAAAAATTATCAATCCAGATTTATCAAAATTAAGACGTTTTATGCGTAATCCAGTCTGAAAAGCTGGGCTTTGCAATTATGTCCGTATGTCTGTGTGTCTGTCTGTGTGTGTGTCTGTCCGTGTGTAAACACGATAACTTGAGTACCGTTACAGCTAGGTTGATGACATTTCATATATAAGCATTTTATCAAAATCGTAGATCTGTATCAACTTTTGAGCGATTTCCGATAACCGGAAGTGGTACTTTTTCTACTTTGAATTTTTCAAAAGCCTATAACTTGAGTACTATTTCAGATAGATAAATGAAATTTCACATGTAAGTATAAGATCTAATTCTCTACCTTCTGTCAAATTTTGAGTAATTTCCGTTGACCGGAAGTACTAATTTACGCTACTTCCGATTTCTCAAAAAACTAATGTAAATTTTTAAAGTGCTAATAATATTGCGCACTATTTTGCACTTTTTTATTTGGCGTTCACTTGGTGTGCAATCTTTTGTCTACGAGATTTTATTCTATTTTTAAAACTTTAAGTATTTAAAATGGATTAAAAATCATGCATGTCTATAGCCCGAGTTCTCATCCCCTGTTGTTTTATATAAGAATATTCGAGAAAGTTTAGGGGAGATCACTCCCGGTTTATTTAATGTTATTCCCAGTTGTTTATTTTCTGCTGCAACTATGTTGTTTTCCTGTTAATTTTATGCATCTCAAATATTTTTGCTTGACACCAGTGATATAATTTACTTTATTTAATTTACTTAATGTAATCTGTGATAATTACCTAATTGCAAGTATGACCATAAATATTTTCTTATTAGTGTTTGTATCTCAGATTATTTACCTGTGTGATACTGTGATATTATTTACCTTAACTGTGCTAATTACCTTTCCTTAACTGTGATGTTTACCTATATGCAAAAAGTATTCCTTTTTTTTTAAATAGCTGGTTTATTGCCATACCAACTTACATTTTTGTCGCTCACAAATTGTTTGCTCAATTTATTTTTGACATGAATATTTAAATTCTGTATTAGCATGTTTGTTTACATTTGATATATTTATATTAAAATCACAGTAATTGGTATTAACATTGTCATATCAAAAGCAAAAACATTGTTTTAATATTTGTATGTTTTTATCAATATCATAGTTACTAAGGGCATTGAAATTTAATTGTCTAAATATGTTCTTTGTAGCTCAATGTATAATCAATATTAATCATCAGATATTAACTATCCAATCTTTGCTTGTCAAATTAAAATTTATACTGCATAGGATGTGATGTTAACACTTATGACAATCATCTTGTTGAAAGGTTTATCACTGTAGAATTACTTTCATCACTTATAAGGCACTGAATATATTTTTAGTATGTATTTTTGTACACCAGGTAAAGTATTACAGTGTTTAATATTTATGTGTAGTTTTAATGCATGGATAATTTTAAGATGTGTATGTTGTTTACCTTACAATACAGATCACTTTTCTTATAGGATGGGTTGGTATATTAATATGTGGTATTTTATTTTAAAAACTATTGGTTAAATATCAAAACGTGCTGAATGTCCATGAAAAATGAGTGGTTTTTTTTTCTCATATTCAAGTTATATTTTTGTTCTGGGTTTCCAAGATTTAACATGTTTACAACTACTACAGGAAAAATGTTAGGCCCAACAGAAATAGGTAATAGATAGCACCATTGTTTATTGTATAAAACATTTTGTATCACACTACAAACATTTAAGTCACATGACAATTTAAATATTTGTTTTTTTAAAATATGTATGAATGTTAAAAAATAAAATTCACTAAAATTAGTTTACAAAGCAAAAAATGTTTTGTAAAACGGTGGTTTATAGCATAAACTATAAAAATTCATTAAATTTAAAATGCAATGATATGAAAAGAATTATTTTAACTGGATTACATTTTTAAAATCTTGGATATTTTGATTAAAATTAATGCTCAAGGCAAATTTTCATTTGTAAAGCTAAACCAATTTTAACAATAAATGTAAACAGTTATTTTGTGTAGCATAAAAAATGTACAGAAAGAGACAGATAACAGCTGTCAGATGTGACATTAATGACAAGACAAAGGATTTTGTTACCAACAATGTAAGTAAAAAGGTAATATTTGGTAGCATCTTCAATGAAACAACAGAATTATTGCTATAGTTCACTAAAAACCATGATTTAAAAAACATGCTTTAGAACTTTTTCTAAAATGATCTCACAACATACAAAATAGTTACAATTTTTCTACAACTATTTCATTACAGATAACTAAACCTAGTTTTAACATAACAGTGTAAACTGTAAGTTAACTGGCATCTAATTAATATAATTTATTTTAAGAATATTAAACATTTTTTTAAAATGGGTTATTAAACATGAATTGTATAATACTGGTATAGTTCAGGCTCAAAAAGACAGGATTTACTATGAAGAATTGTCCACACACTGAACAGCAATACTATAACAAAGTACTTAGCTGACAACACGGGCAGTGTGATAAAAAAATGTAAAGTAACATAGTAGGGCCTACAGTAGAACCTGATCAAAAGTAAATAGAGTTTACATATTTTACATGACAGTACACATAAATAAAATGTTCATTGCTCTTGTCCATTGTGTACACATATTGTAATGACAAGAACAGAAAATACTTCACTTCCATAAAAGGTTACCACATGTGTACATATGTGAAACAAAGTGAGATTACACATGGTCATGAGTTTGATGATTTCATGCCAATTAAAGTAAGGCACAGCAGATGACTAGAATAGGAAGGATGTGATAACACTCCAGCATAAGACCTCATGGAATACAAGATTCCCCCATCAACACATCTTATACGTACATACAAACAAGCTTCATTAAGATAAACAATCAAATCATCAGCTCCATTCACTGGAGATGTAACTACAGCTTTGATGTAATAGACAGAACTCCAGATCTTCTATACTCTATACAAAAAAATACAAGTGTGTGTTTAGAGATTCTAAGACATTTCACTAACTGGTTATGTACAGAAGGGGGAGGGGGGGAGGGGTGTTATGAGTTGAAATCTACAGTTTATTCAATTTTCTACATTATGGCAAAATTTGCTGAATTCCTGAACAAAACAGAAAACAAATATTTGTAAAAACTAATCATTATTCAGTATTTCCTAGTTTACTCAAAACAAAACAAAAAATTGCTAAGGAGATTTGTGAAATAACTGACATTAAAAAAACTGTAAATTAGATGGAGATTTTAAGGGTCAACAAATGAAATCATAATGTAGCGAGTGCCCTTTGTTGTTCTCAGGCCCTCGTGGAAGTGGGTCAGGCGCCCAGGGTGCATGAACATCCAGCCCTTTCTAGGTGAGGTGATGCTGCAGTTGTAGCGCACAAAGCGGCAGCCTCCGCCCTGAGAGATGGAAGGATAAGTTGTAAGATATAAAAGCTAAAATACACACAGGGTTGCGTCATTCATGAAAAAATCTACATTTTGCCGAAGTTTTAGATTTCTTTTAGGTAATAAGGTGAATATGTCATTGAACAGAAAGATTTGTGCCAGCCATTAAATTGAAAAATCTACTCTACAAACAAAACATTTTAACTCAACTTTGTCTCAACACTAAACTTAAAAACATAGTAATAATAAAAAGCTTAAAATGTTTTCAATATAAATTGGAACATTCTGTTGATGCATCACTGCTTGTGTCTCAGTCTAGAATTTCACGGGGGGGGGGGGGATCAGCACATAACTGAAAATTAGGTCTAAGGCAATGCATGTCAGCACAAAGGTTCAGTTGAAGAGCACAAAAGATAACAAACCTCAAAGTCAATGCCTGGTCTGTTGAGAGCAATGTTGATGGTGTAGGTGGATGCGTCGTGGTGGGGTCTCAAGAATGGCTGCTCATCTGGTCTGTAGCGGACTATGAAGTTCATAATGGCGTGTGGAGGCTGGGAGGTAAAACAATCAGTATTCAATTAAACAGATTCAACTATAGAGTTTTTTTATACACGACCAGCAGTCATTTCTAGGAGGCTGGAAGGTAAAACAGTCAGTATTCAACTAAACAGATTACAAAGTTTTTAAAGTTTTATGGCATGTTAATTTACAACAGTCAGTACAGAATTTACTATGAGGTTCATGATGGCGTGTGAACGCTGGTAGGTAAAACAGTCAGTATTCAACTAAACAGATTCAACTGTAAAGTTTTTAATGGCATGCAAAGAAGTCAGTACTAGACTCAATAGAATTTACTATGAGGTTCAGAATGGCATGTGAAAGCTGGAAGGTAAATCAGTCAGTATAGAAACTAAACAGATTCAACTATAAAGTTTTTAAAGTTTTAATGGCATGTTAATTTGCAGCAGTCAGTATAGAATTAACTATGAGGTTCATAATGGCGTGTGAAGGCTGGTATGTAAAACAGTCAGTATTCAACTTAACAGATTCAACTATAGAGTTTTTTAAAGCACAACAAGCAGTCATTTCTAGGTGGCTGAAAGGTAAAGCCAACAGTTCAATCAGTTCTCAACGGAATAAACCACAGCATGCAAAGCCAGTCAAGCACATAATGAATAATGCAGTAGTCTTAAGTACAGATTCCAGACTTGAACACTTTTCTATTTATGTCCAGATCTTGATATTACCAGGCACCTACATATTTGTAATGTTTTATAACCCAACACCACCAACAAGTAGCAAAATTATGTTGGAAATATGAGGGGAAGAAAACCAACTTACATCATGGAAGTAGCCAGTGAATACTTTCTCTTGGAGAGGACGACACCTACATATTTGTAATGTTTTATAACCCAACACCACCCACAAGTACCGGACTTGTATGGTGGAAATATGAGGGGAAAAACAAACTTACATCATGGAAGTAGCCAGTGAATACTTTCTCTTGGAGAGGACGACACCTACATATTTGTAATGTTTTATAACCCAACACCACCCACAAGTACCGGACTTGTATGGTGGAAATATGAGGGGAAAAACAAACTTACATCATGGAAGTAGCCAGTGAATACTTTCTCTTGGAGAGGACGGACATACTCTCGCAGGAAGTGGAGCCAGTGTCTTTCCAAACCCACCTGGTTCATGTGGATGTCAACAGTTGGGACATTCTCATAGCCACCGGCTAGACGAGGGTCCTGAAAAATTGTTAGACACTCGTTAAATAGATGACCACTTGATAAAAGTCTCTCATTAAATAGATGACCACTTGTTAAAAGACCATCATCACATAGATGACCACATGTTAGAAGACCCTCATTAAATAGATGACCACATGCCCTCATCAAATAGATGACTACATGTTAAAAGACCCACATCAAATAATGACCACATGATAAAAGAGCCTTATCAAATAATGACGTTAAAAGACCCTCATCAAATAGATTACCATATATTAAAATATCCTTGTCAAATAAATGACTACATGTTAAAAGACCATCATCAATTAGATGACCACTTGTTAAAATACCCACTCAAGGAAACCAAACCTCCCATCACTTGTATTTTATCTACTGACCTACCTGCTGACCATTTTAAAATTAGATCAATTTATTAAACTACCATAAAATAAAGATGTCTCCTAACCTCATTTTTCCCCCCTGACCATTGTCCAAAGTTCTCAAATTCAGCCACAAACTCATCACAGAAAGTATCAGTGACAATGGGGAACCAGTACACATCAGGGCAAGGCTGTAATTAGAACAATAAACTTTTATAAATACTAATTGAGTAATACTTCTAAAACCTGATAGAACAATACAATTCTAAAATTTGGTAGACGATACACTTCAAAAAACATTGTAAGGAAGAGAAAATTTTTAAAAGTTTAAGGGTAAAACTAATGAATATTATAATTACCATCTCAATCACAGCATCTGTTGCCAAAGATTTAGAATAGTTGGAGTGGATGTATCGATATTCCCAGTCCTAAAAAAGAAAATCAATCAAAATACCCCTTTCACAAGTCAGAATCACACATTTCAGTGGGTAAGAACCAAACAATATAGCTTTAACTTTATGAACTATTAACTAAAAAAATAATATTGTAAAATCTAATAAAAGTTAATTATATCATTAATTAAAAAAAAATCAAAATAAGAAAAATAGATTGATTGAGCAGAAATTATATGTATCTACAGATGAAATAGGCATATACTCACCAATCTGTTGTTGAATATCTCAAACAGTTCACTATGTAAGTGTTTGGTGTCAAATTCATCAGCGTACACCAGGTGGCCCCACCTGTCTTGGTTGGTCAGGTACATGAAAATTACCTGAATGTGACATGCAAATTACATTTACAGATGTCAGGTGACATTTAATAAAATGAGAGAAAGTGACATTTATTAACATGGAATAATATTATGAAATTTCTTCTTCATTTTTAATTGGAATGTATCAACATGTTTTGCGCATATAGGCGATTTGACTCTGATTTCAGCCTGCTTTTCTTTCTGGATTTGCTTCCATAGCCTTTCTCCATCTAAGAACAAACTAAAAAGGCAGCACTTGTTTGATATTGAAGTTGTCTCTCCTAGATGGGTTAGTGTTCCCAGCTATCTAGCCTCATCTGCTCAAGGGTTCAAACTTGGCACTTTTCAGTTCAGCAACCATGAGCTTTACCAGCCCGACCAAACCAACCCTCACTTATTTAATAAGTTTAAGAAATGAATTTTAGTAATTTGACATTTTATACCAAGAAATAAGTGAAGTGACAATAAACTGTTACAACATGCTATTCTATTGAAGACAGTTTTTACCTGCTGTCTGGCTTTCTGGCAGAAGGAAATGTCAGGATCATAGTCAGGAGAGAAGCTGAATCCGTCTTTAAGTGCTGGCAGCTTGTGCCCATGGATCAGGATGAGGTTGGTCACATGAGGGACATTCCACAGGCCCCTGGTCAGAGAATTGTTTGTCAACTACATACTAAAGGGGAACATTCCACAGGTACTAGTACTAAAATGTTGATTACAAGGAAAATTTCAACTAAAAAAGTATTCCAAACAATCTGGTACAAAATATTGTTTTTAGATTGTAATGACAAAAAAAAAGCTTGAATTTTAAATACCAAATTCCTATTGAAGTAATGACTACCATTCTTAAAACTAATCCTATCTGGGCAGTAGACCATACAAGTTTTAACAGAAAGTTTTTAAAATAATTTATAAAATAATTTACATTAGGAGGAAGCTAGTTTCATCAATCAGAAAATCATTTTGATGTTGAAGAACAGCTAGGGCAAATATCCCAAACCATTCTTAGTTACACAACTTAATAACATAAATCTTATATTTCCTTTACACCAATTAGGCCAATATTCATATTTTAATCTAGTTAAATTTTAAAGCATTGGCTATACCGACCCACAATCCACCAATTATTTATTTTATTTACAATTTTTCTGGTTACATTAACAATGTGGAGGTAGGTCATTTAGATTTTTAAAAGTTAACTCTTTAAGCCCGTAATTATTTTCACGTTTTGCCGGAATTATTTTTTTTCACTCATTTTTTTTCAGTACCCCTGCGGCTAAATGACCCATATCTTTTTACCCGTTAATTTAAACCCCACACATTATTGATACAAATTAATCGTAATTGAATACCCTACACACTGATATAAATTTTAAGGAATTATTTATTTACTGAAGAAAGATAATTACTTAGTTTTAAAGAAGAAAAAATAAAGAGTTGTTTTTTTCGTGCAAAAATTACACTTCTGTCGGGAAAATTAATAATAAGAATAACTTTTCATGAGTTCTTATTCATAGAAAACGAAAGTACGTCCATTTATCTACAAAAATCATGGATCGGTTTAGTCTTAGTATAAATACTTTAATTTTCGTTAATTTTATAATGCGGCGACGTAAACGTTTAGACGCGGCCGCTGAACGGCATTCCGCAGTGTTAAAAAATGCCGTTTTTCGAGTTGGTTTACAAAAAAAATTCTATAAAATACAAAATCAATCTAACGAGAAAACTACAATAAGTAAATACAACGAAAAATGGCCGCTCTAGCGTTATTATGACCTAGATTTACGAATAAAAACTTGGATTCCGAAAAACAACAAATTAAATAGAGAAAATTTTATCGGACGCTGGGAGCGTCATTACGGTATGGCAGGCCGGCAGACCGACCGCTGGGAGCGTCGTTACGGTCTTAAAGAGTTAATTAAAATAAAATGAAGGACACTTACACTTTTTTGTAATCAATGATGTCCATGTAATCTTCTGACCTGGCGTAATAACCCTGCTGATTCAAGGCTCCCCAAAAGTTGGACCATAATTTTCCTGGTCTCATCAGCAGTGGGGCAACGATGGATCTGTAACACAGTGTTTTAAAAACATCAACAGTGGGGCAACGATGGATCTGTAACACAGTGTTATAAAAACATCAACAGTGGAGCAATGATGGATCTGTAACACACAGTGTTAAAAAAACATCAACAGTGGAGCAATGATGGATCTGTAACACATAGTGTTATAAAAACATCAACAGTGAACTAATTGAGACCACATAAGATGGCAAGTACATACCTTTACAAGACAAACAAGACATGTCATCAGATGATACAGTACACCTACCATACCAGACAAGAAATAACATCAGATGATACAGTACACCTACCATACCAGACAAGAAATAACATCAGATGACACAGTACACCACCTTGGTAATCCCCCTCCCCTTTAATAAACACCCTCCCCCCATTGAGAATACTTATTATATGTTAATGGCAAATTAACAAACCAGACATTCTGTTGAATGCAGACAATGGGCCAAGTACAAAATAAATCATATTTAGTACTTTGTCTGGCCAATCTATAGGGTACAAAGAGCTTATTCCAAGCCAAAAAATTAATAATGTACAGAAGTGTAATTAACATAAGTTGGGGAGGGGGGGAAGAGAGAAGAGTTTGTGTGGGTAGGGGGTAGGGGGTTAATGTCCTATTTCTATGACACAGAGCAAACACCTAGACTTCCAGCCCAAGCAGCAGACACACTACCAGACACAACACCAGACACAAAACTAGACACACCACAGATGTCAGGGCGACTGACCTGTTTTGTTGGATCAGGTCGACCAGTAGACTTGGCTTGGTGATTTGGACAATGGAGTCAATCATCATCAGGTACTGGCAGCTGGCCTTGATACAGTCAGTTCTGTAACAACACCAGAAAACATAGTGGTTCTTAGAGACAGTAATGTATTGATACAGTCAGTTCTTAGAGACAGTAATGTATTGATACAGTCAGTTCTTAGAGACAGTAATGTATTGATACAGTCAGTTCTTAGAGACAGTAATGTATTGATACAGTCGGTTCTTAGAGACAGTAATGTATTGATACAGTCGGTTCTTAGAGACAGTAATGTATTGATACAGTCAGTTCTTAGAGACAGTAATGTATTGATACAGTCAGTTCTTAGAGACAGTAATGTATTGATACAGTCGGTTCTTAGAGACAGTAATGTATTGATACAGTCGGTTCTTAGAGACAGTAATGTATTGATACAGTCAGTTCTTAGAGACAGTAATGTATTGATACAGTCAGTTCTTAGAGACAGTAATGTATTGATACAGTCAGTTCTGGGAAACAGTTTACATGGGTCAAAGAAACAGTGGTTCTCATTAGACTACTAGTAATGCTGTGCAATTGATGCCATAGCTAGGAAAAGAAGTGCAGATTTGAGTTTACTGCTATCAAACAGACAGTTTCAGTGTACCCAGCTGTCATTCTTGTAAGAAACAAAACCTTCCTCCACCAAGTAATAGGCCTAATCCCTTAAGATTTCAATCTATTTTCCCCAATCCTATTCTTGAGGATTAAAGAATACCGGAGTTTTTTTTTTTCTTTACCTAGTTAATTTATCTTCCAAAAGAAATTTAAAATGTAACAAACTTTAAATATATTGCACAATAGAAGTTTATCGTCCTTAACGACCTACTGATAGTGTTTTAAAACAAATATTTTCAGAGGCAGCATTGGTACCGTCGAATTCACAAATTATGAATTACTGAAAAGTAGAAAATAAAACAACTAAATAGCGGAATATGATACGCCACGGGTCGGCACGTAAACATTAAAACCCTGGAATAACTAAAGTTGACCAATATTTCTACTTACATGGCCCAATTTTTTGCAACAGCTTCCCCTACATTATCAGAATGGGAGATCACTCTAATACTTTTGTATTGACCTTGAACTGCATCTACAAATTTCTGTACATCTTTTTGATGATACTCAACCTGTGAGAATTACATTTTGAAAATATTAGTTTCTATTTTATCCAACATTAGAATCACATTAAAATAGGAAGGGTCGAATGTCGTATACCTTAGGTCCACAAAGCTTTTTAATTAGTACATTTTTTTTAAAAACAACTTACTGAGTAATGAATGTAAATATCCATTTTGTCCTTTGGATATTTTAATGCAGCCACCCTGTCAAAAAACTCCCTGACAAACGGTGTAGGATATTCAACAAACAAACCCACCATAACTGTTGGATAGTCAGCTTCCTACAGAATTAAACGATAGATGTTATAGGTGGTAAAGAAATTACTTTCTGATCTGTAATGAACAACATGTGAAATATAAATAGGTGGAAAATCAAATGAACTACAAGAAACTTATTGCAGAACTATGTACAGGTTAAGTCAAAAGCAAAGTTTAAGCCATATTTTGTTCAAGCAAGAAAAAAATCAAAATAAAACTATGAGTTGAAAACACACTTGTAAGTGGTTTTTGTCCTAGTTAGTACAAAGTTAAGAGATAACTAAGAGATGAAAAACATACTTTTAAATGGTTTTTGGCGTAGCAAGTACACAGTTATGAGAAAACTATAAGATTAAAAACATACTTTGAAGTGATTGTTATCCTTGCAAGTACAAAGTTATGAGAAAACTAAGAATTGAAAATCCTACTTTTAAGTTGCTCAAGTCCAAGAGATCCTCTGTACAGGACAGACAACCAGAGTTGCTGGTCCACCCATCAGCCAAGTAGTTGGCCAGGCGATAAAACTCTGGCTGTAAGGTACAAAATAAAACAAATTTCTTAAACAATTAGATCACATAGGCCTAAAACACCAAAGTCATGTTTATAAACCTTTGAGGAGAACTTAAATATGGAAATGGTGTACATAAGATGTGAGCACTGCATGTTGACATGTTACACACTTTGGGATGTCAACATGCTTATGTTTTCACAGCACTAACAAAGACTGAGAAAAAATTTGAAATAGCAGAAGATATCATGCTTTAAAAGTTGCTTCAGATCATGTATCAAGTCTTAATACCTAAAGTCTATACCATTGCATGTCAAAAGCTGTATTTTTTTTTATGATGGTATGATACATAATTATTTTGCAACTAAAAAAATGTGCCAGGGAGAGCGACAATTAAACAAAACTTTCTCAAGTCTATGGATATATTGATTAAAAAAGCTATTGGGTCACTAAAAAAAATTGATATCAACCAATAGCTTCTGATTGTAAGCTACATTTTATATTTTAAAAAAATTCAGGTGTATTATTGAAATATTATACTTTGCTAATTTAAGAAATAAGCGATGTACAATTTTTGTTATTTATTAATTAATTTAAGAGTTTTTTTTATTGAATTAAGAAATAGTTTTAGGTTGTTTCCCTTGCTTACTTTTATTATATGTATAGAAATTGAGTCATTAATCAAGCATTAAAATACAAAAAGCAAAAACTAAAATATTTGTCTGATTTGTATAATCTTGTATTCTATGACTAAAAAAATAGATTACATTGATAGTTGAAAATTTAGATGGTGTGAAAACATTGACTAAAAAGTATATATAACCTTTCTATTTGTTAATGCTGTCCCTGTTCAGGCAAGGTAAAGAGAAGCTTGTCTTAGTCAGCAAATATTCTTCTAGGGATTTTATCTAAAACATTTTACTTTAAAAATGTGTAAAATAATTACCTTAACAGGTCCATTGCCATGTACAACAATGGGAGTTGTGCCTGTCTTTACATTGTACAGATAACTGTGATTACCTTTGTACTTCAGAGTTATCTCTCCTATTTATAAACAAAATATTGAACCGATTTTAATTTGCAAACATACTAGATTCACCTAAATATAAACATAGTAAAATCTGTCTAAAAATCTACACCAATTAATTTACCTAAGGCAAAGTTCAAATTTTGAAAAATTTCAGCCTTTGTATCCAGTTTGATGTTCCATTCATGCTGAGAAAAAAAATGTATAAAATTTTAAATCTAATTAACTAAGTAAACAAAGTGCTTAAAGCTATCTGAAATTACTGACAAATACTTTTAATAAAAAGAAATAAACAAGGGGTAAATTAGCAATACATTTACCGAAAGACATGATAATACAATAACTATTTCAATATCTAGTCTGATTAGCTACAAAGGAAATATCAGCTAGTGATATACAAGAAGTAAATTTGTTAAAGAGGACATTATAATAAAATAACCTAGTACAACATCTAGTCTGGTCTTAACAAAGGATAATGCAGGTAGTGATATAAAAAGATGTAAAATCATAATACATGACAGAGAACATAAAAATAAAATAACCTAGTACAACATCTAGTCTGGTCAATACAAAGTGTAAATAAGAAATACATTATACTGGACAAGAATAAATAAATTACCCTGTAAGCTCTGTTAAGATATATCAAGGTGTAATACAGTTGGTCATCATCTTGGTCAGAGATGGGTTGGTTGCTGAGTATCTCATAAACCTCTTTAGCATACCCAATGAAGCCTAAAAATAATTCATATTTTTTATTTCACTTTATCTAATAAGGCTTGTAATAACAACATATTGCAAGTGAAGATATTAGAAATACAGCCTAAGTTGTAATAGTAAAATTTGTTGGCATCAAATACATTGCTACAGTCAAACAATGGACTTGCAGGAATTTCTAAGGCTATAAATAACATTGGTGACAGGTAAGCAAAAGAAAAGGTTAGATATTTCTGCTGCACAAAAGGTTAGATTTTTTTTTTGCAGCACAATTGTTTGTTAAAGCTTCCTTAGAAAAGTAAAGATGGGGGACTTAGGAATCCTATTTAAGTGCATTCCTCTACTACAATTTCAAAATTGTACAAATGGCCAATTGTTTTGTGACTGAAGTATTTAAACCAGGCAAACATTATAAGCTTCAAAACAAATGGTTTTATTGATAAAATTATTTATCATTAACTGAAAGGTAATTGACTATACAGGTGTCTATACATCTACTATTCCAATCATTTTAAAAATGCATTGAGGTACCCTCATTGAGGCATCCTCAGTACCCTCACATCAAGTGATTATAATGTTTAAAAAAAAGAGTGTTTTGAAGTTCATAAGACGTATAAAATTTACCTCCAGAATTCAAAAATCTTTTTTCAGAATCCTTCACTTTGGGGTATTTGTCCTAAAGTTAAAAAAATGAAACAAAATTACTTGTATCAATAATGATTAGTAAGTTTTAGCAAAAGCTTTTATTTTCTCCTCTGATCTTAAGTACACTCAAACTAGTAAACATTTTTGGTTACACTGTGTAATTTAATAAAACTTGTCTATGGATAGATGATGACAAATTTATTGATTTGATTTACAAATATAACACAGAAAATTATATTCACTTTGAATGGTTTGATTAAAACATTGAAATCATATTATTTAAACCTCAGGTTTTTTTATAAATTCTATGGTATTTTCTATTTCATTATCAATCTAAAAAACTTTTTTTTTCTGTAATTCATTAATTATTTTAAAACAATAATATAAGTATGGTAAATAACAAATTACTTGTGGCTGTAAAAACTTGAATGCTATGGTTAAAAACACTTACGGCTAGGGATCTGTCAGGCCAACAAGTATCTTCAGCAGAAAAGACAACTCTGGCTTCAAACTTGGAAAACTTATCCAAGATTTCATCCTTACCATCAGTGAACACAACATCATAGCTAGAGGAATGGGAAGAAAACATCAGGTAATAAAATCATCAGGTGCAACATGGTCAACTCTTTCAAAATGAAAGATTGCAATGCTATTGTTAATGAAAAATGAATTATTGCAATCCTATTGTTATTGAAAAATAAATGATTGTAATGCTATTGTTATTTAAAAATGAATGATTGTAATGCTATTGTTAATGAAAAATGAATGATTGTAATGCTATTGTTAATAAGAAATGAATGATTGTAATGCTATTGTTATTGAAAAATGAATGATTGTAATGCTATTGTTCATGAAAAATTAATGGTTGTGATGCTGATGTTAATGAAACATTGTTTCAACAATGTTGAAGAATTTTAAAAAAAAACCTTTCTTTTGTGAATTCTACATTGAATGATAAATAAGATATATTTTTTTATAACTCTTGGCATGCACAAACATTTTTTAATTTCCATATGTTAATTTGGTCATCTGCGAGGCAAAAATAAATCCTTAAAAGAAGCAAACTGCCCAAAAGTTGTAATGAAGTGAGTGTTGAAAGCTTGAATGTACCTGTCTACAAACATTAGAATCAGATTCTCTTTGTTCCTGTAGGGCTTCAAACCTTCCTTCAAGAGATTGATCTTGTGCCCACCTCCTGTTGACTCCATGGACCCACCTTTCCATTCTGTACCCAGTCCAAAAACCTGCAAGCAGTAAAAGAAAAATAATTCCCATTTTTTAATAATAATGCAAGGAACTTGGAAATGTACGGAAATTAAGTTAGAACATATATATATATATATATATATATATATATATATATATATATATATATATATATATATATATATATATATATATATGGATTTATATTATAAAGTAAAATGGATTTTGTGTATTAGGATAGAGTCATAGCTGATAATTCATCCCTAATTGTCATTAAACTATGTGAAAAGTGTATCACTTGTTTCCTGTATTCATTTACAGTTTTCAAATAAATTAAGCTAAATGTTAACAGTACATTTTGAAAACTTCTGTTAAAGTTTAAACTTTTAAACACAAAATAATGTGCTAATAAATGGCTGTCAATTTTTAAACCTTACTTTGACATTTAATCCATACTTGTTGACAGATCGAATAAAGTTACGGAAACCATCATTTTCTTTGGTTGCCACAGTCACAACTAGTAGCTCTGTAAAAGAGGTGTGGTTTACTATTAGACTAAGTATATATAGGCATATCTATCTATTGTAAACTACAAATGTTTTTTAACAAGAAATGTAAATTGAACAATCACTTGGTGCTTACCTGTTGATGTATCCTTGGAGGATGTATCATCTTTCGCCAAACAGAGCACAACTGTCAAAAATGTAACAACTAAAACCAAGATGACTTTCATCTTGATCCACTTGTGGAGCTGTTTAATCAAGAAGATAGTTATGATGCTCGCAATAAATATTAATCAATAAAATAAAGAATGGTGACAAATATTTGGTGATTTTTGCTCTTTGGAAATCAGTAGACTAAAAAACTAAATGACTAGGGTTACAATCAGTTAAGTCAAGCACTAAAAGAGAGTGGTTATGCAGTTTTGATGTATCAAATTAATTATAAAATAAACATCATAATAAAAATGTGTAAGTTGAATTGTAAAATATCTAATGTAATAGACCCACCAAACAATGAGCTTAAGAAATAATGTTTAATGGGGGTTAAGCCTACAGACAAAATAATTTTTAAAAATATATTCTAAATATTAAATATTGAAATATAATATATTAAAATAGGCTATCTATTACAGTGCTTATTGAAAACAGGTGATTTATTTAAAGTACTGGGAGGGCAATATAAAACTAAGTGTAGTGTACCCCATCTCTAACATTTTAAATTAGCCAGCCTTAGCTGTACACCACAAAATAATTAGTCAAAATTATGGTCACTGACTGTTCCTGCTATACTAGCAGACAGAATCTATACTAGATGTCTATATGATATGAGATATAATTTATTATAATATTATATCATGGAAAACTACAGGAAAATAATGTTTTCTTTTTAACATAAAATGGCAAAGATTAGTTAGTAGTTAGGCCTAGATCTAGATCCAGATCTAGATCTAGATCTAATCTAGAAAAAGCTAGATTTAGATTTTTTTCCCCCCAATTTTAGATCTAGATCTAGATCTCTAGATCTAGATCTAGATCTAGAAGTATTCTAGAAGTCTAGTTGAAGTTGTGTTGACTAGAGATTAGAATAGATCTAGGAATCTAGATCTAGACTCTAACTCTAGATCTAGATCTAATTTTTAAGAAAACAATTTGTCAATTTGAATTTACTGTACACCGTGCCGTACTCTATTCTTATCATGAAAATGATATCGACAATATCGTAATCACTAATCATCAGTCATTTAAAAATGGAAATGTGATGAGATGAGTGGATGTGATTGGAGCTCCAAACTTTTTATTTTAAAAATTTGACTTTGTTTATTTAGATCTAGAAATCTAGATCTAGATATTAAATATTAAATAATAAATAAGTAAGTTAAGTAATTTAATTTTAATAAGACTTGTGTAGTCAGTGTAGTGTAGTTGTAGGCCTAGCCTAGGTTACTAAGGCTAAGGTTAGGCCTAATCTACTAACATTTGTTAAACAAACAACAACACATAAACTTTACTCACGCGTTTATTTTCTGCTAGCAGAGCAACTGCCACATCACAAGTACGCTGCTTACTGTTACCTTTCTTCTAAACAGAGAAGGGTGGAAGGGGGTGAAGATGTAGACAAAAATTTCTTACTTTCCAGAGAAATCGATATTTCTGTGGTGGATATGAGTATCGTGATTTTGGATTGAGTCCTAGCAGTTTTAAAACTTATTCAATGGTATTTTTATTATGGTTAGGCTATGTTCAAATGCTTCTTCGTTTGACATAAAATAAATAAATATTTACTTTTACTTAAAATAAACAGTATCGTTCAGTTCAACCTGCAGGCTTTGTTGATGAAGGGTGCGATACTCATACGTGGGTGAAGGGAGGCGAAAAGTCTACGTGACCTCACTAGTGTAGGCACATTGTGCTGAAAATAAGGTTTAACGAGAATGGTGGCGAGTAGTGATGATGAGTGCATTTTACTTGTTTGACAAAAGTAATATGCTGTAAAGTTGGATAGTGTAGCCTATTAATAGAATCAGATACAACAAGTGCTTAAAATGGGTTTGGTTGAAATTCCCAGATCAAGTCGCAGTAGATCTACTGCTAGGCCTACCCATAAAAGATGAGAAAGAATAAATATTTAATAATAAACCTAGCTGAGAATAAGCCGGGAGTCTAAAACACCCGGTGTCTACATAAAATATTTCTTAGAAGAAGTATTATTTAAATTAATTTTTACTTATGGTTTTCTTTGTTAGATAATTTTGATCAAAGTCAATACAGTCTTCTATTGATTAAAATTAAAGTAGCTTACAACACCAACCACTTGTTCTTTTATTTAGTTTATGATTCCAATTTTTATTCTAGCAAGTCGTGCTTGGGGGGGGGGGGGGGGGGGGGGGGGGGTGGTAATCTATAATGCCATCATGCTCCAGTGGACTTTGTGACTAGGGGTTGGGTAAAAAAGTGCTATGTAATACTTTTTTTTATAAAGAAATTTTTAAGGTGAATTATTTTGGCAGTTATTTCGCATTTAAAAATACTTTAATGTATGTCTAAATTTTATTTTTATTGCAAGCTTAATTAAAATTAATCGATATAGCTAATGATGACCAGAGCCGGCGTTAGGGGGTGGCGAACGGGGCGGTGGCCATAGGCCCCGCGCTTGAAGGGGCCCCGCGCTTCAGCAATGTCATTGTTATCTGAATTAGTTCGTAAACTTAAAAAAAATTGTTTCTGAATTCAATTGGGAAAAACTAAATGGTCGAATGCCGACGTTGTTGATTGTTATAACTGAGGCCACGTTTGATGTTGGTGAGTCCCACCTGAACTGGGAAAGGCCGTAATTCGATACAAAAACAGTGTCACACCTCCCCTTTGTGTAGGGTACGGTCGCCTGGCATTTGACCTGAGCTGACTGGAGATGGCGGTCGAGAATTAGCCCACGACGTAAAGAGATACCCTATTGTATGCGGACCGATGAAGGCGTCCTTTTAGTGAGCAGACGGGATGTCTGTAGTAGACAGTTAGTGACCTGATGAACTCTAGTCCTGACTTTCTTGTTGTAGATATCGTATAATGTCGTATATGTACAGTGTTTCTTCCAGACTTTTTTCTCCGGGGGGGGGGGGCACTTGAAATTTTCGGGGGGGGGGGGGGGGGGGGGGAAGCGGTAGAATTTTTTCAGGGGGGAGGGCCTTCGCGCCCCCCCTCCCCCCCCCCCCCCCGAAGAGATGCCTGGAAGAAACTCTATATGTAGGCCTACTTGTCTTGGTATAACAAAAGTTGCGTGCAGAGGGGTGGGAGGAGGGCGACGAGGGGGGGGGGGGCTTAGGATTCTATATCAGGAGGGGGGGGCATTAAACAGGGTGATTTATTATTATTTTTTGGAAGAAAGTTAAAACTGTTGTTATGTTGTGTCAACTTAAGGATTCACCCTTTCCAAGACAGAATGATTAATTTACCGAATTCATCCAAATTGTTTTATTCAGTCGTCTTCCAGTGGTGCTGACATAATATAGTCAGCGAATTGTCCTCGTCGCACAATTTTATGGAGGAAGGGGAATCTTTGAAGGCAATGAAGGGTAGTGATTTAGTAGTCATTGATATTCCCCCAATAAACGCGGTCTTTCAATTTATATCTGATACTTTGGTGAACTTTAAAACACGACATTTGTAGAGTGCTTAAGCCATTTTTTTAATTATAGGGAAATCCTTTACAATAGTTTAGACAATAATGATTTTGGTTTTAAAATATTGTATGAATTCCTAACAAATTTTGAAGTCTATACTGTTTTGATACATCAGGCCGAGTTCGCTGTATTGTAAACTTTATTTTCCTAATTATTAAATTTTCTTAAGTGATTTGGTATGAATTACATAACTGTCAAAACTGATTTAATATCTTAGCAAGGTAAAAAAAAAACTAAGAACATTGGGTTAATACATGGGATAGATAAAATTCTGTTATTATAGTGGAAAGTTTGGCATTAGCTTATGAACTCCAAAACATTTGTGTTATTATGTGTACATCACATTATATAGGCCTTTATACACACATACACACACACACACACACACACACATATATATATATATATATATATATATATATATATATATATATATATATATATATATATATATATATATATATATATATATATATATATATATATATATATATATATATATATATATATATATATATATATATATATATATATATATATATATATATATATATATATATATAATGGAAAGGCCCCGCGCGGATGGTTGGCCCTAGGCCCCGCGTATTCCTAACGCCGGCTCTGATGATGACTAAACTATAGATCTAGATGGCATTCTAGATCTACAAAGGCTTAGCAATCTATTTCGGCGACCAGGACGAGCAATCAATTTTGCACCCCGACTCCCAAATTGGGCTTTTATAAGCCTACATTTGTTCGCGTTGGTAAAAAGGCACCCCACCTCCCCTACTACGTATTTGATTTTATTTTACAGGTGTCCCATTATTTTGGGGATCCAAAATTAAGAGTTTCGTTTTATGGTCATTGCAACATTTGAATGAATGTCATCGAAATTTGACTAGAAGTAGAAGTATGTTAAAACAAATCTACTGTGTTTATACTTTCAAACAACCTACAGTGAAGTAGAACTGTTAAAATATATTGTTTTGGCAAGATTACATAGTTAGTATAATTTTTGTTAGGTATAATGATTAGGCAATGAAATTTTAAGAGTTTTATTGTGTTTTTCAAGCATGTCTTAGTTACATTGGTCAATTTAGCTATTCTTGTGAAAGTTATTTCCCTTGAATAAAATTTTGGTATTAGGATTTCAAAATGGGAGATAATTCATTCTTTAACTCTACATTCATTTCAAATTCCTGTATCTTAGAATAGATTGACTGCTTACTCATAATACAACTTTAAGTTATTATTTACTATTGTAAAAAATATATAGAACAGAAGTTCTAACAAAATAGTTTGCCATGTTGTTTTTTTTAGCATTATCAAGTTGAAAAACAAATACATCAGTAGCCGTTTGTAGATTGCACTATTTAATATTAGTCTACATATAGAATGAGATAGTGCAACTAATGCGTCTAAAATCGTTTTAGTCGCAAATTAATAATCTGATCAACTAAGTGTCTTTTTAATATTTTTCACCCTCTCCTAAAGTATTATAATTGTGGGTTGAAATCTATAACATTTATAACCTTTTATTTTCAAACACTAAAATCGTTACATAATCACACAATATAGAAATTTTACAATTATAACTCTAAAGACAGTCAAGTTTAAAACAGGTAAGTTCCGTTCTGGAACTCACATTGTGAGGTCTGCAGGGAAGGAGGCAAGTAAAATTTGATTTTGAATTTTGATGTCTACATATTAATTATAACGTTCATGCAATTTATAATAAACTAATATGCCACTTTTAATTCATTGTTTTCTTATACAAATGTTTTATTAATTAATTTGTGTAAAAGGGGGCGGTTTAATAAGTTTTGCCTAGGGCGCTAAATAACCTGGTGCCGGCACTGCGTCAATTAGTGTGCCAATTTTTTAGAAAGAAATGCTTGTTTTAAATAATGATTATTAAACTCATTTTAGGAAAGCTGACTTTTTATAAAGAGTCACGTTTAAACGAAAGAGTTAAGGAAAAAATAGAAAGCACAAGCCTAATTAAAAAAAAAAAAGCGGACCAGCCTATGTTATGCAGTGTTCCTTTCAGGCATTTTTATTCGAGAGGAGGAAGGAGGCAGACATAAATTTTATTTTAGGGGGGGGGGGGGGCGGGGCGGGGCGGGGGGCTAGATATGCTTCGCCTCCCACCCTCCCGAAGACATGCCTGGCAGAAACTCTGAATGTTATGTTAACTGTAAACCTAGCCTATATTGATAATTAGTGTGACGGTAAAACTTTTGGGGGCGCAATTAAAATTTCAGGGGTGGGGGGGGGGGGGGGTAGACACAGTTAATAATAGACCTATAGATGTATGACCTATTTTCTATATAAAATACATTTTTTTTTCTGTCTTCCCGAGTGTGTGGGGAGGGGGCAGTGTTCCTCCTGAGGGATGCTTGAAAGAAACTGCTGCACAATCTATGGGCGGTCAGTTTCTCATTCATTAGCCTTGCCATGACTTTGGTGATTAGGAGGACACCTCCATTTAAAAAAAAATGCAATTTTGAGGGGGAGAGGGTAGGCTAAATTGTGACTTCACACCCCATCCCACACGGAAAATTTAGTCGTCGTCCCTTTCCCCCCCCCCCCCCCCCCCCCCGTCCGAAAACTTCAAGTGACCTCCCCTTTCTTCTCCCCCCCCCCCCCCCCCCCCCCCACGGAGAAAAAAAGACTGGAAGAAACATTGTGTTGAATCTTATTGCTGTGGAGATTTTGGTTTTAGTTTTTTTCTTCTGGATGTCTGAAAAGCGAGGTAATCTCGTTGATATGATCTGGGGAAAAAATATGTCATAAGAAGAAGTTGCTACAGAAGACTGAAAAAAAAACAACAACCCCATTGCCTATATGTTGTGTCGAGTTTATACGCATGGATAAAGCCCAGGATTGAATACACGCGAGTTGTCAAGTGATTACTAACTAGCATGCGAGTCTGTCTGGTTGAATCAATACCCTCACCACGCTAGGCTGACAAGCGTCAGTCGTAACACTTAGGACTTAGTGGTACTTGAACTTTAGAGGGAAGGGTGCTGGAGCACTCAACATTTCTGGGTGGGGACAGACAAGCAGAGTTTCATTCAGGCATCTCTTAGTGGGGACAGTGTGTCATCCCCCCTAATTACGTTTACCGTCATCCCCCCCCCCCGTTCCAGAGTTTCTTCCAGGCATCTCTTCGGGGTGGGGGGGGGGGGCGCTCCGCCCCTTCCATCCCCCCCCCCCCCCCCCCTCCTGAACGAAAGAAATGGAATTTATACAGAAAATATATACTTTTAATAGTGTCCGTCCCCCCGAAAATATTAGACCCCCCCCCCCCCCGAAAATTTAAAGTGCCCCCCCCCCCCCCCCCTTGAGAAAATAGTCGGGAAGAAACACTGCCCCCTTCCTTAACGAAATAGAATTTATATAGAAAATATATACGTTTACTAGTGTCCGCCCACCCACACCCCCGGGAGAAAAATATTTGAAATCAACATTGTGAACAATGGCTAAAGTAGGCCTATAATATATTTTCTTTATACATTCTGTTGTTTTGTTGTTGTTGTTTTTTTTTTGTCAGAAGGGGAGGGGGGTTGTGGGCGGTGGACGAATTGAGGAAGGGGCAGTCACCTAAAAGAAAGTAAGCACAATCAGACGTCAGACAGCCGCTGACATTAAGTGAAGACGCTACAAACGGTGACAGTGGTTCTAACGTAGACAGAAATGTTTCGCGACGACAACTGTACTAGACACGACTCAGCCGAAAGGTAAACAAAAGGTGATTAGGATTTGTAGGTGCATGCAGGCTAAGACGCAGGTCAAACTAGACCACTGGAGACATTTTTATTTTACTTGCAGCATACCTTTGGGTTCGCTGATGTTTTAAAAACTTTAAACATAACAGTAATACACTGCTTATAGAGGGGCAAAACATATAGGCCTATAATCTTGTAAAAGGGGAGAAAATAAATAAAAAATTGAAACGAGGCTAACCCCTTTGGCTTTATTTTCAGAGCTTGTGAAAGAAGGGCTACAACTAGGTATACAATTTGCGTCAGTCAGCGGTAATTTACCCTTGTCCATTCATTAGTGAGGTTTAAAAACTAAGCCAAGAAATAACGCCCCTGTAATTAAAAACAAAACAATACAACTTACATTTTTCTTGCTTAGTTACGCGAGTAGAGCCACGAAAGTCTCGAGTTTAGTGGCTTAGCATGGGATTTATTCGAGCCCATCCCTTCATGGACTGTTATGGAGTGAAAGAAGTGTATTTATTTTGAGAGGTGAGAGTGGCAGAGTTTCTTCCAGGCATCTCTTCCGAACGAAATGGAATTTATAGAGAAAACACATACTTTTGCCAGAAAAAAGTCTGGAAGAAACACTGGAGAGTATCCTATCTGAGTTCAATAGTACTTAAATAATAAATAAAACGATGCGTTTAAAGAATGATTGTGAAATATGGACAGTGGGGACTTATTGTGTTTGGTCGTTATTAAAGACTAGCTGCATCCCGTGCTCCGCCACGGTAAATCTTTTTTAAATGTACCAACTTGGGAACGAAACAAAACTAAACACAAACGAACGCAAAAAAGAAAACACAAACGAAAAAACAAACACAACACTCATAACATAAACACAATTTAAATGCAATCATAAAGGCATATTGCTCACAGTCTAGCCCGTAGCGCCAAATCGCACCCTTTCCGGTGATTTGCAACCCCCTCAAACTTTCGATTTGCACCCCTTCCACCCACCCGCCCTAAAACTTTCGATTTCCACCCCCCCCCCCTCGCAAATTTTTTCCAACCCACTTTGGCGCCCCTTAAGGTCGGCACCCGGGGACATATGCCCCCCCCCCCCCCCTCGCTACGCCTCTCCTATAAAACCCGAAAGATAGAATAATAATTAGAAAACAGTATAAATAATAGGCAGTATTTAAAATACCATGTTTTACCTACACTATTTCACTTTATCCATTCACGCATTTTTTTTCCAGTACTTTAAATTTTAAAAATTTACAAAAGAGTTTCATAACTAAAACCATTGCGCACCTAATGAACGTGATGACGCGTCTATAATAGTGCTGAATAGTTGATTAAAAATTATAAGTAATAAACAGTAAGGCCTACATTCAGTGAAAAAAATAAATAAAAGATTGCCTTTTATCAATCCATGCTAATTATAATTTTCTAACAATAATTTCCTCTTACACATCCGAATAATTTGCATTCACATTTTGCTAATTATATTATTGAAACACTAATTCCTTCTATGACGAACGTATATTTGCATTCACATTTTTTATTAGCGTGAGTTTAATGTATTTTTAAATTACCTCGTTTGTCAAAATTAGAAAAAAAAGAGTTAAATTAATTTGATTTTTCTACCGTACTGTTATTATGTTATTAAAATGTATCCACTTTTTCTAGGAATATTAACGAAAACTATATTTGACATTGATCCTTTTAATATGTTTTAGCAAAGTGCGTGTATTTAATATTCTCTTTACGTTATGCAAAATAGTACAAACAGTGGAAATTATAAAATAGCTCTATGCCACTATATAAACAAACCCAAATCTAATACTTATAATAAGACACTGAGGTGCACTGAAAATCACTGCGTGGTGCGAATGTTTACTTTTATGGTTCCAAAATCTATAGCGATGACGGAAGGAAGGACTGACACACTACTTGCCCGCTTATATTATAGACTAGCTGCATCCCGTGCTCCGCCACGGTAAATCTTTTTTAAATGTACCAACAGAACAAAACTAAACACAACACAAACGAACGCAAAAAAAAAAAAAAACAAAAAAAAAACGAACAAACAAACACAACACTCATAACATAAACACAATTTAAATGCAATCATAAAGGCATATTGCTCACAGTCTAGCCCGTAGCGCCAAATCGCGCCCTTTCCGGTGATTTGCACCCCCCTCAAACTTTCGATTTGCACCCCTTCCCCCCCCCCCCACCGTAAAACTTTCGATTTCCACCACCACCCCCCCCTCGCAAATTTTTTCCAACCCACTTTGGCGCCCCCTAAGGTCGGCACCCGAGGACATATGCCCCCCCCCCTTCGCCACGCCTCTCCTATAAAACCCGAAAGATAGAATAATAATTAGAAAACAGTATAAATAATAGTCAGTATCTATAATATATACAATATTTCACTTTATCCATTCACGCAATTTATTTCCAGCACTTTAAATTTTAAAAATTTACAATAGAGTTTAATAACTAAAACCATTGCGCACCTAATGAACGTGATGACGCGTCTATAATAGAGCTGAATAGTTGATTAAAAATTATAAGTAATAAACAGTAGGGCCTACATTCAGTGAATAAAATAAATAAAAGATTGCCTTTTATCAATCCATGCTAATTATAATTTTCTAACAATAATTTCCTCTTACACATCCGAATAATTTGCATTCACATTTTGCTTATTATATTATTGCAACACTAATTCCTTCTATGACGAACGTATATTTGCATTTACATTTTTTATTAGCGTGAGTTTAATGTATTTTTAAATTACCTCCTTTGTCAAAATTAGAAAAGAGTTAAATTAATTTGATTTTTCTACCGTACTGTTATTATCTTATTAAAATGTATCCACTTTTTCTGGGAACCTAAACGAAAATGATATTTGACATTAATCTTTTTAATACGTTTTAGCAGTTTGCGTGTATTTAATATTTTCTTGACGTTATGCGAAAGAGTAAAAACCGTGGCAATTATAAAATAGCTCTATGCCGCTATATAAACAAACCCTACTCTATTACTTATAATAAGACACTGCGGTGCACTGAAAAGCACAGCATGGTGCGAATGTTTACTTTTATGGTTCCAAAATCTATAGCGATGACGGAAGGAAGGACTGACACACTACCAGCAGCGTTATATTATAGATATTGACTGAGAAGTCTCTAGGTCGTGAAGTTAATAATATTGGTGAAGGCTCATGAATATGTTACAACATTTCGAAATTAAAACAGCAATTTCTTTTTTCATTACGTAGTTTTTCATTTGTCTTCAATAAATGTGACAAGCATCGTGTTAGTTATTGACTTGCTAGTGGCAAAACTGTGGTCATAAAACTTTTAAGTTTTAGGCTTCTCACAACCGACTGGGTAAACTTAGACAACCAAACACCCAAGTGCCAGCTGCACAAATAGTAAAGTAATGATCATACTATCATTTCATATGCCGAAATAAAAGAAACACATGAACTCGCCTTCATCTGCACCATTGACTATGTCCCTTCCTATAGTTTTATTGAAATTTAATGTTTCGACTGTGAAACTTAAATAGAATTTTATGAAACAGATCAAGCTTAGCGCCCATAAACGTCACACATCTAGGACAGTCTGTTTTTTTTCTTCCAGGTATCTCTTCAGACTTCTACCTACCCCCCCCCCCCCCCCCCCGGCATGAAATTGAATCTATTTGGCAATGATATCCCCTTTATGCAGAGGTAATTGAAACAGAACTCTACTTCATCTGCCCCATGTCTTGGGCAAAAACGAGAAAAGATATTAGCAAATACACTTTTAACTTCAAACACCCCCCCCCCCCCCTTGCAGAAACAAGTATGAAAGAACACATGCACATTACTGGCATACTAAAGGTACACAAAATATTTTGAAAAATATTTATTTCATCATTGATCAATATCAATTACCTTACAGAAACAGCAATGATACAGATAAAGGGACAATGATGAGAAAAGTTTGCTAAAAGATTGTTTCCAATTAACTTTTAAACAAATAAATATCTAATTAATAATTACAATCACAATTCTGCTGCATCCAATGCGGCAAAAGAGCTGCACATTCTTTCTTCAAGCAGACTGAACCAATGAAAAAATTCCACACACAATGTGAATCTTAATCAATATAACTAATAACCTTTTTAAACTTTGGAGCATATTTATATAACAAATAATTTACATATATGAAATGAATATTATGAACCAAACACGAAGAGGTATAAAGTTAGTTTTAAAAAAAAGAGGATCCCACCAGCATTTGCAGATATTAACCCAATTTTTAAAATTCTTTGACTGCTTGTGGTAACATAGAACAAAAAATATATTTTAAAAAAATAACAATACATGATGAACATAAAAAAAATTATTATTTCCTTTTAATATTATGGAAAAACCAGTCAATTTTTGTGGTCCATGAATCACCATAGGCACACTTGAACTGCTCGAGGAAATACTCCACAGCCTTCTGCTCCTCCTTCTCAACAGCCAAAGTTTTTCTGATGTAGCCTATGTCATCAAGGGATTGCAGCTCTGGGATCCCACACTGCAGCATCATGGTGAATAAGGTGATCAGCAGGTTGGCATGTTTCCTTAGAATAACATAGGCCTTGCAGCACAGCTCTTGGAAACTGATGAAATAAAACAGAACAATATTGGCTTTACAGCACAGGCACTCTGAATCTGACAGATAAAATAATAATGTAGGTAGGGGCCTACATTACATAACCTTTTACAGTCCAATGAGTGCTAGGTATTTTGTGTGTGTGATATAGCTCTATGAGCCTGAATGTGCCAGAACTCAGCTAAATACTTTCATTTAGTAATAGAAGTCTTTTTGGTGATGACATTCTGAAGATAACAATAAGAGGTGGACATTTTCCTTCAACTTTAGAAATAGTACTGATTGTTTTTTAACAAATTTATAATATAGGTTTAAAATAATTTTTTTAAATATTTGTAAATCATTAAGCTAGTTAGACTTTGACATTATAAAATATGACTATTTTTCTATGTATTATTTTTTATAACAATTTTATAATGTATGTGTATATTTAAAATTAACAACAAATAAGTAACATGGTTGCATTATCCTTTGACTTGGCCCTATGAGAATAAAACCATTTTTATAAGGTTATAAAATAAAAAGGTGATAAAATAAAACAGAATTCTGCTTTTACAGCCAAGTTCTTGGAATTTGATGAAACTAATAATACAATCACAAATGTACTGAGGACATGAACAACTTTAAAAAACTGGTTGTTGAATCAAAGATTACACATACTCTTTAAATCCATCTGATTTATCCGGTTTGCTGGCACCCATGGCTATAACTCTCCTGAAATCTTCAGTCAAGACAAAAGGAACACGCTCTCTGTTGATCCCAAATTTCTTCTTCTTATGGTCCAAAAAGTGACCAAAGTCAATGTGAAATACCTACAAAGTAGATTGTAGCAGATTTACTTCAAAGCATGAAAATTGGTAAAGAAAAGATTAAACTGGTTGGATGAAAATGATGTCAGATTGTCTGAAACATTAATTTAACACTATAATCTCTTAACAGAAATTATGTTTTTTTAATTCACATAATGTGTTTTTTTATGAAAAGAAACTTCGGTGTTTAGAATTACCTGCCCTTCCGATGTGACCATTATATTCTCTGGATGTCTGTCTCCTATTCCCAAAACAAATGTGGCAACACAGTAGCCAGCACAGGAGCTTTTAAACATTTCTATTGCATGTTTATATCTGAAAGTGGACAATTTTTATTTGAATTAACAGAAAGAGAGAATAAATAAAAACAACAACAAACAATCGTAATCTAATGAACACAATACAAGAGACTTCCACCTTAGTCAAAATGAAATAAAATACAAAAGAGTTTTTAAAGCTAGCTTTTGATATTTGAATGGAAAGTGATTGAACAAAAAGAAATGGAAGCGCTGTCTTTTGATGCTGACCAAATTTGACTTTCATCTGACAGTTAATTTGTATTTCAATTGTAAATGAACAAAAAAAAGTTTATTTCTCAATTAAAAAATAAATAAAAAAATAAATTCAGCCATGCATAATTGTTCAATATTTTTATAATTGAGTCATATTTTTATTTTATATAATATTTAAATCAAACAGACCTTTCAGGGTTTTGTTCCTTGATCCACTTGTGAAGCTGAGATGAGTCAATTTGTATAGAAGATAGAGCCCCTCCTTTGGACTGAATGGCTGTGATGGTCTTGGCATTTTTCACAATCTCTATAACACCCACGTCTTTGCCAGTGGACAGGCAGCCATAAGGAATCATCCTGGTAGACAGTTACAAGAATTGAGTAGTTAAGCAGTGAATCATACATTTTTTTCTGCCTTTATTTGTTCATGTTAGACAGTTTCAAGGATCAGGCTAGCTGTTTTGAAAATGAGTGGAACTGAGCCAGGTTTTACAGAGTGGAACTGTGCCAGGTGTTTATGAGTGGAACTGTGACAGGTTTTATAGAGAAAAAAATTCTTTAATTTATTTTTACAGTCCTCTATTGTCAATTACATTTTTTATTAAATTAGCAAGAACTGATGTTGGATATATTTAGAAGCATCACACAATAGCATCAGGTTTGGAAACTGCTGGATTAAAATGTATGACAACCAAATGCATGTGCTGAATTAGACCTTATAATAATCAAATGTTTGGAAAAAGTTGGATTAGGCCAGACCCCTGTTGGATTAGGCTGTGTCCATGCTGGATTAATGATTAAGCCTTACCTTAAATCCAGACCCTCATTTTTCCAGACAGTATCCATGATCCTTATCACCTGTAGAGTCAGCATGTCTTGTCTCAAATCTGTGGGTATTTTACTCATTTATTACCAATTTGTACTATCTTAGAAAATGGTTTAGAACCCCTACATTCAAATGAGTCTATTTATTTTAAAATTCATCTTTGTACTGAACTGAATTTACAGCTTAAGATAAAAATAGTATCATATAAATATTTAATTATTTTAAGTAATAATTTTAAAATTTATCTTTGTACTGAGCTGAATTCACAGCTAGTAAAGAAGAAAAGTATCATACAAATTATAATTAAGTAATTATTTTGAGTCATTTTTTTTACCATCTCCATTTTTGAACATTAAGCGGTAGAACATGTCAGCTTGATCAGCCATAGCATCAGGGTTGGACCAGACAAGCCATAGGGGAAGTTTCTTGCTTGTTTTAACACAGCACTCTTCAAGTCTGGGGACAGAAAACAACTTAAGGTACTAAAGCCACCTGGTGCCAATTTGTGGAACAATCTTCATAAAAAAAATAAAACTTTCTGTCCCTGAAAATATAAAAAAAAAACAAAACAACTTTTTCATGAGCCACCACAGCATTTCTCATCCATCTCTTCTATTCATATTCTATTCTTCTATGTATTATAACTATGTAAATATTATATCTTTATTCCACATTTTAAAGTGCCATTTTACTACTATAACTTAAATATTTGATTTGAATGTGAAAAAGGCCTTCATGCCTACTATTGGTACAGCTATAAAATAAAGTTTATTATTATTGAGTTTAAGTACTAACAGCTAGAGAATACAAGGTACCATAATTTATGGACACAAATACTAACAAAAATAAAGGTAGTGAGGACTAATTAAATGACTACATTCAAAAGCCTAGTTTTAAATCTAGATAAGGAAAATGAGTAAAAATGAAGGCATGGAATACTGACTGAATTTCTCCCAGAATATGGGCTATATTAAGTGGACTGTGCAGATTCTGTAAAGCTTCTTTGTAATCAGCTTGTTGGAGCTGGACATGAAGATATTTCATGTGTTCATCCTGGCAAAACAAAATGGAACATGTACAATAATGATGGCAGACAGAGGAGGAAACATTTCATTTGTGCTTACAGAGGGAATAACATTTTATTTATTAAATAAATAGAAGAGCTAGAAGGTAGTTATCTATTTTATTTAGATACTGAACAAGAGTGTTTAGCTCAGTTGTATCTTAAGCTATTGCTAAGTCTTAAAGCTATTGCTAAGTCTTAAAGCTATTGCTAAGTCTTAAAGCTATTGCTAAGTCTTAAAGCTATTGCTAAGTCTTAAACTAAGCTCCATTTTTTTTTTATTGAAAATCACAGAGCTGAAAAGTTGTAAGTGCCTAACCTAAGGCCACTCAATAATCAGGCACCCCCCCCCTCCATCTGTGGCCCACACACTCTGGTGGGTGTCTGACTTAGTTGTAAATACTGCGGCTGTGCATTTTAGTTACTATTCATTTAATGTAGCTATAGAAGCAGAATAACTCTACTTCATCTGCCCAAAGAATCATCAATTCTCAATGTTATTTATTAACAGTTAACTAACTAAACAATATGAGAATCAAGCATTATTGACCAGTCGAAAACAAAAAATGTATAAACCCTTGACTTACAGCATTGACCTCATGTTTTAACATATCCGACAACTTTGTTAGTTTGTCCAAGGCCTCCACCTGTTGAGTCAGATGTTTCAGGTAAGGACCACAAGCCCTACAGTATGCTTCTAATATTAATCCAAACCGAAGCCGCACTGAAGTCTGATGCATCTCAGATCTGAAACAATGGAAGTTGACATAAACAATGTTGTCAAACAATGCTAAAAAATCTTTTATTATAGGATATTCACTACAATAATGAATAATATGATTAGGTTATAGATCAACCATAGTTATTATGTGACTCACTTTAAGTGCCAAAAGAATGCATTACCAATCCTCTGACTGAGTAGACTTCTCTTCAGAAGGAAGCGTGTTAAAGGATTATCATAGTAAGGTTCATATTTTATTGCCTGAAATATGAATTTTAATACATTTTATTGGAACATATAAGGTAGTTTTAGAAAATTTAAATTTTGTCCTTATTAAAAAAAAAGTAACATTTTTAAAAGATTTGGATATTAAATTAAAACTTCAAAAACTAGACAACTGTGTACATAAGCAACTAGTTCAATTTACTCCTATAACTCTTGGAATTATTTTTGTGATAAACTTTAAAATAACTGCAGCAAAAATTACATAACTTAGTATTTGAATTAGATACAGTTTACATTTGTAACATCTGTTAAAGGAGGTTTAATCCTTAAGATCTGTTTGTCCCAATAGATGTAGAGATAAAAGAGGATTATAAGAATTGTTCTACCTTACCTGGACCAGTTGCAATAGGTACTGCTCCAGTTTATCATCCTTGAGCCCCTCATCTAGACACCTGACAGCAAACTCTCTAACTTTGAGATCAGTGAAAGAACAGTCTAGCAGCTCTAGAGCTACTTCAGCAGGGATCAAGGGCCAATGTTGTAGCAGTGCATACAACTAGAAATTTAGAAAAAAAAACAACTGATTCAAAACATGAATAAAAAGTGTAACCATTAGAAATCAAACAAATCAAATAATAGATAAATTTTATACTAGTGCATATAGCTGTGTTAAAAAAGACCAATCAAATACTCATTCTGATGATTGATAATAAAAAGTGTGACCACTAGAAATTTAACGAAGTATAAATATGTGAATGCATACAACTAGATAAATATAATAATTATGGTACAGATTGTGAAGATATAAAAAGTTCCGCTAATAAGAATAAAAACAAGAGTGTATTCTTGAGTAATTGTATTCTGTACTCACCTGAGCAACACTCTCTCTGTCTGACCACTTGACCGCTGATAAAAGTTTGGGTAAAGCCTTTGGACGTGTTAAACATTGTTCCCTAAAAATAACAGATAAAAAGATGTAACTATTAAAAATTATAGTAGTGCCAACATAGTAACAATAAAATAATTTTTCCTGCAAGATACTACCATTATTTCTAAAAAATTCAATGCATCAGATGTTATTTATCAGTAAAAATTTTTTTTTCCCAATGAAAGTAAACTTACATGTAGTATATGTAGAGTTTGTAAGAGAGAGGAATGGTAGTTGTAAGGATGCGGTACGCTGTAGCTATATTATTATTATTGCTAGTATTATTAACATTTTACTAGGTTGCCTGTTGCACAACTATTCAGAACAGCAGAAGGCCGAGAAGAATGGCAAAGAATTTTTAAGACAGTCTGCTGTGGTGCCCAGACCCCATCAGGGGTTGAGGGAAGATTGACTGATTCATTACTAACATGGCCTTAACAGCACTATCAATACAATTATATTATACTGCCTTTCAGATGATATTACAAAAACCAAAGGTTCCAAACAACAGACAACTATTACAACAGCACATTTAAAAAAGGATTTTTTTTCCCCAGTCTTATCAAAATTATATTTAAGATTTTCTTTAGCATTCAGTTACCTGAGTTTCCATAAGAGATTTTTATCCTGTTCAGATATATCAGACAACGGATCTTTCTCAATAATCTCATGCAACAGTTCTATATCTTTCTTTGTCACTGGATCTGGCTGGGGAATTTAAAAACAAACCAATCAATTTTTGGCTAAAAGAAATGAAGTGAACAACAATTTTCTTGCACATTAAGATCTCAATAAAACGTTATTATATGTACAAATATGGCACAGGTGGGAAGAGTATTTAATTTTCTAATGGTCCACAGTAAGTTTGGGAACCACTGCATTAAAGTAACTGAAGAGAAAAAAACTTGTTTTATAAGTGGTATGTGGAAGCTTACATGGCCCATTTGTGATTCATTGAGAAGAGCAATCTCTGCCAACTTAACAAAGTGACCATCAGGTGGATAAGACAGGGGATGCATGAAGCGGTCAAACTCAATTTCCAAACAAGGACAATCTTTGTTGGGATTTGAGCCTGTACACAAAAGGAAAAAAAAAACCAATCAATCAACATTGGGCAAAGTCTGTGGAAAGAACAAAGTAGATAAGCTACAAGTTGTTGAGTTACTTGTAAATACAATGGTCTCTGACAACAAACTGTGTCCTGTCAATAGTCCTACATGTGGTTGAGCCGTAACGCAGATGGACTATAAACTCTGAAGTCAGTAGGAAAACCCTGAGTGCACCCAGCTTGCAATAGTGAAAGTATCTTTGGGCTCGGCAATGAAGCTGACCACAAAATCCATTCATATGCAGAGTTCAAGTAAACATGAAGTAAACTTCTTCTTGATTGTGGACTGACATGTCTAAAATAGTACCCTCTTTTTGTTTTACTTGTATATTCACACCTCTCAGTGTAGAATAGAAAAACTGACACAACTCACACTGAAGTAAAAAAAAATATCTAAGAGGTGGTAAAATTTAAACAGTATATTCCCAACTCAGTATACACAAGAATACATACCCGTGATGCCAATTGGATTTAACAGATCATCCATTCCCTGAGGCATTGACCACATGTGTAAGCTAAACTTTCCATTCAGGTGCCTCTCATTGAAGTCAAACAGTTGAAGATTTCCCCAGGCTAGTGCATATTGGACCTGGATGATTAGGATGTCATAGTATTTAGCTTCAGAACCAACCAGGAAGTGAATTTAACCTAGTATTAATTTAGGGTTGATTGTGTATACATAAACAAAATAAATTTCTTCTTCGTTCTTAATTTTTAGTGTTGAAAGAGATCGAGCCTTATCTGCCAATGGTTTGGAACTCGGGACTTTTTCGAATTTATCAACCATGAGCTTTTTTGCCGACTCGACCACGCCTCCATCACAACTAAGGATACGTGTCAACCGGTTATTCGCCATTGAGGCCATTTACTCCGATTTCAGCCTGCTTTTCTTTTTGGATTTGCTTCCATAGCCTTTGTCCAACCAAGAACAAACTACAAGGCAGCAGTTGTTTGATTTTGGAGTTATCTCTCCTAGAAGAGTGGCTGTCCCCAGTTAACGAGCCTCATCTGCCCGAGGGTTCGAACTCCTAACAAGCCTCAGCTGCCTGAGTGTTCGAATTTGAGACTTTTCGGTTTAGCAACCATGAGCTTTACTGACTCGACCACACCGACCCCTAAAATCAATTTGATATAACAATATTTTAAGAGCTCAACAGCATGTACCTTTCTGTTTCTACGTTTTGACTCTGAGCATATAGAGAGGCAGAGTTTAGCAGAGCGTGGGAGGTCTGGGACCATCAGGAACTCCAGCCACTCATCCCAGCGGGGGCTGTTGGAATCCACCTGGTGGGTGCTTATGGCTTCACCCAGTGCTTCAGTTCCATAGCAAATGCAGGCACGAACATAAATCTGAATGACAGGAAAAATTCTTTTCAGTCCTATATTTACTTGCAAGCATGAATGTAAAAAATATGAATAAAAATTCTGTTATTTTAGAATTTTAAATTTTCTTATTTAAAAAGGCATAGTTCGTAAAATAAATTTTTAAAATTTGTATAGTAAATGTACTGTAAGACTGTTTACCTTGCCTACTTCTTTGATATTTACATAGGCTGCACAATTAATTTTAATTCTTAATTTAGCCTGAACATCCCATATACAAAGACTGGGTGTGGTGTTGATTTCTACCAGTGCTTGAATCCCTGGAATTCATGCGTAAACATATTTTTAAATCTGAATTTTCCAACAATCTCATAAATTACACACTTTTAAAAAAAAAATCACGAATATTACATTGTAAAATTTATTAGCAGACTGTTATAGAAGCTTTGTTAAGAGTAAAGTTCCCTTTCAAACCTAATGGACCATGGGGCAAGTGAAGTAGAGTTGTTGGCCAAGATGTTGGAAAAGAATGTTTACCAATATAAACTCTAGGTATTTTTTTAAAGTCTAGAATAGGCACAAAATAAAAAAAAAAATAGACTGCTTATGGCTAGAAATGTACTGATTGGAAACCAAGGACTTAAACTAGGTTAAAAGGACAAAATGAATGTAACAATTTTGTGTAAAACTCTGCATTCAACTTTAATGTGTGCATACCTCGTTGCATGTATGATGGCCAGAAGAAGTTGGTGTCAGGTAATGTGGCATAGACACTTTCTTTAGTGTGGAGCATAAGCTGTGGTATACTCTCCCTGCTCAGGCATTCTCTGATATACTGGAAACAACAAGAGATCACATACAAAATTCTGCCACCCCCACCAACCTTTATTATGTCATAGAACTATATGCAGCACCAATTAAATTAAAAAAAAATAATAATGATGAAATGGGTGAACATAAAGACTCTGAACAAATTCAATGTATCATTCCATTCCAATATTATTCTACTACACTGGGTGAGCTTAAGACAATGTGCATAAATCAAGGCACAAGACATTTTTCAAAAACAAATGTGACAAGAAATCAAGTATGATCTAAATATGTTCTATGTAACTACTGGTGCCCATATTGAAGAAAAATGTTATACATAAGTCTCCATTTTTATCTGCCTTTGTACTCAATTTTTATGGTAAAGAGATTTTACTGACATTTTATGCATAAAAATAGTGGGAAATCTAATGATAAAAGTATTATTAGTAGATTATTCTTTAGTTTAAACTGGACTTGTTTATATTTGTAATTACCTTGTATTGGCTTATAGGACATTCAGCCAGCAAAAACTGATCACAACCACAAACTTTGAGGACATACAAGTGCCTGTACTCCTCAATACACCTCTCAGCATGCTCCTTGGACATGTTCATAAAGCGACTGCGCCTTCTGATGGTTTCAGCAATGACATCGCTAGGGAAGGCATTGTGTAGCACCTTGACTGTGTATTTGGTTCTGTTGTTGTCATCGGAGACCACCCACACACAAATGATGACAGAGTTATCTGTCTCTATGGAATGTTAAAAATTGTGAGATTAACACAAGATCTTTATGTTAGCCACCATCCAAAGTATAACTATTTTCACTGAGACATTTAATTTAGTCTAAAATCTATGCATATGACTTGTAAATGAGCAATTTACCACAACCTTTAAAAAAAATTTAAGGATGAGTGTAAATTAGAATTCTAGGTGTTAATTATTACTTATAAGTTGGTCCTTTAAATGAAGTGGCAAATCTGGATAGGAATCAATGTCTGGTGGGTAGGCATACAGCGCTCTGGTGTGATCACCTGTGCCATCTCTTTCATCAACCACATCTTTACAAGCCTAAAAATTTAACCACCTCATTTTAATACAAAATATTATTTATTTTCATGCAGTTTGGAAAACTAAACAAAATGATGTTAATTATTTTATAGCTTGATACAACTTTAAATATACTTATTCAAAACATAAAAAAACAACAACATATTTTATACATTTTTATTCTATTTAAGACACATTAAAAAAATGCACAATATCCATACAACCCTACATTTTGAATAATCCAATTAATCCTCAGTTAATCCTAATTAATATTCAGGTAAATATATCAAGCAAATTTATACCTTTAAAATGTTTCTACGAAAAGTGATGATTTCAAGGTCTTTGTTCTCATTGAATTCATTCACTGGTACTCCAATTAGCATACCTAAAATAATAACATACAGTTATTACAATAAAATTGTGAATTTTTTGTCAACAATAGTAATTTATCAGCTGGTAAAACAAATGAATGAAACCAGGGTCAAACCTATCTCGTAGTTCAACATCTTTTCTTGTCTGTTTCCTTTAGGTTCCATAATCTTCAGAATAGGTTGGAAAAGGCGAAGGTCACAGAGGCGCCTTGTTTCATCATAAAACTCTTCTTTCATTGCATCTTGAGTTATAGCCAAAAAAATGTAGGACTCTGGCTCCATGAGCTTGTGAAAGAGAGGGTATTTCTTTGCCTCCTAAAAAAAAGAGCAAATATAAAACGTTTATTATTCCAACCTCTACTTGCTAAACAGAAAAAGTGAAATTTCACACCACAGTGACAAATAATAGGGTTAAGAATTACACTTTATCAGCTAGCATTGATTATAGTATTTAAATATATTTAAGAATCAAAGAATGGAATTGACACACAAAGCAAAGTAATTGATTTTTTAAAATGGGATAGAACTAACCAGCCATAAATCCTTTTTAATTAACTCGAGTGTAGAGTCTCTGGCACACAGTAATGGAACGATAACACCAGTGGGCAGAAGACAATCCACATTCACTTGCTGGGGCATCAAGTGATGCTCCCATAGTTCTCCTGAACTGGGTGGCATTCTGGTGTTTTAATATTTTTTAACCTAAAATGAAATAGATTTTATTTGTATTTATAAATGTGATTACCAATTTGTAATTTTCATAAAATAAGTGTTACCCATATAATTATTATTTATTTGTAGAACAAAAAGACACAATACATCATTAACTGTATTAAGTAGACGTGCCAGAAATATATCTTAAGGGCCACTTTCTTTAGGGTAGAAATATATCTTAAGTTAAGGGCCACTTTCTTGGGGTTTGAGTTTGAGTGTAATAATTATTCTCATATAGTAGTCATTTAGTGGTTCCTAGACTCTTAGACTAAAATCTAAATATGGGTTGCATTACCCATTAGGCCATAATTAATATTGGCTAGATAATATTATTAGTAATGCTGATTCAAAGTATTTAACTGCATTGTCATTTTACTGTCTCTGATAGACCTTAAATCTCAGATATGGGGTCATCTATAATCTATTTATGATGTCCACACATTTTTGAGATTTTTGCCCCCCCCCCCCCCCCCCACTTAATACCCTTTTAAAAGTCCATAACCGTCCGCAAAAGTAAAATTTTCTTGCCCTACCACCCCCCTCCCTGACCCCCGTGTGGACGTCATAAATGGATGACCCCTATGACTAAATGACTGAAATGAGTAGGAAAATAAAGGTTGCTAATCAGTTGAGTTGATAATTTAAATTTTAGTAGGCCTGTAAGAAAACTAAAGTGAGCACTGTAATGAAACTGCCTTTTTATTTCATTACACATTTTCCCGTGCTTTGTTTTCGGCAAAGAGATTATAATAAAATGGTGATATAACTGACATCATACCACAAGTACGGACGTAAGAATTATTCCCAGACGTTGTCATTTATATCAAGATAAGACTCTGAACTGAAGCGGCATTGCTCAATAGTTACTGTACATCGCGTAGTTTATAAGTTATTTGATTTTAAGTTCACATTAACACAAGAATAAAAAGAGCTACTTTCACTAAAGCGCCGCTTGTGAAATAAATAAAGAAATTGGGTCAAAAGTGCATCTAACTATTCTTGATTAACAGACTTAATTAGAAACGGGTAATTCCGATTACTAAAATTAAAATTGACGATGGCTTCAAAATCATTGGTTTTATCCCTCAACCCCTTAATGAAAACGAAACCACGCTGCCATCTTCGTAAATTGCTTCAAGAGTTTGCGCCGTGAGATAATATAAATAAACAAACAAACCCGGAAACCGTGAACTGAACGGCCTACTAGAAGGCCTAAGACCTACAATATTATAATATTTTTAAAAATATTAGGCCTAAGCCTAGGGCCTAAATATTTAGAATCTATATCTAGATCTCTAGTGAAAACAAAGTTAAGAGCCAAACAAAAGTGGTCTGAAACTGCAATAGAATAGATCTGTTTTAAAAATAAATAGAAATAAAAACTAAAAAAAATCGGTAATCTATCGTTTTAGGTACGTAAAATCGCCCGCGACTAGTAATGTGAAAAACAGGTGACTCCTTACATTTTAATAATTATTTCGCATTTTAAGGCGGATTTATGTTTTGAAAAATATAAAAATGTTTCCTTGTTTCATTTATGTACCTGTTTTAAAACAATTGAATTAAAACTTTTCAGTAATAAATGAACACCAGCGATGTTTCCAACAGATGCAACCATGCTCATTTACTATAGCAGCCATCTTGTTAAAGTTTTATTTTTATAGACTTATAGCGAGATTCAGGCGGAAGTCACTCTATTTTACAAATGGCTGCTGTTTATATAGAAAATCTTGCTTGCAGACACTGCTGTTTAAAGTTAATTTCCGGCCTATATTGATATATTTAGCCATAGATTTAGGTTTATTATTCATTTATCTATAATATTTGACACAAACAAATCACAATATACTTCTATTACAGCCTTGACAATGAGGTAACGTTTTCGTACATTAATAGCCGCGGGCGATTTTACGTACCCAAAACGATAGATTACCAAAAAATCTCACCAAACTTGTGACTTCAAGACTTTTTAGTCACTTAAGTTCACAAAAACCTCTAAACTAAAATACTACGTTGGGTAGAAAATGAATCGGGTAATCCCTTAGTTTAGCGTCGGAAATTATCGGGTAATGTTTGTTGAGTTTCGGTAATTAGAGTTACGGTAAACCATGGTTTATTTGACCATTGAAATAATAATAAATTGAAAGTCGATTGTAGTAAATTAATGTTTTATTTTTTTAAGTTTAATCGACAAAAGGAAACAAGAATAAATATAATAGTAGATTTAAATTAGTAGATCTAAAAATAAAAACATATATTAATATAAATATAAATAATGTATCAAATGTAATATTTTAATGTTTTTGGCTTGCAGCGGATTTGCGACCATTAATTAATTAAATCTAGATCTAGCTAGATATCTAGCTGCTAGGCCAAGTAAAAAAATCTAGATTACGAAAATAGTAAAAATGATTACAAAATGTAAAAATGATTACAAAAATAAATCTATCCAAATTTTAAACATTCTGTATAAAAATAAAAGAAGACGCCAAATAAAGTATGGTTTACGGTACTTCCGGTGAATTCCGGAAGTGTGTGACAGACTTTGACATTGTTTTACTGTTTTTTACTGCTATACGATTCCGGAATAATAACCGACGCTAAACTAAGGGATTACCAATGAATCGTAAAATACTATTTAAATTATGAAACTAAAACGGATCCAATTACCTTTAAAGAAAATGCAAAGTTTAAAATTAAATAAACAAACTCAACACCTCCAGGGCCGCCATTATTATTTTTATTTTATTAATGGCCAGATAAAATACTCCATGGTTTCCAGATCAAAGTGTTGGAAAGTAGACATAATTGACCAATCATATTGTCAGCATTTTTTACTGTTAGTGACAGTTCACCCTCATAGTAGCACAGTGTGTGTAATGAACTGTAACATTATTCTTTCTGTTATTTTATCTAAGTTTTTAGGTTAATTTTAAAGTCATTCTAACACATCATTCTCAAATGTGGTATTCTATAGGCTAGGCCTATCCATAATAACTATATCAGATAAAGTGACATTAAACTTTAATTAGAGAACATAAAAGGAAATATAAGCAGGTGGGTTAAGTTGAAGAGTATATATTATAAATCATACGACACGGTATATTTGGGGGTGGGGGGGGGGGGATTGATGGGTTGTGTAGCCTACATTAAGTGTAGTTATATATTTTCTAATGATCTAAAACAAAACAAGTTGCAGCCTACGCTAATAGGTCCCCCCTCCACCCCCTGATTTTTACATTAGACCTATGGTCATCTAAAATTTAATGAAGTCACGCTTTTTAAAACGATTTTTACTTCGCCACAGTCACACGTACGTCTAATTTTTAATTTTTAAAGTTTAATTTTTAAACATCGTCATAGAGTAAATTAATTAATTTATATTACAATCTACAAAAACAGTTTACTAAAAACGTGAATAACGGCTAAAATTCAGTTTCAAACACTTTTAAAAAATGTGCCGTAACACTTTCTGACCCCTCTCCTCACACATTGTTACAATAGTACGAACGCTCTCTCTCCTCCCCCCCCACCCTAGGAGTGTGACGTCATTTATGGACGACCCCTCCCATCCAGTGTTTCTTCCAGACTTTTTTCTCCGGGGGGGGGGGCACTTGAAATCTTCGGGGGGCGGTAAACTTTCTTCGGGGGGGCGGACACTGTTAAAAGTATATATTCTCTATATAAATAAAATAAATTTCATTTCGTTCGGGGGGGGGGGGCGGTAAAAATTTTTCGGGGGGGGGGGGGGGGCTTTGCCCCCCCCCCCCCCGAAGAGATGCCTGGAAGAAACTCTGCTCCCATCGTATACTGGGAATTAAATATTGCAAAAAGTAATACAGCTGGACTGCTCCGTAGTCTCGAGTTCGAATCCGGGTTCAAGTCAGTAGACCGTCCCTGAGTCCACCCAACTGTGATGGGTACCTAACTCACGTTAGGGAAAGTAAAGGCGGCTGGGCATAGTGATGACCACACTATCTCTTCATATGCCGAGGTTACAGAAACAAGTGAACTCTACTTCACCTGCCCCATAGACCGTCAGGTTTGAAAGGGCAACTTTACTTTAATACAGAAAATGAGGTCGCAATGTGGCCTTAGGATAAGACAATTTAAAAATTAAGAAATGTATACACAGGCGTGAAGGAATTGGGAATTGATAGAATCTGACGTGTGTGTGTGGGGGGGGGGGTAGGGGTGCTGTCCTAAAAATTGGGAGCTTTAAGACATACATAATAGTTGTATGTGTGTTCTGAGTATATACTTATACTATTACGGTCATAATAATACTGTTATTCCTGACACCGCTGAACTAAATATCGCAAATGTAATCTATTGTCATCAAGACAGCATAGAACAGTAATATCAATCTTATTATTTATCTCACCTAGCTAATTTCTTGTATTTTGATCTGGCAGCCCTGGCTACGGGAGATTGTGGGATATCAATGGCGGCGTAAATGATCTTAGTTGATCTTAGGCGCCGCTAGTGTTTAAAAACTGAACCAAACACAAATTCATTACATAAGCTCATGCAAATATAATGATAAAATATATTGTTATGGGATTACGTGGCTTCTTTGTTCTAGCGGCCAAAATATGGAGTTTTGTCTGTTATATATTCAAGCGTCAAGTGCGACAAGTAGATCTAATTTTCTAAAATTTTCTTCATGTTTGAGATTTCTAAAATAAAAAACCTGAATTTATTTTTCATCTTTTAAAATTGTAGTTCAGTTTAAGAGTTTTAGGTCAAGATCTAGATTTTAGATCTAGATTTCTCTATCCTGTAATTTTATAATCTCATGTCACTATCTGTTTAATTTACACCCTAAAAGCAGAAAAAGAAATCTACTCAGATTAGCAGTAGCACCGAGTAGCAGAAACTTCACTTGCATTTGGCGACTAGGACAGGGCTTTGGAATAGCTCAATCGAGTCAATTGTGGGCTCCCTAGACTAAATCTAGAAACCCTAGAGTCTAGCTAGTCTTGCTAGAAGTATATTGTCTCTAGATTTAGATTAAGCTGTGACTACTCAAGGGTTGGTAAAATAGAACTCCATGATGATTCCAGCATTTCTAGATCTAGTTGAATTCAGTCATCACTTAACACTTTCAAATAACAGAGCAAAATCCTGCTAACCCAAAAGTGTTCTTAAGTTCAAATCCGGGTTCAAGTATGTAGACTATCCATGAGTTCGCTGAGCTCTGGTGGGTACCTGACTCATGTTAGGAATAATAATAATATAGGTGGCTGGGCATTGTCCTGACCTCACTATCCCTTCATTTCCGAGGTTAGAGAAACAGGTGAACTCTACTTGACTTGCCCCATGGACCATCAGGTTCAAAGGGAATTTAACTTTTTACTTGAATCTCTAAACAAGATTGTGACTTGTTAATAAATAATTTATTCCTGTTTATTCATGTGAGCTTATTAAAGTAACAGAAACAGAACAAAATATAGGCCTAATCATAAAAGAAGCACTAGATCTACTTCGTGAAATATAATGTTATTCTAATCTAGTGTAGGGCCTAAATATAAAAATAATAGTGTCTATTCCCAATCGACTGGAATACACCTGAAGCATATTCTGATTATTCTGAACTGTTCCCAGTAGGAAAGACACTAAACGATTTAATATATTCTAGAGAATAGGCTAACTGAAATATTAAACATTGCAAAAATGGTAGCCTAATCTAGTGGCAGGATGGAAGCATTGCATGTTTTTTTTTAATGTTAATTTTTAAAAAATGTATAGGCCTAATGCAACAGCAAATGACAATGTCAGACAACTTTATTTTTTCTTATTTACCGCAACAATATTTAGGGCCTACAAAGAATAGGCCTAAATAAAGGTTAGGGCCTATGTGCCCTTGATCTGATTTTTTTTTTTTTTTACAATAAGCAGAGAGAAAAAGTTGAAATAGAAATATGAATTAAATTGGATTAGGGCCTATTAAATTTTATTTTTTTTATTAAAAGGATTAAAACTTAAATAAAATGGGTATGCCTTTTTATCTGATAATTCTTAATTCTAAGATGTTTCTTTGAATGACTATCGTCGAGTATGTTTTGGATGCCATTCCTACTCAACTTGTAGAAATAGGCCAAACAACTGGGAAAAGTCTGTAAGCCCATTCCCAGTAGAGTCAGGCAAAAAATAGTTAGATTAATATGCAGCTAAAAATTGTCCATTTTATTACTGCTATACATAGTCTAAAGGGTAGTCTTTTGTCTGATTCTAACCTAGCTAGACCTTTTGTTTTCATTTTTCAGTCATGTCTCTTAAGGGGTTCTAATTGAAATATTGCAAATCAACAATAAGGCCTAACATTATTCAATTTTTTAAATTGAACATACTCTATTTCCTTTTTAATTTAAAAGAGATACTCAGATTACAGATATTCATAAGGATTGCTAATGGATCTACAAATACTGATAGACACTGGGCAGTATTTATTTATAGGCCTATCTAGTTATATAAAAATTACTAAATACGGGACTATAAATAATCAATGTTATCTAACCGTGGATGATGTAACAAGTGTATAAGAAGAGCTTGCTGAGTTTCCCCTTGAACTAACAGCTTAACACTGCATGTACACAGTACATACAATTAATAATACTATCTCATAAACTAGTGACACAAGTTTAACTTTTTCTTCAATGCTATTCTTAATCTGACTTGCAGGTGATTCAACATCAAACAGTCAAGTACGATGTCATTTCTCTGTCCCCACTCTCCAAACACAGACTTAGTGAGTGATTGCAATTATACAATTAGTTAATACTTCATTAATGTATACAATTAGTTAATACTTCATTAATGAAGGTGATGACAGCTTAATTCATCTTAGTGCATAGCACTTTAAAATATCATTCATAATGTAATAATATTGTATGATACCAAATTAACACTGCTTTGTTCATTTTAGTTCTTTAAGAGTATTTTCACTGTAAAATATTATTTATAATGTGAAGTAATAATTTAACTTACTTTAAATTAAATTAAATAGTCTCATATCTAATTCGTTTACATTGTTTTATTTCTACACATTACAATCTTAAAGATAACATAATTATACTTTATGTAGTCTCACATCTATTGCTTTACTAGTTTAAGTTACGTTAATCTTTATTTGTATATCCAACACTCAATTGTAGCAAGCATTATTTACTTTAATGAGCAGGTATGATGAAAAGAAAAGTTCTAGTTCTAGACTTGGATGAAACATTGATTCACTCACACCATGATGGTGTTCTACGACAAGTGAAACCAGGAACTCCGCCAGATTTTGTTTTAAAGGTAAGTAGCTGTACACTTTTAGTATAACAAAATCAACATTTTTAAGCTTCCAGTAAAATATTCCACTTATGCTACTGTTTAAATTGTCTTACATTGAGTTCTTTCTGTTGTTAAATCTTTGTTTTTTATGTTTTCAAATTTATTTTCACATATATTTTAAAGGGTATTTTAAAAATTTCTATTCTCTTGATACATTTGTTAAAACTATTTTACTGGTTTTTTTTCCACTTTCTATTTACACAGCTTTTCTATAGATTTTTGAAGCTAAGTAGAATATCTAATGTTAATGTTTACAGGTTACTATAGATCGGCATCCAGTCAGATTCTTTGTGCATAAAAGACCACATGTTGATTTCTTCCTAGAAGTGGTAAGAACTTTTGTCAATGATCTGTCTTTAATCTCCCTACTTTTTAAAATATATTGTATACCCAAAAATTTCTATTTTCTTACTAAAAGTTATGTTCTGATAAGTTGGCTGTAAAGTTCTTTATTGTTTTACTTATTCAAATGTATCAGATTGATTTCTTTTATTCTAAAACTTTATAGCAAGCAGATTATTACTAATTTATTTTTCAAGTTGTTTCAAACTGTTTACACTTTGTATTACTTTCCTGAAGAATGCATGAATTATGCATTAGAAATAATAGCTTGTTGTATATTTATCCTTCTTACAGGTTTCACTTGCTTGAAATGTCTCTGTTTAAATCCTGTAGGTTAGTCAGTGGTATGAATTGGTTGTTTTTACTGCCAGCATGGAGATATACGGCGCCGCAGTCGCCGACAAACTAGATGGTGGTAAAAATGTACTCAGGCGGCGCTATTACAGGCAGGTCAGTGACGTCACTGGTTATATAGCTGGTTGGTTAATGCAGGGATGTGACTTTTCCGAATTTTAGCGGAAATCCGATTTTTCCGTTTCAGTTGCGATTTTCCTCCGCTGATTTAATTTTCGCCGAATTTTTCCGCCGACTTCCAATTTTTGTCGATTTTTTACAAAGTTTTAAAAATTAGGGAAAAAAAAACGGAAATGTCTTCTACGGAAAGGGCCGACATGCTCATTCCACTTATTCGTATGTAAATTTAAATCGACAACTACTGTACTAAGGTCAAACGGACACTCGAATATGCGCATTTCTTTTTTATTGGTCGATTGCGCTAGGTTTGACGGTCCTAGATCAAGATTAAATGTAGATTAAGATTCGGAATTTCGGCGGACTTTCGAATTTTTCAATGCACTCTTTTTTAGTCCAAATTTTCCGCTGATATTTTCAGTTAGCTATTAATCAAAAACACGGGAAAAGGTAATCTAAAATAATGAAACTTACATCTCTTAAGCCTGGTAATCTAGCTATCGATATAGCCTAATTTACCTATCGGTATTTTAACCCGCCTAAACCTAGAGTTTCCCTCTGCTTCTATTTTATTTCGCAATCTCAAATTAATATTGCAATCCTTGTAAAAGGTGACTATGAGGACTCGACTAATCCGCCCCACCTCGTAGCAACGGTGGCTCTTGTGACCTCACCTTGACCCCAAGTAACGTGTTCGGTACTGCTTGTGGGGGGGGGGGGGAAATGACGTCACACCCAATTTCAAATAGCTGTTCCAGCAATACGTATGCTTCGCTTCGTAGGCCTACAGATTTAAAAAAAAATACTAAACTCAACGTGACTACGACCGTGTCTTGTTTGTGGAAGAAAAAATACGTTCAGACTGTTTTTAAATTTTTAATAAGGGGTCTTCCATAAATAACGTCACATTCGTAAGATAGTGTAACGTCATATTTTTGTATTTTAAAAAAGTAATGTTAGAAACAACTGCATTTTAGCCGCTATTAGAAAACTGTTGTAAAACATTGTAATAGAAATTGAATAAAATACCCTCTGTTGGTCGACCTCAGTCAATATTTTAGAAAAAAATCGATGCTTAAAAAAAAATAATTAATTTTGATGAGGGGGGGGGGGGGGGGGGGGGAGCATTTGTTGGCTGAGGTGTAACTTCATTATAGGGGGGGGGGAGTCTGGCTTTTGTAGGAGAGAGGGGAGGTAAATATCGTCAAAAAAAACCTGGATGACCCCTAAAACTGACAATTTACATTTATTCCAAAAAAAAAACATAAATATCGATGTGGCTTGGCTATCAAAATGATTAACTTTGGTTCACACATCAGACCCTTTGTAATTTTAGCTAACCTGGTCCATTTCATTTTTCCATCACATGAACCTAAAATTTTCAAATTATAACTAATCTTAATCTAGGGTCTTTACAGTTGGAGACAAATATTTTTACCAATCCAATCTTTAAAAGAATATATATTAGGCATTAGACCCCCTATTAAAAAATTGAAAACAGGAGTACATCTAGAATCTACATAGATTAGTACAGTTTAAATTAGCTTCATGGTAAAATAAAACTTAATTGCTACTTTTGTTACATTGTAGTTTTTAAAAAGTTGTTTATAAGGTAAACATTAAATTGCAATTAGACAAGACTTTCAATGTTATTTTAGAGTAACATAAACTTCTTGTATTTAAAATATTAACTTCATTAAACAATTAATTAGTACAATAACAGTATGAAGCTGCTTACTGCGGTATGAAGCTGATTAACTGCGATAAAAAGTAGATAAAACATTGAGTTATTATCCAACATATTGAGTTATTATCCGAAGAAAATTTCCTAATTTTTTTTCCTGGTCTGGTCTCATCCCTGTTAATGGTCATTGATTTAACCGGTTATGTAAAGCTGGTTAGTGAATGGTCAGCGACTAGTTATAAAAGGCTGGTTTGTAATTGATCAATTACTTAACTGATTATGTAAGGCTGGTTGGTTAATGGTCATTGATTTAACCGGTTATGTAAAGCTGGTTAGTGAATGGTCAGTGACTAGTTATAAAAGACTGGTTTGTAATTGATCAATTACTTAACTGATTATGTAAAGCTGGTTAGTTAATGTTCAGTGACTTACCTAATTATATAAGGCTAGACAATTAACAGATTTTTGCTAAAGAAAACTCATAGTTTACGTAAAGCTGTTAAGTTAAACGCTTTTGCTACATAAAGGTACTGAGGAAAGGTCATGGTTTAGGGTTCAATATTAAATCAACTGAAATGAAGCATATCTTTTGCTTTTAGTTTGGTGCTAAATTAATTTCTGTTAGAGGTTAATTTAAAACGTTAATAGGTTTGTCGTAACAAGATTCTACGTGTATAAATAGTGTTAGAAGTTAAAGTTGTAAATTTTTCTATAAAATATTTTTTTGATTTTATTGAATAAAATATTTCTTGTTTAAAAATCTACATACACTGTTTAATTTTATTTGACAGCATTGTAATTTGGACATGGGAAGTTACACAAAAGATTTATCAGCAATTAATCCAGACCTTTCTAGCATTTTTATATTGGACAATTCACCAGTAGCTTATAGGATGTTTCCAGGTAAAGAGTGTTGTAGTTGATGGTAACATTCAATGTTTTTTTTTATTATAGTCTGTCTTGATAATTAACACTTGTCTAGCAATGGTTCAGCTGTTTGTTGTGTCTTAAATTTTCTACAATTTAGTGAACATCCAGTTTCTTGGATTGAGAAGGCTTAAGTTGTAGACTAAAAAAAATTAACAAATTTTGTTTTATGTTGACCATTAGCATGAATATTATAGATGAGTTAGGCCTGATGTTTCCATAATGTTACAGTTCTTTGCTTGTAAATAAACTCTAGAATTACTTTACAATTTCAAATAACAAGTACCATAATTTATAATTGATTATTTAAAATAATGCTTCACTTAACAATTTGTCTCCAGTTTTATAACACTATCCCATTGTATTTACAGTTATCATTTCTTTATCAGATCTCTTCCATTTTTAATATGACATCATTTTTATGCTTTTTGTCATTTAACTAACTAAAACCTTCCCCTTTCAGATAATGCTATCCCCATTAAGTCATGGTTCAGTGATGCCAGAGATACAGCCTTGCTATGTCTGCTCCCCATGTTAGATGCGCTACGTTTCTGTAACGATGTCAGATCTGTTCTGGGAAGAAACCTTCATTTAACAAGGACCTGGTAGCACCTCTCATCACTTTTCATTGGGTCACAACAGCATCCAACCTCTGTGCTGATGTATCTTCATGCCACCATTATCAGCGCTGATTTTATTTTTTTCATCTCGGCTGTCCTAGCAAAGAAATTGAGAGTGATGTGCCCCATACGTTTTAAGCAACATCTTAGGTTATTTGAGCACATTTGATGTAAATGCTACCGATTGACTGATGTATATAGATTAGTTTTAATTCTGTTACCAGAACATGGCTTTGTTCTTATTTATTTCTTATGAAACATCTGTCTTGTTCTCTTGCTAAATATATTTGTATAGAATGTCAGTGAGACACATTTATATACAGGAGATACACTGCTAGTTTTTACCAGTTATTAATTAGTACATTTTTTTACCAGTTAGAAATGGTAGTAGAAATCTAAAGACTTGAGGTTATAATTCTTTGTGTATGTTCTGCAAGTCAAACTCATTTATTCTTTTACCTTTCTGCCTTAACTCCATCTCATGTGTTATAGACATAAGCCATTCAAACATATGAAAACGACTGCAGGGAAAGTGGTGTAGTGTGAGGCCAATTGTTTATCAACTGTACATAACCTGGAGATATCCTCTGTACTGTAAACATTTTATTTTTTTTCCTATAGAGCTATTACTCGTAGGTTTTCCCCATTTTTTTTTATCTTTATCCATTTTTTTCTTCAACAATAATCTCTGTCATTTGCTTTTCGTCTGTGATTTTCTTTTAACTTTTAAAAATGTTTCCCCTATGTTGGTAGTTGATTTCACTTCTCATTCATTCATTCCTCATTAACACCTGTTTCATTAATTAAGGCTAATTATAAATTAATTCACGCATCCCGTTTGTTCATTAGTCATTCAAACGTGCCATTATTTACATGTGTTTCATTTATTAGACATTCAGATAGATAACAAATACTTACACCTTTTTTCTCCCAAACTGTCCTTATTGAAATGAAAAAAAAAAACCTTTTAAAACTTAACCATCCTAGTTAGCTGGATTAATCTTACTGTTGAATGTAGTATGTAAAAAATGTTGTCCTTGATTTGAAGCCAGATGTATGTTGAAATAGTTTAGAATTTATCTAAATGCCCATTTGTATTTAAAGTTGATAATTGCAACAAAAGCCAAATATATCTGAAGATGATAGTTGTAAGTAGCAGAAAATGAGAATCTGATGTTAGTGAACTAGAAAAGGAAGTCAGATTTATCTGAAGTTGAAAACTGAAAAACGCAAGTCAGCAGTTTATATGAAAATTCAATTGTATGATGAAAGAAAATGCAAGTGTTGCATTAGTCAGTTGGGTGATCATTAGTCAGTTGGGTGATCGAAGATGCTTAAAAAAAAATGAACTGTGTGTTTTAATGATTAGGTTCAAATAACAATTTAATTGTTGGCTTGAAATTTTGTTGTGAATGTACACAACTTGAGTGCAGATTTTGGTTACAAACTGAAATATTTTAAATTTTATAAAAAAAAATATTTTAAGCTTTCATATCAAAAGGGTAGTTACATTTTAACATGTCTTACAAATGTGATTTTTGAGATGCGCTTTGTTGATGATTTACTGATACAAATAACTTTGTTGCCAGTAAGATTGTCTTATTCTGTATTTAAATCACTTACAAAGCATAATGAAAGGTTAAGTTCTTCTTGCAATATATCATATGATTTTTTTAAAAATCCTGACATGGCCGTTTTTAGTCTTCCAAGAGGAAATAACTTTTGTTGTACTTTTTTTAAATTGTCAGGGCCATGTTATTTCCCTTGTCTTAATTTTTAAATTTAAAATGCACATCTTATGGCTATGTCACCATTGATTTTTATTATAAATGTTTATATATATTTTTATATTTTTTTTTAGAAAGCAAAAATTTTCCCTCATTACTTGAATGTTATGTTGTAAGCAAGTGATTTTTATACAGGAAAAGCTAGTTTCTCCAATTGAAAAACTGTAGAGCAAATTGTAGAAGGGGAGGTAATGTGAAGATGCTAGTTTAAAGAACATAGAAAGGAATTATTCTTGCTCTTATATCTTTATTTTAATATGTACATACATCTACATATTTTGTTCAACCAAAAAATTCTCTGTGTGTGTTGACATGATTGAATTATTGTGTATAATAAATTAATTTGTTGAAAAAAGTAAATAATAATTAATGTGAAAATTTAATGAATTTAAAAGATGTTTTTGTTTTGTTTTTTAATGTGCTGTGTTTTTGCATGTCAGTTTGTTGCTGTCTTTGTGTCTGTTTCCATTTAAAAACTATCTGGTTTATATGTACTATAGTGGCACCTAATGTTTAGGAACATATGGAAGGATAAAAACATCACCCTGCGCACACAAACTTCACATTGATGTGTTTATAGTCATGACCATATTTCTATGTGTGTGCAAATCTTATATGCCAACAACTGAATTTTAAAAGAAAATTCAATCCATGGAGATTTGTTGTTAAAGAAGTTAGCTAGGGATAACATTCAAGGACTACATTACAAATGACGCAGCACATGACAGGATCTAGATGTTGATTGGTCAGCTTGATGAACTATTGAAAACTATCAATGAACAGTGTCAGGCAAACAAAAGAAGCAGGCAAAAGAAGAAATGGGGAGACAACATCAGGGAATGGATGGGTTAGACACTGGCAGAGGCACTACGGATAACATAAGACAGTGGAATGGGGAAAGGTGGACACTAGTGTTGTCCTCACCTAGACTACGGGACAAAAAAAAACCTTGAATTGTAGTTTCTGTTTCTAACTGGTCCTAATCAATGTCAAAATTTAAGGCATGTTTGGTTTAACTTAAAAACCATAACTTCATAAAGATAATACAGAACATATATCGTAAAAATACAATGCACCGCAATCAGGTCGTAGGCTATTAAATATTTGACATTTAAACAATTTATATTTTTGAAAGCGTGCCAAACGGCAACACCATTCTGTCCATGCATTTTAAAGTGTATTCGTGGGATTAAAAAGACCCGGAGATTTCATGTTTATAGATAGTAAAGTAACGTTAGGTAGCTATTAATAGAATTTGTAGCCCGTGCATAGATACAATAAAAAATACTGACGCCTATTGTAGCTTCTGACGTCTGTCCACGCATCTGATGTCAAAAGGTGCAGGGGAAACAACCAGACCAAAAATTTCTCTAAAGGCAGGAGGGTGGTTTGGGTCAACAGGCAGGAACTCGAACCTCTGAAACATGGACGACAGGAACAAGAACAGTTCCATCTTTACTAGAGACTCTCCAAGACACTTTCTACGACCAATAGAAAACGGTATGAATTCTTCTCTCTTTATCAAATTTCCTTGTTCGTCCAGAAATCTTTCAGGTCGGAAATTCTCAGGATCTCCCCAGATTTTTTCGTCTTTGAGAACAGCGTCTAAATTTGGAATGACCTGAGCGCCTTCTGGGATAGTGAAACCTTTTAGAACCGTGTCATGCGCGCACACGTGCGTGATTCCAAACGGCACAAGGTTGCCCATTCTCTGGGCCTCCATGATGAAAGCGTTCAAATACTTGAGCTGTGGTTTATCAGACATGTTGGGCACGCGGTCTAACCCAATATATTCTTTAATCTCCTGGTAAATTTTATCCTGTATTTGTGGATTGTGTAAGACAAAATACAGACTCCACAAAATGGTACTGCTCGTGGTTTCAGTGCCGGCTACAAACAGGTTTTCAATGTTTCGAATAAGGCTGACCTCGTCTAAATATGTTGACTGTTTCAAGCGATCGTTCTTCTCTATCTCGTGGACATACTCTAAGATGTAATTGTCAAGACTATTCGGATTGTAATTTCTAGTGATTTCTTTCACCATAAAAGTGGAAAATTCTCGCAGCTCTATTGCTGTAGATACCAGCTTTTCTCCGCTACGCTTGTATTTTGGCAGATATTTTAATAAAGGAAGAAAATTGAGGCGCGAGACTCCAGAATTCAGACGAACAAACTCGTTTACCAGCACGATTAAACGTTTAAATTTAGGATCATTAAACTCAAATTTTTGTCCGAAAATAATTGAACAAATAATATTTGAAACGCTAACGTTGATTATTCCCCGGATCTTAATCGGTCTGCCATTTTCTTTCGCGATCTCATCCATAAAAGCATTAACATCTTCTGTTATCATTTCAACCAAAGAATTTTTCCCCAGTCCGAATTTTTTCAGAATTGAAAGTGAAACTGTTCTTTGTTCTTTCCAGTATTCACCAGAAGAAAGAGTTACACCTTTATCCATATGTGGTACGTTTTTAACAACAAAAGCTGTTTCTGATCTATTTGAAAAACAGTCACCGAGTTTAACAAACGCTTCCTTTATTACCTCAAAAGAATTCAAAACGACGACTGTTTCTTGCCCTAACTTTAAACTGAAGACATCGCCAAGTTTTTGAGACCATTTTTTAAACTGTTGTCTTGGGTCTCGCTCCATCAAATACAAATGGCCGACAACAGGCAGAGCTATACCAGGGGATGGCGGAAGATGTTTAGGTTTTTTAACTGCCCAATACAATGACGATGTGATGAAAACTACCACGACAAGCAAAATCGTCAAGTCCATTTTGTTTTCTGAGGAGGAAGAAAAACAAAATAAGAACTTCAACTGGTGCATTCTATTTAAAAAAAAAAAACTTTGCTAAATGCTGAAAACTATCATTAAACTGAACTATGTATTGTATTTATAATTAAACTTTATTTTTTTTTACCTACTATGTATCATTAAACTTAATTGTATGTTAAAGTTATCATGTGTTTTACCTATGTATAGAGCGCGTCATTAAGTGAAAATAAAACTTACCTTGCGAGATTGGCTACCAATGTCTCTGGTTTATCTGGCACATCCCAGTCCTTGCACTCCATTTATGCTATTTGATGCTACAGTTCTTGAACTTTGGCTAAATTTGAAACAAAAAGCCGGATTAGTTGGTGTTAATAACAAGCTTGTTGAGACTTTGTGCATTCGACCATACGTACCGTGGTTGGAATAAAATAATGTGGACAAATCCTACTGCATGGAGTAAACAGCGTCCTATTAGGTGGATTGGAAGTTTACATGCATGAGTTAACATAAAAAAGTTGAGATAGCTGCGTTGATGGCTGTTTATTCTACGCACCAGTGGTAAGCGGTAGCTTCACAAAACTGGGAAGGAGGGGGGGGGGGGGAGGCGAAGACCGCACCAGTGATACCATAAGATGACTCCAAGAAGAAAAAAAATAATAATTTAAATACAAAACATCTGCTTTGTTAGTTTATCAACGTGTAAAGTTTATACCAGTTTTTCTTCCAGAATTTTTTCTCAAAGGGCACTTGTGGCGGGCATCTCGTGACCGCAAGCTGACCATTAAATGACTGATCTTGAAACAGTAAAGGCCAGAGTTTCTTCCAAGCATCCCTTCAGGGGAGCGGAGCCCCCCCCCCCCCACCCCCGAAAAAAGTCTACCGCCTCCCCCCTCAGGACCAAATGGAATTTATATAGAAAACATTTTTACCAGTGTCCGCCCCCGGTAAATGTTGACCGCCCCCCTCCCCCCCGAAAATATGAAGTGCCCCCCCCCCCCCCCGGAGAAAAAAGTCTGGAAGAAACACTGGTAAAGGCGGACGTCAATGTTTTATTTCTGCGGTTTGGATGTGGCATTTCGAATGAAAGCTTATGAAACAGTTTCAAACAAAATAAATACTGCTTTCTCTGTTTGGATGTGGCATTTCGAATGAAAGCTTATGAAACAGTTTCAAACAAAAATAAATGCTGCTTTCTCTGTTTGGATGTGGCATTTCAAATGAAAGCTTATGAAACAGTTTAAAAAAAATATAAATGCTGCTTTCTCTGTTTGGATGTGGCATTTCGAATGACAGCTTATGAAACAGTTAAAAAAATAAATAAATGCTGCTTTCTCTGTTTGGATGTGGCATTTCGAATGACAGCTTATGAAACAGTTTAAAAATAAATAAATGCTGCTTTCTCTGTTTGGATGTGGCATTTCGAAGGACAGCTTATGAAACAGTTTAAAAATAAATAAATGCTGCTTTCTCTGTTTGGATGTGGCATTTCGAATGACAGCTTATTAAACAGTTTCAAACAAAAAGAAATATTTGTTACTTCCTCTGTTTGGAGATGCCGCTTCAAATGTCAGCTTGTGTGATATTTATAGCCTAATTAGGGAGCCAGAACTCTGTCAATGTTTGTTATTTCGGGTGTTTGGAGTTGTCGTTTTGTTTACTTGTTCATTCTAGGCGATTGCTACACTTATTTTTAATTGTCACTGCACTTTAACGCGTTCTTTTTTGTTTACAACTAGGTCACGAGAACGAACATGATATTTTGATATTCATAATGAAGCAGTCAAAGCGTGACTTCAACTAACGTTATACTAACCCAGGCATGAATTTTAGGATGTGTTGTCGCTAAAGTACAATTTAATCTTTGGTGAAAACTGGTGTTGCTTTGAGCATAGCTTTATAAAAAGCAATCTTTAAATTTATAATAAAACAAGCACAAAAACCCTTTATAAAAATAAGATTTCCAATGTACTGAAAATAGATTAAGCTTTCTATCTTTAGTAAAAGCATTAGTTTCTCATACAATCAAAAAAAAAAAAAAAAAAAAAAAAAATATATATATATATATATATATATATATATATATATATATATATATATATATATATATATATATAAGCCCCATCAACCACTTATGCATCAACTGTCAAACAAAGACAGAGTTTCTTCCAGGCATCTCTTCGGGGGACGGTGGCTCCGAAATTTATATAGAAAACATACTTTTACCAGTGCCCCCCCTCTCCCCCCGGAAATATCAAGTGCCTCCCCGGAGAAAAAAGTCTGAAAGAAACACTGAAGACAAGACAAACTTCTCAAGTCCACTTACAGATATACTTTCTAAACTACTGCGTGACTGTTAAAGGATGCTGTTCATGATAATTTCATACAGCTGTAACTAAATGTAGAAACACAGATGGTTTTTTAAATATTATTTTATCAATTAACAACACTTTTGCTTTGGTCGCGGACACCCAGCCCATGCTCCATTGAAAAAAAAAGCTGGATACTTAGGGTGTGAGAAGTTCTACGCCAGTGCATACTTATGCGCACGCGGCTACCAGCATTACAATGACAAATCAAGAATTTTTTCCCCATATTTTTAGACATGTCGATCTAATAGACAGCGTCAGTTTGCCTTGCCATGTTCGATTTAGAACCAATGTTTTCAGAATCGGCTTGTGAGGACTGACACCGATTTACAATAGTAATACTTCTTTTGACATGCATTTTCATTCAGTGAAAATGGTTTACTTATACATAATACACAAGTCTAATTTCATTTTTTTTAAAACCTGAAAATTAAAATAAAAAATAAATAAATGGTGATTCAGTGTGCTGTATAGAGTTGGAATGGCGAACCGATCTGAAAACAGAAATAAATGCCTCACACAGCAGCATTATATTAAAAGATCATTTTAGCTGCAGTTTTGCTTTATAAATATAAAAGAAATATGGAGGGGGGGGGGGGGCGCCAAATTTTAAAGTTTGTCCCCAGGCGCCGGGAAGGGTTGCTACGCCTCTGTATTAGAGTGAGTCATCCCTACATAAATGAATTTTAAACAAATGAGTAGGTAACATACGGTAATGACTTTATCGCTTGGCTTAATAGATCCAGCTCGACCTTACTTTGTGGAAAATTAATGAATAAGCAAACAAGGTTAAAAGCCGTAACAATTTAAAAAAAAAATCTTTATAAAGTAAACAAGCAGTAGCCTGTCTCTTAATCAGGCGACGACAACAAAAAAGAATAGACGCTAAGTCGACATAGACTGATGCAAATATAAAGTGAACGGGGAAAATATAATTTCAGGTCAGTGTAAGCATAATTTTTTTTTCTGGCAACATTTTATACGAATTTTTAAATAAACTTAACTGCTGTTAGATCTATATCTCAGCCAAGGATTCATGGATTAAAGAAAAAGATTTAAATTTATTATATTACTTAAATTGTCAATAGCAGATAATTAATGATTAGTGAATTTAATTGAATATTTTAACTGTGTTTTGGTTTGCCTAATTTGTTAGCACAATTTGTCGACTATGAAAGGAAAGTGTTTCGCATTTTCACTATCTTGTCAAGTATTTTTCAAATTTCTCATTTGCAATAAAAATAAGCATTTCCTTCTTCGTTCTTAATTGTAATAGTAAATACAATTAAGTGTTACGCGAGTCAACATGCTGTGTTAAGGCCCGTTGAATCCGACTTCAGTCTGCTTTTTTTTTGGACATGCTTCCACAACCGTTTTTACAGACAAGAGCAGTCTGCAAGGCAATATCAGTTCCCCTAACATGGGACGGAGTGGTCTAGTGGTAGAGAGCTGGACTGCTAACCCTTTAGTCTCGAGTTCGAATCCGGTTTCAAGTCTGATGGGTACCTAACTCACGTTAGGGAAAGTAAAGGCGGCTGGGCATAGTGCTGACCACACTATCTCTTCATATGCCGAGGTCACAGAAACAAGTGAACTCTACTTCACTTGCCCCATAGACCGTCAGGTTTGAAAGGGAAACTTTGCTTTTTTTTTTAACATGAGCCAGGTACCCATCAGAGCTGAGTCGAGTCAGGGACAACTCATAGACTCAAGTCAATTAGAACTTGAGATAGTCGGGATAACAGTCATTTACCCTGTCATCATATTAAGCCGTCCCAAATGTGAAAGATAAATGAAAAAGAATATCTCAATTGAGACATTCTAAATAATTTTTAATATTATACTTCTTATAGCCTTATAGTTTTATTTTACATCGAACAAAAAACCCTTCATTTTAATATAAGTTACGTGCAGTAAAAATTCTTAAAATGTTACTAATATGCTATTAATACTTTTTTTTTTCAAGTTTTTGTTGAAGTACGTGAATCATTTGTGTTTCAATTTGACAACTGTAAGACTAATAAAAACTGTTTTTTTTAAAATTCACGTCAATAACCAGACACAATATTTTTACAGATAATTTACGTTGCGGGAAATCATGGAGTTGACGTTTTGGTTGGCATCAGTGGTTGTAGTGATGACAACCCTCTACTGGTTGGTTAAGAAACCGAAACATCTTCCCCCATCTCCTGGTATAGCTCTGCCTATTGTCGGCCATTTGTATTTGCTGGAGCCAGACCCAAGACAGCAGTTTAAAAAATGGTCTCAAAAACTTGGCGATGTCTTCAGTTTAAAGTTAGGACAAGAAACTGTCGTCGTTTTGAATTCTTTCGATGTCATAAAGGAAGCGTTTGTTAAACTCGGTGACGCATTCTCAGACAGACCTACAAGAAGTTTTCTGGTTAGAAATGTGCCGCACATAACAAAAGGTCTGACTCAGTCGTCTGGGCATGACTGGAGAGAACAGAGAACCGTCGCTTACTCAATTCTCAAAAAATTCGGAATGGGAAAAAATATCTTAGCGGAGAAAATAGGAGAAGAAGTTGATGCTATTATAAATGAGCTAGCGAAAGAAAATGGCAGAGCCTTGAATATTCGATGGCTCATCAACATTAGCATCTCCAACATTATTTGTTCCATTATCATTGGCAAACGATTCGAATTTCATGATCCTAAAATGAAACAACTAACAACAGTGATAAACGACTTTGCTCGTTTAAATTCAGGGGTTTTAGAAGTAAATTTTCTGCCGTTTTTGCAAAATCTATCAAAATACAAGCGCACTGCAGACGAATTAATTTCCGTCTCCTTTAAACTACGGGACTTTGCTACAGTCATGGTGAATGAAATAAAAAAAACTTGCGGCACTCAATGTCTGGACAACTACATTGTAGAATACGTTCACGAGATGGAGAAAAAACACAATTCAAATGAAGAAACGCATTTAGATGAGATCAGCCTTGTTCGTAACATAGAGAATTTGTTTTTTGCAGGGACGGAGACCACCAGTACCACAATTTTATGGGGTCTTTATTTTGTCTTGCGGAACCCGGAAATCCAGAAAAAAATTTACCAAGAGATAAAAGAACAAGTGGGAACGAATCGTACCCCGAATATATCTGACAAAGCACAACTCAAGTATTTAAATGCTTTCATTATGGAGACTCAGAGAGTAGGAAGTCTGGTGCCATTTGCTCTTACTCATGTTTGTGCACAAGATACAGTTCTCAACGGTTTTACCATTCCTAAAGGCGCACAGGTCATTCCAAATTTAGACGCTGTACTCAAAGACGAGAAAATCTGGGGTGATCCGGAAAATTTCCGACCTGAGAGATTTCTGGACGAACAAGGAAATTTGATAAAGAGAGAAGAGCTCATACCGTTTTCTATTGGTCGCAGAATTTGTCTTGGGGAATCCCTGGCTAAGATGGAACTTTTCTTGTTCCTGTCGTCCATGTTTCAAAGATTCGAGTTCCTGCCTGCAGACCAAAATATTATTCCTTCTAAGAAAGATGTTTTTGGCGGAATTGTTTCACCCGAGCAATTCGACATTAGGTGCGTCGAGAGACGCCACTAGCTACTAAATTGTAGTCAATACCAGATGAAGATAAGTCCGAGCGAGATGGCATTAGCTAATACTAGTTTAATTGACCACATCTGCATTATATTCAAGAAATTATACTCAGTAGCCTATTTTAAAAAATGCATCGTTATTGATTTTATGTTTCTATTAATTTTGCTTAACTGTATTATCTATTTAAAAAATAATTATCATTTTTGTAACCTGAATGAAATTTAGGTTTTGTCCTTTGGATACAAATATTTTTCTAATAAAATAATAACCAAATACAAATAATGTGGTATATTAATGAACTCTTGTAATGGTCGACAGCTCTATTTTTTATTGCTTCGAAAGTAAGAGAGGTGTAAAGTGTAAAACGTTGCTACATCGGCATATCGAGGAAAAGTGAGGTCAGCACAATGCCCACAATGTCCACCTAATTCTTGATCCATCTAATTCTTGATCCATCTAATTCTTGGTCCACCTAATTCTTTGTATATTTAATTCTTTGTATATCTAATTCTATGGGACGTTGTAGTCTAGCGGTAGAGCACTGGATTACTAACCCGTAAGTCTCGAGTTTGAATTCGGGTACAAGTCAGTAGAACGTCCCTGAGTCCACCCAACTCTGATGGGTACAAAACTCACACCGTCAGGTTTGAAAAGGGAACCTACTTTTTTTAAATATTTAATTCTTGGTTCATCTAATTCTTGGTTCATCTAATTCTTGGTCCATCTAAATCTTTGTTCATTTAATTCTTGGTCCATCTAAATCTTGGTCCATCTAATTCTTGGTCCATCTAATTCTTGGTCCATCTAATTCTTGGTCCATCTAATTCTTGGTCCATCTAAATCTTTGTTCATCTAATTCTTGGTCCATCAAAATCTTTGTATATTTAATTCTTGGTTCATTTAATTCTTAGTCGACCTAATTCTTCATCGCTTATTAAACGTTTTCTATCTGGTTTCTGATATTTTATAGCTGCTGGCTCGTAGGCAAATACAAAACTTTACAAGAAAGTGAAGTGACTATACTGTGATGTGTATGATATATTAGGCAAGTTTACCCTGTGGTACTACTGAGATAGAAATAGCTGGCACAAAAGTTCCATGTTTTTCTAAGTCTCATCAAAAACTGTATCCGCTGTGCCTCATTCAGAATAATAATAATAAAAAAACAACTCACACTCAAAATTACAATAAATAAAGAAATAATAAGTTTTTTCTTACACTTTACACAACATAAACATTGTTTTCTTTCCCATGATACGTCCACGTCTACGTACGAGCAAATCTGATAGCAGTAGTGGAGGTCTTTATCAGTTAGTGTCCAGTCCATCTCTTTTTCAGATTAAGTTGATAACTAATCTACCGTGCTACTCCAAATAGCTCTCCCTTTTTTTTAATATTACATATAAGAACTAATTGTTTTAATGTGCTTTGTAGTAAAAATATAGGGAAGATATCATGTAGGTATTATCAAACGTAGGTTTTATATTGCATGTAACTACGAATTCTTTCTTAATTTATGAGCACTTGGGTTTTCATCTTTACTCAAATGCAATTCTTGTTTCTTAAGTAATATTTTTATCAAAGTTCTGTTAGTTTTTCAGTGCTTCTTCTTTATTGTATTAACGATTAAAATTGCATTTTTGCAAAAAGAACAATGTTTTGTTTCAACGTATTTGTTATACTTAATAAATATGTAATTTATAAATAAACACTACTACAACATTAAAAACAATACCTAAATTAAGCAAAATCTAACATTGTAAAATGAAGGTTACAATCCAAGAATACATTCTTTCATTTGAAATTCAAGCCGTAAACGTTGTTATTCAAATTAAACACAAAATTTTGCGGCATGCAAAGTATCAGCAACAAGGAAAGTGTTGTTTTTGACATAGATAGGTCACGACATACATAGAGTTTTTGACATAGATAGGTCACGACATACATAGGGTTTTTGACATAGATAGGTCACGTCATACATAGGGTTTTCGACATATATAGGTCGCAACATACATAGAGTTTTCGACATAGATAGGTCGCGACATACATAGAGTCTGCGACATAGATATATCACGACATAAATGAGTAAAGAGATAGACGGGTACCGACATACATAAATCACGCCATAGATAGCTAACGACAAAAATAGGTAATAAAATAGATAGACCACAACATAGACAGGTCATGAAAAAGATAGGTCATAACAAAGAAAGATTTTTACATAGATAGATCATGACATTGTAGATCACGACATAGATAGGTCACAACATAGATATGCCTCGACATAGATAGGTCAGAACATTACAGGTCTCGACATAGTTAGGTAACGACATAAATAGGTCAGGACATAGATGGGTCACAACCCAGATGGAACATGACATTAATGGATCTGATATATAAAGGTTCCGACAATAATTTGTTCTCTTTGGCAATCTTCTCGTAACAGAAGATTGAAAAAAATACAATGAAAAAAAGTACGAGATAACTGGGTTTGAAAAGAAAAGGAAACAGAATGGAATGTTCTGTTTAGTAGTGTGTTTAAACAGTGGTTTGGGACCAAATATTAGCCTTTACTGCTACTGTAGTCTTTTAACGCATTTAATGTCAAAAGGTGCAAGAGAAACAACACCACCAAAAATTTCAATCTTGGAAATAGATTGATTAGGTTTATCAGACAGGAACTCGAACCTCTCAAACATGGAGGACAGGAACAAGAAAAGTTCCATCTTAGCCAGGGATTCCCCAAGACAAATTCTGCGACCGATAGAAAAAGGTATGAGTTCTTCTCTCTTTATCAAATTTCCTTGCTCGTCCAGAAATCTTTCAGGTCGAAAATTCTCAGGATCACCCCAGATTATCTCGTCGTGAAGAACAGCATATAAATTTGGAATGACCTGAGCGTCTTTGGGAATGGTAAAACCGTTAAGAACAGTGTCTTGAGAGCAGACATGAGTAACGCTAAACGGAATTGTGCTTGAAAATCTCAGAGTCTCCATGATAAAAGCGTTCAAATACTTAAGCTGTGGTTTATCAGACATGGTGGGTGCTCGGCCTAACCCAACATATTCCTTGATCTCCTGGTAAATTTTATTCTGCGTCTCCGGGTGGAGTAAGACAAAATACAAAGCCCACAATATTGTGGTGCTGGTGGTCTCCGTCCCTGCAAGAAACAGATTGTCAATGTGTCGAACTAGACTAATCTCGTTTAAATACGTCGGCTGGTTTAACTGGCGTTTCTTCTCCATCTCATGGACATAGGCTACTATGTAATTGTCCAGATTATTCGGGTCGTAGCTCTTCCTTATTTCTTCAACAATCGACTTTGAGAATTCTCGAATCTCAGTAGCAATAGAGACCAATTGTTGACCCGTCGTTCTGTATTTGGGCAGGTATTTTAAAAACGGAAGAAAGTTGAGCTGTATGACGCCAGAATTTAAACGCACTAAGTCGTTGAGCAACTCTGTCAGATGGTTATGCTTAGGATCGTCATAATCGAATCGTCTTCCGAAAATGATGGACGAAATTATATTACAAACACTAATATTCAGAAGTCCCCGGATCCGAATTGGTTTGCCATTTTCATTTGCAAGGTTTTTCAATAAAATTCTGATCTCTTCTGCTATTGTTTCCGACAAGATATTTTTCCCCAAGCCAAATTTTCTAAGAATTGAAAGCGAGGTAGTTCGTTGCTCTTTCCAGTCTGAACCAGATGCCAAGAGTATTCCATTCGTAATGTGAGGCACATTTCTAGCCATAAATGATCTAGTCGATCGATCAGATAAGGAATCCCCGTGTTTGACTAGAGCCTCCTTTATGACCTCAAAAGAATTCAAAACGACGACAGTTTCTTGTCCTAACTTTAAACTGAAGATAGCGCCAAGTTTTTGAGACCATTTTTTAAACTGCTGTCTTGGGTCTCGCTCCATCAGATACAAATGGCCGACAATAGGCAGAGCTATACCAGGAGATGGTGGAAGATTGTTCGGTTTCCTCATCAACCAGTAGAAGATAGTCGTTACTACAACAGCTAGGGCCAACAATGAAGTCACTTCCATGATTTTGCGCAAACTGAAATGTAAAAAAAAAATATTTTTAAAAAATTATTTTTTCGTAAAAATCTAAAATAAATAGGTAATTGAAAACAGTCTTTATGAATTGTCAATGTACAGAATAGCATAGAACAAAATCATGACATGTTGTACGCTGATGCAGAAAATTGTGATATAAATGGAGAATATTACCAGGTATAAAAGGGAAAAAAACCCACGGTAAATTAATTAAAAAAAAAATGAAAAGCTTGAGGCATCAATTGCTGACAGAATGCTAAAATAATAATGTACCATTTACATCATTATGCATGTAAGCTGGAATTGAATATTCACCAACCTTAGTTCTTTAGAACTGTCTGTCATATTTCCCAATCTATTCATAACTCAGAATCTAAACATCTCAGATTTAATCAATAAATTGTTTGGACCCGAATCCAATCTTAATCCAAATCTATATCCTACTCCTGCTCCTGCTCCTACTCTTATTCGTACTCCTAACCCTAATCCTAATCCTCGTCCTAGCACCTACCCTAACCCTCACCCTCGCCCTATCCCTAACCCTAACACTAACAATAGTTTAAACCTGATCTTCTGTGATGTCTGACGTACTCCTGCTAAACAAAAGCTACATATATTTCGCCGCTTGAGGAAATAAGCACTTTTAACACTACATATATATATATATATATATATATATATATATATATATATATATATATATATATATATATATACACACACATTATTATAATAGAATTACCTGAAAAGAGAAATTTTAAATTTTAAATATATTTGGCACTGAATTCTCCAGCTGAACTGTCTGTAGGAAAATATATCGCTGATCTGTGGGCTGTCTGGCTCAAGAGTTTTCACGGTCTGCGTGTAGAGATGTTGGAGCTTTATTTTCTTTTATACCTGAGAGTAATTGTTGCGAATCTAAAAACCCATTGTGTTGCGGACTCCAAGTTAACAGTGAAGTGTTATTGTTATTGTAATATTGGGAATGAAGCCATGACCTAGTTTGTGATGTTTGTCAGTGGTGTCCAATTACCCGTGCGTCTTTAAATTAAAAAACAACAACAAAAAAAAAAACAAAAACAACAGCAAAAAAAAAAAAACAACAAAAAACAAAAACAACTCACGACGCTTCCCCAGTCCCTATCATCGCATTAGATCTAACCAAATGTTTTTATTTTTTAGTGTAACAATAACCCTAAATGTGAAAGGTAAAGTCCGTGGGCGAATAGTTAAGTAACAATGATGAAAGACAACGACAATGATGTGATATGTTAACTGATACATTGGAAACCGCATTTCAAACTCGATCTCTGGAGGTGTATTGTGTTCATTTTTAATATATAAGCATTTACTTTAGCTGTATTAAGAGGCGTAGCAACCCATTCCGGCGCCCGGGGCGAAATATCTATTGTGTGCCCCTCTCACATTTATATTATATTTATTCCTGATAGTGTCCATCCCCCCCCCTCAACCCAGTTGAAAAGATTAAAGGGCGCTTTTTACAGTTATTCGTTTTGCTTTGGTGCCACACTTTGACTGTGTAGAACTTAATAATTCAGCTTAAAATTAGCTCTTAATTTTTTTTTCAACCCCCCCCTTTTGGCGCCCCCGTAAGATTGGCGACAGTTCCATCCGCCCTCCCATAGCTACGCCACTTGCTATATTTATTTTATTTACAACACTGTCAATGTAAAACGATGTAGTGACTCCACTGTAATTCGTCCGCGCCTCCAAAGTTTGGAAACCACTGCTGTAATGCAAGATGGTGTTTGCACCATATAAGAATATATCCCGCGTGCTGGAAACAACGAGACTTGGCTGAACTTTTTCGTTTGTTTGCCGCAACTATCAGGCTAAAAAGGTAAACGGATTGTGTTCAAGGAAAGGTTGTTGAAGCATACCTCGATTGTCTTCACCTTAAGCTCACCCCTTCCGACACTAAAATTAAGAGCGAAGAAGAAGACGGTATCGAAGCAAATCAACGTTTTCGTCTACGTCTACGTCTTTTAATATTTATGTATGTCTATGTAAGTCAGTAATGTCCATTTATATAAAGCGTAAACAGTTACAAAAGACGAAAATGAAATAGGAAGAAAACCAGATTAAAATAATCACAAAGGGATGCAATCCTCTTTATTTTGACGCCTGTTTCGTTCTTGACTTATTCTTAACTATCGCAACCAATCAATATTTCTCTCTCCTTTTGTTATGGAATATAGAAGTAAGTAAAATTCCCTTCCTAGCCTGATGGTCAATGGGGCAAGTGAAGTAGGGTTCACCTGTTTCTATGCCCAGGCGCCTTTTCTTTTCCTAATGAGAGTTGGATACCCTTAAGAGCTGGGTGGACTCAAGGACGTCCTACGGACATGAACCGAGATTCGAACTCGGGTTAGCAGTCGTATGCTTTACATTCCGATAACCCCGTCCCATAATGATCATACTAATCTTAAAATTAATTATGATGAGTGATTTAATATCTAATTAGATCAAACATTAGATATTCTTGCCTTGTTGTAGAATAAGAATTGATCTGGAGTTTGTGTGTAAATTAATGCTGATTAATTTCTATGTTTATTAATTTCTAATTACATGTTTGTTTAGTTATTAGTATTTTATTTTCATTGGTAATTAATTTATAGAACAACAGTGACTTAGGACAAAAGATCCGATTACAAATTCTTGATGCCGGCATAAAATAATTCAATTATATAAAAAATAAAGCTGTTTGATTGAGTTAAACACAGTCATGAAAAAGTCCGTGAAATGATCACTAATGTGATTGGTCCATTTGAGAGTCTACTGAGTAGTCAACAAATGAATGCTTAGATGTTATGAGCATGTCTTCGAAACAACAGCCTTTCCAAAACAATAATAAAGAGCACTGTGCCCGGAGGGAGAAGGGGAAGGCAAAGACGGCACTCTATAGATGACATCAAGGATTGGACATGGTTGCACGTCTCAGAACTAATTAGAGTGGCAAATGACCGAGATGGATGGAAGATAATTATAAAGTCAATTGCGGTGCCCCAACGACTCCCAATAAGGGTTAATGATGACGATGATAAACACATCAACACTTATCTAGTTACAATATTAAGATATTTTAAAGTAACACTGAATACTTTAAAAAAAATTGGTTAAACAGTTTTTAAATAAAATGTGCTGTTAGATAAGCTGATGGTGCTACTGCAGTCTTGTGACGCATCTAACGTCAAACGGAGCAGGAGAAACAGCTCCACCAAAGACGTCCTTCCGGGAGAGGCAGTGATTTGGGTCAGCAGGCAGGAACTCGAACCTCTGAAACATGGACGACAGGAACAAGAAAAGTTCCATCTTAGCCAGGGATTCCCCAAGACAAATTCTGCGACCGATAGAAAAAGGTATGAGCTCTTCTCTCTTTATCAAATTACCCTGCTCGTCCAGAAATCTTTCAGGTCGGAAATTCTCAGGATCTCCCCAGATTTTCTTGTCTTTTAGAACTGCGTCTAAATTTGGAATGACCTGAGCGCCTTCTGGGATAGTGAAACCGTTGAGGACTGTGTCTTGTGCGCAGACATGGATGACACTAAACGGAACCAGGCTGGAGAGTCTCTGTGTCTCCATGATAAAAGCGTTCAAATACTTGAGCTGTGGTTTATCCGACATGGTGGGCGCTCGGCCTAACCCAACATATTCCTTAATCTCCTGGTAAATTTTATTCTGCGTGTCCGGGTGGAGTAAGACAAAATACAAAGCCCACAATATTGTGGTGCTGGTGGTCTCCGTCCCTGCAAGAAACAGATTGTCAATGTGTCGAACTAGACTAATCTCGTTTAAATACGTCGGCTGGTTTAACTGGCGTTTCTTCTCCATCTCATGGACATACGCTACTATGTAATTGTCCAGATTATTCGGGTCGTATTTCTTCTTGATTTCTCTCACCATTGACTCTGAGAATGCTCGGAGCTCGTTACCAATGGAAATCAATTTTTTCCCCAGCGTCTTGTAGTTGGGTAGATATGTTAGAAACGGTAGAAAGTTGAGTCGCATGACGCCAGAGTTTAGACGCACTGAGTCATTGAGCAGTGCAGTGAGATAGTTAAATTTAGGATCATCGAAATCAAATCGTCGTCCAAAAATAATAGAGCAAATTATATTAGACACACTTATATTCAGAAGTCCCCGAATTTGAATGGGTTTGCCATTTTCGCTTGCAAGTTTTTTCAACAAAATTTTAATTTCTTCGGCTATTTTTTCTGCCAAGATATTTTTCCCCAAGCCAAATTTTCTCAGAATTGAAAGCGAGACGGTTCTTTGCTCTTTCCAATCTGTTCCGGATGAAAAAATTATGCCCTTTGAAACGTGAGGCACATTTCTAGCTACAAATGATCTAGTCGATCGATCAGATAACGAATCTCCGTGTTTGACTAGAGCCTCCTTTATGACCTCAAAAGAATTCAAAACGACGACTGTTTCTTGTCCTAACTTTAAACTGAAGACATCGCCAAGTTTTTGAGACCATTTTTTGAACTGCTGTCTTGGATCTCGCTCTATCAAATACAAATGGCCGACAATAGGCAGAGCTATACCAGGAGATGGTGGAAGATTGTTCGGCTTCTTAATCAACCAGTAGAGGATAGACGTTACCACAACAGCTAGGGCCAACAATGACGTCACTTCCATGATTTTACAGAAGCTGAAATTAGGAAAAAAATTTATATAAGAAATTATAAACAATTATGTTTTAAATATTGCTTTCATAGAAAAGCGTAACGTGGAATATGCTTAAGTCGAAAATATTTTTTTTTGGCACATTGTACTTTCGATTAGTCACAATTTTAATTAAAATATAATACGAAAAGTTTATTTAAGAACTCATTCACCAAAAGCTGTTCGTAGTGCAGAAAAAACAATGGCGCTAAAAGCCACTCCCGTTTAAATAATTTTTTCCCCGTCACAACTGTCTTTACTTAATCCTTGCAAGTCCCATAGATGCAAAAGATGCAAAGGCTACAACGAAACCTATCCACCAACAAATATTTTTGGCAGCTCTCTTTAGTTGAGCCTTTGCATATACCTGTCATACACATCTACCTGTCCTACACATCTACCTGTCCTACACATCTACCTGTCCCACACATCAACCTGTTCTACACACCTAACTGTACTACACATCTACCTGTCCTACACATCTACCTGTTCTACACATATTTAAAGAACATATTTTAATGTTTTTTTTATTCTACCCAGACTTTGCTAAACCGCAGTTTATGTTAACATAATTTACAGTTTACAAGACATGTTGTAAAAACAAAATTTAGAATTTCACGAGGTCATTTGGTTATAAAATACTGATTAACTCGTTTAAGGAATAGTTATATTTTCGAAAGAAGGAGCGAAGATGTGTATAAACATTGTTGTGTTATTTAAAATATTTGCATAATGTCATCGATGTATTGCAAATGCCTAAATAATACTTTATAAAATTTAATTTACAAAAACATATTCGAAAAATGTAATAGCTAAGTCTAAAACTTACCAGTATTGAAAAAAAAACTATTACAACGTTTGTTAGCTTCGGGCGGCTTCGCCTGTTTGTGATCCTGATTATGCTTCGCTGTTCTTTTCTACCAGACAGAATCTGTTACAGATATTGACCTTGGCATGCAGCTAACTAGATGTCATGCCGACCGTAAGAAAATGATTGTGTTTTTATAATGTTATTGAGATCGTGGCCTGGTTTATGCTTTACGACTAGACAATGTCAGTAGAAGTTCCCAGACAGCAGTAGTGACACAATACAGTGTTATGGATGAATTCTCCTTTCGTCTGTCGCCTAATGCTGCCAGTGCTGAAAGGTGTTTAGTGTTTTGACTGGTCGTAAATTTTGTAAAATATTTCTCGAGTTTTAGAAGAATTTACTCCACTATCCTCTGGTGTTAATATTTCTTTCATCTTCGTTCTTAATTTTTAATGTTAGATGGGATTCCAACCAACAAAATTAGTACTATAGGCCGTTGACTCCGATTTCAGCCCTTCTCTTCTTGCTGGATTAGCTTTCATAACTTTTGTCCAACCAAGGACAAAATACAAGGCAGCAGTTGTTTGATTTTAGGTTTACAGGTTATTCAAGGAAGCCATTACTGTTTTTATTATTTGTTTTAGGCTTACATGCTATTTAAAAAAGTCTTTACTGTTCCAAAAGTACTCTCAAGCAGACGTTTTTCGGTTCCTGGGTGGCTACGCCCCTGACTTCAACAAAAGGGTGTAACGTGAGGCATCACATCTGCGTTGCCAACAGCAACCACACGCATCTAACAGTGTCCATTTACCGTTCAACCGCATAACACGATTCACGAATGCAAGTCACGTTTGACTGATACAAATTCTGCTGTGTCACGCAGGGTGTCTCATCAGCAATTGTATTTCAAACACTTCTTAAAAACTTCTTACACTGTCCCAAGGCTAAGGTGGAGAACAACAGCAGAGTTGTAACAGCACAAAAAAAACAACAATACTAAACTCTCATTATGGACCGGCGTGACCTAGCGGTAGAGCGCCAGACTACAAACCCGAAAGTTTCAAGTTCGAATCCGGGTTCAAGTCAGTACGACGTGCATGAGTCTACCTAGCTCTCATATGTACCCGACTCTCGTTCAAGAAAGTAAAGGCGGCTGGGCACATAGTCATTATCTTTTCTCATTATGCCGAGGTCCCAGAGTTCATCTGTACAATCGGTCGCAAAGTCTAAATTATATGTACATTCCCATTTTCAGAAATGTATGGCATCTTAGAGTATGTGCTTCCGTGTAGATCTCTATGTAAATCATGTAGTGGTTAAAATGCATTTTATTCAGAAATTGACCTAACTTTTATATCACATGGCAGCTTCTTTAGTACACTTCATTAATCAACTTCCCCACTGTTCCCTCCCAATTGTGTCTTCTGGTCGAGTGTCGAGTGGTAATAAAACCATGTCCCTACATTGCACTGTACTGGACTCTTCAAGTTAAAATCTGTAGCTGTTTTTAATATCTTCTACCAGTTTAGAATTATCATGAGTTGACAAGTATTATACAAAATAGAACGATCAAATATTTCCGTAGCAAAATGTGTTATTTAATAGATTATTACACAGTATAAATTATCGTGTTAAAAACATTCAGTGAATCGTTATTTACTAGTCAATTTTAACGGTATCCCAATGTAAGAGACGCGCATCTCAGTTGAGACGCAGTTTAGTACTAGTAGAGCAACCAAACTGTAATCATAAGGATATTATTGGTAAATATATGTCCTCTATATCCCTATGTGTACATTTCAAAAGATACAGTCACGTTGACTATTATTTCGTACTGAGACCTTATGATAATATTCCCAGTCACAATGGATCAATGTTATTTTCTGTAACAAAAACATGCCCCACATTTAGCGCGTCCTCGACCTCTCTAGGTTAAAATCCGTAACGTCTTCAAATACCTTTTCAGGTTTGTGCTTACAGTTTGCAAACTTAAAAAAATGAACACGTGTAATGCATTTATACAAGTAGTGTTTAAAATAAATTAAAGTGAAACATTTAAAAATGTGAATAATTTATCTTTGATTAAAGGTTTTGATACCTGTACAAAATAATACATGGATAAGAAATACAAAGCCTATTTGTATTTAAACAAAGGTAATTTTCGATTAAAGAAACAATATTTATTTTAAACTGTCTTATACACAAAAGTAATATAGGAAGATTCAAATATTTGATTTTAACCTGAAGAAACTAAACGTACATATTCAAATAATAATAGATACATGGTTTATAGTTATATGAATTATATAATGGTAAAGATTTTATACATACAAAATAAATCTTAAAAGAACAATTTCTTAAATACAGAAAAAGAACATACAATAATTAAAGTCTGTAATACGTTAAAGTAATTAAAGCCTGTAACACGTAACATTTTAAACAAAAATAGTTGCATTAAGCATAATTTAAAATATCACTACTGTGATATATATATATATATATATATATATATATATATATATATATATATATATATATATATATATATATATATATATATATATATATATATGCAAAGCTTAGTCAAGAAATCTAATTTCTTCTTTCAAATTACTGATAGAAGTTGTTATATTTAAATTCTACGGTCAATGCACCTCACTTCATATCGTGACGGCGAAACAACAACACCAAACACTTCATGGACTTCCGTTGACAAGATCCCATCAGAAGGCAGGAACTCGAACCTCTGAAACATGGAGGACAGGAACAAGAAAAGTTCCATCTTAGCAAGGGACTCCCCAAGACAAATTCTGCGACCGATAGAAAAAGGTATGAGCTCTTCTCTCTTTATCAAATTTCCTTGTTCGTCCAGAAACCTTTCTGGTCGGAAATTATCAGGATCTCCCCAGATTTTTTCGTCCCTAAGAACAGAATCCAAGTTAGGAAAAATTACGGAGCCTTTAGGAATTCGGAAACCAGCGAGAACTGTGTCTTGGTTACACAAATGTGGAACACTAAATGGAATCAGACTTGCCATTCTCTGTGTCTCCATGATGAAAGCATTCAGATAAGTTAGGCTAGCGTGATCAGACATGTTTGGTGCACGTTCAGTTCCAACATGTTCTTTAATTTCCTGGTAAATTTTCTTTTGCGTTTCTGGATTATGTAAGACAAAAACCAAACTCCATAAGATGGTAGTGCTGGTCGTCTCCGTCCCTCCAAGAAATAAGTTGTCGATGTTCCTCACAAGGTTAACGTCATCTAAATAGGTCTGTTGTCCTGCTTCTTCCTTTTTCTTCTTTTCGTTAAGGTAAGCCACAACAAAACTGTCTACATTGTCAGTGTCACACGTTTGCCTGATTTCATTGACAATATTTCGAACAAACAGCCGAAGTTCAGAAATGATTCTTATTAGATTATTACCCCCAAATAAATCAAAAGGGAAGTACTTTAAAACTGGAAAAAAGTTCAGTATCTGCGTACCGGATCCATTTCGCAAAACATCATTGAAAAGGGATACCATGCGTACAAATTTAGGATCCGAAAACTCAAACCTTTTGCCGAAAATAACGGAACAAATAATATTAGAGACACTAATGTTGGTTATTGTTTTTAAATCAACTGGTTTCCCTTTGGTTGAGGCTAGTTCTTTGACATATATTTCGACCTCCTCCGAAATTTTCTCGGCCAGAATATTTTTCCCCATGCCAAAGTCTCTTAGGATTGTGAGAGAAGTCGATCTTTGCTCTCTCCAGTTCTCCCCTGAGGAAAAGACAATTCCTTTGTCATGGTGTTGAGAATATTTGACCAGAAAATCCCCGGGTTTTCTATCAGAGAAAATTTTTCCCTGCTTGACCAAAGCCTCCTTGATGACGTCATAAGTATTCAAAACCACTGCTGTCTCCGAGCCAAGCCTCAGCCTAAAAATAGATCCCAGCGAATCAGCCCATCTTTTGAACTGACGTCGAGGGTTCTTCTCTAACAGATACAGATGACCCACGAGAGGCAGGGCCACGCCTGGAGTTGGTGGAAGAGGAAGGGAAATTCCAGAGTAGCGGCTGTACCAGTACCATGATGCCAACAGGCAGAGAGCGAGTAAAATCCAGACCGTTGTTCCGGGAACGAAACTATCTAGAGCGTCGGCAGCTGAAAATAAAGTTTTTTTCC